ACTATAAGCTTTATATACCTAATAAAAGGACTACAATAATATCAAGAGATATTACAATCCTAGAAAATAAATACTATAATTTTGATAGTATTAAGGATAATATAACTAATATATCTCTAAACAATAATAAAAGGGTTACCCTGAAAACCCTAAACCCCAAACCTTTAATACATAAGATGAATACAAGAGCAACAGAATATATAAAAATAGCAGAGGATCCCTCTCATAAAATTGAGGTTCAAATACCAATAAAAAATAATATATACTATAATAATAACAATAATAATATACTCTATACTCTGTCTGATACAGCAGTAGAAGCTATATATAGGCCTATATATAGTAGTGTATTAAACTTTGTTTTAACTATAACTACTATAAAGGAGCCTAATACACTAAAACAGGCCCTAGAAGGCCCTGATAGCCTATATTGGCAAAAGGCCTGTATAGCTGAAAATAATGCCCTAGTTAGCCAAAAGACCTGGGATATTGTTGATATACCTAATAATATAACCCCTATAAATGGCCGATGGGTTTTTAAGATGAAACCTACTATAAACAGAACAGCCAATAATACTAGTCATATTACTAATAGTGATAATACTATTAGATATAAAGCTAGATGGGTTATACAAGGTTTTAATCAAAGATTAGGAATAGATTTCCTAGAAACCTTTTCAACAACATGCCGAACAGAATCATGGCATATGCTATTACTAATAGCTGTTAATAAAGGCCTATATATATGGCAATATGACGTTAAAAACGCTTTCTGCCATGCTAATATAGATGCTGATATATATACTATATTACCAATAGGATTATATAATAATCCTAAATATAATAATAAATGTGCAAAACTTAATAAAGCATTATACGGGTTAAAACAATCCCCTAGACTATGGGTATCAATACCTAAAATCAGTACTGGAATTACTAGATTTTGAGGTATTTCCATATGATGAAGGAATATATATAAATAAAAAGGATAATTGTATACTAATATGTCACGTTGATGATATACTAGTATTGCATAAAGATCTATCCTATATAAAAGCCTTAAAAAACAATATAAATAAATCTATTGAATTAGATGAAATAGGTCAAATTACTACATTTTTAGGTAATGATATATATATTGATTATAAGGCTAAAAAGCTATATATATATCAAACAAAATATATTGATAAATTATTATCTAAATTTAACATATATAACAATAATACATACAAACCAAAAGATATACCTGGAGAACCAGGAATAAAATTAATAAAAAATACTACTACTGCTAGTAATACTGATATAAAAGAATATCAAAAAGAAATAGGCTCTCTGCTATATTTAGCCCTAAAAACAAGACCTGATATAGCCTTTCCTGTATCATATTGTGCTAGGTTTATGTCAAATCCTAGTAAAGAACATTTTAAGGCTATACACTATATATGGTGTTATATACTAAAATATAATAATAAAGGTCTAATATATAACTGCTCAGGTAATAACCTATATATTAAAGGTTATTGTGACAGTGACTGGGCAAATGATATTAATAATAGAAGATCTACTACTGGCTATATATTTAGCCTAGGTAGTGATCTAGGCCTAACTAATCCTATATCCTGGAATAGTCAGCTTCAAAAAACAGTAGCTTTATCAAGCTGCGAAGCTGAATATATGGCATTAAAAGAAGCTACAAAAGAAGCAATATATCTGAATAATATGCTTATATATATAAATGATTATCTAAATTTAGGTTATACTAATACTATACCAATAATATTAATAGACAACGAAGGAGCTAAAAAATTAGCTGAAAATCCTGAATTCCATAAGAGATCAAAGCATATTGATATAATATATCATTTTACTAGGAACGCTATACAAAATAGCCAAATAAAGCTAGTACCGATACCCTCAAAAGATAATATTGCTGATATACTTACTAAAAATATAATTAAAAATATATTTGAAAGCCATATACCAAAAATAATAACTAATATTCAAAGCTAATCCTTATATATATATATATATATAAAGATTAAGGGGGGATATGAATATTATACAGATATAACTAAGATCCAGTTAAAGATATAACTAGGATCTAGTTGAAGATATAACTAAGATCTAGTTAAAGATATAACTAAGATTTAGTTAAAAGGCTTAGTAACCCTAAAAAACACCGGATCTTCGGTATACTAGGTAGCCGGCCAGATCTTCGGTATACTTAGTATCCGACCGGATATTCGGTATACTAGATAACCGGCCGGATAGCTAGATAACCGGCCGGATAGCTGGAATACTAGCTATCCGGTATAACTATTCTAAGGTTAAATAGGGCCTTCTTTCCTTTAGAAATAATAATATACAACAATCAGAATCCTCTATAATCAAGCAACTAAGTCCTTAATCTTATTGATTACTCAGTAATCAACTATCTATAATAATTCCTCCTTTATCTATATTCCCCTAAGCCTAGTAAGACCTTTGCAGTCTTATACGTACAGTTTTACAGGTTCCTATATTCTAGGCATAATTCCGGAATGTATAAAAGCGTAGCTATTTCCTGCACTAGGTTGGTTACGTAGGTCTTTTACCGGTTACTTATACTTATAGTGTAGTATTAGTAATAGTAGAAAGAACGTCTGTTCTTACGTTGCGCTAGCTGTCTCGTGGTTTAGTATAGTATTATTTAATACAGCAAATCAGAGGCTGATTCTGGCCGTTATTTACGTAATCTGGTTCTGCGTTCCTAGGAACGGTTGGCTCTTAGTGGCCTATCTGTAGGTTGCGGCCCCTGCGGCCCCTTATGTCGCATGGTCTGTAACAAAAAGTTTCTTAAGTATAAATACTTAGGGTTTTTTTAACCTTATTCTTTACTATTAGACTAGTTTAGAAATAAATTATTAAATTATAGATATTTTATACTTAAATTTAAATTATTATTAAATAGATTATATTTTTATATCTTTACTTTATTAAATTTTTATATACTCTATATTTTTTCTATCTATTCTGCTTAAGTAGTAGATATATTTTTTATATATTATTAGATATATAGGATTAACTACTACTATAGCTTTAATATATAATAATAAGTTTATTTATCTTAGAAGACCTAGTATAGATAATACTTTAGATCTATAAGATAATAATAAATCTTTAATTCTTTATTAATTTATTAGTAATAATACTCTATCTTATTACTAACTTCTCTAGTAAAGATATTTTTATTATATATTAAAGTAAAAGTCTACTTTTTAAAGTACTTCTAACTACTAAGATATTTATTATTATTATCCTTAAGGTATCTCTTTTCTATAAGAATCTTTATCTTCTTATCTTTATAGATCCTAGAATTATCTTAAAAAATATAACTAAGTTAAAAGAGCTAATTCTCTTATTTCTAAATACTAAATAATCTTTTAAAATTATTAACCTTAAAATCCTCTACTTTCTTATACTTCTTAGCTTTAATTTATCTATAATTTATAGATAAATTATTTAAAAAGTTTTCTATATAAATTCTAGAGACTTAAGTAATAAGTTTCTTAAGATATATATAAACTACTAGAAATTTTTAAGATACTTAATTTTATATTTCTTTTCCTTAAGATCCTCTATATTAAGTTCTATAAAATTTCTAGTTATAGATTTACTTATAATTCTTTAGATCTATATTCTATATAGAGAAGAGAATAATAATATATTAATAATATATTTAGTAGTCTTATAGATAGATATCTAGTCTAGTTTAGATTTAATAAGGTTTCTAGGTTAATCTAGAATTAATTTAACTTTAGACTATTAAATAACTAAAGAGAGTATAGAAGATTTAGAACAGATACTATTATAAGAGGATATAGGGTTTTAATATATAGAGAGTATTATCTTTAATCTTTAGATAGTTAATAAAGAAGAATTAGAATTATAATAGTTACTAATTTATTAGGCTAGAGATCTATAACTAGAAAAGGCTATTAGATAGTAGAGATTAGATTAGATAGTTAATATACAGACTAATTCTTAAGGAGATTAAGAATTCTAAATAATTATAGGATTCTAAATATACTAGGGTTCGGGTAGGCCTTAATATACAGGTAATTTAAAGGAGATTCAGCTTCAGATCAGTGTTGAGTTTCTGAGGTATTGTATACTCAGAATCCTGTGACAAATTATCTAGGAGATTATCAAACTAAGATTTAATAAAGACTTTACCTTTAAAAATTATATACAGAGATAAGGCCTAACCAGAAGTATTTATATATTCAATCGCAGTTATCTACTTACGATTTCTAGGTTATAAAAGTGATCGCTGACTGTAGTATTCAGCTCTTATAACAACCTTTACAGTTACTGTTAATCCTATCGCAAAACTAGTCTTATCAAAGTTATAAACATCGTTAGGATCAATGCTATATTGAAAGATAGTTCTTTGAACAAGATTAAACCATTTACCAATAACTTTCGGATCTTCACACTTCGCACGCTTGTAATTATAGCATCTCGAGAATCGGGTTGAAAGCTCTGAGTGCCTTTTTATAAATTTTAAGACCCATTTCTCGCCGATTGTTTGAAATTTATATATTCCGTACTGCTTTTCCTTATATTATATAATTTTGATATAGTTCTGCTACATAAGCACTTCCTTTCTGTAAGCAGCGGATTAGTATCTGAGGTTACAGGCTAGCAGAGCTTTCGGCTCCCCAGCCAACCCTGCGTGGTCCAGGACCACCCTTTTGTTGACTGGCAGGCCAGTTGGCGCCCCAGTATAGCAGCTTTAAACCTAGCGAGCTTAAGTACTGGATAATTGAAGAATTGATTGATTGATTGACCAGTTGGTGAACATGTAACACCTCCCCCAAGATGGTGAGATACCTTAGTTTATTATTAAAGGAGATAAGAGATTTAGTAGTAGATAGTGTACAAAACAAACTAAACTCTATATAGTCAATATTATTTCCTGGTCTGTATATGATATAATCACAGAGCTAATTAAAGTATTAGCAGTAGGTAGTATTTGAAAGTGGCTTGTGGATAACACCAGCATCAATAAGACGCTCATAGGACCAGTAATCCCTCTGAGTACCATGACCGTCAACAGCAGCGCTGCTGTTATGCTTGATGTTCCAGAAAGAGCCACCAGAAGCATAATGGCTCCAGGCATACCGCTGGGTATTGAATAGGCTGTTCCGGTTCTTGAAGGTATTGCTGTAAAGAGTTTGCAAAGCCCACTCGCCAATATAAACTGGGAACTTCCCATCACCACCGACGACAGAAGCCTGACCACAGATAGCACCGTTGGCCCACTGTGAGTAAACGCCGGAGGCAGCGAAGTAGTACACATGGGTGTCGATGACCAGATTCGTCTTGGCAGGGAAGTAAGGGGACCAATGCTCTTCGCCGAGGAAGCAATCCTGCAACATCAGGGGAATACGCTTATCAACGCGGGCGATACGATCTAGGACTCCACGGGTATACTTGACGATCCAGTTTGTACCGTTGGTGGTCAAGGTATTGGGCGACGCAAAGGCTGAGGGATTGTCGGAAGCCTCATTGATGTGAGAAAGAGTAAAGGCCCAAGGATATCCAGTGTCAACGAAGAACTGAAGGACTTGATCAACTGCTTCGTAGGAGTACTTCAGGTTGGTATAGTTTTGGAACCAACCATCATTTCCAGCCTTCTCTCCGATATCGAGCGAGTTGACGCCACCTGGGAGAGAGTGCAAACCAACGACAACGCGCATGTTGTACTTCTCGATGGCATAAGTGGAGATCTTCTTCAGATACTCCTTCTGGTTGCCATGATACAGGGCGGAGCCAGGGACCTTGATCCATGCTGCGTATGTGGTTGGGATACGGAGAGTGTTGACGCCTTGGGAATTGTTAGCGAATGTCAGATTGAGGTTGTATAACATCAGTTTGACAGAAGCTTACCAACGGCCGCGACCTTGTCAATATCGTCGGTTGTAATATAGGTGGCATAGCGCTGCTCCAAGACAGAACCACATTTGTCACCCAGTGTCTCACAGAATGTCCATTCGTCGCTGGCATTGGGAGCATATTGATCCCACCAGTACTGGTCAAAGACTTGCTCTTGCTCCAGCCAGCCACCGAGGTTAACGCCGTTAGCTTTGAATAAGTTCCAATTGGTATACTCGCCAGCAGCAAGAGTAGCGGCGGGGGTGGCAGACGCGACAGTCTTAGTATAGACTTTGATAACGCTGGTTCCGTGAAGGTAGCCGGTGGAAGTCACTGTGCGAACAGCAGCGTTCGAGGTTGATGCTGTGTATAAATCGGTGTTGATGCCAGAGCCTACTGCAGATCCACCAGCAACTGGGGCCAGTGTTTTGGTAGAAGCAGCGACAGTATCCTCACTTTCCAAGAGTTAAGATTGGTACCTCGTAGCAAAAATGATCCTTGATAGGAAAACTTACGGGTTAGATCCAGCTGTCTTAGTGCCAATCTTGGTAGTAACAGTGCGATCATCAGCCTTTCCAACGGTAGTGGAGTCGACCACTGTGGGGGCAGTGCCACCGTTCGCAGAGATGGTGGCAGTCGAGATAGTCTTAGTGATGGTCTCGGTAGTGGTAGCATAGACGGTCGTGTGCAAGTGAGTGGGGGCGTTCGTGCATTCGATCAGGATAGTGTTATCAATAGTAACAACAGTGTCCTCCTCCAACAGGATGTCGACAACAACAGGAAATTCGACAATATTAAGAGAAGTGTGCAGCACTTCACCGGTAGAAATGAGATTGGAGCAGACCTCGTCAGAGTGTCTGCCCTGGATGACACCAGCCGCTGAGACCCCAACGGAGGCCGCAGCCACAGCAAGGCTAAAGAGATGCATTGTTCGTGGCCAATGCTTTGAAAGAGCGACTGTGGTAGGAAAAGGATCAAATGGCGTGAAAGAAGGGAAAGAACCGCCAGAAAAGAGCGTTACAAGGTGATGAGGTTGGTTGAAAAGCTCCTGGGCTAGTTTACTTTTATAATACGGTTGAAAACTTGACTCCGTTTCTTCCCTAATAGCTCGCTATAAAAAGACTTACTGGGAAAAATGGAGCAATTCAGATGATCCAATACCGAGCAAGGGTTCTTCTGAGAAGATCCATAATGTGATTTGAGCTTGTAGACCTACCCACTAGAGCTAGCATTCGACATAAGTGACCATGGTACGAAGTGAATCAATAGCCTGGCAACAGCCCTGAATTCGGCTTTTCAACCGAGAGAGAATTAAATCGCGGACGGACTTGGCCGGAATTCTGCGAGAACAGCTACTTGTACATCTCCCGGATGCCTGGCTAATGTATGAGTGGGTCGTTTCCAGGAACCGAGCAGGGTAGTGGCATCGGATCGAGGGTTCATCCTCTCTTTGGCGAACGGTGACCAGTCAGAACTGGTATAGGACGGGTATTGGTTTCAATAGTCCTAGTGAATCTTCCACATGGCTGTAAGGTTCGTTCAAAAGACCCACCGATTGAGGAAGCGTCAGAAAATACAGCAAGGCTTGGATCCGGAAATCCCGAAGCCACGCTTTCCTTCAACGAACAAGCCTGACTTTACTCCGTACAAGCATTTAATTATTCTACAGAATTAGTACTACTGGCATAACCCAATATTGTCATTTTGACAATCTGAGTTCTCCTTGAAAGATACAGAGATCTTCACTGCTCGGACACTTGCTCCCAAATTGACTGTAGTGGAATCTAGTGACCTTATCGGACCACTCGGCGTTTTTGTTCATTGAATTAGCATATACAAATCGAACATTTCCAGGGTTCTCAATCTCCAACGAATACCCAGATTTCCTGCTTTTCCTAAGAAACGGCAAAACCTCGGCATGTCGAATGGACCCACGCGTACCTGGCTAGGCTTGGCAGGCTCGGGCTCGCGATAACCAGCTAAGCTTTTCTAGGCTTTGTTAGGCTTCTCGGTTGCCCGAGAACAGTCTCCGATCCGGGATATCCGATCCGGCCCAAAATATATTATGCATTACTTTCCTTCATTCCCGCGAGACACAGCGCAGGAGGGATTGATATGTATGTATGTTTTCACCACTAGGAGGAACAGGGATAACCATGAAAGCAAATGAGATGAGTCTTCAGTCAACAAGCTAGGTAGGCTGGATTTCACCGCATACTCGTAGAAATACTACGACGATCACTTTCATGATTGGAAATGGCTGATTTTCGTTTGGTGGCGGCTGTTTTCGCCGTGCATCTGTCCCAAAGGCCGCAGACCCACTTGGATCGATGACATCTTGTGCTAGAGGCAAGAACCCTCGCTTACCTTCGCCTGGCTGAAAAGAAAACCGTCTCGGCGGGTGGGGACTGGTCAAATCTAGATTTCAAATGCCGAAAGGCAGCAATCTTGTGTAGCTAGTTTCTGGCTAGTGGCGAGCCACGTGGGGATTGACAAGTGACATTTTATCCAGAAATTGCATAAAGCGACACTCCACATTCGTACGAGCATGGTTTTGCTTCTTGTCCAGTATTTACAAATCAAGGGGGATTCGTGGTGAGATGGGGAATATTTGGCCTTGATAGATTTCATTTATTGCCTAGTAATGTCTTTTTCTTTAAATTAATTTCTGTAACCAGAGGGTTTGCAAGAGCATTTCTGGCAGCCTCATCACCTGCCGCATTCTTCTTTAGACCCTGACCAGAGCCAAGGTGCTGATTTTCCCACCCCCAGCCAGTAAAATACACCCCAATGAAGTATGTTTGACTGCCGGTGCCCTTTGGGTGTATCGAAGGTTTTTCTTCAATGTACTTTAGCTTGGTGCCGTTACCCATGACTTTCGTAGAAAGTTCATCCTTTGAGTTCAACTTTGAATTTTGTGGCCCCAAATTGACGAGCTTTGGTAACCATAAGCTAGTCAACCATTGCTCTGCAACCTCATACCCGCCGACAGGATCAGAAAGTATAATTGCAGCCACATAAGCCTCGAAAATATCACCCCTTATCTTGACCCATCGTTTTAACTGAGTGTCGTAATCCTGTGGCACAACAGCCCTACGAGAGAAGCCATATGAATCAGCGAAAGCCGAGAGGGTTTCGTTTTTGACCAGCAATTCTCGAATTTGGGATATTCTGCCGGACGCAAGACCTGGGAATGTTTTCCAGATCAGTTTTGTCGCAATCAACTCGATGTAAGCATCTCCCAGTAGTTCCAATCGGTCGTAATTTGCATTGGAATCGTTGGCACAAGCGGGGTGGGTGAAGACGGCCTTTTCCAGGCGATCATCTAGAATGGGCGGCAAATCGGGATGCCGTGAGCCATCTTCATTTTTCCTAGAATCAGAGGTAGATTGGCTGGTTTTTTGTCCCTTGTTGACTTGCGAGGTTTCCTCCTTTGCGTCTTTTTGGAGCAATAAAGTGTCAAGTGTGGAAATTGTGGTTGCGATGTTGGGTTCGGCTTTAAGCAAATCGGTATCCTTCTTGACCTCCCGGATGAGTTGTTTTAGGGTTGAGAGATGGGAAATTGATTGAGATTTCTGGGCAGAGTCATATTTGCTTGTACTTGAATCGGCTGGCAAATTTGCAATCGAATGGTTTGTCTTCAAAGTCTTGTCAGTTCAACTCAATGGACCATGTAGACAGATTCGTGAGGAAGAGGCCTGATTCTGGCCGCACGAGTCGATGGGAGGGTAAAGTAGACTCTTACCTTGATGCGCTTGTCAGTTTCACTGCTATGCCTGCCACCGGAGGCATCGCGCGATCTTTTGGAGCTCATTTCGGTGCGGGTTGAGTGGAGGAAGAGTATCGCGGCGGGCCCACCTCCAAAAAAAAAGAACCACGTGACTCTATCGGAGGCGCGCGCCCGAGGCCGACCCTGGCCGATTGGATCCATTCACCATCATCTTCACTTCGACGGTCAACACAACCCTCGAAGCCGTGCGAAGATGTCACAACCTCGGATCCTCGAGTTGGTGAAGGTATATTCCAATTGCGCTACCCAGAAAAGATAGCCGTTTCACTGACCGTTCCGCTCTCTCTAGACTCAATGTCGCATCTTCTCCCTCAATTTCAACCCTCAACGACTCCGGCTCGGAAACAAGATCCTCAGGCAACGGCTGCGCGGTCCAGCACTCGCGGCATGGTATCCCAAGAAGGACGTCTCATTCAGGGACCTACAGAACACATACAAGCCACTCGGCTTGACGACTTTTGACGAGGCCGAGGACGATCGAGAGGAAGCCATTCAAATGTATGTGTGCCACATTCCTTCGTCAAAAGGTTCTTCCGTTGACTTTATTCTACAGTGCCAAATTGAGAGGCAAAGGACGACCCAAAAAGAAGAGAACCGCAGCCGGTAAGTTTACCCTCCCATTTCAACTCAACCCAGCTGAGTGGCTCACTAACAATCCACCAGAATCGAAATCCGCGAAGAAGAAGAAATAGACCCGCTTCCCCACGGCAAATACTCCTACATTTTACAAGAACTTCGATTGTCCATTTGGTCCTCGTGCATCTAACTTGCTGTCTCTGGATCTACGAACAGGACTTTGCAATGTTTTAGATCTGAGGTGGTGGTTTTGGTTCTTTTCGCTTCACGTGCTTAAAAGCACGCTTTTCTTTATTAGCATATCCCTAAATCACATGTACACTAGGCCAGAATTGAATTGAAAGGGTCCTGTGGCCCTGCCAAAACCTTCAACACCCAATAATCAATCCATTGAATAGATCCATCAGACATGTCGCGGGTTATCGTATTTTGCGAAAATGTAGCGGGCGGTGAGCCTGATAGCCAATGATATTGTTGGACCGGAGAGTAGCTTGGCATTCGCGGAAACTGCTTCACGGCGCGACTCCATTTGACATTATCAACCTCCTACAGCTCTCTCCCACAGCCGAACCACCCCACAGGTTATTGTGGGTTGACAAGTCAGCGGCCATGGCGGGAAACAAGAACCAGCTTCGAAGAGCTCGGAAAAAGGCCCAGAAAGCCGAGGTGAGTTCTGTCCTCGTCCCCGGCGCATGGTTCGTCACTAACCTTTCATTTCCCTTCAGGCTGTCAACGCGCCGGTCGAGAAGTCCCAGGAACCAGATTCATCATCATCATTACCAACAAGCGCCCCCATTACAGAAGATGTATCATCTGTCGCACCGGCCGCAGCTGCCCCAGCGGACGATGACCCACTATGGGAGATGTACAAGGGTCTCATCACTAAATTCGACGAGACGGGAGACAATGCCCCTACAAATGAGAGTGAAAAGCCGGAGGTCTTCTTCGACGACGAGGACGAAATTCCCGACGAGGAGGAAACCGATGAGCCCAAGATCTCCAAGAAGAAGCGAAAGGAGCTTAACAAACTATCCGTCGCCGAATTGAAGGCCATGGTACACAAGCCGGAAATTGTGGAATGGACAGATACTTCCGCCTCGGACCCTCGACTTTTAATTCATCTCAAGGCGCATCGAAATGTGGTTCCGGTTCCCTCCCACTGGTCCCTCAAGCGCGAGTATCTTTCATCCAAGCGCGGTGTTGAAAAGGCACCCTTCGCCCTTCCGAAATTCATCCAAGAGACAGGAATATCTGAAATGCGCGATGCCGCATTAGACAAGCAGGATGCGTCTTCTCTCAAACAAAAACAACGCGAGAGGGTGGCGCCGAAAATGGGAAAATTGGATATCGATTATCAGAAGCTCTACGAGGCGTTTTTCCGCTTCCAGACCAAGCCGGAATTGACTCGTTACGGTGAAATCTATTACGAAGGCAAGGAGTATGAAACCAACCTCAAGCATCTTCATCCCGGTGATCTGAGCGATGAGTTGAAGGAAGCTCTCAACATGCCCCCCGGCGCTCCCCCGCCGTGGCTCATCAACCAACAGCGATATGGACCCCCGCCTTCTTACCCTTCCTTGAAGATTCCAGGTCTCAATGCGCCGCCTCCACCGGGTGCAATGTGGGGCTACCATCCGGGAGGATATGGAAAACCCCCCGTGGATGAACATAACAGGCCGCTCTACGGCGGTGATATCTTCGGTGTTTTACAGCCTCAACAAAATGTCCAGCAAGGAGAGCCAGTCGAGAAAGATCTCTGGGGAGAATTGCAAGAGTCGGAAGAATCCGAGGAAGAAAGTGACGAGGAGGGAGACGAGGATGAGGATGAGGAAGACGAAGACGAGGCACAGGAGAATGGAACACATTCTCCGAGTGGCCTGGAAACCCCTGGTGGCATGGCCTCAGCCGTTCCATCGGAGATTGGAACAACCGAGAATATCTCAGGCGAATTCGATGTCCGCAAACACCACCGTGGAACGGAGACCGAGGAGTCCGTCCACCCGCGGAGTGCCTACCAAGTCATTCCCGAAAGACAAGCCAATGTCCAAGGTTTCTTCGGCGGTGACAGAACATACGATCTCAGCCAACCGTCCGGCAACCCACCTTTACTCGGCGCAGACGACCAAAATCGCAAGCGCAAGAAGCCCGGCGATGTTGAGGTATCTGTTGATTTGGATGCACTTCAATCCGGGGATGGTCTGAACAAGGATAATCTTCAAAATCTTTACGAGTCGGAGAGGCAACAACAGAATCAACCCCAATGGGGGTTCCAAGAGGATCTCAGCGACATGATTGCACAAGAGAGCCGCAAGCGATTACGGAAGGACGAAGAACGAAAGGGCAAGCGGTGATAAATAGATTGATGGATTTGTTTGTTCTGTTTCTTTGGACCATCACAGGCGCTAGCTATTTCCTCTTGTATTTTTATTACAATGACCCAATTTCGAAATGTTTCTTGGACGATATGATCTTTCCAGTTAGCTCATCGATGTAGCACCTGACATATAAACCCCTACGCCATGTCGAAAGTTTCTCGCTTATTTCCTCGTGTACTTGTACGGCGCTTCACGGCGGCAGTCGAGCCAGCTTCTGCCAAGGTGGTGGAGTGACCCAAAATTACTAAGGCTCTGCCGGTGAAGCTATTCTACCTATACAACTTGCTTGATCCTACAAACTCAGGTACTAAGTATATAACTCGGTAGGATACGAGGTAGGATACCAGGTAGTAGGGTCATCAGAATGTGGTCTGCTCTGCCTTGGGCCTAGAAGACATAAACACGTGCTTCGGCTTGATGTGGACTTCGAATTGCAACTATTAACAACTATTTATCCAAAGATCATTTTCTGAACCACTGCGGATTCGGCGTGCTGTTGTCTACAGGCCTCTCGCCACTTGCAAGTTTGGAAATAGAGTAAGCAACGTCGGATCAAAGCGGCGAGATTCCGGCCCAACAGAGAGGCTGAGCGACTTCGGGTTACTGGGCCGGCGGGACCCTGAGGCACAGAAGCGGAGGGACAGAGATTGTTCCACATTATGACTGGTGAATACTGAGGTATCCAGTCTCCGTTCTGGTCTCCGACTTGACGAGGGAAGATGGTTTCCTTGTAGTTTGTGAGCATTCCTTGTTTGACTTCAAAGATGATACTGGGCTATTTGCCCTGGAATAGTATCAGTAAGACTTGTCACAAGAATGGTTTCGTAGAAACATTCAAGTTGCTTTGCGGAGACGACTGGAGAGCCAAACACTTTGGTGAGGTCAGACTTGACATACTGGGTTGACCCAGAGACCGGAGGATGTATTCTCGAAGCGAACACGATACTGCGCACCAGTTGGCCTAAAAAGAAGGAATTTCCCAAGCTCTTGAGCGATAATTCATGTTTTCTTTGGCAAATGCCAGTTTGGCTTGGTCTCAGTGGTGACTTCAATGTCTTTTGAGGCCGATCCGCCACGATATCTTCCCTGCATAGGAATAACCTTGCGGCCCATCCGGGCCTAAGTTTATCGATTTTCATATAATATGATGGGCTGATTACTTCCCCCAGTCTCTCTGTTATGATCCATGTTTGTGTTGAGAGCTGGAGGTCTGGTTTCGCGTCGGTTGTGATTTCAGTCTGAGAGGTGCAGATTCCATCTCTGAGCGTTCTTGGTCACTATAATATGACTCAACTGCCCGCAGAAAATTGGACCAGAGGATAAGATGGCCCGGGTAAAAGGTGTTGTGAAGGGCATTTGACTTGGAGTGATGCACTCCGACTAGGAGCGATGCAGTAGAATGGAGGGGTTTGGTATTCACGGGGATGTCTGGCTATTTAAGAAGAATGGCAGATACAAGGAAGCACCTGCCCAAGTAGGTATCGTCGTGCCTACCGTCGTAGATGAATGTAGTGAATGTAATGAATGGAAAGTAGGTACTGTCGTTCCTGCCAAGTAAATTATACTTCCCAAGTATCTGATTGGCTACCGCATTGAAAGGCGCTTTGTCATCCATATATTTCTGCCACTAGCGACCGCCCAATATTTCCCTTTCATCCGCATTTGCGCGACTGAGTTCTTGCGATATCGAATTCGCATAATTCTTGGGGATGGATCGTGATCGCAGAAGGTTTGTCGCACCCACCTCTATGATGGACATATAACTAACAATCCCCAGCAGATTTGACGACCGGCGAGGAGGGGAAAGCTATCGACCCTCAGACCGGTCCGCTCGATCACCATCTCGAGGCTACGAGGGCCGACGACGTTCTCCCCCACGAAATCGCTCTCGCCCTCGCGCTGACACCTGGGTGCCGTCAAATCGAGGATTTGCACGACCAAGAAGTCGTTCGCCTCCTGATTACCGCCGGCGCTCACGAACACCTCCCTTCCAACCACGAGCCTATGGTCAAGCCCCATACGGTCGTCGTCGAACGCCACCTCCTCGAAGATTCTCTCCCAGAAGAGACGACAGACCTAGATCGCCTCCTCCTCAGTCATGGAGATCCCGGTCTCCGTACAGTGATGGAAAACCGCGCGATGCTTCACGGGGTCGGAGCAGCCCCCGCCGTCCCCGCGACGTATCCCCGGGAAATCAAGAAGTCCGCCCAGCCAGGCGAAGTCCTCCCATCGCTCCCAATAACGACAGGAACAGTCGTGTGCTGTCTCCAAGAGCCCCGGTTCCGGCCCCGGCCCCTCAGCCGTCATCAATTCACTCGCAAAGTCCCTCACAGCCTTACCGCCGCGAACAGCATGCCGATATGAACAGAGACCGCCCTTCGTCACGATCTAGACAAGCATCGCCTAAACACGCCCTCGCAAGTGAATCGAATAATACATCAAGACGTTCATCTCCATTCAACCACGCTGAACGTGGTGGTCTACCTCCTCTCCAAAGCCGCAGCGGCTCACCTGCACGCCACTCTCTTTACCGGTCTTCAGGTGCCGGTGCAGGTCCACCAGGACGCTCCCCTCGCCCAGATCAACCCCAAGAAACAGTCGCGAACTATACGAGAGGACCAGACAACGCAGAACGTTTACCTCGAAAAGACTCCTCCGAACAAGGACCCCCAGGAGCACCCCGTTTAAACAGAAACATCCCAACCCAACCACGAAACCTCGCTCTAAACCAAACCCCACCACTCGGACCATCAAGGGGTCCACAACCTCACAATCGCGGCCCTCACAACGCTCCCGCCCTAACAGCACCAACCCGACCCCGTCACGCATCCGGTCCCCGAGACGGTCCATGGATGGGATCGCCCTCAATGGGCCCGCGTCGCCCATCATCCATAATGCCCTCACACGGTGCTCCATCCGGTCCTCGAGCATCCTTCTCATCCCCAGTCCCCAGTGGCCCAGGATACCGGGGCCACCCAGGTTCTTCTCGCCAGGGTAGTTCGGCAGGGGCCGTATCTCCAATGACGCCCAAACCTCCCAATTATCTCGCGGGTCTGGGCTCAATTGTCCCCGGGGGTAGGGCTTTACCCTCGGCGCTGGATGTTACGACTGAGAGGCGGCTTGCTCAACTTGATGCTGATAAGGAAAAGTTACTTGAGCAAATGGCGGCGACGCAGAAGCCTAGGAGAGCGGGTCTTCGTGATTGGGACCGATTGGATCGGGAGAGTTCAATATGTGCGTTGAAGAGTGAGTTGGCTGAGGGCCATCTCCAACGCATGGCGGATGAAAGTATTGGCGGGGGAGTCTTGTACTGATCTGATCTGGGCTGGGCTGGGCTGGCTTGGTGTGGTTTTGGATGGCGTTGTGGTTATTTGTTTTACATATCCTTCCTATGGTTATACAATAGCCTTTGTTATTACCTTTGCGTGGTAAGGAGTTCTCGGAAGGGCAGAGTCAAATACTGGATGCATTTTGGCGCAACTGTACTATTAGCTATGATCCCTCACACCCTTACTCTTACGTCTTTAAAATTCAATTGATAGTAATCATGATCATGATCACATGCATATTCTCATGTTCTCACTTGTGGAGTAGGCCTATGTATTTGCCATCCACGGCTTTCAAAGGTTACTTTTATACTGAAATCCATAGACTACATCCATGACAGATACACAGCAAAGTCAAAAAGAATCATCAATTCTGAAAATATGTACTCGAAAGAAGATCTATGTATAGAGTTAAAATTTGCCTTTGCAGTAAGCATGTGGTGAAAATGAGGCATAAATCAGTGACATCAATAGCAGACATCAATCAATCGCAAGGGCGAAAGACAAAAACCACCACCCGAAAAAGAGAAAAGAGAAAAAGATGCAACACCGACGCTACCAGACCACCCAAACCAATCAAACCCAAACCAAACCCTGAACCGAAGAAAAAAAAAAATTCATCACGCGTTCGCAGAAAAGCACGAGAAATAATCGTTCAAAATCCGACTCCGAAGAATCCAGTTGCGCTGAACCTGGAACCCGGAACCTGGAACCTTGAACCCCGTCCGTAAATTATAGAAACAAACATTCAAAAGGAAAAAAGAAAGGAAGAGTAAGAAAGTGTAAGAGTAAGAGAAAGAGAAAAGGTAAAGACTAAGCCATAAGCCGAACCGAATTCCCCATCCCATCCCATCCCATCCCATCCCATTTTGGCGTACATTCACATTCACATTCACATCACACTCAAGTTGACAAAGAACCATTCGTTTCCGAGACTGAACCAGCAGTATTCGTTGACTCGCCTACCGGGGTGGTAGTACCAGTACTATCCGAAGAGATCTCATTGGCACTGGAATTGCCATTGCCATTGACGGGAGAAGCACTGCTAGCCAGCTTAGCCTCGGCCTCAACCAGCTTCGTGGTAGTTTGCTCGAGAGTAAGTTTCAAAGCCTTGATATAATCAATGGCCATTTCCACGGCACTGGCTTTGCTGATGGCTTGATTGGCGGGCTTTTCCTTCTCCTTGTCACTAGGCTTGATACCAGTTAAAGCAGCCTCTTTGGCCTGTTTGGCTTGGACAAATTCGGGTGGAATTAATGCCTCGATTTCCTTTAAAGCGTTGTTGATTCTGTTTCGACGCCCTTGCTCGGCGAGTTTGTGGTTCGTGCGCTTGGAACTTAAGTTCTCCGCGAGTGTTTCTGGGTATGAGACGCCTGATGGTAATGTTCCGTCTAAGATGTGCTGGTAATTTGACTTGGAAGCTAGGTAAATTGCGTCTTGTGTCAAACCTGTACCGCGGGGGGAGAATTGTTAGTGTCAAGATTTCAAGGCGTGGCGTGAACGGACTAGTTTCACTTACTGTCGCTACCACGCATCATCGGCTGGATGCTGGGACTAATCTTTGGCCGCAATTGAGGGCTTGCGTGTGTGGAGCTCACGCTGGGGCGTTTCCGACTGGAGATCGACGATCGGGATGGGTCTGATCGTTTCGGTACCGGTCCACTGGGCGATGGCATGGCCATTGTACGTGGACTCAAAGCAACAGATCCCGTTCTGTCTGTTGCGGCAGACCTGGGATCCAAGGAAGGAGTCAAATTGGCAGAGATTGCCGGGCTGGGCGCACTCGTGCGGATACTCGTGTCGATGCGGTTGATCTGAGGACGTGGCTGCAAGGCCGGCGCGGCGGCCTCTGGAAGAGAAATATCCTCCATGAGTTCGTCATGGCTTTCCAATTGCGCTCCGCCGAACTGTCCCGAGGATTCTAGGGCATGCTGCGAACGCTGAATGCGCATCAAGGTTGCCGGGGTGGCAGCGGTTCCGGGAGACTGGGGTGGTTGCGCTGCGATAACAGGGGATCTTCGGGGCGCTGGCAGAGCTGGTGGGGGCATCAGAGGTTCGGACAAGGGCTCTGGCGAAACGGAATCCTGACCCGATCCTTCAGTGCTGCTTACTTGTAGAGAGCGCACATCATGATTTTGCGGCTTGGCCAATTCATGTGTTAGGCTGTTGTAGAACTCCTCCGAGGTTGGTGTCGACTTCCCCTTGCTGCGCTGATTCTGCGCACGGAGTGAAGGCGATTGTTTGACCTTACTCCTGCCACCGGGAATCCGCGAGGAAGCAGCTGTGGACCCCCGCCGGCGGTTGGTCTTGCGGATGATACTAGGGGATGGTGGCATAGAGGTTCCTGGGAGGAAGTTGACTTCGGCACTTGACGGGACGAAGCCCACGTCTGATACCTGGCGAGCGTGGTATGCGTAGGCATTATTAGAACTGCTGGAATTTTGTGCCTCGAGAGCAGGTGAAGTGAGGGGAGTGAAGTATTCTCCGGGTATCGTATATTCGGGCAGGCGGAATTGGTTCTCCAGCGGAGTCATCGCGGGAGATACTAGCGGGGTGTAAAGTGCCTGGTTTAAGGTTAGGAAGAGGTCGGAGGGAAAAGAAGGGTCAATTGTTCAGGGGTCTAACACATACCTGCTCCTCATTGATACGCGAGTAGCGATCGTACATCTCCGAATGGTCGTCCTGATGGGAGTACCGGGCGGCATTGCCGTGTAACTCCATGCTATTAGGGGTCGGAGGAATAGCTTGTTGTCCCTGCATGTAGGAGTGATTTGCCGAAGACTGTGAGGCATCCTGGGCACAGAATCCCGGGGTCATGCTGGGGGTCGAATAAGGTATCGGGCCGGGGTGTGCGTGCGACTGTGACTGCTGCGGCTGCGACATGGTGGGATGACCGGTGAAATCCATAGCCAGTCCTTCCATTGATGTAAATGGATGCGATCGTGGGTCGGAGGACATCTCGGGAGCGGAGGTGGTGGGAGGAACAAGGACATGTTGCTGCTGCAGCTGAGAATGTGAGTGTTCCTGTCCTGGTGCTGGTCCTGGCCCGTGCCCCTCAAGATCGGGGAAGTGCATATTGAACTCCAGGAAATTGGAGAACTCATCATCTCCTGGCGGGGCAATGAGGGGATTTTCCTGTAACTGTTCAGGCCAAGACATGGCGGGTTGCTGCTCCATAATGGCGTCTCTTGTGTGTCTTTTTTGCTGGCCCCAGAGTGGTCTCTCGCACACTTTTTTAATGAGGCCAATCGGAGAGGGGCGGGCGGGGGTATCACTTCACGATGAAGAGATAAGCAAGTGAGATTGAAATCCCCAATACCAGGCAGGATAAAGAAAAGAGAGAGTCACAGCGATGTCAGGGGAGACAAGGGGAGAGGGGTGGGTGAACCAGGGAGTGAACCAGAGGAACCGAGAACTCTGGGCTAGAGAAGGACTAGAGAGTGGGTGGAGAGGTGCTCGCCTCGGGCGGAGACGGTTGATGTTACCGGCCTTTTTCTTTTTTGGTCCTTAACGCGCTAGAGGCGCGTATGCGAGGAAGACTGAGTGCATCATGAGATCGCCTAGTCATTTTACGATCTAGGCAACTTTATATTGGTATTCAACCGATGTAATATTATACTGCAATAGTACCCCATTTCCAATCCCCAAGATCTCAGCATACAAACCCACACAGTCCACTTGCCACTCTCCACCAAATCTTTTTCCCAAAGTGCCGAGTGGAGAGCGAAATGCTTTTTCCCCGAGCAAATCTGGGTACATCTGGGTCTGGTCTTGGCATTGTCAGATGCAGGTCACGTGAGGATCAGGTGCATGTCACGTGTTACCTCTAAACCACACCCATCTACCTGACCCCCCCACTATACTGCACCCTTGGACCTTAGCTGCCATTTGCCTTGGCCTTGGCCTTGCTATATTGCCAGCATCGGCTTCACTTCCCAGTTGACATCTCCCCCACCGTTGTTGTCCACTCCCCACCACCACCACAATGCTGGTCTTCATCTTCGCACTGCTTTTCCAGCTCGCAGCTGCATCCCTCACAATCAGCATTCCCCCCTCAACAAACCTGCCAAACCCTCACGTCCTCCCCGCAACTACTCATGCCACCCTCACCACCCTCCCCCAAGAGGACCGACATGACCATATCCTAACGACACCCCTCACCCGCTCTTCAACCCTAGTCTTCCGAAACATTCCCTCCGGCGCACCCGAGTCATATATCTTGGAAATTCGCTCCGCCGGATTCGTCTTCGCCCCCTACCGCGTCGACGTTGCGGCCGACGGGTCTATCTTGGGTATCTGGGAGACTTTCCGCGGTAACCCCTGGGATAATCGTGGCGCGGAGAAATATGTCGTCGACGTCGCCAATAAGAGAACCACCAATGTGGTCGTTGAGGCGAAGATTCTGGGTCGGAAGGGTTTCTATGAGGAGCGTGCTAAATGTGAGTATTCATTCCATGGACTCTCCTTCCTCTTCCCCCCGCCCCCGGCCGTGAGGGTATCAAGTACTGTACAGCACTGTATATTAACATATAAATCTCCTAGTCTCACCCCTCAGCCTCGTCAAGAACCCAATGATTCTCCTCGCCATCGTCGCCCTCGTCTTCACCCTCGGCATGCCGAAACTCATGGAGAACAGTACGTGCTTCCCTCACAAATATCTTTCTTACACCCACCCACCCACCCACCCACAAACAGACACATTCAGAATAGAATTCCCTTCTAACATATCATCAGTGGACCCCGAAATGCGCGCCGAATTCGAGCAACAGCAACGCTCTTCGCCCATCTCAGGTGCTAGTAGCGCCATGGCTGGCGGCGGCTTTGATCTGGCCGGTTGGATGGCTGGTACCACGCCTAAGCCCAGTCCCGCTGCCAATGCGGAGGGTAGCGGTGGTGCTACGGGTCGGGAATCTGGTGGTTCTGCGCGGCGACGTGCTTAGAGGGTCGAAGATATTGACCAGATACTGCACTGGTTTGGTTTGGTTTGATTTATGGCTGTTTAAAGCCTATCAAATTCTAAATTCCTGCTTGATAATGTACAGTTAAGTTACTCGTTATACAATAAGGTCCAGAGTGACTCGATTGGAAAAATTTGCCTCATATCCCATAAACGTAAATCATGATACATCGATGCGCGGCTTGAAAGACCGAAAAAAAAGCAAGCAAAAAGCAAAATAGCAGAACAAATAAGGTAAACGCAGGAAATTCCACAGTTTACCTCCACCGGAGCTGATACCCGATACCATATGTACGCCGAACCCATAAGAACTCAACTCGACTCAACTGAAGCAATAGCAATCCAAAAGCAAAGCAAAGCCATGCGACGAAATGCAAAGCGACGCAAAGCAAAGCAAATCATCTAGAAATCACCACCACCATCAAAATCACCACCACCACCACCATCATCATACCCACCACCATTATCATAATTGTCATGATCCTCATGATCATCAATCGCATCCGCAATCAACATTCCACCCAACAACCCACCACCAACACCCAGTGCCGCCGCACCAGCCGTCCCCATTCCACCACCACCCGTTCTCCGCTGCGGCTGTTGCTGATAATACCCCTGCTGCGGGGGATATCCACCACCATATCCCTGCTGCGGGTAGCCCCCATATCCTCCCTGCTGGGGATATCCACCGTATCCCATAGGCGGGCCTTGTTGGGGATAACCACCACCATACCCACCACCATAACCACCCTGCTGCTGCGGATAATACTGCTGCTGTTGTTGCTGGTATGGTCGTGATGAACTTGAACCCATACCCGAGCTACCAGAAGCCTTGCCCATCAATTTACTCAAAAACCCACCCTTACTGCGCTTCTGCTCCGGCATCGGACTTTGACTTTGTGATCCGCCAGCGTAGGGGGGAGTGTTCGACTGCGGCTGGGCATTGTTGTTATTGTAATAGTCCGATGAAGCACCTGGCCCCCCTCCTCCGACGTCTCGGGTCCCCGCGCGAGCATCTTCCTCGGCTTGGAGCTTGGCAGCTAGTTTAGCGTCTTCATCCATGCTGGAACTGCCGTGGGGTCCCGAGGGCCCGTTGGCGGGGTTGTAGGGGTTATTCGAGGCCATGGCGCTTTTCTTTCTCCTGCGCTGGCGCTTGCTAGGGCGGATGGGTCGGCGGGACCGCTTTGTTCGTATGGTGGGAGCTCTGAGGTTGAGGGTGGGGGAGGGCCTGGAGGGGCGGAGGTTGTTTGTGGGTTATCCCATTGGGATTTTCCGGTTGCGAGGTTGACGAAGAACCTGGGGTGATTGTGTTAGTTTGGCGTTTCTTGGAAGGTTGGGTTGGTCAGGGAAGGGAAGCTGGACGTACCAGGCCTTGTAGCGATCGTCATATTGTGCTTTCCAACCGTCCGGGACGGAGGGTGGGGGAGGCCCGGGGGGCGGGGCAAAGGACGACATAAAGTGACACTGACGATGGATGGAATGAAGGGAAAGAAGGGGTTCTCTGTATGGTAGGGAGAAAACTTGAAGTAAGATTGAGGGATTGAAAAGGTGGGAGGAGAGAGGGAGGAGGTGGAATGGAACGGGACTATAAACGACCGGGACTAGTTGGGTTCTTGGCCCTTGGCTTTATGGAGTAATCAGTACGGAGTAAGCGGGCACATTCCCGCAGGCAACGCAATTGGTGGCTGTGCTCCGTCGCCATTGTGGCAGTGCGACGTCATACTTGGTGGATTTGGAATGTTCTACGCACCCTTGAATTAATGCACCTGCCTACGGAGTATAGTGTATTACTTCCAGGGTTCTAATTGTGGCTTTCAAGTTTGGTCAAGTTCTTTGCCACTTTCTATGTTGGGCGGGGAAGCTTGGCATGCAAGTATCCGCATAGATACAACGATATACATACATCTCAGGACAGTTTCCTCCACCCGAGAGGCATCTCCCGATTCAAGTTCTGCATATATACTAACGAACAGAGAATTGTGTGTGTTTCATTATAAGAAAGCGATCACAACAATACAATGATGGGCTATTGCTCAACGTATTAAGAATTTTGTTTCGAGAGAAAAATTGTCTTGTGAGGGTCCTCTTGAGAGCAATACCTACACGTGAGATATCACTGAAGAGCACAAGCCCTACGAAAGGCTATACGCCATATGGTACTGCATACAGAGGTGGCATTTGGCTCGCCTTCTTGATCTAAACATTCAGTGAGGTCTGGATCTGTGCTAGGTGATATTTGGTTCTAGGTTTTGCGCTCCCAGGCACGCTATAAATTATTCCTAGGAGTAGTAACCAAAACTCCCAGGACACCACCTCTCATTCCCGGAGCTATACAGTTCACTCCAAGGAGCTGTAGGCCCTCCGAGAATTATAATTCTCACCCCTGGGAGCAAATTAATAGCGTGGCTGGGAACTGTGTCCTATATTCTTGGGTCGTATATGATTCCACAAACGTGAGTGTCTCGTGGTATAAGATGTAGGATCTAGAATGAGTAATCAATATTAGAAATATAAATTGGACTCGGGCAATATGAAGAATATGTGGTTAACTGGCAAGAATATTGTGTCTTTACACCGATTGAAGAGAGAAATGATGTTGATATACGATAAAACGCAACGGGTACATTTGCAAGTTAACTCAACGGTGCTTTCTACGACAGGTGTTAGTAGAATAAACGGAATATCATCGACTAGCCGATGACTGGAGAAAACACAAGGGTCAATAGGCAAGCAAACTTGTAGCCGGCGATTAACCAACTAAGTGGATGTCTTAGGAATCCGAGTACAGTATGGTAAACGGATTCATTAATTCATTTTTTTGTTAATAATAGTGAAAGATCTAGGGTGTTTATTAGATAATATTGGCTAGACAACAGTCTCCACTCTAAATCACGCGCATTTCCTAATACCAAGAAACCCCTGAGTACACGGTAAGAATTTGTTTCACCCTACTAGCTAAGCTAGATGTCGTTCGAACGTAAACTAAATACTCATCCATGCGAGTACATAACTGTTGTGGCTTCATATAGTTCCAAATATTCCACACCATGTATCCAAAACATCCATGCATGAGCCCAACCTTATTCTTTTCTCAGTTGAATATCCGGCCGTCACTACTGTCAATCAACGCTCCTGTAGCAGACCGGTCCTTCATTGAGTAGATGTACGCCTCGGCCACATCCTCGGGCCAACCCAACTCTCCAGTGAGGAGAACATCTTGCCATCTCCGTTTGTCCTCCTCCGACAACCGGCTTAGAAGCGGGGTCTGCACGACTCCCGGGGATACCACATTGACCCTGATAGGTGCCAGGTCTTTCCCCATGCCAAGACGCATGCCCTCCTGGCCAGATGCGAATGCGGCGAGGACGGACCAGCCTTTGTCCGGTCGCCGTGCCATGGACCCGGCTGTGATCGTGATTGAGGAGCGATTCGAGATGCGCAAGTACCGTGGGGCGAGCTTTCCAATTATCAAGGGAGCCAGAAAACGGACCGTTCCTGACTTGACAATGGACTCTGCTGTGGAGTCTTGGAGGGGTACAACCTGGAGAAGATCTCCTGCAGTAAAGACGACATGATCAACGAGTCGTTCCATACCATCTGTACTACCGTTGGTCGCACGTTCAAAAAGCTGTACGAGATTCTGTTCCAACGTCTCGACAGACCCGAGATCGCATACAGCTCCGTCAATGCGCCGATAAAATTCCTCCGTAGGGTAAGACTGCTTCAAGTCCGATATGGCCGAATCGACGTGAGCTTGTTTCGAGCTTGTGACAAAGACAGAAGCGCCATGCTCCAAGGCAGCGGCCGCGACAGCAAGACCAATACCAAGGGTTCCGCCAAAAAGAACCACTCGAGAGCCCTGAAGCTTGTTGATGGACTTGAACTTTATCTCACTCATGTTGAAAAGATGCAATGGGAATGGTATCTTGAGCGAATTTCTTTGCCCATGGTATTAGCAATGTTCCACGAGTTAGCCAAGAAAAAGCTCACCTTCAACAGAAGAAGCACAGAGGGGGAATGAGAGCTATTGTTGCTATTTTTTGTGTTACTGCAATTGATAAACGGTGACAATTTAAATGTTTGATAACCGACAAGCCACAAGATACTGGACTGATCATCGGCCGTTAAAGTTTCCTAAAATAGCAAGACACCGAGAAAATCTCGGGTGGGTTTCACGTACACGTCATGAACGGAGGCATTATACGTGCTGAGTGTGTCTAAATTGCAATTTGACATTGTGTATTTATGGAATTATACATTTGTCGTGCTCTCACGAGGTCCATATTATCATACGAAGATCAATAATACGCTCACCGATATCACTCGGAATGGAAGTCTCCACCACATCTGCCCTTTGAATTTGCTTTCAATTCAAACTCAATACCCCAAGAAGACTGTGTCTCGAAGCATACATATCCACATTGAATAGTCTCGGACTGTTTATGAACCGATTTTTAATGAATCTGAAAGTCCGAGCATTCGGAACTTAGTGATGATCACCAAGCCATGTCTATATAGCTGACGTGTTGTTGAACATAAATGGATAGTTGACCCGAAGAGCAATTTTCTCGGCCGCAGAAGGACAATTCACATCAAGAGCTCATGACTGTATGAGAATTTTGAGGTATAAAACCCCGCCCTGCTCTTCAGGCTATCCTTTACATTCATACCCATAATACAACTGATACAAAACGGTGGCTAATATGGCGGATGTACTAAGCGATGTCGCTATTATTGGCGCCGGACTCGGCGTAAGTCATTTTCTATTGGAGACCCGGGTGCTTGAAATTTTCATTTGCCTTTCAATTATTTGATCTGACGATCAAATAGGGAGCTGCTCTTGCAATTGCTCTCAGCCGAAGAGGCATTCCTTGCCGAATATACGAGTCTAGGAGCGAAGATTCTGAGACATTTGGCAGTGGAGTGACTTTAGGACCAAACGGATGTCGTGTCCTTGATAGACTTGGTATTCTGCCGCGGGTGGCAACCCAGAGTTATCAGACAGAGTACCATGTCTTGAAAGACGCCGAAGGTACCACAGTGAATAAGACAAATCTGGCCATGGAAAGACTCTATGGGTACAAAGGGCTTCGAATTTACCGCCAGGCCCTGAAGCAAGAATTAAGAGCGGTTTTGAAAGAGCATTCCGTCCGTGTTGAGTACGATGTGAAATTTGAAAAGGTGATTGAGGAGGCCGAAGATAGTGTTACCTTCCTCGTCAGCGGTCGAACGGAGCGCGCCTCCTTGTTGATTGGGGCTGATGGAATTCACTCGACCGTGCGCAAGCATCTTACCTCGGCGGTACCTGACTACATGGGTCTGATCTGTATCTACGGTCATCTACCAACAGATCGTGTTCCGTGGCTGATTGAAGAAGCCGAGAAATCTTGCACCATTCAAGATGATCCGGGGGCTTTATTCATGATTCCCGAACTGCATGATGGATCCGATTTGATGGTTGGTCGACAATTTCCTCATCCGGCACTTGATCGTGCTGGCTGGAACGCCTTGGCGGAAGACAAAGACAAACTTTACGCTCTGATGTGTAAGGATTACGAGCGATGGGGGCTTCCAGCAAAATATCTCATGGAACTACTGTCAACAAGGAAAGAGGGGCTACTACTCTGGCCGTTCTACCGTATGCCGAAGCTTCCACGCTGGGCATCGTCAGCTGGACGGGTCATTCTCATTGGCGACGCGGCCCATGCAATGCCTCCTTCCTCAGGCCAAGGTGTCAATCAAGCACTGGAGGACGCTTCTACGCTAGCTGTTCTATTGAGCTCTTTACATGGCCCGACATCCCTCAACAAGACGCTAGACTTCTGGTGGAATCTGCGCCAACCTAGAATCGATGCAATTCTCAAGATGACCGATGAAACAAACAAGAAGAGGCTGTCCAAGTCCCAGAGATTGGTTCTGGAACAAGGAATGGGGATCACAGTCAGTACGAGCAGCCATCCGATGATCTAACATGGCTGTATCTACCGACCATGGATGAAGATATTGCCTCATGGATTACTGCTCACACCTTGTCATAATGTCATTCCAAAAATACAAGATTTATTACTTTTCAAATGGTTCGATTTAGCCAATGGCTCCGTGAAGTGATATACTGGGAGGTGCGGATGCTACCATCCGATACCGAGCAGATGAGATGAACCGTGGGGTGCACGAAGCGGGTGTAGATTGGATGAAGGATACTGAGGCTATCTACATACGAAGTGGTGCGGGTAGAGTCGGCACCTGAGTGCCTCAGGTTACTCGGTCCTCAGTATGATACAATTCCTGAAGTAGTAATTCTCTCGGCCGCTTTCAGGGATATAATGAAAATCGAATACTTAGATTTCTTTTACTTTATGCACCTCGGACTACCTCGGACACTACTGATGCCGAGTTGACAAATCAAATCTCATTTCCTTGCGCGTATGAAATTTCAGATAGAAAAGCCTTCTAGGTACATGTGATGTTTGATGTTTTCTACTATAGTACATATTCACGCTGGTCGCCTATCACTCGTATATCCCTTCACGTTTGCCCCATAGTTAGCGCCACGCATCACCAAACCTGCAGTCGGTGTGACGCTCTGCACCGTATCGAGCGTAGTTATGCTCCGTGACTTGAGAGAGAATTCGATTCTTGGCTTGTGAATCCATGAAGAATACATTAAGATATTTGTGCCTTGAGACCGTATTTGGTAGGGATCGTCATGGGCCGGCCGAGAAACTTTCCATTCTGGGCTAACCGTGGAATCTCCCATAAAAATGACCAAATGACGCAAAAGTCTTCACGTCTTCAAATGGACTGCCATCTGTCGAATACCCTTGGAGGAAGAATTGGTCCGCTGGGCTATGCAGCATAATGTCCGGGTCGAACAACCACCTGGAATCTAAGCGGGTAGAACAAGATAGCGTCGCTCGCCTTCATGGTGGCGGGAAACGCAAGCTCTCGAATGTGCCTGGGTTTGCACGACTAGATCTGAACCGGCGAAGAATTATGAGAAACCGTGAAATACAAGCATGTTACCAATGTCGGTCGAGAAAAACCAAATGCGATCAATCTAAACCTCGTTGTCAGAAGTGCTTAGCGCATCATCGCACTTGCAGCTACCAAGCCAGTGACGCCGAGATAGGAGACTTGTTTGATCCCTTTAAGAAGTCCGATCCTCCACCTATAAATGACCAACCTGCCAGTCCATATGAGGGCGCCCCGCAGAAGATGGACGCTACGGTCCGACTCAATCAGCTAGGTCATCTCAGAGCCGGCAACAACATCCAGTCTCGGTATTACTCGAGTTTGTCATGGATGACCGCGACAGAAAATTTCGAAGTTACGACACCTCTGTCTGGAGAAGAAATAAGTTCGGATGTGACAGGATCATGCGAGTTAGCTTCACCACCTGGATATGTCCAACGTCACGTAAATATACCAGCAGAAAACCTCGACGCTTTCCTTCAAAATCACGAGGTAGATTACCTCATTTCGTGGTACTCAAACCATTGTCATTTCTGGCATCCTATTTTTGATATTTTTAAGATCACAAAATCTCTTCATACCTTCCGACGGCAGCAGAAAGCCCCGCCAACCTTCCTGGCGCAGGTGGCAGCGATTTGCTACACAGCAACCTGTTCAATAACTGCTTCTGGGGAGCTCCGATCGCCGAGTCTAACCCCAGCGTCAACTTGGCGAAACATGACGGAGCTTTTCCTTTCATTATCTGACTACCCTCTCCGTCCATGCCTTGATACCGTGCGAGCTGCATACCTCCTTGCAACGCCGAGCTCCGCGGAAGAAAACGCATTTCTTGATCCTGGTCCGTTATGTGTCCTCTTGCGAGTAGCGCAATCTCTTGGTCTCCATCGAGATCCATCCTCCTTTGGTTTGCCACGTTGTGAGGCTGACTTGAAGCGGGTGTTATGGTGGTCAATTCATGCTCTGGAAGTCTCCTATTCTGTGTCTCATGCGCTGCCACCAATAGTACATCATGGAACTTTCGACGTGAAGGTCATCAACAGTGAAGGCAGGTCGTATCGCAAGCTGATCAGTACTATCTCGCGGGTAAGCGTTGTGATGTCGAAAATTTTGTATGAAATATATGGCACCCGTCAGCCGATTTATGCCGTGATCCGGAAACTGGGCGAGGAAGCCGCCCAGACCTGTACTGACGAGGCTGAGGATCATCAGCTGCCTCATATCGCGGCACTTGATAGATTCATTGATCTAAGTCAACGGATGTGTTGTTCAAAAATGGTTTATATTCTTCATCAGCCATTCTTGCGATCTACACAATGGCCCCGGGATTCCAGACCGAGGGCCATTCGGGCTTGTCAAGACTATATCGAAGCTTTCTTGGCTAGTTTCACCGACCCCGCCTTAACATGCTACCGCTGGGTTCTGAATCACTTTAATGCTATACACCCTTGCGCCATTTTGCTGCAGGATCTTATCCAAAATCCCCTGTCTGCCGAATCAACTACGATCCGCGTGACGGTCGAAGCATGCTTTTCAACCCTTTCAACAGATTTACATTACAACCTGATGAGGCTTTCAACGCTTCGTTCAAAAGCGTGGGCCACGAATCAATGGATCCCGGAAGAATCCATGGCCTCAGCTTCCGTGTTGGATGCCAGTCTTTCCGATTGGGATCCCCTTTTTGCATCCCTTATGTGGGATGATTTCTCACTGCAGGGCATCTAACATCTCCCAATTGCCTTTTGTTCTCTTTTATACCGTCCAGCCTATGAGGTCATGATTGTTTTCCCGGTATCTCTTATCATCGGGCGATGCAAGGGACCAGATATAAAGGGACGCTCATTTACGCGCATGTATCTAGTTCTTCGTGATCAATCAATCTAAGTTACTACCGGATACCTTTCGGGTTGTTCTTCCTTCAGTCTCATCTCTTGTGACAAATATCCTACAATTAGGGGAGCTCTTCGGACTGACCTACTTGGCGCTCTATCTGGCACATCATTTCGAAGCTACTCAATAGGATCCGAGCCCGTGTAAGGCTTTGCCCAGCAACGGTACAATTGAGAGTCGATACTTAAGGATTACGAGTGATAGATATCACGTACGACCAAGGATAACGTCACACCTGGTAAGTTGATGACCAACCGTCTGACCACTCAACGTGACCAGTTAGCAACGCGTAACATACCAACAAAAGAAATGGTCGAGTACGAGGGTAGTTATCCAAATGTAGCCCTTGATATCGGGGGTTCAAGTTGACAAGCGATTTTATCTTTCATGAAAGGCTTTTCTTCAACGTTCTGTAATAAGTGCTTTCATTGTCCTAGCAAAGGAGCTGTTCACTTACATGACTGGAGCATAACCATAAGAGATAATAAGGAAACCGCGATTCCACCCGTATCCCTTCTCACATCAGCTCTCGCCATACACAGGCACGCGTGCGCGCATTTCCCCGATCATTCCCATACATCAAGCCGTCGAGGAATATTAGCATCAACGAATTTGTTCTCCGGCCACCAGTAATCTTCTTCCATATCTTCGCTGCTGCATTTACACTCCGATAAAGCCGGACACGGATCAATGAACGAGGATGACCCTTCTGTTTCGGAGGTCAAATCAATAATAGGGGCATCGATTGTTAAATCGATAATCGGGGTGTCGGTGCAATTCGAGGCAATTGTTAGATCAATGATTCCCTCACCTAATTTAGTGATGACAGCGTTAATTCTTTTTTTTGGTATCGCGTTTTGCCTTCTGTACTGTCCCTGTCTTTGTCCTTGTCTTCGACTTTGGCGTTGACCTCTTTGAAGCTGATGAAGGACAGCTGGAGGCAGAGCTCGAGGTACCGCTTTTGCTGATGCCACCTCCATTGCGATCTTTCCCACGCTCACGCTGAATATGATTGACCAGCTGGGAGCGAGCCTTCGCAATATCAAAAAACGCTTGGACATTTGTCTTTGCTTCATTGTCAAGATTGTGTCGGTCCTTGACAGGTGGTCCGTCAAATTGGCGTAGTCGGTACTTCTCCAGTAGTGGGACATTTCTTGGATTCTGTCCTTGCTTAAGGCCTCGAGCCCAGGCAGCATAGGGTCCAACATATCGTGGTCCCTGGATTGGGCCGTACACTGGGTGTAACGAAAGTTGACCAGAGTGCAGAAGCTCGTTTGCATACGAAATGAGCAACGGTGACGATTGATACTCGTAGTACGCGGATGCAGGAGCGTGGAAGAATTCCATCTCGGCCGGTTCAGGATCTGAGCAGGGTCCTGATGAGAGAACGTGAATTCCTCCACCAGCTTCGCCGATAAGAAGATGAGATTTATCGTCCGAGAAGAGTCCTCTCGTTATCCCTGCGGTGAAACTTGCAGTGTTCCCCACTAAGACATCCTCGGGGGAGCGTCGAATGTCCCACTGTTTCAGAACACCATCTGAACTACCGGTATAGAACTGGTCAATGGTCGTACCCCACAAAGCAGCTCCAACACCATAATCATCATTCTCCAGCTGGTGGTATTCCAGGCTGACTGGCAGTACCGAAGGACCGTGTGACAACTTGTGGAGCATCTTGTCCGGAATTCGCTCATCCCATACATATGTACTTCCATCGGTACAACTGGCAGTGATATAGAAGCCCGTCGGGCAGAATGTCACCTGGTTGATGTCATATGCTGGGCAAGGGAATCTGCTGGTGACTACCGAGCTGTGGCTCGATAAGTCATAGACCTGTACCACCGTGCGAGTGTCGCGAGGAAGCGGCAATCCTAATGTTGAACTTGCAGTCGCAAATTGCACCTCAGTGGGGCTCCAGGCGATATTAAATATGTGCTGTGAGTTTGGTACAACTTTCCGGGTGGATATGGACGATTCTTCGATACCCCAGACCTGAAGATGACCTCCAAGAGGCTCTTGAATTTCATCAGGTCTTTCCGCCACACCCATACCCCCTACTACCAAACGTCCCGCGGCAGATTCTTGACCCCAGGCAATGTCCGTGGCAACTAGATTCGTCTTTTGACGAGGTGCTCTCTGGACAGGGAGGGAGATGCGGCGAGTCCTGTCCCGAAGATCCCACAGATCGAACGACTTAGAAGCAGTTGCCAGAAGTTTTGGCGCATGCGTTGAGTAAGCCATTCCTATAACCTCGGAATCATGCTTCAGAGTTTCGACACAGGTGGCACTTTGATCGATATCCCAGATCTTGACGGTTTTGTCGTAACTCGCAGTAAACAACTGTTGTCCGATCCATTCCGAGTGAGTGACTGTCGTCCATCGATAATCATCATTGAATGGAGGAATGCTCGAGGCTGTGTGAGGTGTCATGCAATGACCAGGTATCTCAGTTAAGGAATTGCGGGTGAGATCGCCGAGAACCAGATTGTTTTTGCGATTGTATTGATCCTGCGAGATGGCACCCGCAGCAAATTTTGTCCCATCTGCTGACCATGCGAGGCTCACGACATCGTCTGATGCGCCTTTCCACCATCTCCACGGCTCGAGTTTTGAAGTCATTGTAGCGTAGATCGGAATGTCAAGTCTCCCATGGATTTCTTGAAAAAGATTTCGAACACGCTTCCGATCAGGGAATTTCAGGCTTATGAGACGAGGGTACGTGATAGATGACGGCAGTTTGGAGGGTATCCCGGAAGAAGGACGTATCTTACGCGGGGAGTGAGCGAGTGACCTTGAGTTTCGAGTACTTTGCCGAGACACTCGTCGAGATGTAGACTCCCCAGAGACTGGAGAGCTGTTTCCCTCATGCACTGCAACTTGAGAAGACATAATGAGCTATAAAAGGTTAGACAACCAGGGAATACTCCGAGATATCAGGATGGGTGTTCTCTCACCAGGAGGAACCAAAGCTAATTCGAAGGTATGAGACTCAAGCCTCCGAGCTTGAGATATGGCACATGCGGACTGGAGGAACCGGTATGGCAAAGTGAACCGAGGGTATGAGGATCAAGTCCCCGAGTATGAGATGGGGTGCATATGGGTGGTGAGGAGGTTGAGATCTCCGGGTGCCGGCAAAGTGAAGTGAATGAGGAAGGAAGAGCGGAAAGATACCAACCACATCGCATCTGCCTTGTACATAAAGTAGTAAACCGTAAAAACGAAGTAATAAATAATAAGAGTACACATTTTGGAAACATTATAAAATTCGAATTAACAAAAAGAAGAAGATAGAGAGGTATATCAAAAAATAAAATATATTTACAATCCGGCAACAAAGGCATCGTCGGTCTGGCCCTAGCTCGTAAGCTTCTGGCTTCTGAGCTCCCCACAGAGAGGAGAAAAAAAGGGACAGTCAGTTCCCTTTTGATTGTTGTCTAGTCGAGTCGAGGAACAAGAATAGCGTGTTCGAACAAGCATGTCGTGATGTTTTATGTTTGGCGATCCTTGACGGCCAAATTTACGCGCATGCACGGCTTCTCTGTTGGCATTCAACTTACTTACCAATAGCCCTACGCTTGCGCATCGAGACCATGGTATCATAGAGAACATCCTTGAAGGCGAAGAGGAATGCGGCAGTGATAGCACTCTGGGTAACCTTAGGGCCAATTCCTGTGTAGAAAAATAACATTAGCAAGGGCTTTGTCCCACTTGGCACAGCACACCACTCCGGTCAACAACTCAAAACTCACCCTTGTAAAGACCCTTCCACCCCTCCTCATTAATAATCCGCTTCAGACTACCATTCAAGCTCTCCTTAGGCCCATCCTTGCTAGCCACATGCGCACGACTCTTAATAGTAATGTAAGGGTACGTGATACTAGTAGCCAAGATCTTACCCAGCGCACCCAGATAAAAGGCATCCTTAGGCGTCATTCGTCGTCGCCGCTCAACCATATTCTTCAACTGTTCGAAAATAGTATACTGAAGAATCGGATTGATGACAAGGACCAGAGCAGGCAGTACACCCGCGAACAGCGCCTTAGGCCCCTCCTCACGAAGAAGCTGCATCAAGGTATTGAAAGTGGAAGCCTTAGCCTTCTTCGGCGCACCAGGAAGACCCTGTTCCTCAGACTCCGACTTGCGCGCCGTCATGCGGGTATTGATGACCCAGATAGGGTTGGTGATTAGGACCGTCGCGCTACCTGCGATGGCGCCGGCAATCATGGACTCGATTGTTGTGAGCTTTTTAGCGCGGCCGGCTGTGATGGCTGCTTTTTCGAAGGTGGAGCGCGTCCATTCGTACCAATAGTAGTAGACGAAGTTTGTGACGCTTATTCCGAATAGTGCGGACTCTCAGACCCGAGTAGAGGCCGGCGATACCTTCGCGCTGGACGATGCGGCGGACGGCATCCAGGGCTGTGGAGTGTGCTCGCTTGGACTCGACTTGGGCTCGTGTCGAGAGGGTGATTAATGGATATCTGTTGGGGAAGAGTGGATCTCAGTTATGTGTGTCCCATGGGGAAGGGAGATGGAGATGGAGTAGTGCGGGGGTGGTAGCGTACGTCAAAACCATTGAGAGAATTCCACCTCCGGCGCCGGCCAGTGCGTGTGCGATGTTATCGCTTTGCTGGATGGCTGTAGAGGGCGCTGGAGCTGGCGCGGGCTTTTGGTCACGCTGTTGAGACATGATGGCTTGATGGTTCTTCCTGGATGGATTTCCGAAAGGATGGCGGAGGTGTTGCGGGTTTGAGGGATCAAAGATCACGGAAAGGTGTTAGGTCAAGAGACAATAAGGAGCGGATGGGTATGTTAAGGAGGTAAAATCAAAAGAAAACCCCTAATGTCTTATGGTCAGGAGAAAAGGGCGCGATAATGATTCGGCTTGGAGGGAAAGAGGGAGTTCATGACGTTTTGCCGAGTGTTGTGCCTCGGCTGCCGGCCAACTCCACAGCGCATTCCGAAACGGCCGTGACAGTCCTGACAACCCGTGTATACTTGTCGATTCGATTGCCTGTCCCCCTTCCACATGGAGAATTAGCGTGAAGCTGAGGCGCGCAAGTCCCCACTGAACGTTCAACTGGCAGTTTGACGCTAGGAGAGGTATCGAATTATGAAGCCCGGGGCCCCGAGTCTTGCATGTGATCAGATCAGATCAGATCACGCTCCTGGCTCCACGGCTTTGCTTTACAGGGGACATTGTCATATGGTCATATGGAAAATGGTCGAGCCTCTGTAGAATGCAGCGACTAACTACAAGTCCCAGGGGACGGATTTACAACCAGCTGATACACTGATACACTGATACACTGATACGATGTAGCAAAAAGAAGAATTCCTAGAGAAACACAACAGTCGTCGCCATTAATTCATTCAGAAGAGATGAATCCAACCTACAAGACAAAAGAAAATAAAAAGAGAATAAAAGAAAAAGGAGGTCAAGGAGGTAAAGGGGGTGGAGAACAGGGAATGAAGGGCCAAAACAGATCAGATGCGGCCAGGGAAGAGAAAACACCGGCGGTAATCACGAAGCAAATCGAAGAACGATAGAACGCAGGGCCGTCTAAAGCACAGGAAGAGAGGAAGAAAGGTAGAGCCTTCCCGGAGCGGTGGCACTCGCGCAAAACGAATGGGCAAGCCTCGCCTCGTCCTGTCCTGTCCTGCCTCATCTTCGGTATTCCTACTGGAAATACCGACTGTCGCAGGTGTGTGTGACATGGGAAGCCTGGCTAGCCGATGAGATACCACGCCCGCTTGGGAAACCCTCATTCATGATGTAACATTGCGCCAAATGAAAACACCGCAACTGCACAGGGTCAGGTCAGGTCATATCGTCTAGCAGCAGCCGCCAGCGGATCCGGACTGGACGCCCTGGCCTTGGCCAACCTGCACAGTGGGCTTGTTGTTGACAGTGGCCGTTCCCATGCGCTCCTTGATCTGTCGGGCCATTGTCAAGAAAGCCTGCTCAACGTTGGAGGCGTTCTTGGCAGAGGTCTCGAGGAAGGGGATTCCCAGGCTGTCAGCAAATTCCTATAGACAAAAAAAAAAAAACAAGTTAGCACATGTAAGTTGACCAGAAGGCTTATCCCGAACTGATGCAGGGCGGAAGAAAGAAAAGTAGAAAGAGGTGCAGGGGCAGGTGCATACCTTCGCGACGGTGTACTCCACGACCTTCTTGTCCTCCATATCGCTCTTGTTGCCGACAAGCAGCTTGTTGACACCCTCGGTGGCGTATCGGTCAATCTCTTGAAGCCACTGCTTGACGTTGTTGAAAGAGTCCATGTCGGTCACATCGTACACAACACAGATACCGTGGGCACCACGGTAGTAAGACGATGTGATGGTACGGAAACGCTCCTGGCCAGCAGTGTCCCACTAGAATGCGCGCGTTAGCTAGATCGCTCCACATATCCATGCCTGATCTGAAGATAAAATTCTCATACAATCTGAAGTTTCACGGTCTTGCCATCGAGTTCGATAGTGCGAATTTTCTGCGACGTGCGTTAGCATTACATTGTTATTTCACCGGTAGCCCCGCGGGGACGGGACCAAGAGTTTCAACTCAAACGTACGAAGTCAACACCGATAGTCGAGATGTAGCTCTCAGTGTAGGTATCGTCGGCGAAACGAAGCAGCAAGCAAGACTTTCCAACACCGGAGTCTCCGATGAGGAGGAGCTTGAAGAGGTAGTCGTATCTATTTCGGTGAGGTTAGGTAAGGCTGATCAGATCGGCGAGATGGGATGGGGTTGCGATGATGGTGGGACAGCAGGATGGAGATACTCTGTAAAGTAAAGCACACGTTAGTTAGTTCAACCGCAAAGAATAACCTCAACCTCAACCCCAAACCCCAACCCCAACCAGGCGCGGGCGATGCCAAAGAAACGAGTTTGGGTGGCGGAGCCCGGTCTGGACACGGAGAGGGAGGTTTCAAAATAAACGGAGCAGTGGGACTTACCACTCGGGGTTCATGATGATTTGGTGTGTTGAGGAATCGAGTAGAAAGTCCAAAGCACCAGATCAGGACGGATATAGCCAAGAGACGAGAGATGAAAGATGGGGGTTGGTGGAGGGGACTGAATGATGAACGCCTGAAATGATAGGAGGTGCAGGAGGCCAGGCGCACCTGATGCGCAGCTTTGTTTCAGCGGCCACCGCCTTTGCTTGTGCTTGTGCCTGTGCTTTGATCCCCTGCACACTGCGGAGCAGGAGTGATACAATTATACAATTTAATTTAATTTTATGTGAAGCTGATTATGTGAATGCTGATCATAGGAAAACTGATTATACGAAAGCTGTTTCGTCTTTGGCTTGCTTGAGACTAACTACATGACCCAGGTCCTTCTACGGAGTACTCAAGTACTCAGATCCCATGCACCACAGCCTCGTGGGATCCTCACTTGCTCGTGGCAGGTGATCTCCCGATCATCGCAAGCCCATATTACTCACACTCTTGCCAAGTTGCCACCTCCCTGTTCACGCGTACCCATGAGCTCGCAGCCATTCCAGAGCCAGAGCTTGATCGCGTTCCTTGTAGGAAGCGTTGGTCCGGATATTATCCGAAACAATAACAAGGGCCCGAGCATAAGCACCAGTGTTCTTATTCGTGAAGAATGCAGCGATGTCATCGCCGATCTGGTGATCAGCAAACTTGGACAGACCCATGCGAATGAATCGCTCAAAGACAACGTTGTTGGACGACAAACGCGACTCCACCATGTCCCAGTTCGTCTTGATGTACTCCCAGAGGAGATGACGCATCTTGGCATTCGCGGCTAGGGAAACTGCGCCGTTATGGATATCTTGAATCGCCACCTTGTCGGAGAAGACGAAGTTCAGGTAATCTTGCACCAGTGCGGCGTCCTTTGTACGGCCCATGGCAGACAGGCAAATCTCCTTGCCATCGACGGAGTCCGTTCGGAGGTATTCCTCCTTGACGGCGTCGTATTCCTTACGACCACCCTCTGAAACATTGAGGCTGAAGATTGCTGATCGGAGGTTGGTGTGGATGGCGGTCTTGTCTTGGCCGGTGGCCCAGAGGTCGAAACGGCGTTTGGCCTCGACGACGGTGCTGCCGGGACGAAGCTCGTCAGCAATTATGGAAAAAGTAATAGAGAAGCAAGGAAAGACTTACCTAGCGTTGCCACTGTTACCGGTCATGGAAATCAGGAGCTTGCGAAGCTGAATGACGAGGTAGTCCTCATTGGGCTTGAATTCCCAACCGACTTTCTCAGCAGTTGGGCTAGCCAGCTTCTGAGTGAACTGCTTCAAGCCAGCAGCGACCTGCTCGTTCTGGGCGAAAACGGAGCGGAGGTTCGCCAAAGAAGAAGACACTTGGGACCAGACACTAATAGATTGAAAAAAAAAGTCAGTGACTGCGCATTGCAAAAGATCTCCTGTAGATCTTATCCCAGTGTCGCTTACAGGTAGTTCGACTCATCCTTGAATCCCTCGAGCAGGGCCAACAGAGCTGGCGTGGTGCCCTCGCCAGAGACTGCAAGAGCAGCAGCATCTCCGAGCAATCCGATCTTGTCCTCGGTACTCAGAAGACCAAGAGACTGGCCCAACTTCTCAAGGCGTGCAGGCGGGTAGTTTGTACGGTAGAATCCAGACAGATCCTTGTTGATCTTGTAGAATCCGTCACTGCCGGCACCTGCGACATTGTCGGATTTCGCGGTGAGGGCACGAGTGTCCACATTGGCCAGCTTATCGCCAGACTTGATACCGAGAGGAATCCACCAGGTGGTCTCGTCCTCCTCGGGCTTCGCATCGCCAGTAGACAGGAATCGGTTCTGGCGGACGCTAATCTGACCAGGTTCTTCCGCGACTGTGACGACGGGGAATCCAATCTTGCGAATCCAGGGGTCCTAGGTTGTGATACACGTGTCAGTTGTAACGCTTCTTTGAGCTGGGGCGTGACGCTCAAGTTACCATAAATCCGTGAACATCCTGTCCCGAAGCCTTGCTCAGAGCAGACCACAGATCGTTTGTGGTGGCATTACCTTGAGAAAAGAAAACCAAGTATTAGTCAAAACTCAGGGTAATATTAATCGTCGTATAAATCACATACCGTATGCGTGGGACTTCAGGTAATCAGCGACGCCACGAAGGAATCTCTCCTGGCCGAGATGAACACTCAGCATGCGGATGACAGAGCTTCCCTTCAGGTAGCTGATGTGATCGAAAATCTGGTCGACTTCAAGGGCGTTTCGAACGGGCACCTCTATGGGGTGAGATGCTCGCAGCGAGTCGAGATGGAATGCTTGTTGAACACCTTCAGCCTGTGGTACAATGTCAATAATGATCTTCAGGGCAAGCGGGAGATACCTCGGTTATTGCGTACAACAAACTGAGACCAAACATTCCATTCTATACATGTGTTAGAGACCGCCTTTGACATTTTGCGCTTCATATGATGCTTACCCGGATAGAAATGATCAACAGCCAGCCAGCCAACCCAAGTGGCAAAGCCTTCGTTGAGCCAAAGCTCATTCCACCAATCCATGGTGACAAGGTTACCGAACCATTGGTGGGCCAGTTCTATGGTAGATATATTAGACAAAAATGTAATAAATTTCAAGAGGAAGTTTGGCTGGAGCATACCGTGTGCAACCACGTAGGCGATGCGGTTCTTGTAGCGATTGTCGGATTTGCCTTCATCGAAGAGGACAGCCGTTGTCCGATAAGTGACGAGACCCCAGTTCTCCATGGCGCCCATGGCCTATAAATTGGTCAAGATTAGTTTGGATGCGTTGAATGATAGAGAATGGAGTCCACATACAAACTCGTGTACAGCCAGAAGATCCGCCTTGGGCAAAGGATACTCGATCTCGAAAATTTCCGAGAAATAGTCAACGGTGCGGTGGGCACATTCCAGAGCAAAACGAGCCTGGTCCTTCAAGCCGCGAGTTGTGTAGACCCGAACGGGGATGCTCTTGCCCTTGTACTTGCGCTCAGTCATAGCCTCAACATATTCGAAGTCACCCACGGCCCAAGCGAGAAGCTATATAGTCCACGCATTAGTGAAATGTCCAATGGCTTGCTTGTTTCTAGCAGCCTATGTAACTCACGTATGTGCTCATAACCGGGGTCTTTTCGAAAGTAACAAACTTCAAATCGGCACTGCTTCCATCTCTTTCCGACTTGACAGGCATGTTGCTAAGTGCAGTCTGACCCTTGGGGATTTCGATCTCGAAATCGAAAGTGGCCTTGAGGTTCGGTTCGTCAAAGCAAGGGAAGGCCCTCCGAGCATCGCAGGACTCAAATTGAGTGCTAAGCATGTAATAGAAATCTCCCTCCTTGGGAGCGCCAGGTCCTGCTTCTCCTACGGGCGTGTACTTTGAGCGGTAAAATCCCGCCATCACGTTATTCATGGTTCCGGTGAAGTTGATGGAAAGCACAACGTCGGATGGCGCAAGATCCAGAGAGAACTTGAGGGAAACACGTTCCGAGGTCTTGTCGTATGAAATATCGGTTGCTTTTGCCAGTTGGGTTCCTGAATTGATGCGAATCTCAAGTATCAGCCATCTGTACAAGTTGACCAAACGAGGTACTTCTTCGCTAGCACATACCATCTTGGCCGAAAACTTCCGCGCTTTGCACGGTGATATCCTTCGAGTTCAGAACAATTTCCTTAGTGGCACGGGTGATTTTGGTATCGACTTTGATAATGCCCTTGTACTCCCAGGATCCACCAAGTTGTAGGTCGAAGAGAGAAACGTGGTAGTTGACAGGCTTGGCCCTATAGAAGCATCACATCAGTATGGACTCAGGCGAGATAAAAGTGACCATGAATTGGAGATGTGCAAGATATGGCGCAATGCCACAAGTGGATCAAATAGCATTGAAGCTGGCCCACTGCCAGATGATCTTCCTAGATCGAGCTCCATACTTGACAAGACAAGCCTTCAGAAACAGATGATATTGGATAGGATTCCACCGGATCGACTAAAAGGCATGACCAGTATAGCCTCCTGGGTATTTCCACCACTTCTAAGGAGAGAAAAAAGGTGCGGGGTTGATTTCCATATGTCGCCATCACTTACACGTCGGGGAGAGTATCTCGATCGGAGGACGCCATCATGCGAACTTCGGCGGAGCAATGTCGAACAGGAGTGATTGCGAAAAGAGGCCTTGAGGTAGGTAATGTAATTCTGGGGCGAGTACGCTGTCGAGGGACTGACGGCAAAGAAGAAAAGAAAGAGGGGGAGGAGGGGCGGAGAGCGATTCGGTGACGGACCTCGAGTGCAGCGCGTCTCGACGCCGCAATGGATCTTCTCCCCCACATCGCGGCGTTAGCAACACTACGGTTATCCTCGGTCTGTTACTTTCCGGGTAATTGCAACCCGTTGACCTTGGAATACCTTGAGTGGCTGTCTCAATTACCAATTTCCCAAGGAGCGCTTAATTCGAAGAGGTTGTCTGGTGTCTCGTGTCTAACGGAGTCCCGTCGGGAGCTTGGACCCTCCTCTCGCCGCTAAACTAAGAGTTAACTAGCAGCAGCGATTATCTCCCCCAAGCTTTCCAATCCACCTTCACTCCGAACTCCGATACGGCACAACCACCCGCCACCATGGCCGACTCCGACGAGGAATATGTGGGAGATGTGACTGAAGACGAGGATGATCTTCAGGTCTCCCGGAACGATCGGACACGATCTGGGAAAAGGAAGCAACGCGGTGCCGCGGAGTGGGAGCTCTCCAGGACTTGGGAGACCTTGGTTGAGGGCGCAGATGGCACCATCAGCTCGACGGTAGAAGGACTATTAGAGGCAGGCAAGCGGAAGAGGTAATCCAGATCCAGATCCAGATCCAGATCCCCAGTCTTCATCTTCGTTATACCCTTCTCCGCAGATTGCTAATGACTTTGACTTTGGCGCAGGCTGTTGAAAGATACGACTCCTCTGCAACGCGGCATCATACGACACCTCATCTTGATCCTGGACCTCTCACAGTCGATGTCGGAAAAGGATCTCCGCCCGACCAGATACCTCTTGTCCCTACGATATGCGCAGGAATTTGTTCGAGAGTTCTTTGAACAGAATCCCATCTCTCAGCTCGGCGTTCTGGGCCTGAGGGATGGGTTGGCTTTTCGCGTCAGTGATATGAGTGGAAACCCGACAGAACACATTGCATCTATTCAGAATCTCAGAACACAAGATCCCAAGGGTCTTCCGAGTTTGCAAAATGGCCTCGAGATGGCCCGTGGCGCTCTTTTGTACGCTTTCTTCCCTTCCCCGACTTTACCCTGCAGGAGAACCTAGCCATACCACTTGACAAGAAGCTGACTCCTAAATTATAGCCACACACCAAGTCACGGTACCCGAGAGGTACTGGTCATCTTCGGTTCTCTACTTTCATCAGACCCCGGGGATATCCACCAAACCATCAACACCCTTATCACCGACAAAGTACGAGTACGAATCGTCGGTCTAGCCGCACAAGTCGCCATCTGCCGTGAACTCTGCACAAGAACCAATGGAGGCGACGAGACAGCGTACGGCGTCGCTCTGAACGAGCAACACTTCCGCGAATTAATGATGGAAGTAACAACGCCTCCAGCAACGTATTCCAAAAAACGAAACGCCAGTTCCTTACTAATGATGGGATTCCCATCGCGTACTGTGGAAGCAGACCCTTCCCTCTGCGCCTGCCACTCAAAGCCGTCTCGGGGTGGATATCTATGCTCTCGTTGCGGCAGCAAGGTCTGCAGTCTACCGGCTGAATGTCCATCTTGCGGTCTGACTTTGATTCTATCTACCCATCTTGCGCGCTCTTATCATCATCTCTTCCCGTTGATCAATTGGGTCGAAGTTCCGTGGAGTCGGGCTTCAATAAGCTCGGCTTGCTTTGCTTGTGGGCTTCAATTCCCGCCAGTACCGCCAGAAGATCAGTGGTATACGGCTGAGAATCACGCCAAGGGGATGAGTGCTAGCAGTCGGTATGAATGTACCGCTTGTGGGAACCATTTCTGCATTGACTGTGATCTCTTCGCCCATGAAGTTGTTCATAACTGTCCTGGGTGTCAGAGTAAAAGCATGCGTGTTCCTGACGATGTGCCGATTACGTCTGATGGGATGGACACGACGGCTTGAGGAGTCAACTTGAAAGTTGCTTTGTGAAGGGTTGCATATTTTGGCGTCGTTAACAGGATTTTGTGGAATGGGTTAGGGTTGGGGGTGGAGTTCAATATTGTACATACATTGGGTGACAGAAGTTCGAGTCTTCAAACAAGACACCCTAGAATATAAAGCATCAAGAGGCTATCTAGGCTATAAAATCTCATTGAAATGATATAGTTCAAGACTTGCTATATTTTTAAGATCCATATATCGGCAGTCTTATGGAGCAAAAAAGGTGGGGAATTAGACGAAATACTCCCTGCCTTGAAAAAGCACAGCGATGAATTTTGGTGCAAAGGTCAGGCGGAGACGAAGTTTGACATGTCGACACTACAGAATGAAATGCTTTGCCGGTCTTGATCAAAGTGAGACTTATTAGGACAAAGATGATGAACTGGAGAAGTCCAATGCAATTGATGATATACCTAGGTATATAAACTTTTGGAGCGCGACTGGATGGCTCATAATGAACAAGAATGAAGAAGAGGAATGTTTACATCGGTGAATCCGGGCGACTCTGCAATACTAATATAAATGGGCTATCCTCTTCGTTCATAAGATTTGATAACCAAAACTACCCCATAATAAAGTATACTATTCTAGGCCATCTAAATCTACTTTATACGTACTTTAGCATTGTGCATATGCGAGCATCTTATCTTATCGCATGAACCTCGGCTCTGCCCATCCCCGATTAACATGACGACCTTCTCCGACCTGCCCCACGTAACCTCCGCATCTCAAACCACCTTACACACCCCAACCTCAAACCTCACACAATGACAACAGAAATCTTCAAGCGATTGCAATCCTATAATTTCCAAGATGACGCCGAATTCGCAACCGGCCTCGCCATAATCCTAGGTCATCCCGAAACACCCGCCAGCGAGGCGGAGATGAATAGGGAAGATGATCTTGTCTTGCAGGCTAAATGCTTTTTCTTCTCACGGTGCGCCTCACTCGTTTTCATTCTCACGCCTCTGCTCTAGTCTAGTCTAGTCTATCTATCAGCTTCATTTCGATGTAAAGATTAAGAGGATCAGCTGCTAATCTACTTATCATCACACTTTAGGAAGGAAAATATTTCGCCGCCGATTAACTTTGCGGCTTATAAAGCTTGGTTAGCTTCACCGACTGCGAGTGCGACAGCGACACAGCAGGAATCAGGATCGGACTTAAATACAGGGCTGTCACAACCACAATCATCAGCCGAGTCAGGTACCGCTTCCTCGGAGCCCGCATATCCGACTTCTTTCGCGCATATTGTGGAATTGATCACGACCGGGCAGCCGATTCCGGGAATAGAAGAAATTCCAGATACTGTTTTAGAGGGCCATGATCTTGCCACCGAGAAGCCTCGGCGGCGAAAGCCCTGGGAAAAGGACGATGTGACCGCGGCCCCTGCCTCGGCCCCGACGGATGAAACTACAACTACAACTGGTGCTGTTTGAAATGGGATTGCCTCTGTATAATTCGGCTCTCTGGTGATATGATTCAAATTTGTTTCTTTTTTTCATTTCTTCATAGAGGCCAAAAGGAAAGATGAATAGAGCTGTCATTATAAAAATATTGGTCCGCTGCTACTGACGTAACAAGCAAAGACCAATCTCAATCTCCCATCGCTTGATGGATAGAATATACTAATAGACAACAAGAGTCGAATCTTTTTTTTTTGGAAATCAATAGGCCGAGGCGACTCCAGGGAATCCCAATAATAGTAGCGTCCACTGGAGACAAATAATATGTATGGATGAATAACACCTCAACCATCCTGGTCAACCAAAGCTCCGGTAGGATAGACACCGAGTAGTTAGTTGCTTCGTATGCAGAGGAGATAAAATTCACCATGATAGGCAGATCGTTGATCGTTGAACTGAAAGGGAGAGGACTGGTATTTCAGACGATGCTCGTCACTTGAGATGTCCTCCTCTAAAAGACCCTGGAGTGACGAAGACAGGCGAAGAAGCAAGCCAAATGAATAGATCGACAGGCAGGTTTAATTATCGAGATTGAATTGGATGAAATAAACAGGCGAATAACACAATCACAAATCTTTGATTGGAGCATGTGGTTGTTGCTGGCGATTCTGTAGGAAATTGGATGGCGGTGTGAGAAGGGAAGAGGTTCGAGAAATAACGAATAAGTAAGATGGGCTGTGGCGTACTACCATCCGTTCGGTGGTAATGTCTTCTTTCTTCTTTCCTTTTTCTGGCGTTTCTTTTCGTTCTCTGAGAAGCTGCGGCGGTGGTAGCTTCAAGGTGTTTCCACCGTCAAGCTAGCGGAATGGCACATAGCCCGGACTCCACTGGTTCCCGCGACTAAACCGGCCTCCATTCTGCTGCGATGATGAAAACCGCTCTTCGTTGAATTGATTGAAGCGCCCGATCTGCATACCAGTTCCAGGACCAGGCCGAGTAGTGTGTGATGGGTTGCAGCATAGCATCGCGACCCGAGATCCAAACTTGGATCCCCGAAGGGAGACCATGTGTTTTCTATGAGAAAGTGTCAGCTCTCCATCGAGAGAGTGGGAATGAAACGGAAAAAGAACCATACCGAATATGAGTTGCAACGAGCTCACGCTGGCAGGGCGCGGCATTCATTAGAATCCATTGGATCAAGTAATTGCCGTACTGGTCACCGGCAACTGTTTATCTATTAGCATGGTTCAAGCAACAGTTGGATCAGAGAATGATGGACTTACTATCGATCAAGGGCATGCGAGGCCTATCAGTACGGCCTGTGCATACTCGAGAAAGGTAATGATCTAGAAAGTCTGAGCCTCCGATCTTCAGGCATTTCTCGACGATCTTGGATGCGAACTGGTCCATGCTGTAATCAACAGCACAGTGAAGTACATGGTCGGTAGCTCGACTTTTATCGGGCGGAGAACCGTGCTCGCAAATATGTTGGATACACCAGTTTCCGAACTGGCCGTGAGAGAGTACATCTATCTTTGCCAGTACCTCCTCAATTGCCGGTCGCTACTAATCGTCAGCTCTTTTCTGGTCTCAGTCCGTCAATGGAATGGGGGGTTCAAGGGTAGTACTAATTACCTTCTCTTCCTCCACACAGTTCTCGAAAATGTTCTGCACCACCAAACTCCCTGTTTCGCCCAGTGCAACCTCGTGCCACATTCCACGAAGAGCCTCATTCACTTTGGCCATGATTTGAGGTGGGTTACTATTCCAGCGGAGCTCGAAGAGCTTCTGCCAAACATGGCAAGCGTAGCGGTGGATTACCGTCTCGGGAATCCGGCGGAGAAGTTCGTGGACCATCAATGCTTTGTTTTCCTCTGGCACGCAGTCGAAGGCTTTCTGGATAACATGGCAACCAAATGGATCCATGCTCAAGGTGAGAGTGTTGCCCCTGATGGCGTTGGCAATGGACACGACTTGCTCGGAGGTGCCATGTTCAAAGCAGCGCTGGATGAGGAAATTACCGAACCGATTTACCATGAGCGGATACGCCTGGCTAGCAATCGCCTCGATTATATCGTATTTCTGTTCAGTTGTGCCGACTTTGAGCTTCTGCTGGAGGAAAATGGATGCTTGTTGGTCATTACTGCAGACGATCTTGTCAACGATGTATTTCCAATCACAAGAGACGTTCTTGTCGAGGAGACGCCTGTAGTTTAGGGGCTCGAGGGGCGATATGTATGTATGAGTCGAGCTCCCAGCGGTCTAAATGAAATCTGTTAGTACTATATGGTTGCTCTCGATTTGAGACCAGCAAGTAACTGACCGACGGAGGTGGAAGTGGCCATGGGCTTGCCTCGGGGCTGCTCGTTGTGAACTCCGTGGCTGTTGGAGATAGTGTCGTTCCAGCTTGTCGGGCGTGATAAGCAAAAGGATACATTCCAACTGCCTGTATTACGCTGGAAGACCTAGTTGTCGAAGATGTGGGAGATTTTGGAGTCGAGTCTCCGGTCGTCGCCTCGGAACTGAAGCCGGACCAGGGATTGTTTGGGGGTGGAAACAGAGTCCCAGCATGACTTGTCGGAGCAAGAGAACGGCGGGGTATGGGGTTTTGCACTTGCAATGGACCTTGAGAATATCGAGGCTGTTCGACTGGAGAGCGCGCACAAAATCCGTATACACTAGTAGAGCTGTTCGGAGGTATCCTCTGTGTTTGCAAGGCTGGAGAGGTATAAAAGGAGCCCGGATTCGAGCCATTCCAGGGCTGGTGAAACTGACCTGCGGGGCCTGCCCCATGGCGAGAGTCTCCGTAAACCTTTTCGAACGGAAGCTCGCTGCCTGCAACACTGTATGCGGGCTGACTACCCTGGGTCCAAATCCCACGAGCGCGATTGTAGGTGCCAGCTGATAAAGTATCTGAGACATCAGACTGCGAGTCATCCTGAGAACTCCAAGTATCCTGGAGCTGACCAAATCCGGGGTTCGAGGCATTGAAAGCACTCTGCAAATGACTTATGGTCTGGTCCGTGATATCACGAGCACCAAAGTCAGCCTCAGAGGGAGGGCCGAGGGCTTGGTCCAGCGTATGCTTGATAACGCGGGTCTGAGCCAGCTCCTGTTCCTGCAGAGCAATCTTCGAATTGGCAGCAAGGAGTTCCTGTTTAAGTCGTAGAAGCTCCGTCGTTCTCTCATCCGATGTGTTTGCTCCTGCAACCTCCGAGGATGCCGTAGCAGGTAATGACTCCTTGGTTGAGACGATTTGCGGCGAGCCAGCAGATCCACCTGCCTCCGACACCATTTCGGAATGGCATTGAGGGGAGAGTTTGGCCAAGATTTGCTCTAACGGGGAAGGTTTGCTAGTCAAGGATCCTACCTTCAGATGCCCTAGCTTTTGCTTCTAGGATTGTCAGATCTCCCGATTTTCATAATCAGCATCTGGGGAAGGCGTACCTTGTTTGAAGAAGTTTCGATGTCTTCTCCGCTAGAAACTTGACCGAAAACTGACCTCGATCCTTGGGGCAGCTCCGATGAGCTATGGTGGCTGGACGAATGTTGATGACCCTTCAAAACCGAGTCAGAATGAGCAACAATACGTAGGTCCAAGGTTTCCGCGCCAAGGTACTCACCGAGGGCTCGCATCTGTTGCTTGTGCCTCGCATTTCAACATCACTTGGAGGGGAATACCCTTCTCTGTTCATGCGGCCAAGCTTGGAGGGACCGCTCAGTGTAGACACCATGGTAATCAGTGGCCAGGGTACTAGTAGCAACGAAATAGTGAAATGAGAGTGAGAATCACACAGATCCAAAGAGGCTTTGGGTACAGGGAAGTCAGTAAATTTGGACGATTCGGGATGAGAGAGAAAAATGGAGAGTGAGGTATAGGAGAAGAAAGAAAACGGGCGGGCGAGAGTGGAAGAGCCAGCGGGGGAGACGGCAGCAACGAGCAGCGAGTGTTCATACCGGGCAAGCGCGCTGGAACGACTCATACTTTGCATCATAAGGGAATTGTATTGGATAAATAGAAGCTATGACCGACCACTGCGTCAAAAATTATATACAGAGGGAACTGTCTCATTAGTACAACCAGTATCGAATTTGAGAACTCGAGACGCCAGGTAGATCCTATAGTTTGGAGGCATCGCATACTTGCAATCTGTTGAATGTTATTGAAAAAAAGGGATATATTTGAGCAGCTCAAGATAATGAAGATGATCAAGCCTCAAAATGTGGTATTTAAACGAAATCGATAAAGGAGGCAGCTAGTTAGTTAGTTAGTTAGTTAGTTAACTAGTTAAATACTCCTGCGCCAATGCCTGAGGCAGTAACCACTCAATGTGTTAACTACAGATATTATGATATGATGGGTATTGATGGGGTAGATCTTAATTTATTAAATTTTGCATTATAGTAGTAATACATCAGATACACTACTTCTTCTACTACTGCTGCTACTACTATTAATATCAAGATATACTATTATGTGCATAGAAGTGTCACTGCATGCATATACTTCGATGCTGAGTGTTCCTGGCTCCACCCAGTAAATTACCCATCTTAGTCAGTAACGTATTCACATGACCCCCTTGCGAATCCAGGTCCAATCAATACCTATATTTAGATCGAGCCAAGTCACGATCTTTACAGTACTTAATACATAAAAAGCCAAACAAGCTTCCATTGGCTGTAATGGCTATATTCTCAATTAAGAATTAAGTAATTTGTAAAAAGGTCGCCAGTTTTACTTCACCCTTATCGCCTCATTAGATATATCTTAATCTCTATTCGGCCGTCTCCGTGGTAATGAAATGGTACTGCTCGGTACTAGTATCTTGTAATGTAACCGTTGGTGGCGGTAGCACCGCAAATCACCCATGGACCGCACACCCTCATCGGGCCAGTCGTCGTCGTGTTCCCTCCCCACCCCTATTCCTTCTTGTCCTCTCCTTCTGTGGACGAGGAAAGCCATCTCAATTGTCGATGCGAAAGCCTTGAATGACTCGCTATCTTAATCCGAGTGCCCTCTATCCCTCGACGTCCATTTGCAGGAGATTCGTCATCGCCGGATTCGTTGCGCTCACTTCGCTCCACCGGGCCAACATCGCCTCAGCAAAAGATTCCCTGCCACTCCCTTCAACACTCCTAGCTCTCCGTTGCTAGATTCATCGATTCGGGTGAGTAGCACCGCATATACGGACGCGTTTGTGTGCTAGAGAGCTGACCTTCATGAGAATAGAACCCCGGATCTGGACTAAACAGAGCAAACAATGGCCACCACGACAGTGACCGGCCATGGACGCTGGGCGTCTATGCGACAACCGGAATTACAAGTGCCAAACAAAACATCGACCGCGCAGCCGGTTAGCAGCCCGATAGACCAATTCCCTCCATACGAAGAAACCCTTGACAGCGCCATTGGGTCCAGCCGACCCAGCACCACCAACTCCACCCCCTCAGTGAAATACGCGCCGAGCGAGACGTGGGAACCGCGGAAAACAGCCTTTTACTCCAGAGAGCATCCCAATGGGGCACTGAGGAATCCTAAGCACCGGCCGCGGAAGAGCATCAGCGAGGCCATCTCCACCATTCGAACACGTAACGGCAGCGTGAGTGCCAACGCGCAAGAGCTGGCGGAGGCACTACGGGCTCCCGTATCTTATAGGCTAGTGGTACGTCCTCTCTTCCCCCAAGGGCTATAATGACCGCACACTGTCGGAGAGACTATAGCTGCAGAACGATGGCTGATTCATATCCCAGGGCCTATGCGTTGTTTGGTACTTTACCTCAGCCCTTACGAACACATCCTCGAAATCCATCTTGAACGCCTTGCCCATGCCAATCACGTTGACTATTATTCAATTCGCATTCGTTTCAATATGGTGTTTGTTACTGGTGTGGTTATCTTCGGTGTTCCCAAAGCTGCGGCAGAGCATCCCGGTGCTCAAGCACGGCATCCGTTACCCGTCGCGTGAAGTGATCTCGACTGCTTTACCCCTCGCTGTCTTCCAGCTTCTTGGCCATATTCTCAGCTCAATGGCCACAGCCAAGATCCCTGTCTCCTTGGTCCACACCATTAAGGGACTCTCACCCTTATTCACTGTTCTCGCCTACCGGGTATTATTTCGAATCCGTTATGCTAGAGCTACCTACCTGTCCTTAATCCCTCTTACAGCCGGTGTCATGCTCGCATGTTCCACCGGATCGTCCACGAATTTCTTCGGGATTATCTGCGCTTTCGGCGCCGCGATCATTTTCGTCTCGCAAAATATCTTCTCCAAAAAGCTGTTCAACGAGGCGGAGCGTGCCGAAAACGACCCACAGACTCCAGCACGACGCAAGTTAGACAAGCTGAATCTGCTTTGCTACTGCTCAGGATTGGCTTTCTTCCTCACCTTGCCTATCTGGTTTGTCAGTGAGGGGTATCCTTTGGTATCCGACTTTATCAAGGACGGCGCAATTGACCTGTCAGAAAAGAAGGGATCGTTGGATCACGGCGCACTCATGATTGAATTCGTATTCAACGGTGTGTCGCATTTTGCGCAGAACATTTTGGCCTTTGTGCTCTTGTCGATGGTCTCTCCAGTGTCCTATTCCGTTGCATCTTTGGTTAAACGCGTTTTTGTTATCGTTGTGGCAGTCATATGGTTTGGTAACTCCACTACTCCAATCCAAGCAGTCGGTATCGGCCTCACCTTTTTGGGACTCTACCTGTACGATCGCAACAGCCACGACGACGTGGCCGATCAGCGAGCGAATGCTGATCACTTCCGCGCACGGGAGGCCATTCTTCCCATGAATGTTCGACAATCGAGCAGGCCATGGGATTCAAATGGCTACGCCTTCCCCGCCGGACGCTCGTTCGAGAGCTCTGCCAACAACTTGAAGAAGGAAGATGGCCCAGGGCGGGTGCGGGCCCGTGGTGCCAGTGTGTCCCGGAATTGGCTACCTGGGACCAAACAAGAATCGACGTGGCAGGCCACTGACACTCCGGTGGCCACCTAGCATAGAATCTCTCGTTTCTTACTTCTGACGAATGTAAAGACGGAGAAAATGATGATGTATTATAAATATATATTTATATATCATGGCGTTGTGGGACCTTTTATTTAAAAACGACTTTTTGGGTTGCGTTGAATTTCCGCTGGCGACAGCATAGACGAGAAGAGCTAGGGTGGTTGTAGGAATGTAAATGATTCAAGTTTCAATCAATTTCTCAAGTCATAAAGCTTTTTTCATATTGTTGCTATCATCGTAAATGTATTCGGTGATCTTCAATTGCTTCCTGCGGCCGGTGTCCTACGTATCGATTGCCCGCGGGAATAAGTCGGCGTGAGATGTCGCGACCGTCGGTAAAGAACATGTCATAATCGGGCTAGACCCTTGACTGCCCCATTACGGCGCCAATTCTGTTCTGGGGACTATCTGTAGAGGAAAAAGGGACGGTGAGACGCCTGTTTCCCACAATAAATCAAGCCCGTGAATGAGATGATTTTTGAAAAAGGATTCTAAGGGGCCGCGGGTTTTTGTTCTGTTGCCCGGAAGTAAGGTTTATCCGGGTAACCGAGTGGCTCAACCAATCATCAATCGTGCATTTGCGAAGTCTGCTGAGTCATCCGGGCAATGGTCAGCAAAGCCCAATGGGCATTAGGTAACCCAGCAGAATCCGTCTCTGAACAACAGCTCCTTCTTCCCCGTTCCCCCTCGTCCACCCCATCTCCCAAACCCCTCCACCCCCCTCCTCCTCCCAGAATCCCTCACAATTATGCGGCCGCAGCTGTTCCGTGCGGCCGCCCGGGTCTCTCCGGGTCCCCCGGGCCCGGACCTTCGCGATGACCGCCCCTCGCGCGGCCGAGGTGGAACTGACCATTGGTATGTCTCTCAGCATCAATTGATAGTCAAGATACGCTAACAATGTCGTGCAGATGGAAAGAAGGTGTCCGTTGAAGGTAAGAGTGACTCAAACGATCCCCCATTGAACCATCACTCAGACCCATTGTAGCCGGTTCGGCTCTTATCCAGGCTTGCGAAAAGGCAGGCGCAACAATCCCCAGGTATGGATCTAATCCTCCCTCGAGATCAAACACGATGCCTGTGACAATTACTGACCCTTGAACCTAGATACTGCTACCACGAGTACGCTTTCCCCGAGTCCTTTCCTCCGATGATAATCCTTACTAACGTTACCTGACCTGAAGGAAGCTGCTAGTTGCAGGAAACTGTACGTTCCGGCCTCTTCCACTGCATGAAAAACAATCACAGGTGCTAATTAAACATATCTAGGCCGTATGTGTCTCGTCGAAGTTGAAAAAGCCCCCAAGCCTGTTGCATCATGTGCCTGGCCCGTTCAGCCCGGAATGGTTGTTAAGACAAATTCGCCATTGGTTCACAAGGCCCGTGAAGGTGTTATGGAATTCCTCCTCGCCAACCACCCCCTCGACTGCCCCATTTGCGATCAGGGTGGAGAGTGTGATCTTCAGGACCAGTCCATGCGTTATGGTGCTGATCGCGGCCGATTCCACGAGGAGGACGGCAAGCGTGCTGTGGAGGACAAGAACATTGGCCCCTTGGTCAAGACCTCGATGAACCGTTGTATTCACTGCACCCGTTGCGTCCGATTTATGAACGATGTTGCCGGTGCACCCGAGCTGGGAACCTCCGGCCGCGGAAACGACATGCAGATCGGAACCTACTTGGAGCAAAACCTCAACTCGGAACTGTCTGGCAACGTCATTGACCTCTGCCCCGTTGGTGCTCTGACCTCCAAGCCATATGCCTTCCGTGCTCGTCCCTGGGAACTGAAGCACACCGAGTCAATTGATGTTCTTGATGCCCTGGGATCTAACATTCGGATCGACAGCCGTGGTATGGAGGTGATGCGTGTTACCCCGCGCTTGAATGATGACATTAACGAGGAATGGATCAACGACAAATCTCGCTTTGCCTGTGATGGCTTGAAGACTCAGCGCCTCACCACTCCCCTGATCCGCCGCGAGGGCAACTTTGTCCCCGCCACCTGGGAACAGGCTCTTGTGGAGATCTCTTCCGCCCAGCAGAAGCTGCAGCTGCAACCTAATGAATTCAAGGCAGTTGCTGGACACCTTGTTGAGGCTGAGTCTCTCGTTGCTATGAAGGATATGGCCAACAAGCTTGGCTCTGACAACCTTGCCCTCGACCAACCCGGCGGCAGTGCTCCCATTGCCCACGGTATTGATGTCCGCTCTAACTACCTGTTCAACTCTAAGATCTACGGTATCGAGGAGGCCGATGCCCTCCTTCTTGTTGCCACCAACCCCCGTCACGAGGCCTCAGTTTTGAACGCCCGTATCCGCAAGCAATACCTGCGCTCTGATCTGGAGATCGGTCTTGTCGGTGAGGAGTTCGAGAGCACCTTCGACTACGAGAACCTTGGCGCCGATGTTTCCGCCCTGAAGACTGCTCTGGCTGGCGAGTTCGGTAAGAAGCTTGCTGGTGCTCAGCGCCCTATGATTGTGGTCGGCTCCGCAGCTGCCGAGCACCCCGACTCGAAGGCCATCTTCGAGGCGGTTGGCAGCTTCGTCGAGAAGCACGCTAGCAACTTCACCACCCCCGAGTGGCAAGGCTTCAACGTCCTGCAGCGTGCCGCTTCCCGCGCTGGTGCCTACGAGGTGGGCTTCACTGCTCCCGGTCCCGAAGTTGCCCAGACTACCCCCAAGATGGTCTGGCTGCTAGGTGCCGATGAGATCTCCGCCAGCGAAATCCCCAAGGATGCCTTCGTCGTCTACCAGGGTCACCACGGTGACAAGGGTGCCCAGCTTGCCGATGTTGTCCTCCCCGGTGCCGCCTACACTGAAAAGTCCGGCACCTATATCAACACCGAGGGTCGTGTTCAGGTTACCCGTGCGGCTACCTCGCTCCCCGGTGCTGCCCGTGATGACTGGAAGATTATTCGTGCCACCAGCGAGTTCCTTGGCGTTCCTCTTCCTTATGATGATATTGAGGCTCTCCGTGACCGTATGGAGGAGATCAGTCCCGTCCTGCGCCGTTACGATGTCGTCGAGCCTACCTCCGTTGCTGCCCTGAGCAAGGTGCAGCTTTCTGACCAGAACAAGGGAGCCTCAACAACCGGTTCTCCCTTCAAGAAGGTCATTGAGGACTTCTACTTCACCGACCCCATTTCCAGAAGGTTAGTGACCGATTCAAGCTTCGTTTTCAGAATTATGCTTTATGTCCGTTCAATGCTAACTTTACATGCTTCTAGCTCCCCCACCATGGCCCGTTGCTCAGCTGCCAAGGCCACTGGCAACCCCGAGACCAACTTCATGGCCGCCGGAGAGATGTCTCCCCAGGCCCTCTACGGCGCAAGCCAGTGATTGAATTCTGTGCTTTCTCTCTAATGGTTGCAGGCGTTGTCATTTGTATCACCTTATACTTCCCTTTGATGTACCCGTTTCCTTTTTCCATCTTCATCTTCATCTTCTGTTTTCTTTTCATCGACTTGAAGGCCGTTACATCCGGTTTTTGGGGTTGACCTCCTTTCTCGAAAATTCTCCCGTTTCCCGGTGTTACAACAGGGAATAATCGGTCGGGGTTGACTTGTACATAAAAAGATTGAGGCCAACAAAATCTCTAGTTCCGCTACGGAAGTCAGTGATAGCTTTTCTGTGTAGTATCTTCCAGGTTTAGGTTGTGAGTAGCATTCTACCGGTCAGTAGTAGTAGCCATAGACAGATGAAAAAAAAGTGGTAGCTAGGGAGCAAGATGATGCCATGCATGCCACTGGTATTCGTTTCTTATCAAATCCAAAACCAAGAATCTACCACGAAATGTCATGTAATTCAATAATTCATCAAGTCTACGGAGAACCGGACCGTAAGTTCAATGCCTCAATATCTCCCACGTTTCAAATCACCATAATCCCTGATTCTAACTAAAGCTCATCATCATCAGTCTCTCCCCCGTTTCATCACCAGCCGGAGGAGGAGGAGGCGGCGTTGCAGCTTTCGGCGCCGTGGCTGCACCCCGCCGATTAAAGGGTAATTCCCGTCGAGGCGGGGGTGCGGCTTCTTTCGCTTTTGGAGCCGAGGGACGCTTCTGCTTCAGGTCTGGTTTCTGCTCCTGTTCTTCTCCGGACTCGTCATCTGTAGTTGTGTTTCCATCATCTCCAGGTGGCGGGGTTGAGTTGCCTCCCTCGTCAGTATCTTGATCGTGAGGGTCTGCCTCTGCTGCCGCCGTCAATTTGCCGGTCTTCTTCTGATCGATATCCATTGGCTCAAAGTCATCCGATTCTTCATCGGTAGTATTTCCATGGCCGCGCTTTGCGAGACGTGGGGATTCTGAGCTCTGGTTGAATTGCATTGCTGAGGCTTGAATCTCGGAGACTGGGTTTGTGAATTATTAGCCTTTAAAAATTCATACTAGATAGAAGTCGGGTAGGGTAGTGACTCGTATGCATATATATACCTTTATCAGGATCGGCAGTAGCGGAAGCCAAAAGACGCTGCTGATTCCGAATCTTCAATTTCTTCTCATTCAAGAGCTGTGTGAAATTGGTCATTAATTGGTTCTCGTGTTGAGCTTTTGCTTGGACGAGATCTTCGAGTTGTTGGGTTAGTTTTTGGACTGTGTTTGCTGCTTCTTGATAGCGGGCGTTCAGGGTGGAAGTCTCCTGTTCCAAGGCCCTGTTTCTAGCGGCTGCTGTGCCGGCCCATTCGAAGAGTTCGATTTCTGCTTCGCTTTGCTTTAGAGTGATTGTTCCGAGTCTTTGCTGGGAGGGGGGTTAGAATATTCTATGTGTATATGATATGGGCGTTCGATAGGGCAGGGCTCAGACTACAACGTACTGTGATGTCTTGAACTCTTTTGCGTATGGTGATGACGATTCCATTTTCATCATCTGATTCTGTGATGCTGGCTGTGGCTTCGAGTTTGAATGAGGATGTCGTCTCATTCTCATCTTTGGTTGATTGGCCTAGAATGCGGCGAATCACCTGGGTCCACTCATCGTCTGAACCTTGGTAACTTTTGGATCTGAGATCCTTTAAGCTTGATTCTTTGACTATGCCGGTGTCAATATGAATTGTTTGTTTGTGTTTGTATAGAGCATACCTGAGGCAGTATATGCACCTTCACCCTCTGTCGCAGTCAAGGTGAGGTTGAGAGAGGGTGATCCATTGTTGACCAAGTGGACCAAAACGAAGGAGTCTTTCTGGTCTGATCTATCGAAGCGGAGGACATGGGGGGACATATTGATGTATGGAGGAGTAGAAGTAGAAGTAGGAGTAATGGTGGGTGACAGAGACGGAGTAAGTACAAATGGAAGTCCAGGCAGCCGGCGGTCCGGGTCCACCGTAGTCACCGTAGTCAGCCTAGCATCCATCACAACAATAATTAAATCCACCGATTCCACCACATTATTGGATCTTGTGACACCCCCCTATTCGTTGAGAGAATATTATTAAAAAATATCCCTAATTCCCTACTTATTGTCACTCCCAGCCTTCCTGGTTGTCAAGGAAATCTCTCTTACCCTAGTGCTGTCTAGTGTTGTCCCCACTGTTGTGTACGCTAAGCACGTTCCTCCTTCTCCCACGAGGGATTCCACTTCATCCAGCCACCATTCACCATTCTCCATTCGCCGCCATCCACCACAACCTCCTCCACCCTCTATACCCCTTTCTCCTCCCTGAGAGATAGAGACAACATGCTCGCGTGAGAGGTCGAGACACTCACGACTTGAGCTGTATCTTGCTCTCCTCTCTTCGCCCTCGTATATCTTCGCACCAGCTCCAACAGCCCCCCATCTGATCTGCCCACTTCAGGGTGATCGCACTGACAGCCTCCCTGATCGAACACTCTCGCAAAACGAAAACGACACGGCATGACGCTCTACTCTCGACCTCCTCGCCTATTATCAGCGTCGCAAAGCTCCAGATATACCTCCTAATCACCAACTTGGGAACCCTCCAAACTATTTTATGAACGCCGCGTCTCCCCCGTCCCCTTCTCCAACACTCTCCTCCCACCATGGCCATGGAGTCATTGGGACACCAGCCACGGCTCGATATAGAAGAATCCATTGAGTGCTGGGATGATGATGGGGATCTTCAATTCAACGAGGGTATCCAGTTTCGGGCCGCATCCAGCGCCGGTTCCATAACCAATTCCTCATTTCGACCTTCCGGACACCGCGACTCAATCTCCTCCCGCCGCTCTGCGCGCTCAGACCTAGACTCCAATGCCGGTGACGAAGACTGGCAGGTATTTCTACAGGATAACGACGAGTTCTCGAAAGAAGAAGCGCTTGCATCCGCGAAACATGCCGGTATCCCCATTCCAGCTGATATCCCCAGCTCGGCTCTCATCGGGGGTGCTATTAAACGTCTATCTACGCGAAAACAAAAGCGAACCTTTGTCGACGATTGGTCCGAAGATGTGGAGCTTCCAGATCCTGATACTGTTCTCGAACTTAGGACTCCGCAAGATACCACCTTCCCGGAAAGTTTACGGCAAGTAAGCTCGGCCGCTACCAGTCCGATCAAAACAACGGCCTCGCCAATCTGGCACGAAGATATTTCTACTCGCCTTCAATCGGCTTTTACGGGTCTGGAACAATACCAGAATGAGAATGACAGCCCTGTTCATCATAACCATAATCATCAGGTCGTGCCGACCATCAGATCTCCGGTTCCTCGGTCGCCGCAGAAGAAGTCCATGAGCGGAGCCAGGACAAACAATTTTCAGGAACAAGAGGCCGATGATTTCGATCTTGAGTTTGAACTTCCTCCTGACCACCAGCCTCTTCAGCTATCCCATCGGAAACAGCACACGGGCGTTTCTAGCCCAACGCTTGAGGATTTCGATTTAGAATGGTCTGAAGGTAGCATTGGTGTACGGGTTGGTGGTACTACGAGAGATGGCCGATCTGCTCCAAGCTCATCCATATCTATCGCAAGTCCCAGTGTTTCAAGTTGCATAACAGGGGGCAGTGAAGATGATGGACTTGATGGCATTGTATTCCCAGAAGGGCCACTCGATTTCACGGCCTCTCTCAAGAAACGACAGGAGGTGCAAGCCGCCGATGACTTGGTTCAGCCCAAAGAGACCCCAAAGCCTCCACAGTCGTCAGAGGCCGATGACTTTTTCAGTGGAATTGAAATCGACAGCGGTAAGGCATTTTCTTCGGGCAAACTGGCATTGAATCCCAATGTTAAATGCAAGACGGAATGGCCCACGAGCCCAACACGCCGACCCGCCACAACCCTAACCTTCACCAACTCATCAACATCTCCACGTACCCGAATTCCACGGTTATCGGGTCACGACCGAACGCATTCAACCCATCTCGAAACTGTTTCTGAGAGTGGCGCACCCTTGTCCAAATTTAGGAGATCACAATCTAGACTCGGCCATTCGGCCCAATCCTCAGTGTCTAGTCTTCCGACCTCTACTACGCCCTCCGCCTCCCCAACACCTACCACATCATCAACTAGGAGGATCCTTGGGCAGCGACCCTCCAGGGAGCCTGCTCCAGTTGTTAATTCTAATACACCGGGCCGGATACTCCGAACCAAGAGGTCGTTGCCATCAATTCGAGGAATCAAGAATGCGGAATCGGTACAGGCTTCGCAACGATCACCATCCCACCCCGATGGATATATTCGATCTTCTTTCGGTAGACCCAAAACACCGGTCGACCGCACCACAGTCAACGACGGAAGACCCTCAAGTCGCAGGCCGCCAGCACCATTTCTTCCCGCTGGCACATCAGAAAGACAATCACACCATGCCAGCGTCAAGAGCTACCGGCCCTCACGGCGTACCAACTCGGACGGCTCTAGCGATCTCTTGAGTCCGACTGGCACATTCTCGCGGCTCTCGCGTTCCAGTCGCTCAGACGGTCACCGCTTGAGTTTGGGAGAAACCAGTACGGACACCATGTCTCCGTCCGGGAAGCGCACTCTCACCAGACCGACGAAGCGACGTAATTTTGGAGACGGCACTGAACTGGAGTCCTTCGATGATCTGCCAACATCCGTCTCCACGGAAAGCAAATATACCAAAACCCCCATCGGCCGAGGCGCACCTCGATCTGTGCGTGCCAAACTCAGCCAGAGCCGCAATACTCCCCCTGTCGAATCTCCCCGTCCCGGCCAAGGCCAACTTTCCACACCCCCGTCAACTTCAAAACCGCCCACCTCGATACCTAGATTTGCCCGTGATACGAACGCGTCCCGCAATGCGAGAGAACAACGCATTGCTTCTATGGGCAGCAGGAACTTGACCAGCCACCGGGATAGAGATACGACTCCGCTTTCTTCTTTCAGTTCTAATTGGAAACCCCAACCACAACCCATCTCTCGCCTCTCCCCCAATGCAGCGCCTGTACGAAGCCGGAAGACTAGGTCGGATCCCAAAAATAACTCAAAACCTCACTTAATTAAGCCCATGGGGGCTGGTGTCCAAGAATCGAAGTGTAAGTCAGATCAGCCACAAAAAAGAAAAAACCTTGATTTAGTTTGCCCGGCGAGAACTGAAACTGAAACTGACAATTGCATCCAGCCGTGCGAGGCATGCGGTACAACCCGAACACTTACCGTTGGGAAGGAAATGAAAATCTTGTGCAAGAGTTTGACAATCCTGTGGCGTCAAGATCACCGAAACCCGCGCCCGCCCTTATTACCAACGTAGGCGCGATGCAAAATGTACAGACGGTGGGCGGTATGGTTTTCGACCCCCACCGCATGTGCTGGCTTCGAGCCAAGTCCCAGTCCACGGAACCCGCAGCAACCGAGCCTGATGACGAGGATGATGTGTTTGCGGGTCTGGATGACTTGGAGGACAAAGTTGTTGGAGTTGGACGAACCTCGACAACGATGAATGATCTGAACCCCACCTCCACTGGCACTGGCACTACTGGAGAACCTAGCGCGGGTGAATCTTCCGACGAAGGACCTATCACCGAGGAATTCGATGTCGGGCCGGAGTTTATTCGACGACAACGGGCCGAGGAAGAGAAATGGAGACGCAAAGTGGACAATTGGGTAGGCTCTGACCGTGACCGCGGTGATCGTGAAACACATTGGCGATGGGCGATTCGTGACCTGGTGGCCGATGGTACGGCTTAGCCCTAGCCTTAGCCTAAGGGGAGGATTGGATTGGATTCCAGCGGCATGGTGATGAACTCAGTGGTTCAGTGGTTCAGTGCCTGGACTGTGGTAGAGTTTTGAATATGGATACACACGAACTTAATGACTGGAGGCGAGCGGACGTTCGATGCGTTCGATGGATGATTGATTTTCTCTTTCCCCCTTCCCCCTTCTACTACCATTGGCCTTAATGAAACTAGCCAAACGAATTTACGGTTGGAAACCTGTAACTATATCATTGTTGTTGTTATTGTTGATTGATTGATTGTTTTCGTCTTTATTCTTATTCTTTTTTTATTATTCATTTGGAGAAGTACATACTTTGTTCTTCGTTTCATTTGGGGGAAGAAGAAGAAGAGAAGAGAAGAGAAGAGGTCTGAGATCTCATTAGGGCACGGAACTCAACCTCCTCTCCTCCCTTCTCCCACTTCTCCCTCTCTTCTTCATTCCACTCTTCTCCCAAATTCAGGCAAATTTCTTGTGCTTCTTTTCACCTGTCAAGTTTCATCGTACCTCCTCTTCTCACCGGGTCCATGCCTCGTACGGCCCCGAGCAACAGGGAGTATCCATGTTGGTAATCCTTCCTCGGGGGAATTCACTTCCCTATACCGTCATTTGTCTTCCCCAGGCAGATCCGAAACACACTCGGACTCGGGACATCTAAGAGAAGACCAGGGCTTTGTTTTCCCTTTTTCCTTTCTTTTTTTACTTGCTGTGCATAGGCGCCTTGCCTTCACTCTGCCCTTCACCCCGGTGGTTTGGACGGCTCACGCTCATCGGGAACTCACAGAGTGACACTGCGGGTAATAGATTGTATAACGCTGGAAAGGACCATCTTTGCGGGAAAAAAAAAGAAAGATGACTGTTTCGATTTCGAAGGCTTCCCCCACCCTTCCCCCCTTTCGCTTCACGACCGGCTCCGACCTGCCAGCGCTGCGAGGGTCCGTAACGCCAAGTGCATCGAACACGGTGTCTCACCTGTCGCGGACGGGCCAAACGCATGCAATCCTGCCATCCCGCATGCTGCATTGATTGCCCGTCAACGGAGACCCAATCCACTTCGCCCTGGCATCAACGCCACGTCAAGGTCACGTCGACTTCTTCCCTGACAGCACAGCACACGATCTGGCTTGGTGGGACAGCAGGCCTGACCAGGATGTCATGTCTTGACTCGCAGCGAAGACTCGCCCGAGGCCGGCCCCCATTCCTGCCCCAGAATCTTCCCTCTGTGCTTTTTCCACAGTCCACAGGCCTCAGTCTAGTTAGTCTTCGCCCCCCCCCTAACCCCCGCGCATATGGCATACGCGCCGCAAGCTTGCGGCGCCAGTGAGGGCATGCCCTAGAGCTACTAGTAGCTAGTTAGAGCGGCTGGAACAACTGACACTGCCGCGGCCTCTCTGCTTCTCTCGTCTCCTCAACCCCCAATCCATGTCCCTTCCGGCACGGTTACTTGCATGTCATGTTTGGTTTGGTTTGGTTTGGTTTGGACCTTTGCCGGAGCAATCTCCAGCCTCGTCTTTTTGTTTGACAGATGGCAAACCTGCAGAAACAAAGCCCTGCAAGGAATAATTCGCCTCCCCGCCTCTGATGTCCGGCACGAATCTTGTTCCGCATCAGTGTGTCGGGGAGGTTATGATCGTCCCCCCGGTACTATCGGTGATGTCTTTGGCTCTGGAGAGCCGATCCAATCTTCAGAGACTTCCCAAGTAGCCTCCCTATAGGTGGCCTCGAGCTGGCCCTCGCGGCCTCGCCCAACGTGGCTTCTCTTCATGAGGCAAATGGTGGCGCCGGGCATCGAAGTGGGAATCCGTATCACCATTGCTTGTTGTGCGCTGTCGTATCAACCAACCTGCTCTGCCCTGCCCTGCCTTGCTCCTTCATCTTGCTATTTGCCTCGGTGGGTCGGAAAGATTTCGACAGCGAACCCCAGTCAAAGCAGATGGTTGACGTTTCTTTTTTTTGCACCTTCTTGCCGTTTCTGATTTCTTTTTTTTACCAAAATAGAAAAAATAGAATTAGTAATTTATTATTCTTTTTTTTCCCTTCTCGCCCTTCATCCATGCTATGTACCTTCTATTGCTATTCCCTGCAATCTAGCTAGTACCCTTTCTGGTCTGGCTGTACCTGACAGAGTTCTACTCGATTCGCCTGCCTCTATCGTTTCTTTTTTCTGTGAAATCTTTGCTGTGGTTCCTCCAGGGATGTCCCTCTGATACCCTCTGCTGCCTGCCTACACTCTGTCTAGACAGACATGGTCTCGTGCACATTTCTTGGGCATCGGTCATGTCCTGCAAGACTCGCCTGGGGGGGTCGTCTCCTCCCCTTTGCGGGTCCCATTTAATTCATTCAATCCACTACCTACCCTGTTGATGTCTTCATGACTTTTGTTTAAATGTCCTATGTTCCCTGGTACCGTCAGTGGTTTTAAACTCTACAAATCTACATCTACATAATCCATCGGATCTCCTCTTTCGACGGATCCTTCCATCATCATCATCACCATCTATCTTCTTCATCATCTTCTACGTCTACATCTTTTTCCTTTCAATTCTTCTTCATCGTCGTCGTGAACCGCTGGCTTTTTCCTCCCACCCCCACCCCCACCCTCATCAAGCCAAACATCACACAACGCTCGCGGTTAGGACTATCGAATCCAATCCAATCCAACCCAATCCAATCTCTCCAAAATCCCACCTCCCAATCCCCGAATTGAACGGCCAAAGTCCAATCCCAGTAGCGATGAGCAGCTACTCAAGACGAAACGATGCTAACGAAAGCTACCTAATGAACTCCCAACTCGTCCCCGGCGTACCCTACAACCACCCGGAGACCCACGATTTCAATTCCTCAGCAGCTTCATACCACTTCCCACCGCAATCCTTCGCCAATCCCTACAACGCAGCCTCCCAATTCGCCAGCGCCGGTGGTCCAGCATACGGCCAACAGCCAACCCTAACCGCGCAGGGAATGCAACATCTGCAATATGCCTCGGATCATACGATCCCGTCTATGTCCACGAACGAAGATATGAAATTTCACCACCCGCATGGGCATGGACATGGGCATGGGCACACGCATTCGCACTCGCATTCGCATTCGCAGTACATGGCGGCTCAATCGCGGTATATGCAGTCGCCGCGGTATTTGCCGCTTCGTGAGGCGTTCGAGACTGAGATTGAGAATCAGGAATCTAGGAATGAGGGGACGATGCTTTCTGAGGCGGTTATTCCGGCTTTGGATGGGTTTCCGGATGTTAAGGAGTTTGATCAGTTGATGCAAAGGTATGAATTAATGAGTTCTGTGGGGATGATGATAATTTGTGCTTGTGCTTGTGCTTGTGCTTGTGCAAACCGAGTTCATTTATCTTTCAACTGGTATAATTCTTGGGGAATTTTCTGGACCATTGCTAATTTGGATTTAATTTTGCTATTAGCTATGTCGATGATCTCTCTGTGAAAAAGCAAGACAAGGCTTTGATTCACGCCAAACGAGCACGGAATATTCGAACTGTTTTGATTGATCCTAAAGATACTGCTGTTGAATCTGCTCAGTTTCGGTACGTCCTGTATCCCTTAACTCAAATCTTTCTTTTTTGGGATTTGTGCTAACTGCTAAACGATGTAGATTCTGGGTTAAAAAGATGTTCAAGCTTACGACTGTGGGTGTGGGTACGACTGAGGTAGGTACATACATACGAGTACATACACATATGTGTGCGTGCATTGCACATGCTTGCATTTGCATCTGCATACATTTATCACGCATCAGGCAAGAAATATGAGGCATTCTAATGCTAATGGGTGTGTTTAGTGCCGGAAAATGATCTGCCATGAAGGCAAGCCCGTTGCAATTCGTGAGAAATTGTTTAAAATCCTCACTAAAGCTCATCAACAATGTCAACACGGCGGACGGGATAAGACCTCTGCTCAGGTCCGGCGGATTTATTCTTGGTAAGTAGTAACCATTAGGTTCTGTCTATATAACGTTTATAACGTTATCCTTCAAGCCGTAAACCACCACTCTTTAAAAAGGGAAACGCGTTTTCCATCCCATCGATTGCAATACAAAACTAATTATAATCACTTCTCGCTAAAGGGTTCCCAAAGAACTAATATCCCGCTTCGTCAAAATCTGCCCAACCTGTCAAGTCCGCCGCGGAGGCTCACGCCTAACACCGCCAAACTCCCGCCGAGGTTCACCAAGACTAGAAATGATGCCTCGATCATCGCCAAAGTTGCCCTCGCCACCGATCTCGCGCCGCGAATCGAATTTCGGCACTCAGGTCGCCCTTGATCGGGCTCAGTCGGATTACTTCACCCAGCAGATGCATAATGGTGGTGGTGGGTGGTCAATGGATCATCAGCAGCATCAGGGTTTACAGGGACGAGGCAGCACGACAGGAGGAGGAGGAGGACTGCACCATCGCCCTTATCATGGGATGCCGCATTCGATTGCGGGGACTTTGGACCCTTTCTCGCCTGATATGTCGGTTCCGCCGTCTCAGTTGACGTACGGTGGGGGATATGTCTCGGCGGCTCATGGTACGCACGACACAAAAGGGGTTTTTGAATTGAAGCTCGGAAAGAACCGACACAGTCAATACCCAATTACCTAGAACTGGTACAAGCGTGACAAAAAAGAAAGGGGGGGAAACGAGGGCGGCTGATATATACCTCCAGGGCTGTAATGATAACTATTGGCAGCCGGTGTGAAAATTTACAAAAAAAGTGCTGTTTTTTGGAGAGGGAATATATGTATGGGACATTGCGGGTTGCGAAATTATAAAAAACGGAAAAAACAATAATTCCTTGCGGGAAAGCGATGGGAACTTGAATGGGATTGGGGACCTGGAAAAGCTCGAGTCTTGACAAGGAATTATTTAGCTGAAGAGAGGTTTGCAGATACGATGTAGAATCTCAATCGGAATAAAATCATAATGAAACACAATGCATCTTATTATGACATTTCGCTTTTTATTCAAAAGAAGAAAAAGAAGACTACCTAAGTGAGACCGACAGCCGAGTCGAATCACAGAACAAAGAAAGAAGAGAACCAGGGGGTAACATCGTACATCAATTCAAATTCGAGTTTGGGTCGAAAAATTCCGGTACACACAAATTGAAAGTGAAAGCGAAAGCATCAATTCATAAATTCAGATCTCGGATCAAACACCCGCACGCCAAGGCCGGAACATAAGTTAGGCATACCAGGTGCGTTCATGGAAACCCTAGCCTTGCCCTGCCCTGCCCTGCCCTGCCTTCCCATGCCTTTTCCGCCGTTGCCTCGGATCAGACCACACGGGGGATGGAGGTGGGGGAAACCGGCCCCGCGGGGAGAGTGAGTGAGTAAGATAGAATGTAAACAAGTGGCGGTGGCTCTATCAGGATCTCATGCCGCGCGCCACTGTCACTATTCTCGCATCGTTTGTTGTCGAGAGTGAGTTTACACGGGGAGAGAGAACTTCTTTCCTTTCAGCACCCTATTAAATGCGTTAGAATATCAATGGAATATCAGTGCGCCAGTGCGCCAGTGCCCCAAAGTCCAGTCCCGACTCACTTGTTATAATAGATGTAGAAGAAATCCGAATAGAGCAGCGTCTGAATAATTCCCGCAAGAATGGGAACAGGCTGGAACGATCGCTGGAAAGCAGCCTCAGTGAAGTAGCGATACATCCAGTTGGGGATATAAAGAGCGCGGTAAATTCCCAGCGCGAATAGGTAGTGTGTTGTGATTGTGTCTGCTTCACCGGTGCGCTGCAACATGAATAGTTGGGGCAGGATGGCGACTGATTCTAGCCAGATGGAGAATGTCCAAAGGATCTATTGATGGGGGTTAGTAGGGTGCTCTCTTTCTCTTATCTTGCAGGTATGAGGTGTAGTATCCCATTTCCGCAAGCTGTCGGCAAATTGACTTCCTTCGGGGTATAATTTGGGGTAATGAACGAACCTCGGAAAGGCGATAGTCGTGCGGGAACAGGATAGCCAAGATTGCGCTGATACCCAGGAGATATTGGACCTTGAAGGTATCCAGGTTCGGGTCGTGCGTTGGCTTGAAATCGTTGAGCATGAGGTAGATGATATAGCCGGAGGAACCGATGAAGAGGAGCTTGAATGTAGTGAGGTACAGCGAATCTGTAAGGGTCCAGAAGAGATCTATACCGAAAGAACAAAAAGGCCACCTTGTTAGTCGATGTACTGCGGCGGAACTGTGTGGGGTGGTGACAGGTGGCAAGCTATCTTACCTAGATAACGAGTGACGAAAACCAGCAGGTATAGCACTTGCGACTTGAATGATAGACCAGAGCAGCTCTGCGACATGGAATTAGTGACGATCTGGGTCGGAGGAGGTTGGAGGAGCGTACGCTGGACGACTTCATCTTCTGGAGAAGAATGAAGATCGACGCCAGGTGGGAGAAATCGGCTGGGCGGGAATCAGTATATTGTCAAGGTATAGAATTCCAGGCAATAATTACCTAGCAACCTGAAGATATTCATGGTGTCGGATGTGAGTTGCGCAGATGGGGGGGTGTGGAAGAAGAAGAGTTGTTGACACGAAAGCGAACGGAAGGGGGACGAAACTGCCGATCACTTCAGCATTTCCGCATTTCAGGTACGACGCGCCGGGGCCAAGCGGGAGCTCCACAACTATGGGAAACTATGATGTATGGGACTACATTCTTTTGATACCACTGAACTTCAATGTATTCGTCGCTCATAATTTAACAGATGCAAATGGTTCCTTAACCTTTTTCTTTCCAGTATCAGCCATATCAGCTATCAGTAATCCCGAAACACAGCAACCATATCATCCAACCTCGCCACCTCCGTCAGCAAAAGCGCCTCAAGATCCCTCCACCGCTGTAAATCCACCAATTCAAGCTCAGTAAGATAATGCTCCTCATGTCCCTTAACATCAGTGCGTTCCGTCTTCTCCAGGAAGTCCCGCACCCGCTCGCGCTCAGTCTTAATCCGTTGCAACGTGCGTGACATGGCCTTGTACGTGTCCTCAAGAATAGAACTGCACACGCGATCCGTATCATAGTACCAGAGGAAAATCGTCTTGGAAGGCTGTCGCTGCGCGTCTTTCGGGACTTCCTGCAAATCGACAAAGCCGCCCTTTTGCATGGTGGCCAGTGTTTGGCGAAGATCTTTCATTGGAAGCAGGCTAATTTCTTGCAGGCGTTTTTCGTCCAGTTTGCCCTTTGCTTGGAGGACGCGGATTACGCGGAGGGCAACGTCTCCGTAGCGCGATTCGATCATTCGCTCCAGTTCCAGGTGGCGGAGTTTCCGGGCGAGGTCGCGGAATGATATGTACCACTTTATTCCTTCGGATGTGTGGCTCTCGGCGAGGTTGTAAGGTGGTTGGGAGAGGAGGCTGAGGTGTTGGTTTACTTCTGTCATGCGGGTGAAGATTGACTTTCCGTCTTCTTCGTCGTGGGTGCCGTTAACGCCATTTTCCAGCGGCCGCTTTCCGCGTGTGTTCAAGCTGGACGAAGACTGGGGATCCACTGGTCCGATTGCTCCTGTTAGGTCGAGGTCTGGGTCGAGATCTTTCACGATCTTCATGACTTCGATTGGGATGGAGTGGTGTTTTCCTTCTTCGCCTTCGCGGGGAATGTCTTTCTTTCGTCCATCGGTGCGGCAGCGGGGGGTTGCGTATTCGATGCGGTGGAGGAGAGTTTCGTAGACTTCAACTGTTGCGTCGGGAGCGTCTTGTTCGGCTAGATCGACGAAGCGGGCGTTTCGAAGGGCAACGTCTAGTTTTTCGTAGTTGACTCGGACGATTAAGCCAGACTGCGGATGAAGGTTAGCTGGGTGCACTTTTTACCACAGTCTTGTCTTAAGCTCTTACCTCCATAGGGATATTATCGAATCCATCCTCGTCTTCAGACCAGTCGTTCTCCTCATCATCCTCATCATCAGCATGATGGCCATTAACGCCATTTGTCCGGGCATGTTTGTTGCCTGCTCCAGAACTCCCATTGGTAATTTTCCTCTTCACTCCTCTGGGAAGTCCATTATACATGAACTTTTCCGAAAGGTCGTAGTCGGTGCGCTCATTCACGAGATCAGCTGTCGCACTTTCAATCGCCTCTTCCTGTTTCTTCCCCTTCAACGCTTTAATATCGGATTTCGCGGAAACAGTTCGTCGAGCATCAAGGTAGTTATCCGAGGGGCTTTGGAAAATAGCGTCCTTGACTCGAAGAATGTACCCATGCGACGCGAGAGCCTTGAGCGTAGAATGAAAGGGTGCAGGTTTCGCCTCGGGAATATCGTCGCCGTTGGTTTCTTGTGCGCCTTCTCCTTCTCCTTCAAGTTCCATCTCGTTGTTTTCAGCATCGTTATTTTCGGCATCGCCGTCTTCTTCATGCGACACTCCATTCGTCTGCACCGATGGTTTTGGTGCCACAGGAACCCCAACAGTCTGAAGCTCAGGAATACTTTGCAAATGCCGAACAGAAGCATGACCAAGAAATAGAATCACCTCCATGACTTTAGCTGCGTATTCGCCCAATCTCTCTTCGATTAGTTGGAGAATCTTCCCAGAGCGCACGAGGTAATATGCCGCTTCGGGGTTTGCTTCGTAGTAGGTATTGCCATCGTCGACGGAGGTAAAGTGGAAGGCGAGGTGTTGCTGGATCATGGCAGTAAGACCATGGCGAAGTTGGCGTTCTGAGAGGCCGGAGTAGAATCTCAATCGGGGGAGGGTTAAGCGTTCGTATCGTTGTAAGGTTGAGAAAATGCGCTGTCCGTCTCACTCATTAGCAAATCATCCGGAGACCAATAAATGGTAGTTTTGCCGTCCACTCACCGCGAAAAGCTCTCCAAAGTTATCTTCAATGAGGAGCGTGCAGAGCTCCACGGCGTGCTATAGCTATGCGTCAATTGTTGGATCTTGGACCATTCTGGGTAGCGGTTCCCGAACCTGAGACATCATCTTGGTGTATTATGAAGGCCTGCCAGCCTCCGATGCTCGCAAGGGTCGTTTAAGGTCACCGCGACAGATTCATAGAGTGTGTGAATGTAGTCGCGAAGCTGTGAGCGTTTGAGATGGCGGGCACTTTTTTCCTTATCAGTCACGTGTGTGATCAGCTGATCTGATTGGACCGGGGTGGAATGCGTAGGAGTGAATGACATGCAGGAGGGAATAAATAGAGTATAAGGGATAAAGAGAGGAGTTAATGAATTCGATGTACTAGAACTTTTGGACGAATAAGTACTGGAGCATAGGATAAATAATTGTAGTAATAATAACCAATTTGATATCTAACATGGTAGCTACACTCATACTTGGTCCTACCATGTGGCCTGGTACCCTGGATATGTATGCAATTGCATAGTAATTAAACAAATTTTTGAATATTTGACTCAGTATTATATTTTTATATCTGTAAATCAATCAGTAAAATAGAAATGCTAGCTTTAGAGTATCTTTATACCATGTTGTAGATTGTATGTACAGCTCCTCCGAGAAGTATTTCCGGTTCCGCCCGACTCGTCACTCTGACCAATCAGCGACTGAGTAATCAAACCGCCTCGAAGCTTTTCGTCGTCGACGGGGGTCGACTTCATCTCTCCTCATCCCTCCCCTCAATTGCCTCCCCACCCTTTCAAACCCAAGTGGGTTCCTAATTTTCTTCTCCTCTCCTTTCACTGACCCCGGCGCACAATGCTGTCGCGGTCCTCCATCAGCCGAAATGCGCCGCGTGCGCTCGCCGCGGCCGTCGGGCCATGGCCTCTGCTGCCAACCCGACTTTCCAGTACGACGTCTCCGAGGCTTCCGGCGTGAAGGTCGCCAACCGTGAGGTTGGTGGTGCTACCGGTACTCTCGCCCTTGTGGCCAAGGCTGGTTCCCGTTACCAGCCCTTCCCTGGTTTCTCCGATGCCCTCGAGAAGTTTGCCTTCAAGGTCGGTCCCTCGGTCCCCCGCGGTCATCCATTGACCATCGACATTCAATTCCTTATTCATACTAAATGATCTGTTCAATTCCATAGACTACACTCAAGCGCTCCGCTCTGCGGATCACTCGTGAGGTCGAGCTGCTGGGCGGCGAGATCTCCGCTTCCCACTCGCGCGAAAACGTCGTCCTCCGCGCCAAGTTCCTCTCGGGTGACCTTCCATACTTCACAGAGCTTCTGGCTGAGGTTGCCAGCTCGACCAAGTTCGCTGGTGAGTCAATTCCACCTAGCCGATCGGGGATAGCAAGGAAACAATGGAAATGGAGATGGAGACCAAAAGCAATTAGAGAAGTGGTTTTACTGACACAATTCCTTCTTGACATTTAGACCACGAACTGAGCGAGGTTGTCAGCGATCTCCTCAAGCTTAAGCAGCAGGCTGTCTACTCCAACCCCGAGAGTGTTGCCGTCGATGCCGCCCACGGTGTCGCCTTCCACCGCGGCCTGGGCTCCGCCCAGACCCCCTCCCAGAGCACCCCCTACGAGAAGTACGTCTCCGGCGATGCCCTGGCCCAGTTCGCCCAGGACGCCTACGCCAAGTCCAACGTCGCTCTTGTCGCCACTGGCCCCAACTCTGCCGATGTCACCAAGTGGGTTGGCCAGTTCTTCAAGGATCTCCCCGCCGGTGCCACCTCCGGCCAGTACAAGGTCCAGCCCACCCAGGCTAGCAAGTACTACGGCGGTGAGCAGCGCATTCCCTCCAAGGCCGGCAACTCCGTCGTGATCGCCTTCCCCGGTTCCAGCGCTTTCGGCACTGCTGGCTTCAAGGCCGAGGCTTCCGTCCTGGCTGCTCTGCTCGGCGGCGAGTCCACCATCAAGTGGACCCCTGGCTTCTCCCTTCTGTCCCAGGCCACCAAGGGCTTCAACCATATCAACATCTCGACCAAGAACCTCGCCTACTCCGATGCCGGTCTCTTCACTGTCACACTCTCCGGCCAGGCTGACCAGATTGCCGCTGCCAGCAAGAACGTCGTTGACGTTCTCAAGAAGGCCGCCGCCGGCGAGGTCGCCAGCGAGGACATCAAGAAGGCCATTGCCCTGGCCAAGTTCCGTGCCCTGGAGTCTCTGCAGACCCTCGACACTGGTCTCGAGGCCACCGGCTCCGGCCTGGTCCACGGCAGCAAGCCCTACCAGATTGGCGAGATTGCCCAAGCCGTCGAGAAGGTTTCCGAGCAGCAGGTCAAGGAGGTATGTCTAATTCCCTTTCCCTTTCCGTGTCCAGGTCCACCTTTGAGTCATTCATTTACTAATTCTTCTTCCTACAGACCGCTAAGTCCTTCCTCTCCGGCAAGGCTACCCTCATCAGCGTCGGTGACGTCCACCAGCTCCCCTACGCCGAGGACATTGGCCTCACCGTTTAAACACCCCTTTTGTATACCATACAACCCCTAGATCGAGGGAAAAGCGTGTTTCCTCGTTGGATTTGATGTGACCACTTTGTGCCTAGATTCATTGCCAATATCTCCTTTGTTTTCAAGGGTGTAGTTGACTGTAATACAATTGTACCTTATTTGAAGCAGTGCAGTTTGATGAGAAGCCTACCCGGACTAAACTGGACTAGACTCGGTCTAGGTGGGCTTTGATTCGAAGTTTCCAGGTGTAAAAGATCCTGCATAGTAGAACAGAAGCTCACGTATGGCTTTCGATCATCTCAAAGAAATTGCCAACAAGTTAGACCTGCAAGATCTGGGAAATAAACTTTTGTGAAACTAATATCGGATGGCTCTAATTGAACAGTAACGAACTGTGTAAGCTATGAAATATCAATCATTGAGAGCTAGGTAACATGGATCTCTGTACGTGACCAGATCATCGTGACAATCTGTCTCCCTGTCCCCGCGAAGTCAGAACGCAGCTCTGTTCTATATACATAGTCATTTCCTGAGGAGAACCGAGTCTGTTCTTCGTAAGGCAGAACAGACAATCAGAGATCAGAAGAGCTGGCAACGATGACATAACGGTTTCATGAAAAGCAAACTGTCTTGAAAGTATACTAAAAGCATAATAAAATGGTCAAACAATGATGTTATAAGAAACAGATGGGATTCAACTTCACCCCGATCCCTGGCCCGTCAAAGTAGGCCTAGAGACACGACAATGTTATGATAATACTGTGTCTGGGGGTAGACCTTGCCCCATATACGATGCAATTCCCGGAACTTTTGACGAACAACTTGACACCAGTTCCAAAGAGAATCCAGGCATAGCAAAGCAGATGATAGAGCTCCCCACATGTAGGTCACTGTATATAGTCGTACTATGTACTGCGTAACACTGGCTTATTTCTCTTCAATTTATCACAATTTACCTTCCATAAGTCTCGACGAAATCATCCACTATCGTCCGCCTACCGAAAAGACACAATTCCAAGGGCCACAGTCCATCAGTTTATACCCTCAGAATCATTCAAATCCATCATCTGAGGGCCCCATCCTAAGCCGTCCTTTCCCGCCGAATCAAGTCTGGCCGTCTGGCTTTCCTTTACAGAAGCGCCCAACATCGGTATCCATGCCGCAAAAATAGAGATGCTCTTTCATACCCAGACCTTGGCTCAAAAGATTTAATACGTTCCGGTTCAAAAGTCTTCAATAGTCCAATATTTATTCTCCCCACCAAAATACCTTGTACACCCCTGGTTTGTAGATAATCCGCCTAGGCAAGCTCATATCGATTACAAAGAAGTAAACCAGGCTGAGGTTGAAATAGCCGTGGTTTAAGAAGCATCCATATAGGTTCAATTGGGTGAGTGTGGAGGTATATGTCTGGTTGACCACACCAAGTGACATAACTATAGAAGTAAATCACCATACCAACAGGAATAGCAGAAATATTAAAAACGAGAAAATATCGTGCCGGGCGAATAGAAATTGTAAGGTGGATCTTGCTTTTACTGCTGGAAATCAGGATGCATCAAAGCCGAAGACGAGTGGTATTGCTAAGCTCTCCTCAGTGACTGTAACTTGCGCTAGGTTATCCTGGTACTCGGCCAGCTCTAACAGGGTGTGTAGTGTTACTGTAAATACCTGACGAATCCGCAAATTGTGTGCACAGATAAAGTAATGCATAGAAGAAGAGACTTTAAAATGGACCCGAGCGTCGCGCGTGCCGCATTTGACAATGTATATAGCTAGCAACAAAGGGAAAAAATGAGTAAATAACATTTCAACACTCAACTAGATGGCCACAAATATTGTATGGTTTGAAGCAACCAGTGATCAGTAAGAATTTATGGGGAACACTCCTGCTGGGCCGGCCAAGTCTCAAAGCCTCAATTGCGGCTAGTGGCGACGAACTAAATCTTAGTGTTCTCCACTCGCTAGGCCACGTTTGGTGATAATAGCGACCTGGCCATACATATTTAAAGTCTTTCTAGCATCTGAATAGCTCGTGGCTCTAATGGTTGAACTCACACAACAGACCCGCCTGATCGACTTGCTGGTGTCAGGGAGAACTGGTTGGGAATATGGTTCAACCCGTCAAGTTGAGCAAATAGCAATTGAAAGAGTTTCGTCATATTGCTTCGGATAATAGGAGAGCCCGTAAGCTGGGAATTTCCGTGTATTACTTGTTAAGTTACGCCACAGCCACAGAATTCTACACAATTCCATGGGATTTGCTAGTCGGAATTAGCCTCCAAACAACCTGCCATGTGGCTCCATGCTTCCTATTTTCTTTCTCGGCTTGCACATTTCCCTTTCGCCATTGGGAATAGAATTTATAGTGATAGGATCGGCAAATCGTCTCTAAGCGACTACAGTATTTGAGAATGGTGCTTACTAGTCATCACGGCCAAAGATCTTATGGTATAAGATATCACAACTTAATAAAAGACGGACTAACCCTGCTTAACGGTTATAAAAATTTGACCTGCACAAGTTTTACAGTAGCACAACTCTGCTCAGAGTCGATTGGTATTCCGACCTCGTCTCGGTTGGTCAAACTCGCAGCACCAAGAAGACCAGCTCTACCGGATTCCATCTGTGGATTGATCTCCTCAAAACCGTCTTCAATCGTACCGGGTCGTTGACTACAACAGTCGATGGTGTTTCTTATGTCCAACCTGTGCGATATCTAGTTCTCTGACTGAAGTGGTTCAGGCTTACATCTAATTTTGAGTCCGCTATGTTCAGTTCAGCGGCTTGGCATATGTATTTAGCAAGTGTCTAATATCAATATCACCCTATCTCACACATTTGGTCCTCGTATCTAGGTTAAAAGAACTTAAACTTTTCGCATTCTCGTAATATCTTGTTATACCTCGAGGTACATAAAAAACGAGGCGTTGATGCATAGTGAATCATTAGAACGTTGATAGTACTCATTGCAATGTTGCTCGGCTATCTTATTCTCTTGCTTCAAGCCCATCGAGAATGCTGGGAGATCTTAGTGCACCTTTTACAAGCTTAGATTTATTCACTCAATATCTAGTATGGGAGACATAAAAACGAGTGTGCTTGAATAGTTTCTCGGGATATTTGCATATTTAGTTTTCACTTGCCCGATGTCGGAAAGATATCGAATTTTCAAGCTTCACCTGATTATCTTTATGACTAACAAGGTGAATTTATTCCAGAGCAGGTAAGTCTTGCGTTGATCAGCAGTTATTAGCGAGAATATGTTGCTATCTTGATTTTCAATGTAATTGGTTCATGAGGCTTACGCAGCATACTTTCGAGAGTGGAAATGGACAAAATACGCCTCTATACAAAAGGTGTGCATGCACAGTTTGAGCACTGTATGCTTGTACCTTTGCCTCAACGCCTACTAGATCAATTTCTGAAAATTTGGGTATCTGTTTTCAGTGATCTGAAATCGTCCTCCCCAATTGGAATTTCTATAGCTGTTGAGGTTTTTTTTGCCTTTTTCCTACGGACTTTCGATCGTTTCATCTCCAAACCAACAGAAATCTTTTATATTTGAAAGATTGGCCACTTCAGGCAACTGGAACAATGCCAGATTAGGGACCTGGGATATATGGATTTGACATGTGAGGAATTTCAGTGCGCTGGCCCTTCTTTGGACCACGGTAGCTACGTAATTGTGTGAAAGAATCTCTTCACTCTTCAACATTCTGAATATAAAATGGAATTTTGTATTTAGATCTTGATATCCAGGGCCCAACCCTTGTGATTGGTAAAGCGGCAGCTTATGTCTAGAAATATGCAAATTACTAGTACTAGTGGAGGGAGACTATCAGTTATGCCTGCCATATACTAGGTCAAAGAAGTTCAATACTTTGTTTTATGCAGGGGTTGGAAACAATAGAAGAGTAATCGCCATATGACAAAAAGGAGGTATCATTTACATTGTTAGTCATAAGTAGGCCAATCCTTCAAGCGTGATGTGATAGCCCACAGCTAAAGTCAATGACACTTTTAGGTAAGAATGTTACACCAGCAGAGCATGAATTCCTAACTCCAACATAGCATCTCTGCAATCTGCCTGGTCGACTTCTTGCATTTCCCAGCACTTTCGCATTATTTTTAGAACAGTGGCCGAGTTTCCAATGCCACCCGAAGAATTTACCAACTCTACCATCAGACCCTCAACATATGGACGATCTGGTGGGCACACCATGCATCCGACTATGCACAATGCCCATACTGAGCCCGTAAGAGAGATTGACTCCTCCTTGTACTCAAGCATGGTCAAGGCTTTGCCCACGGTACTTCGTATCGACGGGGAACCAAGCAACGGGCCCAGAGTAATAGAATGACAAAGAACAAGTGCAGCTATTGCAAAGAATTTTGACACCCAGTCCTTCTGTGATCGTTTTCCAGATTTCTATGACAAGGATTAATTCAGGTCTTGATGAGATATTTCGATGAACTCTGATCAAAAGCTACTCACTTTTGTTGCGATTTCAAGTTTGTCGATGCCATTTTCCAGATCCGTGGAAATTCTTTCCCCTTGAACAAGAAGTTCTGCAGTGCATTCAACTTCACCTGGGCCCTGCACATCTTTACACTTGGCCAAATGAGCTAAATCACCAATCGCCACAAGGACCCAATTTTCACAACCCATGAGGTCAGCCATGTGTAAATCCTGAATACCAAGCCATTTTCGGTATGGAAGTTGTGGTAATCTGTCCGTTGACAAACACGAGAATATATCAAACCATAATCCAGTAACTATGATGAATCTCAAAGAACCAGTGTCATCACTAGTTCCTCGGTCAGAAAACCCGGCTAAACTGTCCTTGTTGAAGGACGCATCATGCTCCTGACAGCTGAAAATCCACTCAGGCGATAAATTGCTCATCAAGGAGGTGATAGCATTAAGATGGAGTAACCAATCATGCTCCCCCCCTCGGGCAACCTGGCCCGTAGGTGTCAGCGATCGCAAATTGTAAAAATGGGGAAATCGAATACCTCAAAACTCATTAGCATCACACTACAGGCCAAAAGCTCCGCTAGCTGGGTATGGTCTTGGATCAATTCATCCCCCTGCTCGCTCATTATGGTGCACATATCTCGTAGCACCTTGGAGTGACGATCAAATGCTCTCTGTTTCTGCGAAAGTTCCTGCCCTGTGCCAAGCAATGCACTCTGATGTAATGAAGATAGACTGAGAGACGCTTGGTAAAGTGGTCCCCCTTTGACAAAAAGCAAGAAAAGCCAACCTCTTTTGCCAAGAGAAAGATGTACATGATGGTATGGAAATTGCCATGGAAATACCTGATCGAAGTAATACATCAGGAGATTTGCCTCTTGCATGTTCCAGCTGTTATTGGTAAGAGCCTGGCTATCGTAGACCGCATCATGAGGTTGAATGACTTGATTATCATATGATCTGGATGGTATTTTTGCCCCGGACACAAATTGCGCGTGCGCTTGTGTTTCTGAGGCAGTTTGAGTATCTGCTCTCGACCCATATCGAGCTTCGGCTTGCTTTTTTTTAACACGCCGGAAGTTTTTCCGTACCGCAGCCTTGATACGTGACCGTTCTCTTTGCTCCTCCGAGCCGCCATCCATCCATGTTGGCTTCGAACCATACCCGTGACACTGGACATGCCTATCGGAGCATTCAATGCATGATGGTGTACCAAGGTCACATTTCTTATGTCGAACATGACATGTCCAACATCCTGCGCGTGGCATGGACTTAGCGCAATTCGACCGAATGAGGCCGTTCGGGCTCCAATATCAGTGCAATTCGCGAAGAAACTCCCTACTATTTCACGTGATTTGCGAGACGTGAGGAAAGAGTCATGCGCTGAAAGCCTATCCACACAGCCGAAGCCGTAGACCAATAAGAAAAAAATTATAAGAACAAGGAACCAAAGTGGTAGAGTCAATATCTGATGCGATGAGCCCAAGTTGGAGTCCTATGGTCACCTGACTGAAATGAAAACTGTTTACAGCACCACAAAAAAGCATTAACAAAACGCCGTCCGACTTCGCCACCACAGCCCACCGAGATTCACGTGCTTCTCGTAACGTCCTGACTAGTTTAATCAAATCTATACATGCAGTTGCGAAGCTATATTATATACCACATTTGGTCACTACAAATGTGCAATATCGGAAGACCCTCATGCATTGATATTAGACATTGGCAGGACCTGCTTGGACCCAAGACCCAACTGTTACGGACCCTACACCATGAGGGGGCACAACTTACTGATGGGCCACCATGAGCCAACCAACACTAAGGGGCATGCATTAGCTCCGGAAGTCATGTTCAAAGGAACGGGCACCCAAGGCACCCCCAAAACTACAGGCTGAGAACACCCAGGAAAAGGCGCAGGAACAGGCATTCTTTATACCGTCACCTATACTACACCAAAAACACATGTAACCGGTAAGGGTCCATATGACCACAGATGGTAGATGGGTATTTCAATCAACAGGTAGATTGTGCCAAGCATAATCTACCACTCTACCATCTATCATGGATACCATTGAGAAGGACTGGATATATAAGAGCACCTCTTTACACACATGTATTTAGTTCTTTGCAATCAATCAATCTAAGTTACTACAGTATACCGTTGGATTGTTCTTCATTTGGTTTCATTTCGGAGCCTTTCCGAATGGTCGTGTTGCCTGTGGCGAGGGCGAATGCAACTGACCTGGCGCCCAGCACGTAGGGAGCATTCCTGCGACAACATCAGTATTCCCATTTCGGCAGAAAAATGGAGGAGGGAAGAAGCATTGTACCATGGTGCAATGGCAAGGACCACACTATATGGTTCCTTGACTATCATGGCATACGAGCCCTCTTCTGCAGTCACGGGAACAAACCTTGAACAGCGGCTTCAATTCTTCCACCAAGGTCCCTTAGAATCTGCACTGTAGCGCTGATGCTGATTTCCATGAACTGAACTCCAGCACCTGTCTCCTTGCTCTGGTAGGAGAGTAATTCCTGTTTTCTACTGAAGAAGAGGTCCGCCGCGCGGAATATGGTGTCCCTTCGGAAGCTGGGCTTTGTTTGAGACCATGAGGGGAAGACGGCCTCGGCTACCTTGATTGAATCAATGACCTGGCTATTTGACGTAGACGAGCTATCCTAGACTTGCTCGCCGGTAGCAGGATCGATAACCTTGAAAGTTGAGGTCGAGGTGACATCTTTGCCGTTAATGATGAAGGGCACAGTGACACTCGCCTGCTCTACTAGATCACTTGTCATGCTCGCGGGCTCTATAGTTCTTTGGTGGGGGAAGCGGTAAGCTGTGTCACCTACATGATATACCAACTATGAAATTCACGCCGGCCCCGTGTGTAAATACTGATTCTTTTCCCTCAGGCATTGGTCTTTCTATTGTATCTTGCCTGGTTCAGACTTCTGCGGCCCGAGTATATATCCTTGGACGTCGGTTGCCTATTCTCCAAGATGCTTCTCAGAGATTAGGAAATACCGTAATCCCTATTGAGTGTGATGTAACCAACCCAGACTCTGTCTCTAGCGCTGTATCCTGTATCGAACGTGATATTGGCTACATCGATGTCTTGATAAACATTTGCGGGCATTCTAGGACCAGACTATAAGGGAGCCAATATTGCAACAACTATCGATGAATTACAGAGAAGTCTACTAAATACCTGGTCTGGTTGGGAGGCTACCTTTGCTGTTAACTTGAGTGCAGTGGTAGGAGTATCAGCTGCTTTCCTGAAACTTTTAGATGAAGGAAATAGAAGACGCGGCTGGCCAGCTGGTAGGTCACCTGCCTAATCAGCCTCGTGTTAGAGAAAAAACAAGCCTTGCTCCTAGTGATACTGTGGATCTGGAGGATAAACGTAGTAGTCAGATTATTACTGTGGCTAGTATCGCAGGATTAAATCAATATATTACTGCGGGATTGTCATATAGTGGCAGTAAAGCAGCGGCCATACTGCTGGCTCATTTGTTGGCCCCATGGGGAATCAGATGCAATGTTATCAACCCAGGAAGTATGGTTTCCCCTAGAAGTCTGGGTCCTTTTGCTTGTCTGATTCTATATTAACACTAGAATATTTTTGCAGTTTATCCATCTGATATGAGTGTCGGCACTAAAGATACTTATAGCTACAATGATGTCCCGGCAGGGCGGAAGGGGGATTTCCAGGACGTTGCCGGAGTTGTTCTCTATCTAATTTGTAAAGCGGGAGCATATGCCAATGGAAACATGCAAATTACCGATGGAGGAAGACTGTCAGTTATGCCTGCCACATACTAGGTCAGAAGATTCAATACGTTCCGGTTCAAAAGTCTCCAATAGTCCAATATGTCTTCTCCTCTACCAAAGATGCCTTGTAAACCCCTGATTTTTGAATACTCCGCTAAGTGTAACGAACCGCATATCGTCGTCTGAGCCACGTGCCCATGTCACGCAATACCTACATCTGTTCATTTGTACCATAGAACCTTCGAGAGGTAAGGGTTCCCTCTAACTTTTCCTCGGCTTTCACCATAAATATGGAAATATCAAGTCGGTAATATCACGCATCTTTTCACTAGATAATTGCTAGTAATCTAGCTCTCTTTGAAGCCTCAATTTCTTTTTCCCAGGTCACATCGATTTTTCCCACACTTTGCTACCACTGAACCAAGTCTCCAAGACAGTTGCGCTAAGAAGAGCATGTTTATCCCAGTCCATATTTACAACAATGAAGTCAGCCATCTTTCCAGGGGCCAATGTCCCTACGCGGTCTTCTGCGAAAACACTCCGAGCGGCACCACCGGTCGCGGCAATGACAGACTCGCAAAGACCCAGACAGAAGTGATCATTTACAGCACCTACGTACTGTGGTTTCCTTGAAGAGCGCCTCGTGGTTGCGACATAGAGCTTATCCATCGGAGCCCAAGGAGATGTAGGGCTATCACTGCCTATAGCCATGAGAGCGCCCGCATCAGCGAATTCGCGATACGCAAATGCCCTTCCACATCGCTCTTTCCCAAGAAGCCGAGGCCATGCTTCAAGGATAGATGGGTCTGCATGGACAGGCTGGATGGAAGCTGTTAACCCCAATGTACCAAGGCGCTTGGAATCTTCTGGTGACGCCAGCTCTAGGTGCTCGATGCGATGGCGTCTTCCTGGAGTAGTATGATTTTCAATTGCATTGATAGCCATATTGATAGCTTCATCTCCAATAGCATGAAGAGCAATTTGCAAACCACTAGCATCTGCTTCCTGGATGACTGGAATCAGATACCTAGGAGCCCATATCGGGGGAGGGGAGCCTAAGCTACCCGAGGAATATGGCTGTGAGAGGTAGGCTGTACATCCATCAATAATTCCGTCACAGATAATCTTCACTCCAACAACCCGCAGATCCGGGCTTGTTTTAGAGTTATATTGCTTTGACAGTTCGAAGGCACGTTTTGTTTGCTTCGAGTTTTCCTCAAAGCTCTCTGTTGGCTTTATAAGCCAGTATGCTGAGAGGCGAATAGGAAGAGTTGGCTCTTCTTCACGAAGAGTAACAAGAGCGTCCCATGCCTCTTCGTCCATTGCCATCTCTATCACACCCGTATATCCTGCGGCATTGTACTCCTGTATAGCAGCCCGAATAGCTTCCATCCTCTCCTGTTTAGGACTTGACATTGCTTGGTATGGCCATATAATAGACATCATGGCGCCTTCATCAAGAACCCCAGATGGATTTCCATCGACATCACGATAGATCTTGCCGCCTGCTGGGTCGGGCTTGCTAGCAACATCGAGTTTCTTCAGAGCTGCAGTATTGCACCAACATGAATGCTGAGTACTATTGTCAATGAAAATCGGCCGCGACGGATCAATGTCGTCTAACATCGCTGCTGTCACGCCGTCTGGCGTCATTGCGTGGAACCAGTTTTTGCAAAGGATGGTCGGAATGTTGGGGTTTGCAACAGCATATTCTCGGATAGTCGATCTTATATCCTCCAGATTTTGGCAGTGTACCAAGTCCAGCTTACGGAGAGACTGGCCCAGAAGAAGAAGATGCATATGGCCATCAATGAAGCCAGGTAGAACGATTTTCTGCTGAAGGTCACGATGCTCAGTATCACGATCCTTGGCTGAAGGCAATAATTCATCGTATGGCCCAATGCTAATGACTTTGCCATCTTGAACTATCATGCTTTCCGCAAAGCTTGGGGTGTCGTGGAGGACCGCATGTTCGGTGGTCAAGATGCGACCATTGTGGAAGAATATGCGGTTTGCCATATCGAGTCGCACGCACATACGTTGTGTTTGTAATGGAAGAATGAATTTGAGCTTGGTTCAGAGATAAATAGAGCTTGGACATCTGAAAACAGGATATGGGAAAGAAGTAGCATTTTAAACATCGTACTATTGATTGATATTTTGAAGTAATCTATGGTGGAGCTCGCTTCTGGCTCGCTTCGAGCTTCCTTCCGAGTTTCATTCCGAGCTTCACTATTCCGTACCGGTAATTTTTCACCCGCCAGAAAAATATTCATGTCGCTCATAGCAGTTATTTGACCGCTGTACTATACCATTTGTAATTGATTCGCCTAGTGCAAACCCTCTGGTCTCATACTCTAAGCAGAAATTGATACCGGAAGAAGCGATCACTTCGGGGTTCTATGCGTATACCCATGAATGTTCCCACTGACGTAAGCTGAGGCTCATGAGAATCGGCCAAGATTCCTAGCAGTCTATTTCACTTAGGCTGTCGGTTGCTCATATTGCCGTTCTGAGCCCCTGTAAAAACAGTGGTGTTTTTTGACTTGATGCATCCCTCCATGCCACAATTTTCATTTAAGTTCTACCAGTCTGGTAGGTCCGAACTTTTCTCTCCCTTATGGTTACCGCGGTGGTTACTATGTATTATAATTCTTACTATCGACCTAGCAAACATGGCGGTCAGAGCTGGTTATATGAAGGTTTCCTTCAAAAGACTAGTTACACCAGACGGTTTTGTTGCACTTTCTACATCACATACTTGTCAATTAAATAACTGCTTTACCCTGGGAGTAGTACACACTAAAACTTGAATTCGGTGGTTATATTTTTGGTCACCACTCATCCCCCAAGGAATGAGTAGAGAAATATTGAAAACTGGCTGCACAAACTTAATTTGCCACGGATGATCCCTAAAGTCTTTTAACGATTTTCACACAATGCGGCTTGCATTGGATCACTCTGAAAATCATTGGCAGGAATTTCAGTTCTCAGAATCTCTCAGAGCCTTCGAGATAGCTTCCATACCACCCAGAAGCTCTTCTCTAGTTGGCCAGCCAAATCCAAGGCGGAAGAAAGCATCCGGCATTTCAAACCAATGTCCAGGACCGACGTATGTCTGGTATTTGTTGAGCAATCGCTTGTAAAAAGCATCGATGCCACCCGCGGGCTCCTTTGTTATCTTTGGAAAGCACACAACGCCACCAACTGGCTCTACCCACTCAATCATCTCCTCCCTTTCAACCCATGATTTAACAAGTTGAAGTCTGGATTCCATCTCTGCGTTTGTCTCCTTCAATAAAGTCTGTTTGCGCGACAACAATTCGCTGGCAATCCATTCATTGATCACACTGCCACTGATGCTAATTTGCTCTTTGGCTGCAAGGAAGGTTGTTTGTAGCTTTTGATCACGTGTGATAATCCATCCGAGTCTGATCCCCGGTACGCCGTATGACTTGGACAGGGAGCTCACACTGATGACATGATCGGCGAGAGATGCAGCCACAGGGAGCTGTGTTCCGTAATGAACATCACGATATGTTTCATCAACAAGGAGAATGCAGTCCTTCTGCTTGGTAAGAGCCACGAGACTATCCAATGCTTGCCTGGAGATCGAAGTGCCAGTTGGATTGTGGGGGCAAGTGATGGATAAAATTTTGGTCTTTGGCGTGATGCAATATTCAAGATAAGAAAGGTCGGGTTGAAAGCCATCATCAAATGTAAGATCAACATAGCTGATCTGACAACCGATTGCTCGTGGGGTCTCGATGTTGGTGGCGTAATTGGGCCGGACCACAACAATATGATCGTCGCTAGACAGCTGAGAAGTGGCGATAATGAAAAGTGCCCCAGCAGCACCACCAGTAATGAGGACATCATCTCTGCTCACGCCAGCATCTGAAGCAATAATATCTCGAAGCTGGGTGCTACCCTGGTGTTCATTGTATAGGAGCGTGAGGTCTGGGATAGTCAGACCCAGAGAGGAGAGAGTTTGATCAGCGATCGAGCTTTCGGAGAGATTGTATTTGATTTTTTCGTAGCCGTACTCCTCCGGCGACTCGATCTCGATTGGCATGCGTTCGTACTTCATTTTGAGTGATAACTCCTGTCAGAGAAAGCAAATATGGTTGGCTCCGTCCTGACAATTAGCGGGCATTACCGCCTTTTATAGGATAGATTTCCGTAGCGTGGGAATATTCATAGAATTTATCTGGGGCAGATTAACCCATTTACGAGTAGTCACCCACCTAACCATTGAATCATGGAGTAGATTAAAATTTAGCAAATCCTGGATATCGTCAAGTATACAGCCGGGCCGGTAGTTGGGCTGATGTGATTGGTTGATTTTGTCTCGGTTCGCCTTTACCCTATTCGGTACGCGTTGCCCTCTTGGCAATTGTGGTCCTTTCTATGTGATGGGGACCTTAACGTCCAATGTTATTCTTGAATGGCTGTATGTTGTGGTTATACTGGGTCTTCGTGGCTCGAAAAAACCAACACCATGATCTATACGAGGCCTTTTTTCACGCCCCGCCCGCCCGAGCCAGATTTCCTCCATAATTCACCAAAAGCGCGACAGAATTTACATCTATTACTTATACAAGTTCTATTATATATACCGATATTCCAATGTTCAAAAGGACGACAGGATACATTCGCGCATAGTATTCGATGAATATTGAACTTGATTGCTTTTAATATGTCTCAACGAACACGCCACGCGCGACAAACAGGTAAAATCTGCTCAAAGCTCAGCGTTACAAGTACCCAATGAATGTTTCCTGATATATTCAGCAGATATTCCAACTATACGCCAATTCATTCTTGAGCTCGCCGAACACCAAAATGATCTAGCGCAAGTCACGGTTACTGAAGAGCTCCTGGCGCAATCACTGATATTCGACCCTAATACAACGGACCATGCCAATGATAACAGCAAGACGCCTCCAACAACTCCCTCCCGTCCAGCACGCTGCCTTTTGGTTTTGGCCGAAAGTGGTATTCCTGTTGGCATGGCAATCTACTTCTACAGTTTTGTCACTTGGCATGGTAAACCTGGGATATATCTCGAGGACTTTTATGTTCGCGCCTCAGAGCGCGGGAAGGGATATGGAAGAGAGTTGATTTCCGCTTTAATTGAGGAACTTCAAGTTGTTGGAGGAGTGCGGCTTGAATGGAGAGTACTCGATTGGAACGAATTAGGGGTTCGGTTCTATAAAGGCATCGGTGCCACGGTCATGAATGGCTGGATGGACATGAAGCTTGAACCCGAAAGGTTTAAAGAAAAGGCTTAGATATAATAACGCTGTATTAAATTAGCAGTATTTTGTCCAAAAAGTCCTTTGGAGTATATCACTTGAGCATCAGGGTTATTAATCGCACTAGAGTAATATAAATTCTGGTCCCGATTAAAACTTTTAAATCGATATAGTATAGCTCTGATCGACAAACATGGCGGGCCCATGGGATAGAAAGTCAAGACTCGGAAAGAATTAGCAATTTTTCGTATTATGAACAAAGTGTACGCAATACGTACAATCTTAAGCCGTATGCATTGCTAGATCCAGACGTACGTACTGGCTAGGTCCTTTGGTTCTTATGATAGTCATATATGCGATCCAGCCAATAGGGTGTTCCACCGGCCCGGGAACTCGACATGATAACCTAAAATGGCAAGGCGATTTCCTTTTCCTGTGGATCGCACCAAGCTCTCATTTTAGCCAATCAAAGAAACAATATTCTGCGTGTTTTTTGACAAGCTGATGCATAATGATGCGGGGTAGTGAAGTAACAGTATATAAAAAAAAGAAGTACAATGATTTTCCAGTATAAAATCTCTCTTTAGTTTGATTAACACGCTACTTCATGGTTCTTTTCGCATAATCACGATTAAAATTCTTCAATCGATAATATCCATACCAACTTCCAGGCCTTCTCTCCCTCTCCGTTCCTTCCTTCTATTGAAACAAGAATTCGACTGAACGCAATATTTGCCAATATGGAAGCGGATAATATCACCTCAGCACCCTTCTCCTCCACAGCTGGAGTTAAAAAGGCCAATGTTCATCACAACGAAAATTCAGGAGTGATAGATCAGGATGATCAAGAGCTTGGCACCTTTGCAGATTTTGAGAAGCAGAAAACTATCGAGGGAGAAGCGAAGTTCCATCGCTTAGGCTGGAAGCGCATGACAGTGATTCTCATTGTTGAAGCCATAGGCTTGGGTACTTTCAGCCTGCCTGCCGCCTTTGCAACACTTGGATTAGTCCCGGGCATTATCTGCTGTATTACTCTGGGATGTGTGGTCATTTATACTGGATATATTGTTGGAAAAGTCCAAATTCTTTACCCGGAAATCAAACATTATGGAGATATTGGCCGCTTGGCGATGGGTCGTTTTGGGGAAGAACTGGTAGGTATATTGTATGTGCTCCAGCTCACTCTTATGACAGCATCCTATTGTCTCACGGGTACGATTGCTTTCAATATCTTGAGTGACAATGGGGCTTGTGATATGGTTTTCGGTCTAATAACGGCTATTATATTATTTCTTCTTGCCCTGATGCCATCTTTTACTGAAGCTGCCATATTAGGCTATATTGATCTAGCATCGGTGATGATTGTGATTGGTATTGCTATTATTGGTTCTGGAGTGCACGCCACACACCTGCCAAGTGGTATTTACGCCGTGGATTGGTCAATATGGCCACCCAGTGATACTACTTTCAAAGATGCGATGGTAGCAATCTGTAACATTATGTTTGCCTACAGCTTCTGCATGTTCATAACCCCATTTATGTCTGAGATGCATACCCCAACAGATTACGTGAAGTCTATCTGGTGGCTAGGTATAATCGAAATGGTGGTGTATACACTCATTGGTGCTCTCATTTTTGTTTTTGTTGGCGCGGATGTCCAAAGTCCATCCTTGCTCTCATTACAGGGACTGCTTCCAAAGATAGCATTTGGATTTGCACTTCCTCTCATATTCATCTCAGGGGCGATTGGTAACACAGTGACTGCCCGATACATTCATTCTCGACTTTTCAAGGACTCCGTCATTCGCTTCATCAACACTCCAATGGGATGGCTTACTTGGATTATGGTTCTGGCTACAGCTACTGTTGTTGCCTGGATTGTGGCTGAAGCTATCCCGTTCTTCGACGACCTCCTTGCTATTAGCTCAGCCGCTCTTATATCTGGATTTGTCCTCTACTTTCCGGCTGCAATCTGGTTTATCCTTATTTGCAAGGGAGAATGGTACGAGAGAGAGAATTACATACATGCCATTGCTTGTGGCTCTATTTTTGGCGCCGGATTGCTTGTACTTGGAGGGGGACGTATGCCAGTGTCCAAGACATCGTTAGTAACCCCCCCTCCAACCAAAATCTATCTTATTCAGTAAATTACTCACATATTTGAAGCTACATAATTACGCTACTGGTGCTGTCGGATCATCATTCTCTTGTTAGTTTCAAGGTTTAAATAAATCAAGGTGGCTATAGGTTCAGACATTTCAGTTCATTTTCACAGTTGTCCATCATAAGGGCAGGCCAAAAATGGGAAGGATGATTGACCATGATAGGCGACGATAGGGCTCAAATTCATGTCAAGAAGCATTTTCGTGGCAGGATTTTGCTATTGAGTAAACATAAATACAAGTTCACTAGCAACTCAAATGATCCATGGATTGTGTAAATTTCCAAGGTTCTCTAGGTACCTTTCAGTTCAAGTTAAGAGCTTGGAACTTGAACCAAAGCTGTCACGAAAATTGAGAACCTTGAAATTCCAAGCTTCAAGAGTAGTAGATAATATGATGGTGCCCCATATATATTCTAAGACATTGGGAAACGCTGGAAGACTCGGAATATGTTCCAAGGTTTGCGAAAGGGTAATTCATGAAAGACCCCCGAGGTCCCTAGCGCAAGCCAAATGCGCAGGCATATCACTCCCCTATTGGCCCGGTTTTAGCTAAGTGGGTGTAACAAGCGAGCTGCGCACCCAATCACCTTTTCGTGTCCTACTGCGTTTATGTATCTCATATCCACCACTATGCCCACAATTCACGTTAGACCAAGCTAAGACTCTCTTGAGAGGGAGGTTTGGCTATCACCAGGTATTCAGACTATCTAGAAAAAAGAAACTATGTTTATTCGAGAGACAGTACATCGCTTTAATATGCCTGAGTCTACCCCCAACGTATGTAACTGCATAGGAATACAAATCGCGCTGAATAGTGTCTAAACTGTTTTAAATAAACCCAGATTGAAGAGTTTCTACCCCAACAGCAAATATTATCCTAAGATCTATGTAAAGCAGCCCCGACATAAGCCTATGTACAAGAAATAAAGAATGATATAGAGAGGGTGTGCATAATTTGATCCAAAAGGAGATTTTTAACCGAAGGAGCAGACGGAGGGGGGAGCTTAATGCACGTGGAACGACCACAAGAAATCAAGAGAGTGAAGCCAGCTCCTTTCCTTCACGAATTAAAAATTGACAATAACCTTGAGACGAAGCGGGAAAGGAACAACTGTGACTGGATACGTCATGGCGTGATTACTAGTGACGAATCGGGATATTCAAAATATCTGGAAGGAAATTACTGTAACGGACCATCACCGTGTGGGACTACCTTTTCTCCTGCGCCCTCGATTACCTATTGTCAAACAAGAGAGGACAAATTTGAAGTATCAGAAAATTCAAATAACTGAAAGACTTCAACTGCAATTGCCATGGGTAAGAAAAAGCTTCGAAGTGCGAGGATTCAGTCATAATGTATATAAAATTAACTTAGCTATAGTTCAATTTGCTATAGCCCGACTTTAATATTTGAAACCCCATAAGATTAATAAGACTCATAACTCAAGAGGACGCGCAGTTATAGTGGGATTTTATAATAACTCATAGTGGATAAACAGCTGTGCCGCGGTCATTTAAAAACTTGGTGTCCAGAATAATGTTCCCTGCGCTAAAAACTTAGATAAGCAACCGAGCAACCCTTTTTGGGAAGTTCTTCCAGAAGAGATAAAGCGCGAGAATAACAGGGGCGGCGAGGTACTGTTGGAAGAAGTAACTGGGACTGGGAGATGACCCATGTGGCTGATAAGAACATGTTAGATTGTGCCAGTTAGCAAGAAATTAAGGCGACATACCCAGACGGAAACAGAAAGTGGCAGCCAGGCACAGAATATTAAGGGTCAAGCCAACATAACTTCCTAAAACACCAAATGGAGTCCTGTAAGGTAGATCATTGATTGAGCGTCCCTGAAACACCCACGCTCTTCGGAGCCTGATGTGGCGAAGACAGATACTGCCCCAGACGAAGAAGTAGCTGAGACCGATCAAACTGAGCAACCAGTTGAAAACCGTGGATTCCTCAGAGCTCTCACCAATGAAGGCAAGTAGACCAAAAAGAACCTGAAGAATAACGGCATATACTGGGCGACCCTTCTTATATACATGAGAGAAGAGTTTAGGACCCATGCCTCGCTCAGACAGAGCTTGTAGCGTTCGAGTAGAACCAAAAGTGCAAGAATTGGCCACACTTATAACAGAGAATGTGATGACTGCGTTGAATATTGATTGAAGAACAGGAATACCACTGTCAATAATGGCGATGACGAAAGGCGAGTCCTTGGTGTCGGAATTCGATGCATTTAGCAAACATACCTGAAATTACTTATGCGGTGACAGATTCAGACAGGTTTTTGGATAATTTCTTATCGGATTGACTCCCTAGACTAGCTTTTAACATCTTCTATAATGAAAATGATTTCATATGTCACTGTTCACGGCGGGATTGTGATATCAATTGGTAACTGTAATGGTGACTAAGGGGCCGGGTAGTGACCGGATCAGGCAAGTTGATAGAGAAAACTGCTGTTTTTTATTGTAACAAAAAAACTAATTCTTAAAGATTCTTCAGGGAATCGGGCAATTATCGTCTGATTTATAGAACAAAGAGTCCGGGTACATGCCGCTTGATTGCATCATGTCAACCTCCCATTTCATCCGGTGCTTTTTTTTAAAAAAAAAAATCAAAAAATCAAAAGCTCAAAGATACTATTTTATGGCTGGAGTGAGAATGTGCCATATCGATTTTCCCTACACGCCAAGCCAATTTTAGAAAAAGGACAACATTAAGTAAGAAACAGCAAGCAATGCACAAGTCCAAAGAAATCCAATGCACAAAGTACGTCAGACCTACTACAGTAATATGATCCTAGCTAGTATAACCTCGGTTGACACGAGCATCGGAAATGCGGGTATCAAACGCCGACACCAACACCAATACACAAAAGCAAACCAAACTCGGTCCGTGCAAACGGATCAATGGAAAGAACGATCTCGGAAAAATAACAAAAAATTACAACCCGAGAAATAAAAACACAATTTAATCAAAAGAAATACCATAAGTGACGACAATCGCCAAGTCAATTTGAAAGAAAGGGCCGATATACGGTGCTGGCTGGGCAAGACCCGAGATCGGATGAATGTGCTGGCAGCCATCAACATTCCCCAGCCCCAGTCGGACATACCCCGTAGAAAAAGAGACAGATAATTGGAAGGAAGAGTCCCGTCCAGTCCGCTCTACGGTATGACTTGGGAAAGGCCCGGGCCCGGACTCGGACGGGGTCCGGAACGGTCCTGTCTGTCCTGTCCGGGTGGTGGTCGGCTATGTAGTTTTCGTGGGATGTTCATTTTCGGAGTCCGGGGGTGGTACTCCGGGGGTTGGGTTCTGGGGTGAAGTGAAGTGGAGAGAAAACAGACAGGGAGAAATTAATGAATTGAATTGAGAGAACAGTTTTTTGTTTTGTTAATTGATTCTATAACTCTGTTTATTTTAAGAATGTAAGAGAAAACGTCCAGGCAAAACTACAAAGAAAAAATGGAAAGGAAAAAAAAAGGAGACGGATTCAAGTGTCCAGACACATTGGGCCAATAAGATTGTCGTGAATTCACGATTGCAAATGTATTCAAAGGGTATCGGGTCTGCTTGTGGCAGGTTGATGGAATTAAGAATGTGTGTAGGTGAATGTTTGTGTAAGGGTGGAATGGAATGGAACCATTGGTATGGCACTTCCTCCGCTTAGTCTAAATACGCGCCGCTGCACTGCACTGCACTGCATAGTAGAAGGGTATCTCAAACCTTCTCTAGTGCTTAGCGGTGACAGCCTCGCCGGTCAGCTTCTCGACAGCCTCCTTAGCCCTGTGTAACAATATTGATTAGTCCTCGGTTTCACATGAAAGTTTGTCAGGGGGGATTGGGGGAACGTACATATCACCAAGAGCAACCATGCAGACAGTCTGCCAGATACCCAGACCAATACGGGGCGCAACACCACGGTAAAGACCGCGAAGACCATTGTTCTCGTAGATGTACTTGGCAGTCTTGCCAACAGTCAGATTCTTAGGACGATTGGGATCCTCAGTCTTGCTCTGCATCTCGACACGAATAACCTCAATAGGCTGATTCCAAGCGGAAAGACCACCACCCAGACTGGAGGCGAGGATCTTCTCCCAAGCGGACAGCTTCGTGCCATCCTCCTTGCCAGTAGCCTTACGGATAGCAGACTCAGCCAGACGGGAGAGACCGAAACGGGATCCCCAGTTAGTAGTCTGACGAATGGCGACGGCGTTGACACCACGGTTGATACCACGGATACCCTCCTTGCGGTAGATATCCATGAAGGTAGCGAAGGTGCCGGTGGGCTTGACGCCCGAGGCGGCCATCTTGTGCTTGGTGATCTCGACGGTCTTCATGCAGGTGCAGAATCCCATAGTAGCGTAGGCTTGGGCAACACCACCGGCCATACCACCGCTGATTCCACCGACGAAGTCACCGGCGCCCAGGCGGCGTGCCTGGTACTCGGCTTCGGAGGCGACGAACAGGAGGACTGCACCCTTGGTGGATGCCTCAATCCAGGCCCACGGAATGAGTCCTTGGTAGTCTAGTTCGGGTATTCGGGTTAGTTTGATTTGGTTCACATGCGTGGTGATTGGGTTTGCGTGGGTCTCCACAGTAGACACTAGGTGCGTGCATCGGAGGAAGAAGGGGGGGGGAAGGGAGGGTATCATCACGTACAACCGAGGATGCCACCACGGCCCCAAATCCGACCCATAGCACCGGCGAAGCTGTCGCCCCGGTTGGCGGCCATGGTTGTCTTGATCACTTCCAACGGCTAGAGAGAAGGGGAGGGAATGTCAGCATGGTGTACTCGATTGTTTGGGGGAGGGTGATCCTGTGTTGATTGACAGGGTGGAGACACGGGGAGGAGAGCTCCCTGTGATCAATGACAATGACAATAGCAATAACAATAACGTACCTGTCCCAACGAGGTGACCTCGAACATGTTCAATCCAGCACCCAACAACAGGTTGCTGAACTTGACGGGCTTCTTCTCGAGCTCAGGCGCGGCGGCCTTGACCGGTGCGGTAGACATCTTCAGAATGGGGAGTTGCGCTGAAAGGGGCCCTGACCAAGGGATATATGGGGCTTCGTCGCCTTTTAAAGGGAAAGAAGGGGAGAGGGGAGAAGGGAGGAATAGAAATCGAAATCGGAGGTAGTGTAGTGAGCAAAAGAGGAAAAGGAAAGGCCAATTGTCTTATAGGGGGAGTCAGCTGAGGCGGAGAGGGAAGGTACCAAAGTATCGAGTACCTGGAGGAGTCCCGTGATCCACTCATGCCGGCGGGTACTGAGTACCTTCCATACTGTCCGTAGTTAACTACTGTGTCTACTGTGGCCATACTCCATACTTTGCTGTAGTTATCTGACCAGCCTCAGGCAGGCAATTTCAATTCCCGAGATCCCCCAGGGTATTTCTGAATTCTCCGTACTTCGGAATTTGGACATTCTGGATAGCTCCGGTTGGTTTGATGCTACCGTATTGCCATTCATATTATTATTCCGATTTCTATAATTTCTATACTATAAATACTGCCGAAGTTCATTTCATTCCCTCTCCTTTTTCCCTGCATTGTTTATTTTGGCATTGGGTGGGTCGGTGAGAAGGTTGAGCCTCCCAACAATTCACGTGTGCTCGATTCTACTTGGGTAGCCGTCAGACCATTCCTAATCTGCGCCCGCACAGGCACTCTGCATCCTGCATGCATGCATGGCGGACTAGATCGCTCTCAACAGCAGATATCTCAGCAGATATCTGACTACACTACACTTTTACACCCAAAGGAAAAAAGTACTAATTACGCAGAATACCAAAGACAATTTGCGTGACCAAATATCATGTTGGGAGGAAGTGCTGTTACAAGGCCCGCTCGAACCGGTCAAGTCCTATATCATACAACATGAAAACCACAATCACAAAAAATAAGAAGAAATAATACAGTCTAGCTCAGAATCCTCCCCCCCAATTATTACCATTTTACCATTTACCGGTGGTGTTGCATTTAGAGCTTAGCACCAACCAGCTTGGCGTAGGCCTCAGTGCTGAAGGACTTGGGGCGCTCAATGGGCATACCGAGAGCACGGTCAATGATCAGCTGGGGCAGGACACCCAGGGCGCGGGAAACACCGAACAGGACGGTGTAGTAGTTGGCCTCAGTCAGACCGTAGTACTGGAGGAGGACACCGGAGTGGGCATCGACGTTGGGGAAGGGGTTCTTGGTCTTGCCGTGCTCGGTCAGGACACCGGGGGCGATCTTGTAGACCTGGCTGACCAGCTTGAACATGGGGTCATCGGGCAGCATGCGGAGAGCGAACTCGCGCTGGGAGACGTAACGGGGGTCAGTCTTGCGGAGGACGGCGTGGCCGTAACCGGGGACGACACGGCCGGCGTTCAGGGTGGACCAGAGGTAGTCGGTGATGGACTTGTCGCTCAGGTCGTTGCCGACGGCCTTCTTCATCTCGGTGAGCCAGTTCAGGACCTCCTGGTTAGCCAGACCGTGCAGGGGACCGGCCAGACCCTGGAGACCGGCGGAGAGGGAGAGCATGGGGGAGCTCAGGGCACTGCCGACCAGGTGGGTGGTGTGGGCAGAGACGTTACCACCCTCGTGGTCGGTGTGGATGGTCAGGTACAGACGCATCAGCTCAACAAAGTCCTTGTTGTCGGCGAAGCCGAGCTGGTTGGCCAAGTTGAAGGAGTAATCCTTGTCCTTCTGGATAGCGGCAACCTTGCCATCCTTGTAGACGTTGCGGTAGATCTTAGCGGCGATGGTGGGCAGCTTGGCGATCAGGTCCATGGAGTCCTCGAAGGTGTAGCTCCAGTACTCCTTCTTGTTGATACCCTTGGCGTAGGCCTTGGCGAAAGCGGACTCGTGCTCGAGAGCGGTAACAGCCAGGGAGAACTGGGCCATGGGGTGGAGGGTGCTGGGGCAGCGGTCGATGAGCTCCTCAATGAACTTGGGGACGTCGGAGCGGGCAGCCCACTCAGCAGACAGGTCGCGAACCTGCTGCTCGGAGGGGACCTCGCCAGTCAGCAGAAGCCAGAACAGACCCTCGGGAAGGGGCTCCTGGCCACCGGGGGCCTTGGGGAGGAGCTTCTGGACCTCGGGGATCTAGAGAGGAGAGATGTAAGCGAGTCTGGTCGATAGAATTGGTCTTTCAGAGATCTTCAAAACTTACGGTCTTTCCACGGAAACGGATACCCTCCTCAGAGTCGAGGACGGAACCCTGGGAAAAAAAAAGCATGGTTAGCGGACTTTTCTTAGCGCGCCAGGGCTCTGCTCCCGGATTGCGACTTACCTCCCAGACGAGGGACTTGATGCCACGGGCACCACCGTAGACCTGGTCGAGGGTGACCTCACCAACAACCTTGTTGCCATAGTCCCTGTGATTGCGTCAGTGATGATGCTCAATGGATTTCGGGGGGGAAGGGAATGTAGGATTGCGCGCGGTGGACGTACTTGCGGAGCTTCTTGACCTTCTCAATCTCGGCAGGCAGGCCATCGGCGAAGGTCTCCTTGAGGGACTGTAGAATTGATTAGTATGTCAATTGAGATGCAAGCTGGAAGGAGGACCAAATTACCTTAGCCTTGGAGGAGTAGCAGCGCGCGCCGTTCAGGGCAGCAGTCTGAACGGGCTTCGCGACAGAGGACCGCAGAGCGGAGGTACCAATGCGAAGAGAAGCCATAACGACTTTTTGTGAAAAAGAAAGGGGTATAATGGATGGAAGGGAAAGAGGTGAGGTATGAACACAAGGGGGGAAAGAAGAAGAAGAAAAGAAATATCCGGGAGGAGCTCCCTGGATTTTTCTGGCCGCATTTTTCCATCTGACCGTAACAGCCGGTAATACAGTATTGATCGAAGTGGGTGCTTTGTGTGTGCGGGTGGGACTTTGATCTGCGTAATTAACGCTCCCAACGGTAACGCCGAGTACGGCTTTCGGTCTGCCGGCAGATCTCTTTGGTCCGACCAGTTCCGTAGGGGTAGCCTTTGAGGACAGATCAGAGTACGGAGTACAGAATACAAAATACGGAGTAGGGAGTGGGTGCACGGATGTGGGAACCATCAGATACTACAATATATGCTGATCAAATATAGTTGTAATTATACTTTAATATGCTGGTGCATACTACGTACTCGTAGTATCTATATCCGAATCTCTCTAACTGAATAGATCTGATTAGGTAGAGTCTACGCAGCATCTGTATACCCAGATACAGTGACGTCGATAGTTGTCATCTCCCGTGTCGCCATCCGGATGCCCGAGTGGATAACCCTCGGCATCGCGCACGGAGTAGAGTTTGTCCTGGTGCCTCGGTCTGGGCATCTGACCCCGTGGAGTATTGTGTACGGAGTACAACGAGTAAATATGAATTGTAGTTTGTACTTGTCTTGTCTTGTATGGAGTATTCTGTCTGAAATATGGATGAAAACACTTCTTGTCTAACGCCATGCTCAAGATCTCCCCGTTACTAGCCGGCTGATTGCTGAATATGTTCACCGAGATCGGGATGTCGACGGGCGGAAGGAAGGGGCAGAACGGAGGCTAAAACAGCTTAGGTTTGGGGATGGAAGGGACAGATGGCTCGCGGAAATACAATATCATCGGCCCCATCTTGCCGGGATATCCACTCTGGCCTGAGACTGTGAGCTCCGTAGCCGGGGGAACCACCTGCTAATAGTGGATGTGTGGGAGTGAAAGTGGATGGGGGTATACGGTGTGCAGTAAAGACCAGAGATGTACTCTAGTCATGTGACCAATATATCACATGACTGGTCACATGATGGCGATTCTTCACCCCACGTGACCACCCCAATCCAGTTAGCGCTGAGAAATCTGCCCAGTGCCAGTTAGGCCTTGTACCTTCCCCTTCCACCTGGAAGAATCCTCTCCCTTTCATCCTCCTCTCATCCAACCGACCCTCCTCCTCGCCATCCACGGATTCTCTATACCTTGTAAATCCGTCCCTTGTCTTGCTTCTGGATCTCACGGCAGTGCGCCTTTAGGTTGTACCTCTCGTACTCTTTCGTACTCGGCCAGCCTTCTTATCCTGGATTCTCCCTAATCGCTAGGCTGTATCCCCAGCTGTAGGCGGCAGTTCTCTGGTTCGACAGTGAATACGCTCGTGCTGTAGTGAAGAGTCACCGTCCGCTATAAAACATATTGTGTCTCAAGAGATAAGGATTTTTACTATAATCTCCCCTGAGCTGAGAGTTTCCTGGAGTTCTATCAGTCTCGGGATTAATTTGTCGTGATTGTTCTTCGAAAGTAGCCACGGGACTCGACCAAAGAGCTTCTTGCCTCGTTTGCACTCTCTACTCCTACATCACACCACACCTCACACCTCACTCTATCATACACACACTCTCTCTCACTTTCGCACCTCCTATCTCTTCTTCTCCGAACATCAGTTCTCCCATATTTAGAGTGCGGAACTCATCTCAAGCTATCGAAAAACAAACACTCCTGCTTGCCCAGCATGTCCTCGGCCGTAGCTGAGCTGGAGAATTATCTCCAGTCGATGCTGGCCCTCAAGGCCCCCGGCGTATCGGGCTCCAAAATCCACAGCATCACCACTCTGTGTACCGCCAACGTACAGGTATGAATTCTCTGCTTTATTCTCATCCTGTCACCCCATCCGTCGACCCCAGAGACTAACCATATCCTCGCAGAATGAATCCGTTCTTATTCAAAAGATCTACACACACTTCAAGAAGGCACCGGGCACCCACAAACTGGGAGTACTCTATGTCGTAGACTCCGTAACCCGGCAATGGGTAGAAGCTGCACGAAAGGCCGGTCAGCCTCCTGGGAGCTCTGCTCCTGATGGAACATTCGCCGCAGGCGTCAACCGTGTCACTGAACTCCTGCCTGTTCTAATGGGTGATATCATAAACACTGCTCCTCAAGATCAAAAGGTACGCTAGACATGCATCTATCCAGCCCAGCGGGGCAACCATTTGGGGGCCAATTGTAATGGCCGTATATTCGAACTCCCAAACCGGACATCACTTTTCGAGGATTGTTCCAAATTGGCCCTGTCATTGCTGGCTACTGCTGGCTGCTCTTTTATTTTTCATGATTTATGAACCGTATGACTTACGTATTTTTTTATTTCGAACTTATAGGAAAAGATCAAGAAGCTGATTGATATCTGGGAGCGCGGATACACATTCCCAGCCCCAATGCTCAACTCATTTCGCGAGAAGCTGAATACTCCTCAGCAGCGTAAGTTTACACCTCGGCTTCCGCATCCCGTAATCATATCTGATTTGTTTGCTCGCGACACAGCTGTGGCATCCACCACCCCGAAGGATCTCCCGCCCGGGCGCCAATCCTCTTGGAGGCGTAACCATGCCATCTCAACCTCCCAACGGTGGCGCCGCCCCGGATACTTCGAGTATCTTGAAGGCGCTCGCGGACATGGCCAAGCAGAACACTGCGGCGCCAGCGGCCCCCGCGGCCCCGGCCATGGCAAACCCTCTTGCTGCACTGAACCCTGCTGCTGCAATCCCGCCCCCCGTCTCGTCCGCCGATCCATCCCAGTCCGCTGCGAACCCATATGCAGCTGCCGGTGCGATGGCGAACCCATTCGCTGCCTTTGGCCAGAACCCGAACATGCCTCAGCCGCAAAGTCAAAGCCAGACACCCAACCCACTCCCGGCTCAGAACCCCTTGGCCGCCATGCTCCCTGCAGGTACTGCCATGCCGCCCATGGGGGATGGCAATGCTCTGTCCCAGCAGCTTCAGCTTCTGCAACTTTTGGCTGCGCAGGGTATTCCCCAGGATCAGTGGGGTACTGCCCTCCAAATCATCAGCATGACCAACAGCATGCCTGGTGGTGGTCCGATCCCTGGCCAGATGCCTGGCTTCCCTCCCATGCCCGGTCAGGCCGCAGGTGGTTGGGGCGATGCTCAGGGTCATAATGATCGCGACAGAGAGCGTGACTACAACCGTTCCCCTCAGGGATACCGCCGTCGTTCTCGTTCTCCCGGCTGGGACCGCCGTCGTGATACCTCCCCTCCCCGTCGTCGCAACAGCCCTGTTTACGATGAATACCATGCAGACTCCCCAGGACGTCGGGGCGATCCTCGCGATGGTCGTGGTGGCCGTGGTGGCCGTGGTGGCAACGATTACCGCCAGCGCAGCCCTGCTGGGCGGAGACGCCGATCCCCCTCACCCCAGCGCAAGGACCCCAACCTTCCACCTCCCGGACCTAAGCTCATCGAGTGGGACTACTCAATCGGACAAGGTAGCATAAAAGTTCTTAGCCGAACTCTCTTTGTTGGCGGTGTCACCATTCCGGAGGCTCAATTGCGCGCACTCTTCAGCAAGTTTGGCATTGTTCAAACCTGCATTGTTAACATCGACAAGCGCCATGCATTCATTAAGATGATCAGCCGCCCAGATGCGATCGCAGCCCGCGACGGTATGGAATCATACCGCCAAGGAGAGATGCAGCTGCGAACCCGTTGGGGTGTCGGCTTCGGTCCCGTGACTGCAGCGACTACCAAACCGGTGTTAGCATCATCCCCATCGACCGACTGACCGAGGCTGATCGCAAGTGGATGCTCAACGCCGAGTACGGTGGAACCGGAGGCCGGGCTATCGAGCCTGGCATGGTTGTCGAGGAGCCGGATATCGAAATCGGCGCTGGTGTTTCTTCAAAGGCAATCAGCCGACGCATCGCGACTGACACTGGCGGCAAGCGAGGCCCTGTCTCCTCCCGCACCAACCCCAACCCCGACAACCGCTTTGGCGGTGGTGGCGGTGGTGGTGGTGGAGGTGGCGGCGGCGGCGGTGGCCGTCGCCAGGACCGTGATGCTTTCGGTGGTGGTCAATACGGAGGCCAGGGCGAGCAGGATATGTCAAACATGAACAACCCTGCCGTTGCCCCCGCAGTCCCCGCCTACGGTTTCAACTTCGCCAGCATGCCCATGCTGCCTCCCGGATTCATGATGGGCGGTGCGCAAGCCGGCGGCATGCCTACCACTCAACCTCCTCCACCGGGTCAGGGCAACTAAATCACCGCACCGCACTGCACCGCACTGCGCTGCGTACGACATGTCCTGCTTCCTCCTTCTCTTCTTCTTCTTCATCATCATCTTTGACGACTTCCATTTCTCTCTTCGTCCGGAAGGTCTTTTCCACTTTTCCAATTCCTTCCCTTCTATTATGTCTTCTTATCACAGTTTCTGCATCTGGACCCTTCAGCTTACCTAGTTGAAGGAAACCCTACTGGCGTTTTGACAGGTTGAAAGGATCTCGTTTCGTTTAACCGTTTCGGAAAAAAGGGGGGAGGCTTTTTTTTTTTTTCTTTTCCTCTAGTACTGATTTCTTTCTTTTTCGTTTCTCTTGCCTCGTCTCGTTTGCACTTGCGCTTGCGCTTGTGCTTTTCTTTATTCTCTTCTACTTCACACATGTAACAACCTGCATAGTTTCTCATTGCGGCCAGTAGGCGACATAATGAAGCGATCCTCCCGTCCTGTGGGCGTGGGGATGGACCATAACACACTTGAACACATGTATTATTGTTGAAGTAACGTTTCTTACGAAGTTTCCTTAATTACTTAAAAGTCACTTGAACTTTCAAGGTTGGGCTAGGCACTTGATTGTTTGTAGTGAGCTTCTGTTTCCAAAATAGCTTGAGTCCTTTACTCGAGTTTTTTATATTTTCCCTGGGCTCTCTTATTTTGTTTTGTTTGTTTGTGCGAATGATTTGTTAGCTCCAATGCTGTTTTGAATTATACAATTTCAATGAATGGCGAATCCATTTCCAATATCCGTAGGCAGCCTCGGGTTTGTAGGTAGCTTACCTAGCCCTGGCTTGCCTAGCTGTATCGTAGTCTCCTTTTTATAGGTACCTAAGGCCGGATGCACACAAAAAGCTTAGCTCGCACCGAAGCTCTCTTTTCTTCTTGTCTCCTTGAACTTAATTCTTCATTAGGTTTACTGTATATAGGACCCTGCCTCGTAGTCTGGCTGACCTTTAAATTAAAGACCAGTTCGTCACTATAGATTACTACACTATAGATTACTGTTTTTGGCCTTGAATTCAACCTAAGATAGGGTAATGTAGAGGGGCATACAATATATCATGATCCACTACCCTAGCTATTGGTGTCTGTCCGCACGTCTACGTTGGTATCGCAGAGCGGTTCTCCCTTCAGGACACTGACAAGTGTCCGAGGGGTTTGTTAGAGCTGACAGTTGTCATCAACACATGGTTGTTCGGGAAGACACTATAGGATTAATATAATTAGGCCATACTCAACGTAGGGTATATAATCATACCTTATTTCCACAGCCACCGCAGTTATTGGGGTCTGTCCTTAACACTGCGCAGACACCACTGCAGTCCACACCTTCGGTACACAGACAAGTGCCCGAAAAGCATGAACGATCAGGCAAACACTATAAATTAGTACCAATTAGGCCATATTCAAAGTAGGGTAGAGAGAGAATCATACGGTAATTCCGCAACCACCGCAGTTGGTACTATCTGTCTTAAAATTTGGACAGGCATTGTTGCAGAGCGGTACTCCATTAGGGCACTTACAAGCTCCGGAGGAGCATGTTGAGCCAGACGGGCACTATCGAGTTAGATCGAGTTAGCATCTATCAAGTTATTAATCGAAGCAAGGTAGAGAATTATACATTAATTCCGCAGCCACCGCAGTTGGTACTATCGGTCTGAAAATTTGGACAAGCATTGTTGCAGAGCGGTACTCCATTAGGGCACTTACAAGCTCCGGAGGAGCATGTTGAGCCAGACGGGCACTATCGAATTAGCATCTATCAAGTTATTAATCGAAGCAAGGTAGAGAATTATACATTAATTCCGCAACCACCGCAGTTGGTACTATCTGTCTGAAAATTTGGACAGGCATTGTTGCAGAGCGGTACTCCATTAGGGCACTGACAAGCTCCGGAGGAGCATGATAACCCTGCTAGACACTAGCATGAAGTCAGCCTAGAGCGACGCTAATATGAAGGGAACCCCATAGATCATATGACCTACAGCTTTATTGCACTGCCCACAATTTTTGAGGTCGGTACTAGTATCTTTGCAAGCTCCATTGCACAATTGCTGGGACGAAGATGTTTTGAATGGGCCACAGATGTAACACGGCCCTTGTCCACGCAAAGCTGGGAGCACACAGGTGATAGCTGGGTTCGGGTAATTTTGAAGACACCATGTAGTGCACTCAGCAAGCTTGATCAAAGGACTTTGACACCAAACAGGGGAGACTAGATGTGTTCAATATATCGGCTGGACTAGCGGACTGCTTCGGTAATTGTCTTACCTAGTGCAAGAAGAAGAAGGATTGTTCCTCTGGCCATTTTTGATTTCAACTTGACGATGTACACTGATGCAGAAATAGCATTCAATATCGTTTTTAGTCCACCTAGCCATCTACCGTGACGGCAAGAATATGTTAACATTTATAGATACTAGTACTGTGTGACATAGATCTGACGTCCTTGACTCGGTGTAAATTTAATGAAATATATTGTACCAAGTGGTTTCTAATTATTCAAGAGAACCATGTCAGGTGGCGCTGTTTTTACCAAATAAATGGGCTAATGGTCTAGGCTCGACCATTTAGATCAAAACTTGGACCTCGACCAGTGCTACATAGAAATAAGGTTTTTTAACTATCTGGGCCGAGTCTATTGGTCAGCCGAGCTAGTCGTAGTAACATCCCGCATCCCGCATCCCGCACCCCGGTTTTCATGATGCATGTGGTAATTTCTCTAGAATTCTGATCTCTATGATTTCCGAACAAAAGAGGGTGGTTTGAAATATCTACCTTCTATATCAAAAACTTCTTATAAACGATAAGAAAAAGATCGCCCACTTTAGATCCTGTATACAGTAATATTCGAAATCAGATTTACCTCTACACTCTTATACTTTTATTCCCTCGTTACGATAGGTGGGTCATTTTTATAATACCGTAATCATTTTTGGAATTTAATAGAATCTTTCTTGCAAAGAAACCAAGCAAGGGGTCGATCCTAACAATCTGGCAAGATTCCCTCCTCCCTAACTTCATTTTCCTTTCTTTTTGGCCTCCCCACCACAAGCAGCCTTCGCTCAAAAACAATCCTTTGACATCAAATAGAAGGCTGTATTGTTTACATAGAGAACTACCCCTGGTAGATATTTTTTTTTCTAATGGCTACTGTTATTTACTCGTTTCCATTGGTTGCTGTTGTTAGGAAGCTGATATGGACCTATCAAGGGCTACCCTCGGTTGTGAATATAAACACAGAGCCCAGACTACGATAAGTTTATCTCTCAACCTGGCGCGCCCGGACCCTGGAAACACAACTCACAATACGCTCCAACTCCTGGATACTATATTAGTCCATACAAAACACAATCTAATTACAGTCCCTCTATCAGTTACTGAGAATCAGTCCCAACTTCATACCCTGAGGTTACTCTAATTATCTGAATAGGAGGAAGGAAGAGTTTACAACCAGGATCTACCGACCTATATCTACTATTGTAAGAATTCGTAACTGTACATGACTCGGACGTGCGGAGCTTCGGAGTTCTTCGCAGCTGGAAAAAAAAGACAGCTTGCAATCCAGAATTCAGAAGCCTTCGGCGTCCGGAATATGCCGAGCGCGCTGCGGCGTTAAGATAACTCCGACGGAGAATCTTCTTTGAATTAAAAGAGTTGCGAAATTGTGTCTTCCAAAGCAAACATCCTCCTCTGATTCTCATTCACTATGGCTGGTCGTATCCTCCTTACTCTCGTTGCATTGACAACGTCGATCGGTGGATATCTCGCCGACTGGAATGAAACTCATGTTTTCAACCCCCGATGGCCCCCTCACGCGAAATTCCATAATGGACAAACTATGTCTATGGGCATGGTTCTCGGTCTTACGACTCTGTACTTCTTGTATCGACCAAAACCTCAGTCTCTGTTTGCATCACCTCCTGCCGTTCAACAGATATTTGAAAGAGACTCCCTCGCTACAGGGGCATGGCTAGCAAGCCTCTATTGGATTACTCAATTGAGTGCCCTATTTTATCCCGGTTCAAAGGCCATGGATCCCGAATTCGGTGACGGGCATCCTCAGGTCTACATTTGTGGAATACTACTCACTATGGTGGGGATCGGAACCTGGTTGGAGATGGGGAAATTGAACAGGAACACAGAATCGAAAAGGAAGTGAGGTCAAATTTACTGTATCTGACTCGGGATAGGATATTTCCCAAGCCAGGTGCTCATTTGCTAAGGGATATTTACATTTTTCTATATATTGAAGAGCGGCGAAAGCTCTAAGAAGTCGGACTAGACAGGTCAAGGTACATGAAAAGAATTTCAAGAATCCTGTTGCTTAGGGAGAGGGGTGGAGTGGTATCGATGTATAGCAGTGTCCTGTAATTTACATAGGACATGGTCCCACCTGCGTCATGTAAAATACAGTTTATATTCTAGGAACAAGGGGATCGACGAATATACACTATCAGGGTTAGCGTGCTTCAGATTAGGGGTTGGGAGTTAAAATCGAAGAGTGTGAAGGTAAATCTGATTTCGAATATTACTGTAAGTTTGGTAAGACCAAGAAATATACTAGTAGTATGACTTTGGCTAACTGTGCCCGAATCAGTAAATCGGCTGTATAATCTTCAACTTTAGACCAATCGGTTATTAAAAATGTTTCCCCTCGACAGAGCTCTATTATTTCCATGAGAAGTATGAAGGATCAGGGAAAACCCCCCCCTCACACAGGAAATGGCCAGAGCCAATCCAGATTGTAGTCAATTTGTTTACAGTAATTTCATTCATTCGTCAATTAATCCTATTTCCATTTACTCAAACCTATTTCCTTTCAATTGAAACTTGTCCGAAATATCTGTGCGCAACTATGCCGTACGATCCGGCACCGCAGCCTTGGAAGCCTGGAACGACTGCTCAAAGTCGGCAATAATGTCATCGATATGCTCCGTTCCAACAGAGATACGAATTCCATCCTCAGTGACGCCCGAATCTTTGCGTTCCTGCTCAGTGAGTTGCTCGTGGGTAGTGGACCAGGGGTGAATAGCCAGGGTCTTGGAATCGCCGACACTAGAGGATGTTAGCAAACAACGCTTCGCCGAGGAAAGAAAAGAAAAGAACAAGGAAACATACTTAGCAAGATTTGAAATCAACTTAAACCCATCAACAACCTGACTCCCAGCCTCCGCACCACCCTTAACACCAACAGAAAGAACACCGCCAAAACCACGAGGAAGATACTTCTTCGCTGTCTCATGCGAAGGATGATCTTCAAGACCAGGATACGAGACCCAACTAACATGCTCATTCTTCTGCAACCACTTGGCCAGGGCCAGAGCATTTGTGGCATGACGCTCACAGCGCAAACTAAGCGTCTCCAGACCAAGAATCAACTGCTGAGCCGCGAATGGATTCAACGCAGCACCAACATCACGAAGCGTCTCGACCCGAACCCGGATAGCGAATGCGATGGAGCCAAATGTTTCCCAGAACTTTAGCCCGTGGTAGCCCTCGGAGGGTTCGATGAATTGAGGAAATCGAGCGCCGTGCTTGCCCCAGTCGAATTTGCCGCTGTCGATTATTACGCCGCCGATTGTTGTGCCGTGGCCTCCGATCCATTTTGTTGCGCTGTGGACGACGATGTCGGCGCCGTGATCGATTGGTCGGGCGAAGTAGCCGCCTGCACCGAAGGTGTTGTCGACCTGTGAGATGGATGTTTGTTATTTCTTGCTCGGATGAAGAAAAGACGAAGAAGAGGTGGAGGGGGGGCACATACCACAACCGGCACACCCTTCTCATGCGCAACCTTAGCAATAGCCTCGAAATCCGGAACATTATATCTCGGATTCCCAATAGTCTCCACATAAACCGCCTTAGTACGATCATCAATAGCAGCCGCAATATCATCCGCATTATCTCCCGAAACGAACTTCGTCTTAATTCCCAACCGAGGGAAAAGGACCTTGAACTGGTTATAAGTACCACCGTACAAATTGCTCGTGGAAACAATGTTATCGCCAGCGTGGGCGAGGGCGGAAATTGCCATGAATTGGGCTGCTTGGCCTGATGCGGCCGCGACGGCGGCAACACCGCCTTCTAGGGCGGCGATGCGCTTTTCGAAGACGTCGACGGTTGGATTCATGATTCGGCTGTAGATGTTTCCGAATTCTTTGAGGCCGAAGAGCCGGGCGCCGTGGGCAGAGTCATTGAATGTGTAGGAGGTTGTTGCGTAGATGGGGACGGCGCGGGAGTTGGTTTGGGAGTCTGGTTCATGGCTGGGGTGGTGTTAGAGATGGTTTTGTTATTTGCTTCTGTCTCTCTTTCAATTGAATTGAATAGAGGATTGGGAGGCCCCGCTTACCCGGCGTGCAACTGGAGAGTCTCAAAGTGGAGATTCTGGGGATCAGACATGATGAAATGCGGGGAAGGTGAAGGGGAAAATGATGGGGAAGTGTACGACAATCGGCGGGAAGGTTATTTCTCTTATAGGAAGAAATCAGAACACAACACAACGTTGTGCAGCTCGGAAGCAGGAATGGGTAGATTTATAGCAGTTCAGTGCCCCTCTCCTCTTGCAAGGTAGCATTACCCTGGTAAATTGCGACAGCTCCAGCAAAGAGCAAAGAGGGGCAATGAACACGCCAGCGCGGGCCCACGATGGCGTGATCATTGAACCCTTTTTTGATTCCGTTCATTCTCGTCGGAGGTCAATCCAATCCAATCCTCTTTCTCGTACGAGAATTCAAGTTGAGAGGGGTCTATTTCCCAGTTCCAACCCCGCTAGTTCGTATTCAATGCATGCACTGTGGTGGATTGGTCACATTATGTGATGGCATTGCATGGGCACATCGCATATATGTACGAAGCACTATCCAGCATTGCTCCTACTAACACCATTACTTTAGTATCATTATAGAAGAAATAGGAGGAAACGATTCTTACCAGAGAACTTGTCACGGATCATCTTGACGTTGACCTGCTCATCCATCTGGAACCAGAGGTTGTGGATGAAGTTCTCATCAGCCCCCATAGCCATATACTGTCGGGGCTCTCATTAGTAGCCACGCGATAGAGAGAGAGAGAAAGCAGAGGAAAACATAGCAGAGTTTAATATGGAAATTGAAGCGGAGATGGGGAGGTTGAAGCAGAGGAACTTCCGCAGAGTGGGAGTTGTTTTGGCTTTATGTCAACGAAGGATGATAGATCTGTTTGCCTCCGTCATTCACGGGTCCTAGGCTGACATGGATAGGAAGATGCGAATATATTGCCTTTTTGTTTTTGGATAATTTGCCCTGGAGCATATGTTGCTTTTTTCTACAAATACTCGTACCACATTGTTAAGATCCCTCGGCATCAGCCAACCGGATAGATCCTTATATTTCAGGCACCAACTCGTCTCATCCCAACCCGCAATAAAGCAAACCGCTTAGCTTTGTTTTAAACAGAGCCACCTAAGCGCTGGGTCAATAATAGGTACGGCATTTATTTAATAATAGCACACTATATACGAATAGGCTCCATAACTCTTTGAACCGATCTTCACACTCCACTCGACCTGCCAATGAGTGCGAGTAACACTGGCATTTTTCACATGTTCTTTAGGCAGCGAGCCAAGACCCTAGCTTACTATTGGCGGTGCAACTTTCTGCTTTCTTCAGGCGCAAATAAAATAGCCTCGGGTGTAGGCAGCAGAGTATCTAAGAACTACATTATAGTTACTGTAGGTCGGGATGGAACTTTTGGGCAATTCTTTCGAATATCGGTCGCGACAAGCTATACCTAGTCTTATAGTATCAGCTGCTACACACCAAGAATACTAGTAGCTATTCTTCATCCCCGCAAAACCAAAAAGGTAACCCTAATTCCTCATCAGCCCTATCATGCAAGCCACCTGACTGCCAAGATGTGACCGATGACGCGCGCGCGACGAAGGTGGCTGACCAACTTCAAGTTTGGCCCAACACTTTATATACCTGATACCTGTTCTGAAGCTCTGGTCTTTGTTGACTATTTTCCGCGTTCGTTTTTGCTGATAGCCATATTTTATCACTACAGCAGTTTCAAGTTCCAGCCGTTTTCACATATTCTGCTTTCTAACTACATACTCGACACCATCACCCACATCCGCCATGAATCTCCCCTGGATCCAAGCTGTGCGGATCGTGCAGATCATCTTCGGCTTGATCGTGGTCGCTTTGACTGCTTATGGTTCGTTCATTCCCCACCTTCTCAACGGTCGCTTCGCAGCTCAGCGCAGCTTGCACAAAGCTTTTCCGATGCGTCCAACTATGCTTTCAATAAATAACTAAGCTAACGGCCACTGGCGTATAGTTATCAGTTCCTTCTACGACTGGTGGTCCCTATCCGACACAGTAAACTACCTCCTCTTCCTAGGCTGCTGGACAGCATTCGTCGCGACGCCCTACCTCGGTGCAGCCCCGATATTCTTCCCTCGACTGGCGCATCGCTTTGTGATTCCCGCTGTCGAGATCATTACGATGATCTTCTGGTTCGCGGGCTTTATTGCTCTTGGTGCTGAGCTTCCTCCGCCTCGGTACTGTCATTATAGTACCTGTCGGGCTCTTCAGGCTGTTACTGTCTTTGGAGCTTTTGAGTGGTATGGCCCCCTTCCCCGAGTTGATTTTGATTTAGTGTTTGTAACCATGATTCGATGTGCTAATTCATATTTTTTATTGGTAGGGTTCTTTTCTCTGTGACTACTTATTTTGCTGTGGTCGATCTTATGAATCATCGTCGTACGGGCGAGAGTGCGACGAAGACCCAGCATAATGCACACCTTGGGGTTTGAGCATAGCAGTTGAAGCGGGGTGAAGAGTTGAGTCGTGGGGATTTTTCTTATGTTCTGCTGATCGGGAATGTCATTGATGGTATGGGTAATATGAATCTGCGTTAAATTTCCACGATACCCTGGGGTGTTTCGATTCTCCATTTCTGCGTTTGTTTGTTTCCATGATGATTCCTTGTGTGATTATTGAGAGCGAACCTTTGCATTTATTATCAAATTGAGTGGGTTTCCTACATTAAATATGGCATATGGCAGATGACAGCTAGGAATTAATTACTTGAGTCCGTTTATCATCGATTGATAATTAATTAAGCTTGCAGTTTGATAATGTGAGTATGGTGCGATCGATGGTGTAACTATAACTATATCTATAGATATAGATATACTTTGAACCAGATCTGAATCATGTCATTTCTATTTCCAATGGATCCAAGGTTTTCCCACTGGAATGCTTATCAAACTCGGCCCCACCCACCGGAAACGGCGATGCCGATTCGGGCAGGTGAGTAATACATAATGATGGGGTCTTTATAGGTTCGTTTTATTTATTTATTACTTCTAGCCAGTATTCTCAGATCTTTAATGTATTCTATTAGAGATGTAGCTATGCGTAGCTACGAGTACGAGTAGTGAATAGTGAGTAGTGAGTACTGTTAAGAGTATAAACCTGTGGCCGCGATCGGCGGGTGGCGGCGCGGGCTCATGCAGAGTCACATCGGGCGAAGTTTAGTTCGATTCCTGCCCGCACGACCCCCAAGTAAGCTGCTCAAAGAACAGTCATCTTGGACGGTTCCAGCCTCTTATCTCTATCTGAAAGTAATATGCATACTCAGTATGCGCACCTTAGTCAGGAAAAACGGCATCCCATGAGAGGTTCGCCACCAAAAAGAAAAAATTTAAAAAATCTGTTCCTTTGGTTAATGGCCCACATGGATGCCGCGCCGGTACTATCTCTCTCAGGGCGCAAAGGAAAACTCTGCTCCGATGGGATATAGTCTACTCCGTACTTTTGTACATATCTAATAGAGTTCGCCAGAAACGTCTGATAAAAAGAAGAGTCATTCCTCCTTTCATTTCAGTCCTAGGTTGCATTGATTTTTCTTTTTACATAACACTTTTCCATTTCCCCTCCTCCGCGATCTCAGGCATAGGGTTTGACAAGCGTCGCGTGTTTCTCCACATCTCGAAGCCCTCGGAGGCAGCCGCGCGACCTACCAGCTCGTGGTTTGAAGTGGAGACAAAAGTGCGCGCGCCCCCCCCCAAAGCCAGAGTCGAGTCAGATCCTTTCTTTCTCCTCTTTCCTTCCCCATCGCGCATCTTGTCACTGCTTCACTGCTCGTTACGGGTCAGACATGGCTGACGACCGGGTCTCCAACGCACCGTGGTCTGATAAACCGAAAATGGTGTCCGAGAGTCCCATCATGGAGCCGCAGCCTCAAGAACACCCTGCCCAAGCCTACGATGATGTCGACTACGAGAAGTACGGCGCCAGCCGTGAATCCAACCCGCTACCCGAATTGAAGCGGAAGTTGAAGAGTCGACACTTGCAGATGATTGCCATTGGTGAGTACAACACACATCTAGAAGAGCTGCGGAAAATCTCTTATACTCATACTCATGCTTGCCGTGTCTAGGTGGTACCATTGGAACTGGTCTCTTCATTGGTAGTGGTTCGGCCATCGCAAACGCTGGCCCTGTCGGTGCTCTTATCGCTTTCATCTTCGTCGGAACGATCGTTTACTCCGTTATGACGGCTCTCGGAGAGGTCGCTACTTATATCCCCGTTCCTGGTTCTTTCACGACATACGCGACACGATTGATTCATCCTAGTTTGGGTTTCTCGATGGGTTGGATTTATTGGTTTTCCTGGGCGTCGACTTTTGCACTTGAATTGGTACATCCTACTATCCCCCCATATCTCCTCCTGCTCGGAGTTAGCTGCTCAGTCACTAACCACCTATCCTTTCAGACTGCCACCGGTTTAATCATTCAATTTTGGGACGATTCTATCCCAATTGCCATCTTTATCGCCATTTTTTGGGTCGTCATTATCATACTGAATCTGTTGCCTGTCAAATTTTATGGTGAGATTGAGTTCTGGTTTTCCAGTATCAAAATTCTCACCGTGGTTGGTTTCATGATCTTCGCCATCTGTATCAACGCCGGTGCAGGCCAGCAGGGATATATCGGTTTCCGATACTGGGTGACTCCTGGTCCCTTTGTGACCCCAGATCTTTACCAGGTTACCGCATCCCCCTCCGTCGCCAAATTCGTTGGCTTCTGGTCCGTTCTCATCAAGGCTGGTTTCTCTTACCAGGGTACCGAACTGGTTGGTATTGCGGCCGGTGAGACAGAGAATCCTCGCAAGACAGTCCCCTCCGCCATTCGCAAGACCTTCTTCCGCATCGTTTTCTTCTTCATCCTCACCATCTTCTTTATCGGAATTGTGGTCCCCTCCGACAACCCAGATATGGTTGCTAGCAGCGGTAGCGGAGCCAGCGCCCAGAATGCAAACGCCTCGCCATTTGTGATTGCTGCCCGACTTGCCGGTGTCGGTGTCCTCCCGGATATCATCAACGCTGTTCTATTGACTGTCGTGCTTTCCGCCGCCAATTCAAATGTGTACAGTGGCAGTCGTATCATCGTCGGCTTGGCTCAGGAGGGATTCGCCCCTCGCTTTATGAAGAAGACCTCCAAGGGTGGTGTTCCTTACTACGCTGTTCTTTTCACCGCGGCGTTCGGTTTACTTGGTTTCCTCAACGTGTCGAGTGCCGGTGCCGATGTCTTCAACTGGCTTCTCCAGATCTCTGGCGTCGCTGGTTTCATCACCTGGTGCTCTTTGAACGCTTGCCACATCGCCTTCCAGAGGGCGTTGAAGGCGCGCAACATTTCGCGCGATATCTTGCCTTACAAGGCGATCTGGCAGCCGTGGTTCTCGTGGTACGGCCTCTTCTTCAACACCCTCATCATTCTCACCCAGGGCTTTACCTGCTTTATTCCCAAGTTCGATGTGCAGAACTTTTTCATCAATTATCTGAGTCTCATCTTGTTCGTGGTGCTGTATTTGGGACATTGGGCTATCTTCCGTCCCAAGTTTGTCAAGGCTATTGAGGCTGATCTGGATACTGGCCGGACTACCTTCGATAATGAGACTTGGGAGACGATCGAGCCGACCACTTGGTACGGCAAGACCTGGCAGTGGATCAGCGGTTAGAGGTTGTACATGCATGCAAGCATCTGTTTATAGTCTTTGCGTATTTCTTGGCATTTGGCATGGCGTTTTGAGTGTTCCTTTTTTATCCTGTATCATATCCTACATACATTACTCCATCCTATATATTATCATTATTGTGTATTAAAGTCTAGCATCTCCACACTGAACCAGTTTACGAACAGCATGCTTATTCGAGACATAAAGTTTCACACATGGCTTAGACATAGACACGAGCACCATGTGAAAAAGTATGGAAGAGCATGTGGCGGATGACATCGTAGTGCATAACTTCCCCAGGGGTGACCCACCCGGACTCAAGGGGTACCTCCATTTATGCTGGTCTCCCCATAGTTTACACAAGTACCGGTACCCGCTGTCCAAACGAGCCGAGGTACTTTCCGCGCTTCGACCCCATCGTGGCAGGAGATTTCTCCGAAAAGAGTCGCTCTCTCCGGATTTTCCTCTTTTTACTCCAGACTTCTCCCTCTTCTCTTCCCCCACACTCCCTTTCTTCTCCTGTGGTCTCGTTCGTCGCTCTGGGAAAGCGTTTCTCTTTTACCTCTCTCTACTCCTCTCCTTGGTTCGTCATTGTTCCTGATTCCCCTCATCGTTGCGCGGTATGCGATATCGCTATCCCGCAACATCCGAAGCATGTGCTTGCTGTTGCTGTTGCTGTTGCTGACTGCTGAATTTCTCCTGGAAACAGATTAGACCCTCGCCATGTTTTTCTCACAATTGCCCGCCCATCTCGCCAAGGCAGAGGAGCTTAAGCAGCCCCCGCCAAAGGGCACCCCGTACTCTGTCGGCATTCCTGGCACCGAGCAGGAAGGTCGCAGCCGGGTTTACCGGGCTTGGAACTACCAGAAGGAACTCCTGAAGACTCTTGACCCTCAGGTACGGTTATACCTCGGCTATGGCGGACACATACACAAACACACATGCATCTAACACTTCTTCTCTGTTGTTCAGGTCCTCACTGCCCATGACATGTTCGAGTCCACGGCCAACCGTCAACCTAAGAACCACTGCCTCGGCTGGCGCGCATACAACCCGACCACTAAGACCTATGATCAATATCAATGGCTTACATACGAGCAGGTGCAGAAGCGCCGGGCGGATTTCGGTGCCGGTCTGGTCGAGCTCCACCAGAAGCACAACGTGCACCGTGACGGCCAGTACGGTATTGGTCTCTGGTGTCAAAACCGTCCCGAGTGGCAGATCACCGGTATGTCTTTGCTTTTGTAATCCTCCCATCGAGATGAAGATCTAACGATTTCTAGATCTGGCCTGCATGTTCCAAGGCCTCTACTCAGTCTCCATCTACGACGTCCTAGCTCCAGATGCTACCGAGTATATCATTAACCACGCTGAACTCAGCTGTGTCGTCACCTCCCTTCCTCACATCCCAACTCTCCTTAAGCTGAAGGCATCCATGCCTGGTCTGAAGATGATTGTCTGTCTTGACCCGCTCGACGCCGGCGAGCAAGACGGCCACTCGAAGCGCGCTCTGCTCAACTCCGTCGCTGCCGGACTGGATGTTTCCATCTACACCATCAGCGAGGTCGAGGCTCTTGGAGAGGCATCCAAGCGTGAATATAAGCCCCCCTTCGGCCTCGGACATCGTTACTATCAACTACACATCCGGCACCACCGGCCCGCCCAAGGGTGTTGTTCTGACCCACCAGAACGCTGTCGCTGCTACCTCCGCCGGTCTGATCACTATCGGCCAGGCTCGGGGTGACACCATGTGCTCCTACCTGCCCCTAGCTCACATCTACGCCCGTCTTGCCGAGCACACTGCCTTCTGGGGTGGTGCTCGCATTGGCTACTTCCACGGCAACATCATGGAGCTAGTCGACGATCTGAAGCTCCTCAAGCCAACCGGCTTCATGTCCGTCCCCCGTCTGTACAGCCGCTTCGGCACAGCAGTTCGCGCCGCCACCGTCGAGCAACCTGGTTTCAAGGGCGCACTATCCCGCCACATCGTCGCAACCAAGACAGCCAACCTCAAGAACCCCGACCCCTCCAAGGCCACAATCCACCACGCTCTTTACGACCGTATCTGGGCCAAGAAGGTTGCTTCCGCCCTCGGTCTCGAGCGAGCCAGATATATGGTATCTGGCTCCGCTCCCCTGGATCCCACCCTACACAACTTCCTGCGCGTCTCAACAGGCACCGACGTCCTACAGGGCTACGGTCTAACCGAGTCGTACGCCTGCGGCACCGCCCAATCAAGCGACGACCTAACATCCGGCAACTGCGGCCGTCTAGCCCCCTGCGTCGAAGCCTGCCTCGTCTCCCTCCCCGACATGGAGTACTCCGTCAACGACAAGCCCTACCCACGCGGCGAACTCCTCATGCGCGGCAACAACATGTTCACCGAATATTTCAAGAACCCCGAAGAAACCTCCAAAGCAATGACAGAAGACGGCTGGTTCCGCACCGGCGACGTATGCCAAATTGACGAAATGGGCCGCTTCATCATCATCGACCGCCGCAAGAACGTGCTCAAGCTCGCGCAGGGTGAATACATCTCCCCCGAGCGATTGGAGGGTGTAATTCTTTCCGAGTTGGGCTATTTCGCTCAGGCTTATGTGCACGGTGATAGTGTGCAGACGTTCTTGGTTGGTATCTTTGGCATTGCACCGGATATGTATGCCCCCTTTGCTTCGAAGGTTCTTGGTAAGACGATTGATCAGTCGGATTTGGAGGGTATTAAGGCTAGTCTTTCGGATGAGAAGATTCGGAGGGCTGTGCTCAAGGATCTGGAGCGTGTTGCTAAGAAGCATAAACTTGCTGGTTATGAGCGCGTTAAGAATGTTTCGTTGAAGTTGGAGCCTTTTACTGTTGAGAATAATCTTCTCACTCCTACGTAAGTGTCCCCGGCCCCCAAGAAGCCGAGTCTGCTTTTCAATGCTTGGATTGGATTGGATTGGATTGAATCAATCACTAACTCTTTTTTACGTTTAGTCTCAAGCTCAAGCGTCCTCCCACCGTCAAACTTTACCGCCAACTCCTGGACCAACTCTACGAGAAGGCTCTGGAGGAACAATCTGCTCCTCGTGCCAAGCTTTAGACTGCTCAGCCCGCCCTTTTTCGAATATATTTTTTCTCTTTATCATTACATTACTATCTTGTCCGGGGTCTCGAGTCGAGTTTCAAGTTCATCAAATTTCCTGGGGTGGTACTCGCGTGCAGCCTAGATGTGTTACTGTATATAGGGGTCCTGCATTATTATGTCGGTTTAGTCGGCATTGTAGTATATTGAATTTCAAGGCTTTCTGGAAAAACAAGTTCTTTTCGTTGGGTATATCATGCTGGGTAGTTGGAGTACGGACTTTATTAGAACGACATTAGTTCTAGCCATGACTATCTATGGGCTTTGTTTTCGTTTCTTCTGCATATCACTTGTTCCAAGTTGTTTGAGTAGCTTGTAACTAGCACGTGCCTTAGTTATTTCTGGCCATGGGACTAGAGTGGGAATTTCGCAATTTAGCGGTGTGATAGTATGCAGGATATAAGTAGTGTATTCAGGCCTGGTCTAGATAGAGAAAGCAATTCAGACGCGTCTTCGTCTTCAATAACACCCTCTAGGTGCTGTTTTCTTAGTAATTACTACCCTAGTAGCCGTGCTTAATTCGCAGCCCGCACTTGTGTCGGGATTTTTACTTTGGGATTCGTCTCTTTTACTACGAAATGTTAGTCTTGGAGCAGTTTTTGAACACGTAAGATTATGTGCATACACGAATTCGCTCTCCACTGTATAGAAATGATTGGGCGCGAGAGTCTTGTGCCTCAGCCTCACCTTACTTCTCCACCTTTTCAAGCTATCACTCTGCCCATGAACCTGGTTATCTTTTCCATTCTCCGCCTTTCTTTATTATCATCATCGAATTTCGCGAACCTCTATCACTCTCGAGCTCCGCTCAAGCCTGCCTGTCATCAATCGCAGCTTCGAACAAGATGACTCGGACAGAAGACCTAGTTGATGGTTACCGGCTGGAGAATATGAAAGAATATGTCCCCGTGAAACATCGCCTTCTAGCGCTTCTTCTAGCATGTCTTATTATGGTCAACAACCAGTTGACTGCGTTTTCTCAATTTCTGGACAACTCCTTGGCCCATCTCCGGCGAGCGCTCTTCAGACCCCCACCTCGTGATCACGACAGAGACGACCGCCACGCACCCAAGACCTTGGATGCCGAGATGGAGTACAGGGTGAGTTTGAGACACGTATGTATGCCACATTAGCTCATATATTTTGCAGTCGTCATCTATCAATACGGCGACATCCGTAGCAGATGAGACTGACGCCAGAATCATCTCCCCCGAAGGATTATCTCCTTCCACTTTAACATCCTACGTTCTTCTATTTGAAACCGGTAATCACTGGGCATCGCCTATGCACGAGATATCCAACGCCTCACCGGCAAGCGCGCTCCGTGTAATAAACATTCCAGTGGGCTTAGGAGACGATAAATTATTTGAAACTCTGCGATTTCTTCATCGGTCGAAGACACAGACTTTCCAGGAATATTTGCGGCTATTCTTCTCATTCAGTCAATATCGCCTTGATCTTATGAAGGCAAGTAGTTTCCAGTGTGCCACCAAAGTTGGCGTGTTAGCTATTTTTAACCTGTCATAATAGATTGAGTCCTGCGAAAATGGCCGTTACTGGAGTATGGAAAGTGCAAATAGACCCGACTCTCTAAATCGCGATAATTGGAGTCTGCCAGAACATTTCCCCTCCAGCCATGAACTCCAGATGCGATTTACCTTCCCACGGCATTTTCCTGAACACGTAATATCCAATAATTATCTCCCTCGGCGCAGTACCCCCTTTGCAGAAGCAGAGTTTCTTTCAGAAATCCAAGAAGGGCCAATTTATGGCCTCGCATTGAAAAAACGGCGAAGTATTGGCCGGCTGCTTGCTTTACTTTTCTTGAGCTTGAGCCTGAGCTTGCCACTCATTGAGATAGCCAGATGGCATCTTCCAATGACTGCAACTCTAATGCTAAACTACAGCATTGGGCTGTTTTTCACCATTGTTTTACTGTGGTTGGGAGAATTTCCGAAGACTTATATACACACATTGACAAAACAGCTAAGCTCGCTGCCTGTTTTACTTTCCGTTCACTTATTCCTCGCTTGGCCATTCATTAAGACGGCCAGATGGCATTTTCCAATAACTGCAATCTTAATTCTAAGTTGCTGCATTGGGTTGCTTTCTATCATTGTATTATTGTGGCGTAGGGAAGTGTCGAAGAATCAGCCACTGTCACCACCTGTGGGGTCTATCCGATTTCGCTTCTCGTGTGTAAGTTGATGGGACTTTAGCAAATTTTCTTTTTTTTTGACATGAAGTAGGGATGTGGAGAGAAATTCTCTTGCGATACCAAGCAGTCGCAAGTTAATTTGGGGCTTTTGGCATCAGCCATTCGATCTTCGGGCAACGTTGCGCACATCGGTAAGGTTACCGAATCTCTCCAATCGGATCTATCCCAGGTCGAACGAAATCAGGATGCATCACATACAAACAATGCAAAAAACGAGAGACTTGACAAAGGAAATGCCAGCACGTCACAGCAGGATTCATCTACATCGAACCCATCTCAAATGAATGACCAGCGCGCTATACTTCCTCATGAAGGACTCCGGCAACGACGTGACCAGCGTACCAGGGATGTTTCCCAGGGTGCAAACGAAAGTGAAACCACCGATGTCAAATTGTTTCTCATCGTTTGCTTTCCACATCATTCTAGACGCAAGATGTGGCAAACGAAGATTACTGAGGTCAATGACCATGGGTTGATGAGGAGAGTCAAAAAGACCTACCATCACCTCAGACCGTTTTGGAGAAGGCTTGGGGAGCTTCGTGGGTTTAGCAGCATTCGCTTGGCACGGGTAAGTTAATCAATTCAACCTATCACCGGGCTAGCTCACCTTTCATAGTTCGAACTTAGCCACACAAAAGATGGTCCGCTGGTGAATGATATTGAATGGAAATGGCCAAAGACCGAGGATACAGACTGGGAATCTATTCGTGATGATTCCGAGGGGACACCTGTGGATGGTATCTCAAAGCTTATGGTCCATTTATGGTTATCGCAGGGAAAGCCTCATGATTACAGCCATAGTAACAAGAATTCCGAAATTACTTGTGCTTCAAACTCTACGGGCAAGAAACGCAGGATACCTCGAATCGAAATCTGCGGGCCATGGACATCACAGACTTTACCAGTCGAGGAACGCCACGGGTCCATTGATGATTCACACTGGATCAACCGTATACGATCAGTGAGAATTTACTTTCCCACCGATAGCGAAGCTAGGCGTGAGTTTAAGTACCAGTTTTTTGTTTGAAATGTCAGTTAACAGCCTACACAGGGGATATTCCCGAGGTAGATGAAGAGATAGAAGAATGGCTCCAGACCGCGAGCGTTGATGTTGATCTCGGTGAAGTAGATCCTCACTATATTTTTCAACGCACTCCAAAGAAGCGTCGGCAGCCATTGGGAATTGACCCCAATGGTCGGAATGCTCCAATAGGATGGGGTATTTGGATAGATGAAGATTTTTCGGTTCCGTGGTATCTCCTGCTTTTTTCAGGGGTCTTTTCATTTGGAATATTCTTATTTGCAGTTATATACACCTACACTGACCAAGGAGCTTCGGTTAATGGTTGGACGATAGGTAGCTTCATGTTCGTTCCTCTAAATATGCTTCTAACGATCTGGGTGTTGAGGACGAAAGACTCGAAACACCCAAGATTGTAGCAGCAGTTAGGATGAAAATTCCGTCGCTGATACAGAATATGTTGGAGAATAGAATAGCATGAAATATCATTTCTCGCCGTTGTCTTTCAACTCATAGAAATTATATTGTTAGGTAATATCATGCTTGGGGCTACTGCCAAGCTGTGTGGACCAGATTTCAGAAAAATTCAGTTTTGGGTTTCGAGTCCGGTCGCGCAGATAACCCGCCCAATAGCCACGGAGAAATTGAGGTGAAAAGGCATGATAAAACAAACGAATCCACATGCGAATGGCTAGGAAGCAAAAAGTAATGACAAGAGTGGGATTCGAACCCACGCCCCCTTGCGGAGATCAGGAAATTGGAGTTAAGGTTGACCTTAACCTGACGCCTTGGACCAACTCGGCCATCTTGCCAATTAGATGAAGTGGGCTGTAAAAGTTTGAGACCCGAGTCTGAAATTTGGGAGTTCTGTTCCCGTTTTGGATACTGGTAGTGGATTGTCAAGTTATTTTTTGAGGAGTTAGTTACTAGGCTAAGTTTCTTAAGTAATGATTTCTTGGAATAATCTTAGGGCTTGAAGAAGGGTTGAGGTTTTAGTCCTGGAGGGAATTATTTTGGATTTTGGTGAGAATAAGGTCTTTTGCGCTTGGATATATATCTCTGTGATGTGTACAAATACTGGTAGCCTTTTAAATTAGTTAGATGGTAGTATGAGTACTATTCAAAATTAGATTTAATGGCATACTAGGAATAACTTGAAAGTTGAACTTAGAGACAGACATACACTATATACAGTAATCCCGGAAATCGGTGTCACCCCCTGTACTCCTGAGTTCTTTCACTGTTCCCCAAACCCTAGATGCCAAGATACACTAAACTAAAATAGCTTCTGCCCAGGATCAAGCTCGTATCATCAGTCCGCAAGTGTCCATCGGGCAGAATATTTCGACAAACAGCCCAAACATAATGAAGTTGCAAAGAACATCTGACAAGATCTCCACCCATCTACATCTGTCTTTTACATCACCTGATTAAGTAATACTCGTGCAATAACGGAAGAATTTATTTAGAGTAGTCACCGACTCATCGAATTCAATATGCCCATCAGACAGGTGTGGCCAAGTCCACTGCTCAACCTTCCAACCGAGATCCTCCTCATGATAGCAGACATTCTGGAAACACGAGATGTCAGCTCATTTCTACGCACAGAGCGTAGATACGCCAACATCCTCGATTCCCATCTTTACCAACGTGCACGCAGCCATATATGCACCGACGAAACCCCCGTCCTCGAATGGGCCGCGAAAAGAAACCAAGCATCCGTAATCCGCAAACTCCTAAGGAAAACCAACGATGCACCAATTCCACCTGAAGTGAAAAATAAAGCTCTATGTCGCGCTGCAGAGGCCGGAATGCATCACATCATCGAGATTTTGGCGGACGCAGGTGCGGATATATCGTCTCCGATATTTATGGGATGGGGGTCGACAAGTAGCCCACTGCAACTCGCCGCAGAGAATGGCCACGAAACAACCGCCCTTGTACTCCTGCGATTGGGGGCAGATATTCATGCCACTAATTCACACCAAGAGACCGCTCTACACTATGCGGCTGGTGGTAGTCTACGTACCACGCCCCCTGGTGGGAAGGAAGCTGTTGTGAGACTGCTTCTGGAGAGGGGAGCTGATGTGGCAGCATTAACGGAGGGGGGAGAAGCAGTACTTCATCACGCAACTCTGTCTAAAAGTGAAACGATTGTGAAGATGATCCTAGAGAAAGGGGTAGACCTAGAGGTCATTTCTGTCGCTGGACGGACACCGTTATTCTGGGCACTTGGTTGTGTATATGATGTCGAGAATTATGACAAGCAGGCAGCCATTCTTAACCTGCTTCTAGCGGCGGGTGCAAATGTGAACGTATCTGAGCCTTACGAACACAATACGCCACTGCACTATGCTGCAAAGAATGGCAATGAATGGGCTGTTAGGTTACTATTGGCGTATGGGGCGAACGTGGAGAACTGTGATGTCTTTGGACATACGGCACTGCATTTTGCGGCTACGTCTGGGAATGAAGCTGTTGTAAGAATGCTGCTCGAAAAAGGGGCGGATATTTCTGTATTTTCGGTTGAAGAGGATGAAACACCACGGAATTATGCAAAAGCGAGGGGCCATGAAGAAATTGTAAGAATTCTAGATGAGGCAGCCGCACAGCGGGTGAAAAGTTCAGCTTGAAACACTATATATGGATTCCTAGTAGACCAAGCACGAATAATGACCTCGGGAACATAGTCTAAGCTACCGTCATAAAGCCAGCTGAACCAACAATGCATTCTATCACTACAACGCGACAAAAAAAACACTTCTCCTTGAAAAAAAACAGAGCGTAGGGAAGCAAAAAATGACAAGAGTGGGATTCGAACCCACGCCCCTTTCGAGACACGGAAATCTATAGAAGATCTCAGAGGATCAGGTAAACCTGAACCGTGCGCCTTAGACCGCTCGGCCATCTTGCCAGTTGCATGTAAGGAGGTCAAAAATAATGACATCAGACACAGAAACTCTCACCTGCATCCCTCGTCCCACCAAAGTATCAGTTAGGCCACCAGGAGGTAGTACTAAAAAACAAGCTGCAGGAGATGATCTCTGGAATACAGCCAATCAGTTCAAGATATCCCAACAAATCCAGCCACACTAGAGAATGGCACTATCATATCCCCATGCTCAATATCCCTTTGTATATCGTGGTCCAGGTAGATCCTACCTTAAGGTAGGAAAGGAAGCCCGCTCGATAAGATTGTAGAGTCACGCCCCACTCATATAGATGTATACTCCGTGGACATCATGGACTAAATAAAAGAATATTGGTACTTTCCGACTTTCTATTTTTCAAAATTCAACTTTCACATTGTCCTCAACCCATGTCTGAGTGGCATGTTTATGCCGCGTTCACCGCGTGATGTGATGATGGCTTACATACGCAGCATGACATGATATGATGATCCCCCTCTCCCCGCCATTTGTAGCTCTGATAAAGAAAGTCTCACCAACTTAACTCCTTTCAAACTCCTCCTCCATGATCCAACCATGCGTCCTGCTCCAGATCTACCGCTCTACCCCCAAAAGGCCTCCCTAGACCACCCATCTCCCTCCCTTGACCCCCGCACCACCGCTACCCCCGCAACCTTCTTCCTATCCCGCAATCTGGATGCCTCCGACTCGGAATCCAGTCTACCCCGGACGAACAAAATGATGTCAAAGATAGTATGTATGGAGTGCACAGTCTAAGCGAAACGCTATTACGATCCGAACTGTCCGCAAACTCGCCGCGCGCATTCTACACCGACAAAGGACCCCAAGGCCACTCTCGTAGCCCCTCGCAGAGTTCAAATGATGATATGACGAACACTCAGGAGTCGAGACGCCGGTCAACGATCAAGCCGTCCCAGCCAGATGTGCGAGGTTCATCCATCCCGCCCGTCCCCGTTGGTCACGATACAGTCTCTCGCCCGTTAACCCCGCTCAACCCCGACGATGCGCCCTCCTTGCCTAGCAGTCCTAAATCCATTTCAAACCACTCCCTCCGACCTCTCGACGATATCTCTATCGCCGACGAAATAAACAGCCAGGCTATTGCATCCGGAGACGAGGATGAAAGACCCGGACCCTCTCCCCGCCTAGGGGCTAGTGGAGCGCCCCAGCTTATCATGCCAAGTATCAAGATGCCTAGTAGACGACCGTTTACCGAGCGAGGAAAAGCCATGGGACGGTTCAAAATACTTATCGCCGGAGCTTCCGGTAGGTTGGCCCAAACTATGGGCAATGAGTTAATATCAATACGCCGTATTTCCTTCCCGCTAACAACAAACAACAGGATCGGGCAAAACATCCCTTATAAAATCGATCGTTCAGACTTGCGAAGACATCGTACACGTTGATTCCCTCGGTTCCCCTTCCCCAATAACCTCACTTGAGCGGCGCCGCTCATCACGGGCCCACTCCTCTGGATCAGTCCCCACTCGCGGGGCGCTCAGTGCTATCAACGAGATCTACGCTAGCACCAAACCGTATCCTGCCTGGTGGTCTGACCTGGAGGACTCGCGTGTGTTGCGGCGTCGAAAAAGTATCGGCGAGATTGTGCTGGAGCGAAATCTTTGTTTTGTTGATACTTCGGCTATTTCATTGAGTCGGCCTGGTCAGACAGATGCTATTTTGCAGTATATGCGTCAGCAATTTCACCGGGCTACTGCTGCTTTGAACAGTTCGAGTGTGGATATGCAGAATTTACTTGCTGGAAATGGAGGGTCTCAGGTTGATGCAATTATTTATTTGGTCTCGAATGGTAAGATTTGTGGTCCAGTGCTAAAATGAAAAAAAGGAGGAAAAAAAGCGCAACATATGCTAACAGATTCCAGCTACGCTCTCAACGGATATTGAATGTATTCGAAAGCTTTGTGAACTGACCAATGTCATTCCGGTCGTGGCCAAAGCCGATAAATATCCACCGGAGCAAATTGAAATGACCAAGGTTCGATTTCACCAAGAGGCTCAGAGTGCCGGAATCAAACCATTCTTGTTTGGAGCACCGCCGGAAGGACTGGAAGGACTTGACCCTCAGCCACCGTACACAGTGTCATCCGAGAAAACCACAGACTTGGAAGTCATGGATGCAAGCACACTAATGAGCCCAGATTATGTACAACCACTCGTTGCATCGGAATTGGATATTCTGGTACATAAATTATTCGATAGAGAACACCTCGCCTGGATGCGCCATTCAGCTGCTAAGAAGTTAGTCCAACGAGGTGGTGAATTCTCCGCTGCACCACCACCACCGACCGCACCTCTATCTCCTGCTTTTTCCGCAGACAGATCAAACTGGCAAGCTTTATCAGCCGATTCACTAAACTCCTCATTCTGCTCCATCAGGGGTCCTTCACCTCCTAGCTATGCCATGGCGCGACTTTCGGACTATACCCGCCACGAGGAGCGCATGGCCCAGGTCCATTTAGCCCACTGGGCAACGGATCTACAGCGAAGCCTGCAAAATGAACGTGATCGATACGCTTCTCTGGCACGGGGTGATCGGGCTGTTTGGCTAACAGAGAAACTGAGCGAGTGCGTGATCGATGGTTCTCTGGTCCCGATCTCCAAGACACCCGGCTTCTGTGGTTTATACACACCATCAAACGACAAGCACCCTGGTCTACATTCCATGCGATCTACTGCTGATTATCAAATTTCTCTGAGCCACCACGACCCGCTGGGTATAGTTGGATGGATTGACGACCTCGGACGACGGAGTTGGGCTCTTGTTCAAATCGTTGGTAGTGTTGGGGTTGTTGGTGGATTGGCGCTCTGGTTAGCTCGGACTTGGGGGTTGCCGACTCGTAGCCTGTCAGATCTACACTTGGATTACTGGTACGGCACTCTTGAGCGGTGATTAAGTTTATTCTCGCCCAAGCATGTGTTCTTTGCATCTTTTACGGACGGAGCTGAACATGGTCAGTCATGGATGGACCCAATGAGTTTTGCGCAAGGGTTTTTTCTCTCTTGATTTTACGTGATTTTACTCCGCAAACCCCAGGACCGGAAAAGTCCACTTTGTTATGCTGGCGCTTTCGAGTTTAATGGTGTGGTGTGGCGCTCATCCCTCTTATTTATTCCCCATCAAGTAGCGTTTGCTTTTTCCGGTGTTGTCTCTTCCGCTTTACCTTCTCCTTCCCCGCCCCCCCCCCCCTTGGAGTTTCGTTTACTTTGCAGCTACATTTTTCGTGGAGAGAGGTGCTAGACAACTCGATCTTGCTGGAATAAAGTAAATACACGATACGAGATAATCAAGAAGTTCAAGTTTCCTGATATTGCCTTCAAGTTCCAGTCGTTATATACTAGCAGTTATTCACATTGATTCATTTTCATATCCTTATCCTTATACACAGGTATCACCAGCTCAATTCAACTGATCATAGTGTACCCTCTGGCTCAATCTAGTTGGAAGAAGGAACCAGCTCCTCAAGTCGACGCAAATCCATATCCTTCTCGAGGAGGGGAATAACATAAGGATCGAAAGTCTTCCAGTAAGGGTTGTTCAGGTGGTACTGCTGCGAAGATTCCTGGAGGTATCGCTCGACGATGGTGAAGTCCTGCGGGTCGTGGACAGACTGCATCACGAACCAGGAAAGAGTCTCCTTGTCCTGGGAGTAGACGGCGGAAGCCTCGAGGAGTTTGGCGTGGAGCTTGGAGATGGACTCCTGGTCGGACTTGGCGCGCATGTCTGGAGGAGAAGCGCGTTAGCAATGACGTCTTTGCTTTGGCTTTGGCCTTACGGTATTTGCCGGAAAGGAAGAAGAAATCCATTGGGAATTAAGGTTTGGATGCGGAGGAATGAAATGGGGTAGGGTTGATACGTACGGACAACGATTGTGTAAACCATGGTGGGCGATGGATGTGATATTGGATGTTATTGAAGATGGAGGAATGGTAAGATCAAGGACACGAAATTCAACCCCTCGATTCGGCGGGGCAATCGCGGGGCAGTGGTCCTTTATACGTATCATTTCTTTCTCCCGATATTTGCATCGGTGTGAAGCCGGTGTGGAGTCAAATACGAAAACCCCGAGGCCGCTCCCGAGGTGATCCCGACTGCTTAAGTGGCGGGTTTTGATGGTTCTGGGGCTGTGTATTGCGCTAAGGAATTACATTTTGGTACCGATGGAAGTAGGTATATTTTACTTACTTTGTAGAGTATGGCCTTTTTTTTCCACTGAAAATAAATGAAAAGTCAGGCTTCAGGTGGCGTTGCTGGGCGGTGAATTAAGTTTGAATCTCTTTGGAAAAGACTTGGAACCAGGGTCCCTTGCTGTGATCGACATACTTGACCCGTTTTCTTATGTACAGGCTGGGCTTCTATTATAATAGTCATATCCTACAGAGGTGCCGCAAAAGTTTCCAACTTGTTGACCATCCTTCTAAGACTAGTACCTACTTAAGATGGAATAAATTGGCCAATTATTTAGAGTCTTTTGGATAGAAGATGCGGAGTGATTCGGTTGTCTCTCGGCAAGGTTCAGGAACTATGTCCCGCTGTGAGACCTGATTCCAGTTTGGGATAGATTGAGCAGATATTTATTTAATCTGTAAAAGTATGCTATGCTTAACATTTCCACAAAGATACAATAACATAGTATGACCAGCATCAATAGCGAATCAGTGAATTCTTGATTGAAGTATTCAACTCAAACGGCATTTTCAGAACGTGCAGCAGACATAACTCCACCACTGCTCTTCGCGGCAATGGCTTCTGGACATAACGACCACGATACATCGCAATGAATGTGTGATAGTCAGGATCATCCTCAATCATTTCCATACGATCGGCAACACCAATACACACATTATGTGCATCTCCTGGTAGGTATTCACTAGCTGTCGGAGCCATCACGCGTAGCATTCGAGGGACGAATGTCTTCATCATGATTGAGAGGTACTCTCTATCGCCAGCAGTGCAAGGGCGGATATCACTTCTTCCGAGGACAAGGATAGCTCTTTATAAACCGAAATTAAGCATTGTCAGAAGTTATTTTGTGGTGAAATTCTAGCCTGGAGTGTGGGAGGGGGGGACTTACATATAGAAAAATGTGTCCTCGACTTCCAGATCAACCCCCATTTGGTGCCTACCTAGGCATTAGCCATGAATGATTCGACCGAATGTATCGGGCATAAGCATAAGCACCTACCTCGGAACTTCCGCTAGGATAAGCGACGGCACAGAAATATTTTTCATGATCTTTTCCACGAAAGACTTTGCCGGTAAGGGGCCCTCGACTTGGCCATCTGCGTTTCTACAGATCCCATCCTGAAATTCGTAACAAGATGGTCCCTTATCAAAGTTTTGGCCAAATAAACTTCTTCATTAGAATATTCGTCAAAGCAAGGGGCACCAGGACGGGCTTACATTTCGCCTTTCCCATTAAAGACAACAACGTTGGCTTCGACGGTCAGATGGTGTGGAAGGGGAACGTCGCCGTGATTTCCGTGGAAAAAGAAATAGCGCAAAGAGCCTTGGCTGTATGAAGATTCCATCATAATTGATTCGAGGAATAGTCAGTCAGCCGCGATGAGTGAGACTATACGGAGTAATGGTGAATGAATTCTGGTAAAACCTCACATGGAAAGTTTCTGGGGAAGTGAGGAGAGGTGGGCTTTGGAATCAACGGTTTTAGATTAAGGAAGGGGCCCACTAAATACTAATTATAGGTGCAGTATTGTTTCATTCTCGTCAAATCAGATTCGATTTCATATCTTCTCTTGGGCAGACTTTCATCATTACTGGTATCGCACTGGCAGATACATACCCCATAATGATAAAGTGAAGCCAATCCCTAAATTATCCCGGAGCTCTGGGTATAGTATAGCATGGGTTGTATACGGGTAGCTGCCACGAGATCACCAACCTTGACACCTGCACTAGTAAATCATGGTCAGCATTTTGTCTCACATACATGACCGTAACTCCGAATATATATCCGAACTCGACTTGATACAGTAGTCCTGGATATCGAAAGCTTCAAGTTCCACTGGCATCTGGATAAAAGTCGATCTTGTACGTGGATAAGTCACACGCGTCTTTCCAATTCATCCTCACCTCTATAGCTTCAAGTTTCTTCAATTTCTCTCTAGGGCTTCTAGGTACGTGAAAGATACGTCTTCAGTACCAGGGTGATTAAATATGACGAGCTTCACTGTATTTAAACCAAGTTCGTTCATCTATGATATTTCAATTCAATTCTTATTCTCTCCGAGTCAAGTTCCTACTAGCATTGCATTATTTCTCCTTAATTGGATCCCATTGAACCTGGTATCTACTACCTACCTGCACTGGATGGATGTTACTAGCTAAACAGCATTACCAAAGACAGGACACGGTAAGTACAACATTGATTGTTACACTACACTACGCACGAGCATCAATTCCAAAGCTACGAGCCAGATCACATTTGAATGAAACCTTGAAAAGCAACTTAAATTTAAATCTACAAAAGGCACAAAAGCATGAATGGAAAGCAAGCCAAACCAAACATCAACGCCCGAATTTTAAGAGAGGTAAAAGTTTCAAGAACTCAATCAATAGAATGCACTTGATAAATAAGGAAGAAAAAGAAAAATTCTCATTTCAAAACAATAGTGGTAAAGTTAAAAAAAAGCATCAAGGGTCGTGATCCCGTTCGTTTCCCATTTCCCGTAAGAAGTTTAGCAAATCAAGGCAAAGACAAGGCCGGCAGGAAAAGAGAGTTCAAATCAAACGCATTTTAGCATAGCTTCGCTAGCTGAATGCATTTAGTCGACCTCCTCCATAGCAGACTCGCCAGTAGCCTCAGCAGCAGGAGCCTCCTCAGCAGCCTTCTCCTCAGCAGTCTCAGCATCCTCATCGATGTTCAGACCGAGAGAAACAAGCTTGTGGATACGCTCAGCGAAAGAAGCAGGCTCCTCGATAGTGAAACCGGAGACGAGCAGGGAAGTCTCAAACAGAAGCTGAGTGATAGACTTGACAGTGCGGTCGTTCTCACCGTCGGCCTCAACCTTGTTCTTCAGCTCCTTGATGATGGAAGACTTGGGGCTGATCTCGAAGGTCTTCTTGGAAGACATGTAAGAGGACATGGAGGTGTCGCGGAGGGCTTGGGCCTTCATGATACGCTCCATGTTAGCGGACCAGCCGAATTGACCGGTACGGATGGCGCAGGGTGCGCCCATCAGCTTGTGGGAAACGACGACCTTCTCGACCTTCTCGCCGAGGACGTTCTTCAGGGCCTTGGCGAGCTCCTCGAATTCCTTCTCCTCCTTCTCGCGCTCGGCCTTCTCCTCGTCGGTCTCCTCGAGCTCGAAGTCCTTGGTGATGTCGACCAGCTTCTTGCCGTCGAACTCCTTCAGCTGGGTGAAGGCGTACTCGTCGATGGGGTCGACGAGGTACAGGACCTCGAAGTTCTTTTGCTTCAGAGTGTCCAGGAAGGGGGACTGGGCGACGGCCTTGATGGACTCGCCGGTGATGTAGTACATGTTCTTCTGGTGCTCGGGCATGCGGGTGACGTAGTCGGCGAGGGAGGTCTGCTCGTCGCCGGTCTTGGTGGACTGGTAACGGAGGAGCTTGGCCAGGGTGGGGCGGTTCTGGGCGTCCTCGTGGATACCGAGCTTGATGTTCTTGCTGAAGGCGGAGTAGAACTTGTCGAACTGCTCGCGGTCCTCGGCGATCTCGGTGAAGAGCTCGAGGGTCTTCTTGACGATGTTCTTCTTGATGACCTTCATGATCTTGTTCTGCTGGAGAGTCTCACGGGACAGGTTGAGGGGCAGGTCCTCGGAGTCGACGACACCCTTGACGAAGCTGAGCCACTCGGGGATGAGGTCGGTAGCATCGTCGGTGATGAAGACACGACGAACGTACAGCTTGATGTTGTTCTTGGTCTTCTTGGTCTCGAACAGGTCGAAGGGAGCGCGCTTGGGGACGAAGAGGATGGCGCGGAACTCGAGCTGACCCTCAACGGAGAAGTGCTTGACACCGAGGTGGTCCTCCCAGTCGTTGGAGAGGGACTTGTAGAAGGAGGCGTACTCCTCAGTGGTGATGTCAGTGGGGTTGCGAGTCCAGATGGGCTTGGTCTTGTTCAGCTCCTCCTCCTCGATCTTGGACTCCTTGACGGTCTTGGTCTTCTTCTTCTCCTCCTTGTTCTCCTCCTCATCATCGACCTCCTCGACCTTGGGCTTCTTCTCGTCACCCTCCTCGGTCTCCTCCTTGGTCTCCTCAGCCTCCTCGTTGGGGACCTCGGTCTCGGTCTCCTTCAGGACGTGAAGGTAGATGGGGTAGGAGATGAACTCGGAGTGCTTGCGAACAACCTCCTTGATGCGGGCCTCCTGGAGGTAGTCCATCTGCTCATCCTTCAGGTGAAGGATGATCTTGGAACCACGGCCGAGCTGCTCGCCCTCGGTGTCCTGGTTCAGGGTGAAAGTGCCACCAGCGGCGGACTCCCAGATGTACTGCTCATCATCGTTGTGCTTGGAGATGAAGGTAACCTTGTCGGCAACCAGGTAGGCGGAGTAGAAACCGACACCGAACTGACCAATCATGGAGATGTCAGCACCGGCGGACAGAGCCTCCATGAACTGCTTGGTACCAGAGCGGGCAATCGTTCCCAGGTTGTTGATCAGGTCCTAGAAAGTTCGTATTAGGATCGAGTATGACTCATCATTGTGTGTGGGAGGGGGGATTAGACAAATCAACTTACAGCCTTGGTCATACCAATACCGGTATCACGGATGGTCAGGGTCTTGTTCTCGAGATCGGGGATGATGTCGATACGCAGATCCTTGTTGGAGTCGAGCTTGGAGGGGTCCGAGAGGGACTCATAGCGAATCTTGTCCAGAGCATCGGAGGCGTTGGAGATCAGCTCACGAAGGAAAATTTCCTTGTTGGAGTAGACGGTGTTAATGATCAGCGAGAGCAGCTGAGAGATCTCAGCCTGGAACTCGAAGGTCTCGGGCATGATGGCGGTGAAATTCTGGAAGGTATTAGAATGACAATTCCGAGGCAATGGAGGAGTGAAGCCAATGTCTCTCTCTTTCTCTTCTTTCTTGTCCTCTTGACACCAGATTGGAAAGTGGGGAAGAGGGGCTCAAGAGAGATGGGAGATGAGAGTAGGTGAATGGCAGGATGGGAGATAGATGAGAGATGGGAGATGGGATATAGGGGAAAGGGGTCAACGTACAAGAAAATGCTAAAGAAGGAAAAGAGAAGAACTGCTGGCCAGAAGCAGATCCGTATTTGAGGGGGAGGGTGGATGAAGAGGAGAGAAGAGCGGGAAGGCTTTTGTGTTTCCAAAAATTTCTGGTGGGTTTCCACGGCGATCCAGCAACTTCCACCGCCCGTCAGGCAACTTTGGTGCTTTGCCCCAACCGGCAGTTCTAGAGGATTCTCTCCTTTAGAAAGGGCGGCTCTTTTTTGCTTTTTCTTTGTCTAGCTAGGGTGCCCACTTTTTTGTCTCTCTTCTTTGGTCTTTCTCTGACTTTGGGGAGAGCTTTCACATCTTCAGAAGCCTGGGGAGAGCTGCATTGATGCCTAAGGCATAAGGCATCCACACATCTAGAACCTTCGACAATGGGATCTTGGAACCAGCCATTCCAATTGTATATACGTCTAGGGCTGGGGAACACAAACACAGCAGGAGGCCAGGGCTAAGGCAGGGGAATCTTTGTACGACGGTTCTAAATTGAATTGTACCATCTAGGAGGAAACTGATGGAAGAAACTAGTATCTGGAACATTCCTGGAATCTACCTGCATGCCCAGGTGGTACTCCACACCGCCTCCAGTGGAGTGGAGTAGAGATTAACACCCGGGCAACTGAAAGAAAGAGAGGTGCATATAGAAAAATACATAGGGGAAAACAAGAGAATAATGAAAAAAAAAGGGAAATCTGGAACCGATTGGTACGACACCTCAAAAACCCTGGAACTTGCTTGCTATGCTAGATAAAAAGTATGCGATATAGGTTGGCCCTTGCGGTACACAGGTCATGGTGACAAAAAGTTAACATAACATGGAGAAAAAGAAAAAAAAAGACAATGGAGAAAATATAGGGGGCAAAGAAGCGTGAAGCCAGACAACACGACAGCTAAACCACAGACCAGAAGAGTAAGAAAAAAAAGTAAGAGAAAAGAAGAAGAAGAAAAAGCAAGATCAAGGCATGATTCACGATAGAATAAAACACATTTGCCCAGAGAGGGAAGGGAAAGAAGAGAAAACAACTTTTTCCAGCCAACCCGGACCCAACCGCTAATATGCACTGTGACGGAAAAGAAAGGGGCAAGTCGAGTCACGTAACATAAGACATGTCATTAGAAACAGGGGACGAAACAGAGAGGGAAAAGAAATCAATATCGGATTAATACAGTGCCTGAAAAATTTATCCGCGAGATAAAACGTCAAGAGGTGAAGGGAGGAGCTTAAGCAGTCTGGGCCTGGCTACGGCCCTTGGCAGCTACATTACCATTAGCTCCACGACCACGGGGGGCAAAGCCCCCGCGGCCCTCGCGCTGGAAACCTCCACGGCCTTGGTTGCCAGTACGGTCACCACGGCCACGACCAGCAGGACCACGGTTGGCACCGTTGCTGCCATAGGCATTGCCACGAGGGCGGCGTTCCTCGAGGAGGATCTGCTCGTTACCGACCTGGTGGGGGTTGGCGGCAACGGCAGCAGCGTAGCCAGAGGGCTCAGCGAATTCAACGAAAGCGCAGTTCTAAAGGGATATGTTAGTGATCGAAGTCTCTTAATGAATGTTGAACAAAATGCAAGATTGGACGAATATGCGTACCTTCTGGCGACTGACGTCGAAGTAGTTCAGCTTTCCAAAGCGAGACAGGGTCTGCTTAAGAGCATTGGCGTCGACCTTATCGGTGACATTCTTAATGTAACCAAGAGTGGTTTGCTGCTCCCCAGCACGGGACTGGGTCTTCTTGTGGTCAGAGCCGGCAGTCTGCCAGCCAGAGCCATCGGTAGGGGCAGCCTCTTGGGGACGGGCCTCAGCGGCGGGGGCAGCCGCAGAAGCGGGCTGAGGGGCGCTGGCCGCAGGAGCAGCAGCCTTAGGAGCGGCAGCAGCAGGAGCAGCGGCAGCAGCAGCCTTAGGAGCGGCAGCAGCGGAAGCGGCGGCGGCAGCAGCGTTAGCCTTGGCAATGGAGGCCCACGACTTGGGAACAGCAGGGGTGGCGGCAACGGGCTCCTTCTTCTCGACAGGAGCCTCCTTCTCAGCAACAGGGGCAGGAGTGGGCTCAGGAGCCAAGGGCTCCTCCTCCACGGGCTCCTGAACGGCGGGAACAGAAACCTCCTCTGGGACGGTGCCGTTGATCTCGGGGACAACCTCGGCGGGCTTCTCAGCCTCGCCATTGGTCTCCTCCTCAAGCTTCTCATCAACCTTGGTGGCCGCAGCTTCATCGGTCACCGGAGCCTCCTCGACGACAGGGGTGGGCTCAGCAGCCTTGGGAGCCTCAACAGCCGGAGTGGCCTCGGCCTCCTCCAAAATCTCATCTTCCTCCTCGACGAGGTAGCGAAAGATATCATTAAGGACGTAGTAGCCGTTAGGCTGCTGAGCCAGGACGAAAGTCTGGATGAACTTGCGAGAGGGCTCGGACTTGTTGGAGATCTCACCGATGACGGTGACCAGGATGTTGTCGAAGGAAGCCTGGGAGTCAACGTTCAGGACGCGAACCTTGCACTCCTGGAAATCGAGCTGCTTAATCTTGTCGTTGATGGCCTAGAACAGACGAGACAATTAGTCCTATATACTATGTGACGCGAATCCGGCGCAATGAAACTCACCTTGGTACCAATGGCAACGGGAACGGACTCAGCCTCGGTGCCGAAGACCAACTGGGATCGGCGGGAGTAGAAGAGGTGCAGCTTGTCCGGGTTGCGGCTCATAGTGGTGTAGTACTGCTCGACGAAGAACCAGCCCACCTCATCCTTGGGGATGTCGCTCTTGTGATCGGTTGGGGTGTTGGTGGTAGGAGTGGAGGACTGGGCCGGCTGGAAGTTGGCCGCAGTGTTCATAGTGGCATGGGTGTGGTTGAACGAGTCGGGGTAGGCATGCTGCGCAGGGTAGCTGCCGTTCAGAGGAGCCTGGGACATATCGGCCATGATGATGGAGGGGTTTTGGTTTTGGCGCTTGATTGTGGTGGGAAACGGGATCGAAATAAAGTAACCGAGGGTGTTGGAAATAATCGACGCCCGGCGCTAGAGATAAAGAAAAGAACTCTCTAAGAGGTGGGTTTGTGAAATATCTAAAAAGGCTTGAATTTTTTTTTTTCGCTTGGTTTCAACTGGGGAAATATGGTTAGTCTAGATGTCTCCACACACAGAGCGGATGGGTGATGGGTGGCCAGAACTCACAATGCGAAAAGGACCAAGCACTAATGCAAGTAATTGGGGGAAGCAAAAGGAACGGAAGAAGACTAATGCTGAGTAGAAAGCACAGATGATTCTCCGGGGATGCAGAAAGTGTTGGCAAAGTATAAGTGAGGTGGGAAGTCACTTGAGAAGGCTCTTGTGTGAATGAGGTCACGGCGGAAGAAGAGGGGTTTCAGGTGGCGAGGAGGATGAAAATGCTGATGTGAAGAGGATGAGCGGAGACGGGCTGGCGGAGTGTCGAACAGCGATCAGAAAAGGAAATGAAGCTGTTGTTGGAGGAATTCACTTTGGAGAAAAAGCAGCTTCGTCAACTGCGACTCTCCGTGCGGGTTTCGCGTGGGCTTGGCACGATGTCACCGCCCGGCAGAATTGGAGCCTTCGAGAAGTATACTACTGGTGTAGTATATACTTGTACCGTGTGGCAAAGTATCAAAAGACACACAGGGTTGAATTTAGATAAGATCAGAGACAAGAGTAGCATATAGTGGGATTGATGAGGTCAAAAGTAGGGTAGATTTATTGGAGAAAAGTGGAGAGAAAAGATCCTGGTGTCCATGCCCAACTGCCTATGCCGGCCGCCAACCAACTGGGCAGAAACTACCGCGGTTACAAAAAAGACACCGAGTCTGCAAATAGAATACATTTTCTACTGCCAATTAATTGGATAAGGAAGTTTCTAATATTTTCTGCAGTGTTAAATCACAAGATAAACATTAGGAAACGAATATCAAGGCCGAGAGATAGACCGGAGGAGGAACAAAGTTCATGCGTAGTTGTAAATTCATGAGAGAAACGCCCTAAAAAACGAAAAGAGGAAAAAAAAAATAACCTCGAAAGAAAGGGGGGTATGATGAGACATGATGATGAGCCTGAAAGAAATGTAACATGAAAAATAAAACGATCGTATCATAGAACCTCGTCAAAGAGGCCCGGCTGGAAATGATCAAAGGGTGGGCGAAAGAAGAGGGGGTTGTATGAAAGAAAACAAAGACGTGAATGGCGACACACACACAATGTGGTCTAGCAAGTTGGACTTTTGTCTGTGGGCCATGGCTTGCCAACTCTATATCAAAGAATATCCTAGCGGGGAATAATCAAGAGGAGGTCTTCTCGCTCAGAGACGGCTTGCGCATCACGGCATCTTGGCCGGTCATTCGTCGACCAAGCGCACGCTCGACCTTGGCCCCGAGAGCCAGTTTGTTGAGGTTATCAGACTTTTCAGTCGTGGGCACGAATCTTTGCGCTTGGAGAGGCTTGTTTTCAAGGCGCTCCAGGCCGTCGCCGAGGTGGGTGATGTCACGGGTTCTGGGGTCGCCGCTCGGCAGGCTACTGGTGGTGCGATCGGAGGTGGCTAGCGAAGGGCTGCCGCTAATGGTCGAAAAGCGCTTGGAGTTGCGGTTCTAGGGAGAGGGCGGGTTAGCATATATATATTCGTATTCAATGTAGTGCTGCGTGCGTCGGGGACTGGAGAGGGGGTGGGCATGGACGGTGGGACGACGGGCGGTTGGGTCGCATGGAGGGGCAAAAGGGGGCAGATCACAATCAACATACCGAGTTGGTCATGATGGGCCGCTCTGAGTCGAGAGAGGGTTGGCGGGCCATTTCTACCTCCAGCGACGTGAAGTTGTGGTGTGGTGGGTGGCGGGATGGGGAGTTTCAATCAAACGGGACTCCTGCGAACGAGGGGATGGTTAGCACGGGTTCTGGTTCGGGATCTGGTCCTCGGTCCAATAATGATCGGGCAATAGAAGGAATTATTCTGCTGGTGGGAAATGGGGCGAACGCACCGGGTCGATGTAGATGGGGTAGGGTGTAAGTTGAAGATTTAAGGCTGAGGTTCAAGTTGAAGAAAGAGAAGGAAAGCAGGGCGGGACTGAGACAGGTTTGGCCAATGCAGAGGTCTAGTATTTTGATGAGACGACGACTCAGGAGGCCGAAACGGCCAGAGTGGGTCAAGCCGGCGGTGGGGGAGAAGGGAAAGGAGGCCGGAGGGATGGAGCAGACAAGAGTCGGTCAGGGGCTGCAGGTGGATGTGAGGATGAGTATCTCGGGGTTGTAGTCCTAGGGTGCAGTGGTTTTGCAGTCTGGAGAGGGGTATTCGTATAGAGTAGCAGGTATGATAACTATTGACGAGTCATGGGCCCGTGAGAGAGAGTATACGCAGTACGAGTATACAAGTAGAAATAGAAATACGATAGTCAAGATAGAGGGTATAATCTGTGTGGAACTTTGCCACGTGCGGATCAGCCAGGATCAACCGGGATCAGGATAGCCATGAGACTCTACAGGGTTAGTTCAGGGCTTGGACCTGGTGTGGTTGGTTGTTGATGGTTGGCGGAGAATTCCCAATTGCCTGCAGTTCGGGTCTTGGCATCATCACCAGCCTTGACATCACCTCTCTTCACACTCACACTCACACTCTCGACTCAGCACACACTCAACAGTCAACACTGAGCACTCATATTCTATTCAACACTCAGTACTCAGTACCCAGTACTAAAAGAATCATCTCATTTAATATGCCCAAACCAAAGAGCCTGCTAAAGGATTTCAAGCCCAAGAAAAAGGCCGCAAAACAGGTATGTGCGCTAGTGATTTTTTATTTTTTAAATTAAGCCTTTACTCAAGACCAACCCCCCATATCTTGAATATCATTTGTTCTTGACCCATGCCCAACAAAAAGAGAAAAAGAAAAGAAAAAAAAAGAAAGAAAAAAAGAAAGAAAAAAAGAACCCCTCCCCCCCATACCTGCCCAATCCAATCCAATCCAATCCAACCAACCCATCTAATCCAATCAATTACACTTCAGGCAACCCCAGTCACGGCTGATGACTTTCTCGCTGGTAAGTGATCGTCCCTGATCGGCTGAGCGGAAATCACACTTTTTTTGGAACTTGAATTGAAGCTAAACTCCAATCGAAATCATTCAGCCGGTGTGGAGCTAGAAGAAGCGGGTGAGAAATGGCGCGCCGGGGATGCTGCCAAGTCGATGCGTTTCTTCATGCGCGCAATTGCCAATTATGATGATGGTTTGACGAGACATCCCGATGCCTTTGATTTGGCTTATAACAAGTAAGTGTTTACATATTGTTTTGAAATATTTTGAAGTTTTTTTTTTCTTTTCTAGGGGTTTTTTTTATATCAGACAGACTAAACTAATCATTCCCAGAGCACGAGTGCAATATGCCATCACTCAACACCCTAAACTAGCAGCCCAGCTACCGGCTCCACAAGCCGAGATCTTGCAAGTTGCATTGCAATCACACCGAGATGCCTTGGTGCTAGACCAGGATAATGCAGATGTCCTGTTCAACAGTGGCCAGGTTCTAACTAGTCTGGCGGAGGCGATTTCAGATGCTAAACACCCCGCCGAGGAGCAATTGATGCAGGCTAGCACGTATCTTCAAGAAGCGATCGAACTGTTCCAGCGATGTTTGGTCCTGCAAGAAATGAAATACACGGAGATGCAAGAGGAGATGGAGCAGATGCAATCTTCCACAGATGACCAGGCCCAGCAGCAAGCCCCACCGCAACCGACAGAGGCCGAAGTCCAAGCCGAATCCGAAGCCGGTGATGATCCCCAAGAACATTGGGCTGCTATCGTCGAACCCGTCACCAAGAATACACTAGTCGATACGGCCGTCGCGCAGCTAGACACATTGACCGCACTGTGTAATCTGCTCACTTCCAACCCGGGTGCTGGCGGTGTTGGCTGGGTACAAGAGTATTCATCGGAGCTTATCCAAACCCGCCTACCCGCGTACATGGAAGGTTCAGACAGACAATACGAAGCAGCACTATCGCGAGCGAAACTCGTCTGCGCGATCCACGAGGTCCTATACCGAGGCGGCCACACCGACGTCCAAACCTACCAGCAAGAAGTGGGCCAAGCATTCGGAGCCGAATTGGACGTATCCGCCGACCCCGAAGGACTATGCCATAAAGCGGACGCCCTGACATCCCTAAACACGGCATTTGCAGAAGTACCCCCGCACGAGGATCCTGAAACATTGGCCCTTTCCATCTCCACCCGCTGGTCATCCCTTTCCGCAGCCCTGGATGCCTTGACGGCTGCGACTAAACTACCAGATGCAGAGAATCTGCCGAAGATCCACATCGCGCGCGGGGATGCGGAAATGCAGCGGTGGCGGTTGGGGAGAGAGCCTTGGAACCACGCTCTGGCGAAACAGAATGGCGCCATGCTCTTGCGCAACGCACAGACGTATTATCGTGGAGCGGCGGCATTGGCTCGTCGGGATGGGGCGGCGGTGGAAGAGCGTGATGGGTCTTGTAAGGAGGCAATCGCTGCTGCGGTGGATGGTCAGAATACCAAGCTGCAGGAACTCAAGACTAGGTCTTTTGAGCAGGTTATTGCTGTCGCGACGGAGATGGTGGAAGATGGGATGATCGAAGCCACGGAGATGAGCGCCCTGATCTCATAAATCGAGTAGATAGAGACACCCCAAAATAAATTGAAGATAAAGGACTCCCATCGAATTCATTAGAGACCTGGATGGGCGTTGATTTCCTCATCCATATGAACCGCTTCTTCACGGATCTGATTCTCCTGACTGAACTGCGTAGACGCAGACGCAGCACCCTCGATATCCGCAACAACAGACTCAATATGAGCAAGAAGCCTCTCAATCTCCAACCGTTGCGCCTGAACCGTCTGCGCCAGCTCCGCATTCTGCGCATGTGTAGCTTCAAGTTTGGAATCTAGTGTTGCCTGCGCTTGCTGGAGATAAGGCGTCAAGTGCGCCTTGTAGAGCTCATCAGCACCAAGCGTGTGAGGACTAGAATAGAAAAAAAGCATTTGGTCAGTAGCTAATTCCCCAACCCCAGAAAAAAGGGAAAATAGAACAGGGATTCAAAACATACGCATCACCCTCCTGATCACCATCCCCACTCTCATCCTTCCTCTCCCTAGCCTCAGAAACCAACCGATCAAGTTCATTCAAATGCGCAACAGCATCCCTCTCCTCAACAATCTCCTCAAACTCCGCCTTCGCACTCTCCTCCAACTTAGCATTCAACTGCCTCCAAACACTCTCCAAACTAGCCGGGACATGCCGCGCAGGCGTGGGGAAACAACTGGCGAAATTGTTGAAGGAGTTCGCCTTCAACGTGCGTGCAAGTGCTTGGTTGAATACTTGGTGTAGACGCGATGCGCGCGGGCCGAGAGGAGGAGGGCGGCGGCTGTTGAAGATTGCGGGGGTGGGTGGGAGTTTGGCGAAGGCATGGTGTGGTGTGGGTTTCGCGATTTGACTGTGAGCCCGTTTGTTGTTGATCTGGCAGCGTGCAGCGAATTGGGCTGGAGGAGTTGTTGTTTTCGTTAGGAATTTGGGTCGGCTGGACCTGGGGACTTTGGCGTACATTGTTCGGGTCGCGACGCGGTGGTCACGTGATGGTGATCATTATCGATCTATGTACGGCGTATGCGGGAAATAATTATAGAAAGGGGTTTTCTCTATAATTCTCATTCTCCTTCTACAAATCATTGATTTTTAAGATTTTTTTGTAAATATTTGAATTTGGAGCCAAGTTGTGATGTTGTTGAGGCTGGTTGTGATAGCTTCAAAATTACTCCGTTCAGATGGCAATTGCATTGTATTGCAATTCGGTTACTTTTCATGGCAGATTCTTTCATTTTATTACCAACTGGCTAATATCGTTTTGCTAGTTTAGTGAAAGGAAAACTTCCGGATGACTTTCAGGTATTAAATTACCCAAGTTTCCATTATCCTTCTTTTTTCTTCTGTATTTCATCTTCCTTTCCTTTCCCCCCACAACATTCCAGTTTCACAATCAATCATGCCTTAGCGTGACCACCATTAAGAAGCGCCCAGGCGAGATTCTGATATATTTACCGTTGCCCCGTTTTGAAGCAGGGCTTGTCTGATATGATGCTCAAGACCTTCTTCCGCCGTTGCCAACTCGCAGCGCATCATCGCAGATCTTGAAACAGCAGACTGGACTTGCATCCGGGAGTTCCACGGTGTGGAAGAAATCGCGGATGCACGAGTTCAAGTTTAGTTTGACAGCTAGCTCTGCTCATTCATCGAGAATATCATGCCACCATTCAGAGCTACCACTGCCCACAACTACTGACCGATCATCGCTTGACCTCTAGAAAAACCGCGGTCACCAGCTCCTGCGCCAGAATCAAGAAAGGCTCGGAGCTTGAAGAAGCTTTAGCAATGGTTCTTGACGAGGATTGGAGCCAAATGATCCTACGCGACAATCGACTCTTTTTTTGCATCTTCCCAGGCCACATCTGAGAGTGCGTGGATTGACTTGCAATTCAAACGCAGTTCATAATCTTCCTCGTTCGCCCAAGTGGATCGCTGGACTTCGCTGTCGGGGCGTGTCACATCTTCAACCAACCTGGACAACCCAATGAGTCCAACAATCTACCTGCTGCACCAATGTGGGTTTTCATCGGCGAAGTGCCTCATGTTCGACGCTATCTATCGACGCGATGACTGACACCACATTCTTGAATTCTGGGCCGAAGAGGTCCGCAAGCCACACGAAGACTTCGTGCGCGTTCTTCGAGACCGAATGGGTGCAGTTGTCGAGCTCTGCTGGGGCGTCAAGGTCTGGCGAATCATGCAGAAGAAGTGCCAACTTTTTCACGTTTATTGAATCATGCTACCCACGGGCATGTGGGTTTCGATCTTGACTATACCTGGCATTCACACCATCCAGGGGCGATATAGAAAAGGAAGCACACTTTGTCTCGAGAAACCGGTCTAGGTTCTAAAACACTGGTCTGTGTTTGTCAGCTACAAATTTTCTATTATATTTTCAATTTATCGTTTGTGAGTGTCTCCTTGCCTCCCTTTTTTCTAATGTTAATAAAATTCACCTGGGCGCCATAGATACAGAGTAGCAAGATCGAACAATGGCCTCATGTCCGCTATTTACGGCATACGTGAGGAGAGCACTGTTTTCCTCCCATTAAACATCGTCAGGCGGTGTGGGCAGCTCGCTTGTGCATTTCGTTATTCAACCGCGGTCAGAAGTTCCTCTTTTGTCACTGTTCACGCCACTACCCTGGTCTGCCGAATAGTGAAATCTATCAGAAGCGTCGCACACAGACTGGTATCATGGCCTTCGGACTAATGCGCACTCCAGCAGTGGTTTTCATCGCGCTAGGCCCGCTTGTACCAATTGCGATAACAACGGCGTATCTGCTGTACTTAAAGCACCAAGTTTCTAATAGCACCACCTCTCAGAGCGGCCGTTACCGATCGCATACAGCAGCATCTAAGTCCCCTTCATCGCTAGACGCGGCACCTCTAGAGCCATCCAGCATACCGGGAGCCATTGCGTCGGACACTGATGAGTGGGTCATCACATTCGAACGACTCGTCTCCCGTCCCATCCCAGTTTCGAATCTCATTGGCCCAATTGCGGATAGGTCAGCCGCTACATTATCGAATGTTAATGCTGCTGAAAATGAACCATCAGACCTGCTCAAAGCTTATGTCCGGGCGGCGCAAGAGGCTTTCGGTTGGACGCCCCAGGCTTTCATCATCCGCAAACTGATAGGCGATCCCGGGATCAAGCGCACATTCGACACAGACTGGGTTCGTGATCTCTCATTTAAACATGGTGACGTTGTGAATGGTGTATATTGCGTTGACTACGTTGGAGACGGTGGTATGGCTGGATGTGAGCGCATTGAGCTGGGTCTCGCTGCCCCTCCATCATACAGAGGGCATTCAGAGACAGGGTTGATATTATCCGCCATCGAGCCGTACGACCCCAATGGCGCAGAATCTTCATGGAACAGCGCAACTGAGAATATGGTTGTATTCGTCAATGAGACATGGCTCTGGAGACGCAAGAACGGAAAGCCTACGCTGCTGGAGTCGGGCCCTGGCAGCTGGCTGCACTCTATCATGGCTGGATGGCTGGTAATGAAGGGTATCAAAGCTGTGACTGCAGTGCATTCAAAAGAGCAGTAACCTGCTGGAAGAATCTCAAATCATATGCAGTACATATATTGGTAGCAGAAGCTGAAATGTTGGCTCCGATTCAACCCACCTTTCCTGCGAACGAAGACCGTGAAACCTTGAAAGGAAAGCTTTGTATAAAATGAGATAGAAATTCAGAGAAATGGGGGAAAATTAGGAAAGCTGTATCGTTTCAGGTTGATGATCACTTAAAAAAATGTCAAGTAATAGCATGGACGAGCTATTTCTTGGGCTGGCCAACTTGGACATAATTGAATGGTAAGCACTGTCTGTATGATCTACTACCTTTGTACACCGACGATCTAAGATAGTGGGAACGTCTCCCGGCTGGACCGTTGGGCTTGAGGACCTTGGGCTTACAGATGATACCAAAACTTTGCTGATCACGTTGTAGATGGTGGAAGCGTTATGTGAATGCAATCAAAGGCGGTTTGTTTCTAGCCTGTGTGAATTCAGAATAGTACCGTGACTATCAGCGGTCTCGCTTGACTTGGGAGAGATATTATATATTTCTTTGTGCACTCGTACTGTATTATGCTATTAAGCCTCTGAGTCGCCGGCAACTGGAGGCTATGCCACCGTGTGCCAGTGACCAAAGCTGTAGAATACAAGTATTCCAAAGGTTATAATATTGAACCAATCGCTAAAATAAAAAAGTATCGACAATCAGGCTATAATAATACTATCTAGAAACCATTTCCACAGCAGGCGGCCTTGCCCTGAACTTAAAATTCCTCCAAATAGTTTTAAACGCCGGCCAAGATATAGAAACATAAATAACACTATTCCAAAACCCCTGCAACGGAAGCACAAAACTAGAAGCAAAATTCAAACCAAAAGAGAAATCATTTGGACGAGCGAAAGCGTAGACCCTATTAAGTGTTGAAGGGACCCATGTCACAAGCAATGCAATAAAAAATAACATCGCATACTTGGTATAAGCCCACGCAGCCCGAGACGTATTTTCCCCGGCTGATGATCTTCGACGTGTGGAGAGTGTTTCTGGTCTCTCTAGGTGTGAGGTATATGCCCCGACCCCGATGCTGGCCCTAGCCCCAGTCCCAGCTTGAAGGGGAGCTGGACCGGGACGTGGACCCGGAACTAGCTGAAAACTAGCTGGCCGAACCGAAGGACTCGGAATAGAACCACTCCTTTCTTCCTGGAAAGTACCCGGATCAGACAGGGACCGGCCACCCCGAATCGTAACCGAGTACTCGGGGCTATAATTAGAAGTAACATTGTAACTTCGTGGATTCGAATGTGAATGCGAATACGAATGCAAATGAAGAGCCTTCGTGTGCGTGTGCGTGTGCGTGTGCGCGTGCGCGTTCGTGTTCGCGTTCGCGTTCGCGTTAGCCTCCGTCAAAGAAGGACGCTCATCGGGGACCGAATAGGCAATTTCACTAGTGACCTGTATACCATGTATACCCTGAATAGGCTGGAAAGCAGAAAGTTTAGCTTTGACAAGTGGTGAAGAATCGGCCTGTGTTTCCGAGTCAAGAGAGTCCGAGTTCCCGAGATGTCGAAATTGGCGCCTTTTTTGGTATATTACTGAGCCGGCGCGGATGTAGATTGCGAATGTGAGCATTATAACTAGCCAGACGGGGCCGTAGAAGGTGGCTATTCGGAGCCAGTCCCATTGTGTTGAGACCCAGCACCATAGCTGTGAAAGAAATGATTAGAATGTGTGGAAATTGAATAGGAGGAAAGAGAAGAGGAGGAGGAGGAGGGGAAGGGAGAAGGGGGAGATTTACGATAGCGGAGCCATATACCCGACCAAGTGCTTCTGTTTTAATGAAGAAGTATACAAAAGCCGGAATTAGCGGCAACCCGTAGCAGAAGAGGAGATATTTCCACTCTATTTGCCGTAATTGTTCGGAGTCGTATTTGTGGAAGAATGTGAGGTAGACGTTGCAAGCCATGGCGAATGTCCAAAGGGCGTCTGCGGGCATGAACCTAGTTTATCTTTAACAAGCAGCTCACCAGAGTGAAGCAAAAAAGATAAGAAAAAAAAAAAGAAAAAAAAAAAGAAAAGAAACGCAGGAGGCAAGAGAGGGTGGTGGAAGGGGAGGGCTCACCATTGAATCAAAAAAGCCTGGATCTGACACAAATGACTCCCCAAACCAGCATGAATTCCATCTTGTGATATCAAGGTCGCAATGTTAGCCATGAGATTTCCCCATGAAGCATAAAAGACGAGACGATTGATAGGTTTCCGGAAAGCGCGCGACCCGATGAATGTAGCGACTATGACAAATGTTCCTGTTATGGATATTGCGGAGCAGGTACGTTCTGTGACGGAGATGGCAAATAATTGCTCTTCTGAGGGTCCTGCCATGGTTTCAAGTTCAAGCTCAAGTTCGTGCTCTTGGGTTCAAGATAAGCCTGCGCACCCCGTGCTACAGTGGACAAGGGCTGTAGGGGGGTACCATCGGCTTCGAGGGAGATCATTCAAGTAGCAGTGGTAGTAGTAGTAGTATATTCAGCAAACAAAGGGCTTTCACCAGCAAGAAACTTGAAAACTAGTAAGTGCCCATATATCCGCTGAGATCTGTCCTTGGGGGCCTTCTGCAAGGCCTGATATTGATGTCAGAATGGTACCAGTATTCGTATTCGATCTGAAAATCCTGCCTTGCTGACTGGCAGCTGGGTTGACTAAGAGAGAACGAAGAACGAAGAACAGACCCCGGCAGCCTGAGTGTTGGGGGTGGGTGGCCTGAAGCTGAAGAGTAAAAAGTGTCGTGTATGCTACAAACTCATCGTACACGACATGCTTAACTAGTTGTTGGTAGTCGAGTAAGGTAGTCCCATGCAATACCTGTAGATAACAAGACAAAGCCGCGGGGGAGGATGCCAAAATGCAGGAAGATATTTTGCCCCACGCTCAAAAAGTAAATTCCAAGAAGCCAAGAGCCCAACGACAAAAGAAGCATCTTTTCAAGTCAATGGGGAAGTTTGCCTCCCCCCCGAATCACCAGTGCCAGCGCCAGCGCCAGCGCCTCGCCCACATGAAAGACAGGACAGAACAGAACAGGACAGGTCAGGACCAAGCTGCAGCCGTGAATGGAGGAATCCTACTCGCCAGCGAAACACAAAGGGCACAGAGCTTAGCCCGAGAAATTCGGTATTTGTCAAACATTTCCCGAAAGTCCAGGTCAGAAGACCGGGATAGCTAGTGCGGGGGGGAGAAAGACCGGGTTGGGTGTGGCAGCCCTGGTCGACCTTGCTCAACCATTCAACTCGAAGGGTATGGACTAAGTTACCTCAAATTCGCACCAATAATACCGTTGATACACTTTGAATGAAATCTTTTGCCTCCGGTTAACCCGGCCATCATGACCACACTTGCCCCGCATGGGGTTACTTGGAAGATTCCCCGAACTGACAGCACTACCCTCCGCCAATCGGAAACAGAACTCGGAGCAGATTCCATGGCTGGAAATATTTCCTACCAAGACTCGATTTTCTTCTGGATGCACAAGGGACTTTTCTAGACATCGTTGTGTCACCACCCTGGTGGGAGACTCGGGGCCAACAGGGCCAGTCTTTTCTAAGCCAATAGGTGCTCGGGAAGTTGGTTCGGATTGAAATCGGCCTTGCGGGGGTCCAAGGTATCTACGAAGAGAAGAAGGGGCGGATGAATGATACAGTACTTTAGGTAGTAGGCAATGTTCCACGCCAACGTCAACGTGTCCCCGAAAGAAAGCTTGAACTTAGAAGCAAGTAGCTAATGTAGCTAAAACTATGTACTAGCCCCTTTGAGCCGGTGTCGAGTCCGCGTATAGCTTAACTTTTTCGTCAAGGGTTCTATGTCAAGGATACCTCGGCTGATAGTTAGACAAAGCACTTTGTTCCAAACTGACACTAGTGTTTGGCCCCAGGCTCAATTTGAAATATGGGGTTCAGGTTCGGGTTCAGGTTCGGGTTCAGGTTCGGGTTCAGGGTTAGGTCCAAGGTCGATCTTGTAGTACTAGTACTAGTACTAGTACACCGAAGGGGATTTCGTATTATATTGATCCGAGAAACTTGGCTGATCTGATGCCCGCAACAAAAGTATGCCTATAATTTGATTCTGGGTAGCAGGTAGCAACTATTTCAAGTGACCCGGAGCAACGATATTGACATCGACATCGATATCAATAGTGGTTGGTACAGACACCAAAGCAAAGCATTCATTTGTCACGGAAAACCCAAAAAAAGAACTCGAAATGGGTGGGGGGTCTTTGCAACTTCCAACAAATGACATATTTCTTTTCATAACCCAAAGCTCGCAGAATCAAAGACCACAGAGCCGAAGCTAATAACATCAAAGGAAACACATTAAAGCAACATAAGAACATAAAAGAGATTTCCGTGATCGGGTATAACGCCGAATTCTCCCCGTTTGCGATGGTCTAATCGTCATCTCGTCATACGCATTTCAGGCAGGTTAGGCCAGGTCAAGCTAAGCCGGGCTGAAGCTAATACGCAGATTGAGGAGGAACGATTCCCCCATAAGCACCCGCCATCTGCTGTTGCTGCTGTTGCTGCTGCAATTGAGCCTGAACCTGAGGCAAATCATGGAACCAAGGGTGCTGCAGGGCATCGGCGGCACTAATCCGCATTTCGGGACGTAGTTGAAGCATGCGATTAAGCAGATCCAAACCCAAGGGATCAATTTGAGGCAAGATCAGGCCCAAATCCTGCGTCGCGTAAACGTGGAATGTCGGCTTATATTCAGGCAATTGCGAAATTCCGGGCCAAGAGCGTTCCGAAGGTGTCCCCATGAGTCGGAAAATTTTCAACAATTGGTCTTCGTTCGTTGTTCCCGGGAACAAGGGTCGACCTGTATACATCTCTGCCATAATGCAGCCAGCGGACCAGATATCGATGGAGGTGTTATAAGTGCGGCTGCCGAGGAGGACGTCCGGGGCACGGTACCAAAGTGTAACGACCTCGTTGGAGAAGGTGTTGACGGGGATACCGAATGCGCGGGCGAGACCGAAGTCGCCGAGTTTGAGCTGGCCTTTTTTGTTGATTAGGAGGTTCTGTGGCTTCAGATCTCGGTGGAGAACTCTATTCTCGTGACAAAATTCGATTCCCTTCATCAGTTGGTGCATGAATGATTTGATTGTTGCCGGGTCTAGTTGGCCTCGGTCACCGCGGGTGTCCATGTATCGCTTCAGATCTCGGTCCATGAATTCGAAGACTAGCATGAGCTTGTTCTCGGTGTGGATTACGTCGTAGAGGGAGACGATGCTTTCGTGCTTGAGTTCTTTCATTAGGGAGATCTCGCGGATCGCGGTGGAGGGGGTGCCTTCTTCGGAGTCGAGGTGGATTTCCTTTAGGGCGACCATTTCGCCTGTCTGGCGATTGCGCCCTTTGAAGACCTGGGGGTTTCTGCGTTAGTGATACGGCGGAGGGGAGCGGAGGGGACCGGGGAGGAACAAGGAGGACGGAGAATGTGCCCCCAAGAGAGGGGAGGGGGAGGGCGGTTGAGCGCATGTTGAGGGTCAAAATCACGAGTGATTGGAACATACAGTGGCATAGGTGCCCTCTCCGAGCTAGAGTATCGAAATGAAGTTAGTTTGGGTAAATCGTAGATCATCGGCGGAGGAGAGGTACCTTTTCCAGCTGCTGGAACGAGCTGGGTTGCTGTGATTTATCCATGGTTCGAGGGAGTGAAGACCTGACTCGTGAAGAGACAGGATTAGGATTAGAGGAGAAGAGGAAGTTCTTAGGAGATACGAGGGAAGAGTGGACTGCAGGATCCCTGAGTCGCTCCATGCTGATGAAGGAGACCAGCCCCGCGCACGTTTGGAAGTGGGGAGCCGCTTATGTGAGGAGTGTCCGCTTTACAGCAGTACTTTACTCTACGTAGGGTACTATGACTATGACTTATGTACTTTAGATCTTTGATCTACTGTACATTATACTATCGTCGGTTATTGTTATTTGATTCATTATATTCATACTCATATTCATATCTATTTATTCTCTACTCTATCTCCTATTCACCCCTAGCAAGGATACCACGGTCGGCAAGATGGACTGAGCGGGTTGGCTGCAGCGCACATGGGAAGTTGGGTCCAACTCTGAGCCCTGACCAAAGAGAACCGCTTCATTCCTCACGCCGCCAACATTGATAATACCAATGGGCATCCCCCGTTTATGCGCTCGTTCCACCAACCGCCACGCCGAGAATGTAGCCAAACTGCTACCAAGCACCAGTAAGCGCCCTGCATCGTCGATCGCCTCCTCAGCCGCTGTTTTAACCGCTGGGTCAATATTCTCGCCAAACATGATCACGGCTGGTTTGAGAATTCCGGCATTGGAACTATCCATCCAAGCACCGTCCCTCTCCACTTCTACCCGGGCCCGAGTCCCATCTTTCAACCTGGGAGGCTTTTCCAAACAGGTCGGACAGGATGGATATCGGAAGGTGGAGTATGGCGCTTCGGCAAGATCAACATCTCCGTCCGGATTTAATTTCAATCCCTTCTGTCGTTGTTCTTCCTGATTATCCGTATCAAGCGCGCCCTGTTCAACCATGCGAGCGAGAAATTCAGCCCATGCGGGATTCAATCTTTCCAGCGATGTTTGGAATTCTCGTCGTGGGAATTGATTGTGACAGCTGATACAAACGACGGATCGTAGATATCCATGTAGTTCCAAAGTAGACAATTCCGGATGAGCGAAGGAGTGGAAGGAATCGACATTCTGCGTGACGACGGAACTGATATAACCCTTTTTGCCCAGGTCTCTGATAGCTTCATGGGTGGAATTCGGTCGTGCTTTTACAAGACCAGGCCATCCGATAAAACTACGGGCCCAGTATCGTTTGCGCGACTCATGACGTGACAGGAATTCATGGAAATAAATTGGTCGATAGGATTTATTCCGACGATATGTTCCTTGATCGCCGCGGTAGTCGGAGAGTCCAGATGCGACCGAGATCCCGGCTCCGGTCAGTAGAACGGTCTGGGAATGAGCTCCGACATCGACGCCGCGGAGGTTGAGAGATGGTGAGGCAGCGAAGAAGGCGCAGACGGCGTCGATGGCACCTGAAACGGAACTGGCGGAGGGTGGGACTATAATTGCCGGAGGTAGAGGACCCGTGAAGGGGATACGAATGGCGGGCGTCGTCATTGGAGACGCATCATCTTATTGTGAGGGTCTTGGCAAGGGAAAAGAGGGTAAAGCAGGGTGGATTCGAGCGGAGATCCAGGGTTGCCCAGTAAATAATAAGCAACTGTAGGGTCCTGTAGGGTTCAAGAAGTCTGGAACTAAGAGAAAGGCTGACGTTGACGTTTGCGTTCGGGTCTTGGCGGGTGTGTACTAATCGGCGTAGTGGTAACAACAAGTGGGTGTAGGAGTAGGAGAAGAGTAGTTATTGTTGATTTGTGTTTGCTTATTTTAATTTGCATTTGTTATTTGAGATCAATCATTGGATTAATCATGATGCTGAGTCTATGGACATACACCGAGTATTGTAGTATACTGTAGTATACTGTAGTATAGTATACCCACACATCGGACGACATCGCATCTGGATCTCCGACTGCCGGATTACATGATCGGACATCCTCTTCTTGAATTGGGGTTTTTGGAATTTCCCCTCTTCTTTCCTCCCCAAGGTCCAAGGTCCAAGGTTTCAAGGTTTCCCTTTGAAGCATGGTTCAAAGTGAACACCCTGTCCCTTCAGCCTTTTCGCCCGTGCTCGCGTGCCTCGACCTCCAACCATGGCCGTGATGCCGCTGACGCAGCCCCTGCGGTGCAGGCTTCGTCCCTCCATCCACTCTCCCCTCGTCTCCGTCTCAGTCTCCAGTCTCCGTGGATCTGCTCGTCGCGTCCTCACCTCTGTCCCTTTAATAAAGTCCCAACCCAATCCCTCTAATACCTCCCTTTTCTCCTATGTCCGACCTCAACCTCATTCCCTTCATCCTATAACTCCGCTCCCTATGACACAATCCAGGGGCCATGGTGGTCACAGCCACGGCCACGGTCACGGTCACCACCACCACCATCACGACAATGTCTACTTGACTTCTACAAACAAACATGACGCCGGCGTGCGCATCACTCGCATTGGACTCGTCGCCAACCTCGCCATGGCCATTGGGAAATTCATTGGCGGCTACATGTTCCATTCCCAAGCTCTCATCGCCGACGCCTACCACGCGCTCACCGATCTGGTTTCCGACTTTTTGACTCTGGCTACGGTCGCGTGGTCCATTAAACCGCCTAGCGAACAATTTCCCAATGGCTATGGAAAGGTGGAAAGTATTGGTGCTTTGGGAGTTAGCGGCCTCCTCCTTTGCGGTGGTGTCTTTATGGGCTTGAATGCAGGACAGGTCCTGCTTGCTCAATTTTACCCAGACGTGGCTGAAACGGTGGCTCACTCGGGCATTCTGGGTCATGGTCATGGTCACTCACATAGCCATGGCCTTGGTCCGAGTATTCACGCGGCTTGGTTGGCGGCTGGGTCGATTGTTATTAAGGAGTGGCTTTACCATGCTAGTAAGTGTATCCCTGCCACAGGGCACGGCACCACCCAATAGTGTCTTCATTTGCAGACAATTAACCATAAACCGTCTCTGGAACAGCCATGAAAGTTGCTAAAGAGCGCAAGTCCTCCGTCCTCGCCTCCAACGCGATCCACCACCGCATCGACTCCCTAACAAGCATCGTCGCGTTGTTCACAATTGGTGGAAGTTATGTCTTCCAAGACGCCACCTGGCTGGACCCGGTTGGCGGGGTTCTGATCTCTCTCATGGTGATCAAGGCCGGTTGGGGAAACACTGTGACTTCCCTCCTAGAGCTGGCTGATACCACCGTGGACGAGGATGTGAAGGAGAACGTCCACAAGGCAGCTCTCAAAGCTCTGGGAGACCTTGCCACCGGAGAAGAGGTGCAGATCCGTGATGTGCAAGGTATGAAGTCTGGACAAAATTATTTGATGGATGTTGAGGTTGCCGTGCCGGGAGCTTGGGCCCTTGATCAATCACGGACTGTGGAGGAAGCTGTTCGTAAGGCGATCGGGGAGAAGGTTCGCGGAGTTAAGCGTGTCAAGTTTCGCTTTATTCCGGTTGAAAATGATGAACTTACTTTTCAAGAGGAGTTTATTACTAAGGATATGGACGCTAGTCCTGAGTCTCAAGAACATGATCATGATCATGATCACGGTGATGGCCATGATCATGGTCATGGTAAGACGACCAACGGCAGTGCCTCCGGTTCCCATAGTCATGACGATGCATCCCGAAAAAGGCGGTAGATGTGAAGATGTGAAGGAGATGCACAGAAGAACAGGAGTATTTTATTTCGGGTTGCCATTGATCGGCAGCTTGGTGCTGCTATGATACCCCATGGTCCATGGCCCACGGCGATTTGAGCAAGTGATTTCTGTACTGTGTATAGAACGTTGCTTGGAAAATAGAGACATACAATAAGAAGATCCTTTGTCTTTCACCCAGCTGCTCAGCTGTTCAGCAAAAGTACCATGCTAGTACTAGTAGTTCATAGTTCAAGTGACTCGGTGATGTCAGATCGTGACTTTGTGAGTCAGGCTTCAACCCGAATCACGCACCAGCTTGCCTTATTGGGACGCACCAACCTAATTGTGAAATTGTGAAAAATAGTAAATTTCTTTCACTTTCACTTTATTCTTCTCTCCAACTAAACCCCACCTAAGTTGTCTCTTATTCTTATTTTTTCCCCAGTGCAAGTCTAAGTGGACACACCTTAGCGGAGCCCCCAGGCACGGAAAGCGATTACGATACGATGGAGGTTATCTTCCACCGAAAACAATTTTGATCTCAACACACATCACCCCCCTTCCCTGCAACCTCCCCCCCTTCCACACTCGAGGGAGTCCGGCTGGTCGAAGATGGAAGAACAGGTACGTATTCTCATCCTTTTCAACTCTTTGATCTCCAGGGAAAAAAATATATCCCTCGACCCCTCCCCCGCTGCCCCTCTCTCCGACCCTCCGAATGACCACCCTCGACCACTACGGCGCATTGACACATCCCACCATTAGGTAGCAAATGCCATTGAGATCGCCTGGAACCCCCTCTCCGACCAAGCCCTGAAGTCGCAAGCTTTCAACTATCTCAACCAACTCCGCTCCGATCCCTCCGGGTGGCAGGTCTGCCTCAGCCTCTTCATCAAAAATCCCCCACAGCCCGAGATCGTACGACATACGAGCTTAGAAGTTGTCAACAGCGCCGCTCAAGCTGGTATTATCGACTTGGCCTCACTGGTCGTCGTCAAGGATGGACTCCTATCATACTTGAGACAGGTGTACGGGCCTGAAGGCAACGCCGCCCCGGACGCACCCTACATTCAGAACAAAATTGCGCAGACCATCACTTTCCTCTTTTCAGCACTCTACGCCAATGGCTGGGAATCCTGCTTCGACGATCTTCTCAGTCTCACCTACAAGTCCTCTGCCAGCTCGGCTCGCGATAATCCGCTCGGAATTATTTTTTACCTCCGTGTGGTAAATTCGATCCACGAAGAGATTGGCGATGTGCTAGTCTCACGCTCTCGAGGAGAACAGGATAAGGCGAATAGTCTCAAGGATCTGATTCGAGAGAGAGATATGCAGAAAATTGCTAGCTCCTGGCAAGAGATTTTGTCCGCGTGGCAGGATGGCGAAGACGTGGTCGTTGAGATGTGCCTCAAGGCCGTCGGAAGCTGGGTGAGCTGGATCGACATCAGCCTTGTTGTGAATCAGAACATGTTAGATCTGCTGTTCCAGCTTCTCGGGCGAGCCAAGAAGCAGGAATTGCGCGATGGTGAACGCCGAGTGCGTGATGCCGCCGTTGACGTTTTCACAGAGATTATCGGCAAGAAAATGAAGCCGAGTGATAAAATTGAGATGATCGACTTCTTGAAACTCAACCTCATCGTGACTGAGCTCTCCAACAGCCCACCACTGCACCAGAACAGATCCACCCCCGAGTACGATACCGACCTTGCGGAGACCGTGGCGAAGCTCGTCAATATTACTGTTTTGGACATTGTCCGAGTATTAGAGTCCGATGCTGGTCCCGTCAAGGAGAAGGCAGACAACCTTTTGCAGGAATTCGTGCCTCACATGCTTCGCTACTTCTCAGATGAATATGACGAAGTTTGCTCGACTGTCATTCCCTGCGTCAATGATATGCTCACCTACATCCGCAAGCTTAACAAGTCCAACCCATCTTACGAGGCTGGAAATGCCGAGCTCCTCCGTGGCTTTTTGACAGCCATCATTGCAAAGACCCGCTACGACGAGACCTCGGACTGGGGCAGCGAAGATGACCAAACAGACGAAGCGGAATTCCAAGAGCTGCGCAAGAGGTTGGGTGTGCTGCAGCATATTATCGCAACGGCGCATGAGGAGCTGTATATCACTGTCATTGCGCAGTCTGTGGAAAATACATTTGCCAGCCTGCGGGCCACTCAAGGCCAGATCGATTGGCGTGATCTGGAACTTGCCCTCCACGAGATGTTCGCATTCGGTGATCTGGCCGTCAAGGGCGGTGGTATCTATCAGAAGAACGCGCCCACTGGGCCAGCTGCGCTCAAGCTTATCGACATGGTGCTTCGTATGATTGAGTGCGATATTCAATTCTTCACACACCCTGCCACCCAACTCCAGTACATGGAAATCTGCGTTCGCTACAGCTCTGTTCTCCAGCATCATCAGCACCTCATCCCTGTTGTCCTCGAAGCCTTCCTTAAACTCGTGCACCACCCCAACCGCAAGGTGAAGACACGTTCTTGGTACCTTTTCCACCGACTGGTGAAACAGCTACGGACTTTCATCGGCAACGTGGCACAGACAGTCGTCGAGGCTTTGCTCAAGCTGTTGGTCATCAAAGCGGAAATTCCCTCAGAGAACGACGAGGGCGATGAGATGTCATCCGAAGACCACGAAAGCTCCGCCGACGCGGTATTCAACAGCCAACTATACCTTTTCGAGGCAGTTGGCGTCATCTGCTCAACTCAAGGCGTCCCTGCAGACAAGCAGGTCCTCTATGCGCAGGCCGTTCTCCAGCCAATTTTCACCGACATGGAACAAACCATTGCGATCGCCAAGAACAATGACGAGCGAGCACTCCTCCAGATCCACCACGACATCATGGCCCTGGGTACTCTCGCCCGTGGCTTCTCCGACTGGACCCCCGGTTCTCACACACCCGCCCAAATGCCCGCCCCAGAGGTCTCGGAGGCTTTCTCCCAAGTAGCCGAAGCGACATTGGTTGCTCTGGAATCTCTCAAGGCCTCCTTTAACGTCCGGACTGCCGCTCGCTTCGCATTTTCACGTTTCATTGGCGTCCAGGGCGCGCGTATTCTGCCCCAGTTGCCCCGATGGATTGATGGTCTCATGACTGCGACCTCATCACGCGATGAAATGGCCCTGTTCCTGCGTCTGCTGGACCAGGTGATTTTCGGATTCAAGGGTGAAATCTATAGTATTTTGGACACTCTCCTCACTCCGTTCTTGCAGCGCGTTTTCTCGGGAATTGCGGATCCCACAACGGGTACCGATGATGAAATCCAACTTGCAGAACTGAAACGGGAGTATCTCAACTTCCTACTCGCAGTTCTGAACAACGATCTAGGCGCTGTAATCATCAGCGAGAGAAACCAAACCCTCTTCGAAACTGTCATCACAACCCTAGAGCATTTCGCCAAGGACATCGATGACTACACAACTGCCAAAATGGCATTCTCTGTGCTCTGCAAGATGGGTATTTCATGGGGTGGACCTGATATCACCGCCGCCAACGGTAACAGCAACGGCTCGTCGACTCAGACTGCTCTTCCCGGCTTTGGAAATTACATGATCTCCCGATTCTCGCCTTTGTGTTGGGCACTTCCCGCAAATCCATCTTTCAATTCGAAAGATGCTCAGGCTAAACAGGTCCTCGCTGAAGCGGGAAGTTTACAGCGAACTATCTACGCCAAGACGGGCGGGGAATATACTGATTATCTGCGGAATAATGAGTTGCCTGGTATGGGTATGGGTGGTGATCTTATTGATGAGTTCTTGACGGCTTTGAGTCAGTTTGACGTTAAGGGATTCAGGCAGTTCTTCCCGGTATGTACACGAGCCGAGCCCGAGCATGAGCATTTTGCTCAAAGGTATCTTTCTACAATTTTCTTGTTCGAAGTGCTAACTTTTACGCCAGTCTTTCATCCAACGTCTCAGCGCATAGCCTGTTCTCATCACATTTCATCTCATCTCATCTTAGCCCGTCTCATTTCTTCAGACCTTCCACCCCAACCCCAACCCAACGCCCATCCCATCCCATCCCATTTCCTTTCTTCAACGACGACCTTTTCTCCTTCTGGTTTTTAGATTCCCCAATGTCATATTTTGTTTGATGAGAAGAAAAAAAAATTAAACGAGGTGACGTCTATCCTCGCGCCGATCCGACCCGGCCCCGCCCTGTGACATGATTGTTCAAGTCGAATTTCATGGCATTTATATTCATCTGAGCCCTGACATGTTTCGGAATTTCCGAGTCACTACATCAAAAGAGCAACCTCACTACTTCCAATACTACCTTACTACTACCCTTACCATTCAAAAAATGAAAAGAAATTCGCACCAAAAATATGGAACTTTGATCGGTATACAAATTCAAACTCGAAAGCGAAAGCGCACATCAAGGACTGTTCTTCCTCAATTCAAAAAGCATGACGAAATTATTCCTCCTTTAAGTACTAGTACATAGCGATTCGATTTCAAATTATAACATCCCCCCACCACACCCACACCCATTTCTGAACTGGTGCCATCATTTGCATCGTATCGTATTGCACCCCGCGGGCGTTCGAGCTTGAGCCCCCCCGTCTTCCCCCGTGCTAGAAACTGACTTGATTTTCTCTCGTTTATTTGGTTTTCACGGAAGGAGGAACAATCACTATTCAATTTATCTTCCAGCTAGAGTAGTTCCATATCAAACCAGCGTCAAAGCATACTACTTCTCTGCACCTTCGGGACAATGAGTAACCTGGAAACCCTAAATGAGCTCATGTAATCAGCGGAAATACTGTACTTATACATACCAGCTCCACATTATTTCCAATTGAATCTAAAACAAATGCCGCGTAAAAGTTCTCATGATACTCTGGTCTCAACCCAGGCTTGCCGTTGCAGGTGCCACCGGCGTCGATAGCAGCCTTGTAGAAAGTATTGACAGCAGCCCGGTCTGTCATGAATCAGTCAGTAAATATCTAACTTGGACTTCTAACAAGAAGGATATCTATAAGAGATGGATATATAGGAAGAGGAAACCGTACTAGGAGCGGTAAAGGCAAAATGAAACCCCGACGGAATGTGAGTTTCCTTCTGAAAGATCCAGAGATCAGGAACCTCGCTGCCCAGTCCGACGACGCCCGGGAACCGCATTATTTCCTTGTAGCCCAGTGGAGAGAGAGCTTTCTTATACCACTCGACAAGAGGTTCGAAATGCTCTTCCGGGGCGGGGATAGTGATATGGTCGATATTGCTGGACGGCATGGTTGTTGACTGTTCGAGGATAAGTTAGGGTATAGTTAAGTAGGAGTGGAGTGAGGGGAAATCTTATATACTAAATGGGTTCTTTTTCCACCTTTTATGTCAAATAGCGGAAGCTGGGCGGAAGCTGAGCGGAAGATGGACTTAAGGCATCCATCAAGAAGCGCACGGGACCACTTTGCTGCCTGTTTCTTGAGCTTTATGATGAGGTCAACCTCGTATTCTGAAATCGAGACTCCCACATTGTTGGGTTTAGTCGTGACATAATGTCCCGGCCAATCATAAACCTGGTATGCTGCCTCTGGTGAAGGCCCTTGATTTGACGTAGGCAATCTAGATCTCGGTCCAAACCCAATTTCAACGCCACTTTCTGCATAACTTTCCGAATTAGGATAAACGAAATCGTATCTATCTGTCCATATATCGGATATTAAACATCATGTCCCTAATTATCGAATGAGCTAATCTATAAATGACCTATTGTGGGAGGTTCAGGTACGTAGCATGTCCAAATTGCTCCTGAGTCCTGATTGAAAATAGTTGACAACTTAAAGTTTCTAGCGGTCCGAGACTTCCGACGACAGATATTCTGTAACCAGGCGTCAGCAAGAGCTGTGTCTGGTAAAATATACAGAGCCCAAAAGGAGCAGGAGCCTATGGCTTGCTCGGAAACCAGAGCTGCCAGTTGGTCGTGGTGCGCCGATGCGGATTGCTTCGAGCCAACGGCGTTGGTGTGCGTGGCTCCTACAGTTAAGGATTTTATTATACCAGAACAGTTTTTTTAGTCCTTCACTGTATTTAAATCCAGAAAGCACGTCACTATGGTTTAAAAGACTATCTCATACTCATACCTAGCTATCCCTCCGACATGGAAGGCGATACGATACTGTAACAGGGGCCACTATACCGTTACAATCAACAATTTAATATGAGTAATATAGCAGATAGTTTGATCCAACTCCCCCAAGTGGCAGGCCAAGCTTCCGCTGCGGTGGATTGTTGCGGAAGAGGTGCGGAAGACTATTATTTAGATGCCCATGCTCCCGCCTCTGAGTGGAAGACCAGCGGAAGCTTGGTGGAACTGAAGTGAGAGAATGTATTTAAACCCTAGTCAGCAACCACCTATGCTTGCCTCCATTTTCACTTTTCATTACACTGACCAACCATCATTTACAAGTTACGAAGGAACTTTTTAATTCGAACTATCACAACACGCCACGCACTATGGGAGACCAACTTGACCATCATCCCACTCCTCTAGGGAACTGGCTAGAAGACCTCTTCCACAAGTTGTTTTACCAGCCAGATGATGGAATATGCAAAAAGGCGATGGAAGAAGAAATGAGCTCTCAGTTGAAAGTTTGGTAATTTCTTCCACCTATGATCTACTGCTATAGACCGTCAGTCAGTCTAATATAATATGCTATACAGTATCAATGGTCAGTATATGCCCAGGGAGGGCTTTGACCAGGCGATAATACAGACACGGTGCACCTACAACATCAGGGTGCATAGTAGCCGTGAGCTGCTGGCATCACCCGATGCAACAGATAAAAGCACTGCTTCCGTCGCGCACATTCAGACTTTTACACTGGAGGATAAGAAAACGGGCACTCAACGCACGCAGACGAGCTTGACCATCTGTGTCATTGCGTTTAGTGATGGGAAGAAGCAGTTGATTGAACTGATGGAGATTATGCAGGACCATTGAAATTTCCTAGCCTTATGGATTTTTTGAAGCTCAGTTGTTAGGTGGAGAGCCAAGTTCGTGCAATGTGAGACCAAATTTATGGAGTTCCTCTTTTCCTAGCCAGTGACGGCAATAATCCATTCCCTTGATGAATCCCATCATTATCACCCCGAGTTCTTCCATATCTGCTGGTTGCGCTTGAGCAATATCGGACTCCCATGTCCGAAACCACACTGGAAGCAGTAAGTGGTCCGTAAGAGCTGCCAGCCAGAAATATTCGGATGGTGCAGTCCAGAGTGCTCGCTGTGCGTAGAAGCCAAGTTCCGCAAAATCATGGTGGGAAGCATCCCAACCGTTTTTAAGAAATGAGTAGAGCCCTTCAATGGAAAACCCGACGATGAGGGTTCGTCGTACACATTCATCAAAAACCCATGTCTGCCATGCATCATGTGCATGAGCTGTATGAATCAAATTTGTCAATGCATCGCTGACAGGCTTGGCATGACACTTGAGCTTTCGAAGCCATCGATCCAGGACAGGCCCCGCCACTTCGGCCTGCGATCGTAGCGCAATATCACCATCAAATAGTTGAATGATTTGGTAGAGGCACAATGCCTGTGCCGAAGCTAATTGCTCAATGGGTGACATATTGTCTGACTCGCAGTGCTCCGTTATTAGTCGTCGTGCCGCTTGGCTGATACACCGATTGACTAAGTGCTCGTTGTGACTATTTCTCTGAGTATAAAGGGAGCACATCCCTAGAGCTTCTTGCATGGCCAATGGTAGGTGGTTTTTATATAACCGGGCGTGTATAAACGGGATATGGCCACGACTTGCGTACATACCTGGCCAGGACTTGAATTGCTTCACGGCCGAAATAATTCTCTCTTGATATATCTCACCTGCCAGGACACTTCGACTCGGTACCGAGTTATCTACCCCGACCTGGTCCGGGGCCGCAAAGCGGTCGATATTTTCCATGATATCCGGCCAGTCTAGGTCATAGTCTGGGAAAAAAGGAAGTGTCGACCCAGTCAAAGTCAGACCCACGGGAGCATTATTATATACGTCCAAGGGTCCGACGGCCGGATTCACATCCGGCATTTCAGCAGCGTTGGTCCAGGACACGCTTGGCGGCGAGACTGTCGACGTAGAATCTTCATCGTCTGCAACATCAGGTACCGCAATAGGTCTCGTGTTTAGCGGGCTCTCATATGTACACTGCAAGGACCGAACACGGCAGCGATAGCATGGGAAATTCAGGTCACAGCGGCGTTTCGCTTTCACGCAGTCCCGGCACGACCTCCGATAAGGTGAAGGCATTGGAAATATTGTGGGCGAAATAGGAGAACAAGGAGGCAGACTTCCGCCGGGAAGGAAAATAAGGGAAAGCGCCTAACCAGGAAGTGCGCAGGATCGTGGAAGCTAGGAAATGTTAATCCATCCATCTTTTCCTTTCGCCCGGTAATAAACGAGCTAGTTGTCTCATACAGTACCTATTTCTACCACGCCCCTGAAAGTGCTTATACGTTGTCACGGCTCCCTTGATTTGGGCAGAATGTAGGGGCGACTACGTGATGGGACGAGTTTGCCATCTAACGTAAGCTTCCGCATCACTTCCACTGCGATCCACTTTGAGTTCCGCCGGCGGAACTCTAAAACTAAAGCAGGAACAGTTTGGACTCGGAGTTTCGCTGGCCAAGGAAAATGATGAAAGCACCATCTAGTTATCAAGTAACCAACCGAGGTACGCCAGGGAGTGACCACTTGCGTTGATCCAGATTTCTCGTTCACAAGGAAAGAATTATGACTCTTCCCAATCGCACCAACCCACTTAGAGGCTTTCAGTTCTTTTCCCTATCCACTACCAAAATGGAATGGTGGGTTGTCTCTCGATTAGTGATCTAAGGTAGACATATTGAGAACCTGAAAACCCTCGAAATGGAAGGATGCCGGCAGCTGACTGAACAGTCGAAGTCTCTCCTTGCCGGGGCGGCTGCCAGGCGCTCGCACCCGTGCGCATCGACAATGCTTCTTTGTGAAGAAGATGCTGGCCCTGACGAATTTGAAAACCTGCTACATATCTAGGCAGCCGTCAGCATTTATCTAGTCGCAGACGCCCCGAAGAATAATTTGCACCAAAGGCTTGGCGGTGAGTTAGGGTGTACTGATCAAGGCGATTTCGAGAAACCACTGTAAACTCTGAAGCTTATACATACTAGCTGAAGGTTTCTCTTTCATCAAGATGCTCTCACTTCCAAGAAATTTTGGACATGCGTCCTAGATGGGCTCATTGACGATTGTTTTTATCTACGCTAGGTGGTCGGGCTGACCAGCAGAGTCCACAGATAGTTCAACCATACGATTGGCTAATTGCATTTGGCATTCCGGGTCTCGTCCGACAAGACTCCATTTTCTGCGCATACGCCTCCACCAACACCTACCCAAACAGAGGATCCGCCGAAAGTCTCCCTAACTTACCCCCAAGATCTTCCCAACTTGATGGCTCTTTTCGCATCGCGGCCTGTGGGAATTTGGGCTTTCATATTTCTCTTACTCTCATCTTTTCTTTTCTTTTTCGGCTATTCTTCGATCTTAAGACGCCTAGACTACTGCTTGGGGCTTTGTGATACATGGAGCGAGCTTTCTGGGACCTTATCTTAGTTACTCTTTTTCCATAAGCGAGTTCCAGTGCATCTGTACCCGTAATATCTGCTACAACTCTTAGAGATTCACATCTATAGCCAGTCGGAATCCTTCCAATCGTATTCAAGTTCGCTGTACTTAATGGATAAATACTACTTCAAAAATATTCTAATGTACTCGTGCTATCCTTACGGGGTAGGTCATATAAATAAATAGATGACCAATGCCCATCATGTTCCGCAATGATTCAATCTCGAACTTTTCCTCCCATCGGCTCAGATAACGGACTTTACTGTATTGGAATTCCGTTGCCCACTAGAGAACAGAAAAGAACAAACGAAAAAGAATCAGAATCCATTTTGTTTCATTATGGCAATGAAATGAGAAACTCAGCATAAATTTGAAGGGGGGACCGGATCTAATCTGCTCCACGTCTCTCGAGGAAAGGAAGGACCTCCGACAGAGTGAATTCCCGGAAAATGCCAGCGTGAAGAATGAAAATTAAAGAAAATGGGCAGAAGGCTTGAGAGCAGAGCAGGAGGGAGGTGACACACTATGCAAAGAGGTACTTCGCCGCATGCTCGACATGGTCATCGGCGAACGAAGCCATGGTGTAATAAGAGTGGTCGTAATCCGGCTGGTATCGGACGTTCAGACCCTTCTGTCCGGCCTCCTTGGCTGCGGCCTCGAAGTTCTCGGGCAGAAGTTGGCCTTGCTTGTAGAAGTTATCGCCAGTTCCCTGAATCATAGAAGTCAGCATTGAGTACGCAAGCGAAGAAAAGAAAAGATAGAGAGGAAAGGAATGGAGTGGAGGGGGGGACGTACCACGTCAATGAGAATATCAAGAGGACCCCCAGACCACTTCTTCAGGAGCTCGGTAGCATCGTGCTCCTTCCACTTATCCTGCTGGTCGTCGCCGAAGTAGCCCTTAAAGGCCTTCTGGCCCCAGGGGCAGTTGATGGGGTTTGTGATGGGGGCAAAGGCGGAGACGGACTTGTATTTGCCTGGGTTGCGGAGGAACTAGATTGATAGATAGTGGTGTCAGATATCACAGGCAATTGAATAAGAAAGAAATGTCAAAGTCGGCTTGGAAGAATTCCCGAAGTTCGGCTCGGCTCGACTCGATTCGACTTTGATTTGACTCGACATACCAGGGTGAGAGCACCGTGACCACCCATGCTGTGGCCAGTAATACTGACGCGGCCAGCGTCGAGCTGGGGGAACTCAGCGAAGACAGTCTTAGGCAGTTCCTCAGTGACATAGCTGTACATATTGTAGCCGGCATTGTAAGGGGCCTTTGTAGCGTCGACGTAGAAGCCGGCGCCGGAGCCGAAGTCATAAGCATCGTTCTCGCCTTCGATGTTAAGACCGCCTGTGTGGAAAGGTTAGATTAACACGAACTTCAAATTGCTCGCAGGATGGAATAGCCAAAGTCAAGGTCTGCAGATATGACGTACGAGGGCTAGTGTCCGGATAAAGCACAGCAATGCCCTTCTTGGCGGCACCGTGCTGGAAGAAGCCCTTCTCAGAGCAATTATCGGCGGTACAGGTCAGGCCGGACAGGTAAATCAGCACGGGGACCTTCTGGGTCTGGGCCTGTGGGGGCAGGTAAAGGTTGAAGGACATTTCGCAGTTCGTAGTGGTGGCATTGTGGCTCAGTTTGAGGAGCTTGCCGCCGAATGAGGCGATAGTGGCCTTTGTGGTGACGGACATTGTGTCTGTGGGTGTGTATGGATGGATGGAAACAGAGAAAGGAGAAAGAAGAGCAAGATGTGGAGAAGAGGAAAGGATAAATGCCAGAGCAAAGGACCAGATCGGAAGTTGACGTTTGGCGCGGGGTTTTTTTTTGTCCCGCATGAGGGGAAGCTCCACCACTCCACCCTTCCACCCCTCATACCCTACAGTTGGGTACTTACTGTACGTAGGGTATGAACTGATAAGCTACTTGGCCGCGGAGAGCTGGTACTCGTACAGTACTTCCCGAAACTGGTGTCATTCTTACATTCTTTGATGCTTTCCCACCCCTAATCACCAAGAGAAGCTGGTCTCTACAATTAGAAGTTTTTCTGGACAGGCCCTGTTAGTGGGGTCTGTATAGTTGTACGATGTATTGACTTGAAATTTGATATATCCAATAGTTACCTCAATAAAGCGTTTGAAGCTGTAAGTCAGCATATCTCCATTGCTCCCACCTTCACCCTACACCTCTCTAACACACCACGTACTAGCCTCCGTACAGAAGCCCGTGGTCCCTTCGTACAGCGTGATCATGATAATAAATTAAGAGTGATCGCATTGTAATGGGCCCCTACGTAGCTCCTTTGAAGCACGAGCTTACCTTCCATGTCGATCTCAATCATCGCAGACTCGACTCGACTCGCCACGGTAGCGATCATGGATTAATCGTCTCTAGCACTGAATCTTTCCAGGTTCATGGTCTTGAGAGCTTTCCGTCAGTCGGAACTGAGCGCACTACCCGATGTTGTTCCTACGTTTTTCGACTCACTTCATTCCATTCAGATTCACGCCTAAGCTGCTAGGTTGGATGCATGCCAATCAAGCGATCAAACGCGTGTTTTAGGCCACTATTACTTTGAGCAGGGTGCATTATTTACGTCTAGAATAGATACAGCAACTCTACTACTCCTGCGTACACCGGCCACGGACTAAGCGTCGATGGGTCTGTATGATCCTTTGCGACATAAAACTCACATACGACACTTAAACTCGTCCCAGAGAGCTGTACTTTGCGCATCTTATCAACTTTCTAGGCAGTGGCCATCACGACTCTGGAAGTGAAGGCACGCAATCTGCTAACGCACCTCTGTCTCCGCCTCCGAGTGCAGTACACCATCACAAGCCTCCACACTCCGCCGGGCGATCATCCAGGCGACGGTTCGATTGTCTTCCCGTTCATAACCGCTTTTTGTTTTTACCGGGCCAAATCAATCGCATTGCAGACAACGAAAGTTTCGCGTCTTTACTTTTTGTTACTATGGGTACCGCTGTGGTGTAACTAGTTAACAATGCCCACATGATGACTATGTCCTCTGCGCGTCGTACATTGATTGTCTCGGGCCAAAAGTGATACCAGATTTTGAAACACCAGACTTTCAAATTAAGGTCATTTGACTTATATTCAAGTTATGATATATGTCATCTTCAAGCGTGCATAGCCCGCCTTTTGTATAGGCGTTTTTGTCAGGGGTCTTTACAGACCGCTTGATGCAGACAAACTCAGATTCTCGTTCTGCATCACTTTGAAATCACTTTGCGAGTCAGATATGGGCTTGGCCTGGCTTCTATGTGACATAAATGCCCAGATTCCTTGGATAATGACAGTCAAGAGGCCAGTAGCGGCCACGTATATCCAGATCCACGGTGAAGCTTTCGGGCTGTCTGCGTCGAGGAAATTGAAGAATGTCATAGAAAAAAAGGTCTGCAAAGTCATGTAAGGATTTAACTTTGGCAACAACTCGAATTTTACATTACTTACAGCGGTGAATGTAGCTGGTAGGAACAGAATTGTGACAATGGCGAGTATTCTCATCGAAGCACTGTCCCGGGCAGTAGAAAGTGCAACGGAGCGCGAATCTCGTGCAATCTCAATCATAAGTTTCGCGTCATAGCGGCTGAGCTTACCGAGATTAAGCATCGCTTGGTTGTCACTTCGACTTAGCTGAGCCATAGCATTCGATGCTCGGGCAATTTCAATGTTTATAATGCTGTTTTGAGATGCTAGGAGAGAATACACCTAATTTGATTTAGCGAAATACTTCTACAGTCTCTTTAAACGGTCTCTGATGTTCTCTTTTGGTTTCTCAATCATCCCAGCTGCGGACGCATGAGCTATAGATTGGAGGAGAAACGTACTGTTTCAGTCTGGGCAGACGTTCGTCGCATCAAGTAATCGCACTGTGCCACGAGTCCAAGGTAACAACCCCGGGCGTTTTCAAGCTTGATGAAAAGTCCCTGTTGGTCATGAATCGCGCACCCAGGTCTTCCGACTGGTGTGCCAACTAGTGCTTCTGTATGCTGATACATTCGCTGTATCAAATATAATGCAGTCTCGGCTTGCATTTTCAAGAAAGAAAATCTACTTAATAGACTGCTAAGTTCACCAGTCATTGGAACCATGTCTAGCTCTTTCCAATCTTGAGCAGGCTGTCGCAAGTCTTGGGGACTGATTGGTTTCCTCATTCCGGTTGTGTCTTCAATGAAACGAACACGATGTCTTAGGCTGTTAATCGTTCTAGTAAACCACTGGGCTTGAAGTTCGAGGGCTGATGTCGGAATAGAGATCGACAAATCTCCAAGAGAAATATCGGCTGTCTCTAGATAGCTAAATAGCTCGGATAATGACCATGTCTGAGCTCCGAAAATCAGAATTCGTATTTTACCCGTCGTACTTACTGTCAGACCCATAGAAAAATGAGAATGCGATCGAGCTTGTTGAATGATTAACTCTGTTCCATTATCAGCCACTGGTTATACCCAATTTTAGATGAGAGAATACATTACGCTCGCTCTCCTGGACTGCAGGTGGTGCTCTGTATTTTCCCTTTGGAAAGACAGAAAAGGAAGCAAAGCCTGTATGAATCACGTTCAAGAAGGACGAAGAAATGTCCAAGGTCTGGGAAACTCGGTCAAAGAGTTTAGGTGAGATAGGTAACGTATGCTTTTCAGTATCTGTGATTGGGGGTTTCGCAAACGCCCTGTGAGGTTTTAATATCAAGATGATTGTTTTACTGCGGGACCCCTACAGCACAATAATATCGAGGTCATCCTATCAAATGGTTAGACAGGGTGAATTTGATGGGGTATGAAACTGTACTAAATTAGACCCATCGAGGTAGGAGTGAACTTCTGGCTCGGATTGCATCTGGTGACGTTGGATGTTCTGAAGAGGGGCCCCAGGAATAGAAGCATTAGAATCTGATCGCAGTTCGTCCTGGATTTGAGTCAGCGGATTCTACGAGAAGCTGCGTTGACTTTTCTCGTTCCGGAGCTTACTGGGAAACGAGCACAAAACGTGTGGCATTCATATAGTGCACTAAATGAATCGGGATTTCCGCGAAGTGATGATGACAGCCACTCTTGTGTACTAGCCATCGCAAGAATAGGGTGACTGTAATTCACAGAACAAGCAAAACGCGATGAGAGTCCTTCAAGATCGGAGGCAATGGACTTTTTTATGTATATGTCGAAATGTTCGTGAAAGATAACCTTGGAATGATTGTGAAAGACCTTCAATTCTGGCGAGAATGTCGCAAGATTCTGGGCATTGAGGCGGAGTCACAAGAAGGTATGAAGCAGGAGGCTCTCGCCTGCCGAGCGTGTTGCGGTTCTATTGGGTGCCTTCTTTGGGGTTCCTCCCTGCTGACACACATCTGACTTCACTTGGGTGATGGACGTGCGGCATCCATCGGTAGATAGAGTGCATCGGCCACGAGCGCAATAGCCGTGTGCTGAATCGATGTTTATACCGCTAGTATTTACATATTTCTGTAGCTTTGTTGCGATGAGAGGTTACAGCGGCCTACCTAATAGGTCTAGATTTGGGCGAGGAGCACCATGACATCATATCTGGGTGTACGAGGACAGAATGAACTAACTATTGGCTTAGCGATCATCTTGGCATCTACATAGCTAGGTGCCCAAGTGCCCATGTCCTGGCACCTATACCTCACACAGGCCTAACCAATGGGCTTAAACAACGTATACAGGGCAGCCGGAGTATCAGCCTAGAATCAGTGCATAATCCTTGCCTCTATCGTGTCTGTGAGCCTGTTGCCGGGCTAGTCCAGCCACGAACAGTAGGAAAGAAGTGTACAATATGTTTCGTACAGTAGATGGAAGAAAATAAATGGAGACGGCAAAGGAAAAGAGGTCAAAAAATTGAACAGGATCCGCAGTATACCAGTGTAGGAACACTCCTCCCAAATAGTCCACATACATTAGCACCAAGAGAAAGAGATGCACGTAGAACGCTACAACTAGCCAGCAGGAATTCTAGGAAACAGGAGCAGTACCAAATGGTTGGTCATAGGGGTCCTCGCCTCACTTTTGACCGGGCTTAGCGCCCCTTCTAAACGCTGACATGACAGGCTGGGGTATATGATTGATCACACTTCGCTGAGCGCCCCACTCCAAGCAAACAGACAGGCAAAGAGGAGGCGCCTGGTCGGCGAGGATAAATGTGAGCGGTTGAGCCCCTCCTTCCTTCACTCTTGTCTTGTTACTGACCAAGGGCTCGATTAGCGCCCCTGGGAGAAGTTCTAACTCATCAAACCCTGAAATTTCCAAAAAAGAATTGTCACCTTATTGTATTTCTTGATGGGTCCTCGGAAAAAGAACAAGTCCAAGCCAGCAAGCAGCTCTCTCAATGAAAACGCCGTGGAAACAAACATCACTGGGCAGAAGAGCTCCGCGGTTCATGTGCAAGATAAACTTCCCAGGGACACCAGTTACCGCAGGACCGAAAGAGGAGAGACCGCTCTTGAGGGACGCGATGAGAGGGGCTTGTCCAGCATACGAGGAGCCGCAACAGCCGATGAAAAAAAGAATTCATGTCGACGCCCTGCATGTGGACATACTAAACAACAAGGACTTCGATCTGAAAGTGCTTGTCGAGCCTACAATCGAGGAACACATGACCGAGAAAGACATTATTGAGTACGGCATATGCGGTATTATGGTTAATCGAAGCTAATAAATTGCTCTAGCATAGTTGCCGTTCACGGCCTTGGAGCCCATCCCGGAGAAACTTGGGCTTACCGGAACCCGGAGACAAAGGTGGCCGTCTGCAACTGGCTAAAGGACGAGGGTATGCTCCGACAAGAGGTCCCGAACGCCCGTATCATGCAATTTGGGTATGGTGCCAAGTGGTTTGGAAGTTCTGCCGAACAACCTACCAAAACCTTGGTGAGCAATGTGAGTGAACGGTTACTCAGGCAGCTAGAGATTCACCGAAAGGTAAGCATTGGTTCATTCCTCTGACTATAGCCTCCTAAAGAGAACACATTACAGGACTATGCCCGACCATTGATTATCATCGCCCACAGCTTTGGAGGCCTACCTGTTATACACGCCCTCCGCAGATCCCGCGACGACCCCGATAAGTGGGGTAACACGTTTCAATTTACCTCTGGGCTGGTTCTTTTTGGTGTCCCATTCCGAGGAAGAGATGGCCCTTCAGTTAAGAAATGGGTTAAAAATATCAAAAAATACCATAAGGATCCGAATGTTCAAATCTGGTCAGAGACAATGTCCACGTCTATACCCGGAAGTCAATATCTTGGAGAATTATTGAGTCAGTATACAGAGACACGAGTTGACCATCCTATTCCTGTCTCTTGTTTCTGGGAACTAGACCCAAGTCCTGTGGGGAAAGTCTGGGGCGACCAAAATCCAAATCTGGTAGGCCACCTTACAGTGTTCTTCCATAATTATATTTCTATGCTGAGTGACATCTAGCCAAGGGAGTACCTTGTCTCTCGGACGTCGGCCTGTCTTGACCTCTCGGCGGGAGTCACTCAGGATTCACTTCAGCGACATCACTACAATTTACAGAAGTTTGAAGGTCCCAACGATGTAGAATGGAAGAAAATTGTCGCACCTCGTATTTGCAGCCTGGCCAAAAATTCTAGATTGTTTTTGGAAACATGGACAAGAGGTACGAAAGACCTTAACCGAACGTTTGTTGAAGCGAGGCTAAGTATCCAAGATGGTAAAGGGCAAAGAAATACCTCTCCAAGCTCGGATGACAACCAGAATTTTGTCTACGAAAAGCTATGTCCCATGGAAGGAGCTGCGTTCAATTCCTATGCAAACGAAGACATCACGACCTGCGACGAGCACACGCGCGAAAGGCTACTCGATACGATCGGCAAATGGGCTGATAGCCCAACGATTTGCGAGCATATATACTGGCTTCAAGGAAAAGCTGGCACCGGAAAGTCAACGATCGCGCGTACAGTAGCGGATAAGCTTAACAAGAAAGATCGCCTCGCGGCCAGCTTTTTCTTCAGGAGGAATGCAGGCGATCGCGGTCGTGCCAGCAAATTATTCACAACTATTGCTGCCCAGCTCGTCGAGAGAATGCCTGCCGTGGCTAAGTATATGCGAAGCGCTATCAAAGCCAACCGTCGTATCGTCACAACGGCGCTGGAAGAGCAATTTGAAAAACTTATCCTGCAGCCAATGGGGGCCGTCTCGCATGACAAATCCAAGCCCATGACGGTCGTGATCGACGCTCTAGATGAGTGCGAAGAAGATCGGGATATAATCAGGAAGATTATCAAATTACTGTTGCAGATCGATCCGGCTGTAATCCCGTTGAAGTTTTTCGTCACTAGCAGGCCTGAGCCTTGGGTTCGTCTCGGGTTCCAGGATGCTCAAGAAAAAGTAAAACTATTTGAGCTTCACACGATCCCGGAGGATATAATCAGGCAAGACATCACGATTTTCTTGGAATCTCGATTGGCCAAGATTCGGTGCGACTCCGAAATTGACTCTAGCTGGCCGGACAGAGCCACCTTCCAAAAGCTCCTGGAAAAATCTACCCCTCTTTTCATTTTCGCGGCTACTGCCTGTCGCTTCATCGAAGACTGCTACGAAGGCACGGGCGAGCCAGATGATCGACTTCAGATGATAATCCAATACAAGGCCCATGGAGTATTCAAAAATATATACCTACCTATTTTGGACCATATGGTTCACAAATTAGAGGGCTCCAGCCGTCGAAACGCATTGAGCGAGTTCAACCAAATTGTGGGCTCAATAGTCACACTGTCAAAACCTCTTGACATTGCATCACTGGCGACACTCCTCGGCATTTCCACTAGCTGCATCAGAAATAGATTGAAATTACTTCACTCTGTACTGGACTTCCCAAACGGTGCTACTACTGGCCCTGTGAGAGTATTTCACGAATCATTCCGAGATTTCCTCATTCGTCCTGACCCGGAAGACGTCCACGACTTCTGTATAGATGAGAAGGCTACTCACAAGACGCTTACAGAGAAATGCTTTGATCTGCTCTTCAGAGATAGGGAAGCTGCTTATCTGAAAAAGGATATCTGTGGACTAGAATCACCTGGTGAATCTCGTACTATCCTCGACCAACAAACGATTAACCGGTGCCTGCCATCAGCGGTTCAATATGCATGCCTTTACTGGGTGTATCACTTAAAGAGTAGCGGAGACAAGCTTCATGATGAACACCAGGTGTTCCGGTTCCTTCAGAGACATTTCCTCCACTGGCTTGAGGCCTTGAGTCTTTTAAACAAGATATCAGAGAGCATCAGGCTAATAGGAGAGTTACAGTCCCTAGTTAACGTAATTCATTTCTATGGCTATAGAGTTATGTTTATTTACTAACTATTAAGAAATAGTGCGATCAAAACCCCTCAATATCTGCTTTCTTACATGATGCGAAGCGCTTTGTCCTTAAAAATCGGCAGATCGCGGATGACGCACCTCTCCAGCTCTATTACTCAGGACTGATGTTTGCACCACGATCGGCAGTGATCTGCTCAGTGTTTGAGGGAAAATTGCCTGCTTGGAAGTGTCGCCTGCCACAAGTTGAGGAAAACTGGACTGCAGGCCTCCAGACTCTTGAGGGCCATGCACTGTCAATTTCATCACTGGCTTTCTCTCATGATGGTCTGGTTCTAGCGTCTGGATCAATTGATGAGACAGTGCGGCTCTGGGATACTGCGACAGGCGATCTAAAACATGTTCTCAGCGAACATTTACAGCCGGTTTTGTCAGTGGCATTCTCACCCAAAAGTCAATTACTTGCATCTGGCTCTGAGGACGAGACAGTGCGGCTCTGGGATGGTATGACGGGCAATGAATCACGAACTTTCAGCTCCGAGCCAAATCCGGTTGAGCTTGAATATTTGCCTTTCACGTATGACCCTGATGACACTATCGTGCCAATCAATTGCTTTGGAAAAGCTTTTCAAAAGAGTCAGTGGGGCTACGAGTGCCCGGTCAGTGAAGTGACCTTCTCGCATGACGGCCAAATGCTAGCATTTGCTTTTTGCTATACCAAAGACAGGTCCATGAGCACGATAGAGCTCTGGGATCTTGGAACAGACGAGAAAAAATATTCTTTCACAGGGCACTCCGATAGGATCAGCTCATTGGCCTTCCCCTCTTGCAACAGTCAAATACTAGCATCTGGCTCACAAGACGGGACAGTGCGCATCTGGGATACTACAACAGGGGAAGCAACCCAGATGATCAAGCACGGAATGATTCACAGAAATCAACGATTCTTTGTTTGGTCAGTGGCCTTTTGGCCTGATACCCAAATACTAGCATATGGCTCTAATGATGGAACGGTGCGGCTTTGGGATACTGCGACAGGCAAAGAAAAACAGATTTTCGAGGACGAAATGATTCGCAGCAATACAGTAACGACCAATATTTGGTCACTGGCCTTCTCGCCTGATGGCCAGGTACTGGCGTCCGGCTCTTCAGATGGGATAGTGCGGCTCTGGCATACTACAACGGGCAAGCTCCAACGGACTCTTGAGCTTCATTCCCATCGTCTTTCGGTAGCAATTTCACCCAACGGCCAGCTACTAGCGTCTGGCTCTTCAGATGGAACAGTGCGGCTCTGGGATACTGCAATAGATACTGCTCCCTTGACCCCTAAGAGCCATTCAGACCAGGTTTCATCGCTGGACTTCTCGCCTAACGGCCAACTCCTGGCATCTTGCTCAATCGATAAGACGATACGGCTTTGGGATACTGCGACGGGCAAATTGCGAAAAACCTGGCAGGCAGAAGATTGGATTCCCTCTGATGTCCAGTTTTCCAAAGATGGTTCATCGCTACAGACGAACAAGGACTCTTTCGAGGTTCGATCATTCTATGATTCCAATTTACCTTATGGGAAACAAGTGGACGTGGAAATATCTATCGAACAGAGCCAATGGATAAAATTGAACAATGAAAGAGTTCTATGGCTTCCTCCGGGCTCGCGGCCAAGCTGCTGGGCCGTTTTTGACAGCGCAATTGCCATAGGGCACGCATCAGGTTATATATCTTTTATCGATTTCGATCCTCCAGAAGCCTAAACCAATACTACTTCAAGTTAAAATCCTTCTTCTTTCATCTTAAATGGCAAGACACTCTGTCCTCCAGGGCTCTAAGTCGAAAAGAGACCCGCGTAGTACTAGTAACTAATGGGTGGCCCACAAGCCAATTTGAAATTGTCTTGGCGTGGAAGGCCCTGAAATAATTGAAGACTCGGAGGTTAAAAGGCGACACCGGTTTCGAGACCCGTCGCACTCACTAGTTATAAGGGAATTTACCCTTATCGCCCTTGAAGCCGCCCGTAACATCAGCGTCCCAAAATCACTCGGGTTCCCGATACAAATTTAGACTTGGCTGATCGACCGCCCCGGGCAATCATATACTATGTAGTAATAGTATGTTTAGTAATAATTATCTACCCAGGTTCTACCTTGGGCGAATATCCCGCAAACGGGTAGCCACTGCGCCACCAGGTGGTCCACCAGGGCCACCAGGCACTGGAATCGGTACACAGTATAAACTTGAATTTAAATCGCTCTCGCACTAGCCTTATTTGGATGTGAGAGCGCGCAACTGAATTTGGGGCAACTAATGGCGTCAACCCGATAACTCCGAGCCCGGATGCGCTTAATTTATTCAACTCGCAATCTAGGTGATCCTAACTGTAATATATGAAAGGAAGTCAGATAGGTCGCAGGTGAAAGTAAAACCATACCCTCCGCGATATCTGCGAATTATTTCCATCAATCCGAAGGTATACTAATATAGAGCACCATGTCGAATGCCCGCAAGCTCATCCTGATCACTGGTGGAACTGGTTTCATCGGAAACCATACAATTTCACAATTCCTCTCGAACGGATATCGAGTTCGAGCGACAGTATGAAACCAGGATACCCGTGACTGGTTCCTTTCTATCCATTCGAAACACCGGGACTCGCTGGAAACGCTGATCGTCGCTGATATCACAAAACCCGGGGCCTTTGATACGGCCGTCAAGGATGTTGATGGAATTGTCCATATGGCGTCTCAATTCACCTACAAGATCACCGACAATGAGAAGGATTCAATCATACCTGCTATGAATGGTACAAAGGGAATTTTGCAAAGCACGGTTTCCTTTGCGCCTAAGTTTAAGCGAGTTGTTTTAACTTCTTCGTTTGCCTCAATTGCCGACTTTTCCAAGGGTCTAAGACCGGGACACGTGTATGAGGAATCACAGTGGAGTTCTCTGACCTACCAGGCGACGAAGGATGATAAGAGAGGTCTTGCCTATGCTTGAGTCGAATTTCCCACACTCAACCCTACTGGCCTTTATACTAGGCTAACGATCAAATTGAACAGAGGTAGCAAAAAGCTTGCGGAAGAAGCAGCTTGGCAGTTCGTGGAAATTTCGTCCGGTGTGAAATTCTCTCTCGCAACCATAAATCCGACCATGGTATATGGGCCCGCGCTCCCGGATCAGCATCTCTCAAGAATCTGGGTCAATCTATGTCAGAAATATATGCGCTCATGAACGCATCTCTGACTGAAGTTCCACCCACGGCGCTGCCGGCCTTTGTGGATGTTAGGGATGTGGCGAGAGCCCACCTTCTGGCATTCGAGACAGATCAGCCACAGAGATTCCTCATTTCCGGAGGCGATTTTGACAAGCAGAAGGTTTGTGATCTGCTTCGAGATCAGATACCCGAGCTGAAGAGTCGGGTGCCTGTAGGAAACCCAGGAAAGCCAAGCGTTGGTCAGCACTACGAGGTCGACTGTTCCCGAGCTAGAAGCGTTCTTGGAATCGAGTTCCGGCCCTTTAACGAAACCTTCTTGGATATGGCTCACGCCTTTTTAGATATGGAGAAGGCCGATAAAGAGTCCTCTCTCTGAACAAGGTTGTCTAGAAGGGCAGCAGAATATGATTTATCTTCGTGACTTAACTCTGTTATTATCGAAGGTCCACTTTGTTTTAGATTGGATACTTGGTTTTTCCTTTGAATCAATACTTCTACTTTGCTTTTTATAATCATTCTGATGCGTAAAGTTTTGCAGGTTTGACTCTTTAGAAACAGGGATTCGTGGGTCCTGGCAGCCTTGATTACCTCTACTTATATAACCTTTCAAATGTATTATTTTAAGTCTATATATTTTAACTACGAGTCTATACCATGATTGGTTCTCAAAGACACGTACTATCTATAAAGCGTAGAAGTAGAAATGATTAAGCTTGCAGTCCTTCGTCGAGGTAAGAAAAATTGACACCTATGTTCTACACACTAAATACAAAATGTGAGGTTAAGCTGGCCCTGAAGGGTCCTAGTATCTACGGAGTATATCGGGGAGAAAAAGACATGCTAACCAGGTTTTGATCTATCTAGTGGAAAAGCTGAAAAGGGCAAACACTTGATTACTAGAGCCAGAATATAGACTAACATCGGTCCATCCACACTCGATCTCTAATTGAAGTTTCCACACTCAGATACGCCCCTTTGAGAAGGAAGATACCCACTGCTCGGTCGTCAGAAGCTGGTCGGCGATCACAGGCCAAATCAAATTAACTGCTGCATTTTTCAACTCAATTGAAAACGCCGCAGTTGCATCAGTACTGATTCGAAAGTTAGCAGCATTCGTCACAAAACCTTCAGAATTTAGTATCAGAAGTAGATTGAAACTCACATCAAAGTGACATGGAAGCCACTATTCAAACGGAAGGAATTATCAGTAAATCGTGCAATCAAAAGATCGGGTAATTGAAGGAGACTTACATTTCACGAGCAGCACGCGCAGTAGACTCCACACATGTGTTGGTGGCTAACCCCGCTAACACGACGTGAGTAATATCATGCTGCCGGAGTTGATACTCCAGGTCGGTGTTCGAAAATGAACTGGAGTTATCTGAGTAAGCTTCGTTCTCTATGCAAGAGAGAGAATTGCTTTAATAAGATTGGTCTTCCAATACTACTAACCTGCTGTTCCAGTGTCGAGAGACAACTACATCGCCATTGCTAGGCTGAGGTTCCAGTTCTTTCAGAATCTGACCACCAAACCTTTCGGAAAAGGCCACATTCTGTTTGATTTTAACTTGCGACGCGTTCATGTGGTTCCAGCCCGAGTAAGTTCCATCCTTGGTGATCTGATGGAGACCATAGAAGATAGGAATGCGAGCATCTCTTGCGCCGGCAACCAGCTCCTTTATATGTTCAAGAGAGTTGGACGCCTCCAAACTAGGCTTGATGAGAGGGAACAACTGTCCATCGGGGTGAAGAAAGTCATTTAGCGGATCGATAAGGAGGACAGCAGTTCGTTGGCTCATGGTTGCAAACAATTGAGTAAAATGTTTGTTCAATGTATGTCAAGTTAAACTGCTATACCTGGTCTTCCTTCTTATATATCCTATCCAAATGGTTGATTTATAAGAGCATCGGTGTTCGGTACTACTATTTGATCATTGAAAGTTGCGAGAAATAAAGTATTATTCAACAAAAAGAAAGACTCCCCAGATTACGTCTGACTTGCGTCGAGGACATGCAGAAAAAAGTATGTATCGATCTTTAGGCGCTGTGACTTCCGTTTTGAGACTAGTGTGGCGAAAGGGCGGGATCGGGTGGCCGTGGACAACGAATGTCGCAATCATCCTTTTCTCTAGACATACTAGTACTCCGTAATGTACCGGATAATGTCTGGCAACTCTTGGCGGCCGCCTTCCGTTCTAGAGCTCACCTCGTCGCCGCTTTTTCTCACTGGGTAGAATTAAGCACAGCCCTGACCGATATGTAATCAGACTGTTCACTCAATGAGCCTGGTATGAGCACCCTGATTTGCTCAGTGATCATTATGATCTGATCACTGACCCCGGCTTACTTACTAAGCCAGCTCATGCAGGGCGATATGAGTAAGCAAGGTCAATAAAACGCGACGTGTTTGTTAGCTTAACTATTTTAATTAAGTTGGCGTTGTACCCCGGTCAATTTCGTTCTACTCAGTCTTTCAAATCGATAGCTGATGTAATTTTCCTAGGAATATCCTTATTTATCTTGTATATTGGTCAGGTTCGGAGGAACTATATAGGCAGATGTGTAATTCTTAGATAGATTATGTGAATTATTTTGTTTTTATTGGATATCGATTTAATAATTCACAATTTCACAAATGGTTGTTTACTCTACTTAATATTGTGTATTGTGGTCTTATAATGTCTTACCTCTACTAGAATATAAAGTTAAAAAGAACGAAAAAGTAAGATTTTATTGGGAAAACAGTTTTCCCAGTTTTCCACTGATCTTCCCTTTGGATCAGGGAGGTATAAGAATGTGTATGTTACGCGCTACTGGCCAAGCGCGATGAAACGGGATTTCCTGGGTGATACTTGCCTCATGTACTCAGGCCTTCAAGCTAGCCCACAACAGTACCGTCACATACGATGCTTTACACGGGCTTGGGTCTTTAGGATGTTTGCGAAGGTGCGTCGGTCGAGTGCGCCAAGTAGGTCAGTCCGGAGAGCTCCCATATTTGTAGGATGCTTGGCTTAATATCGAACAGTGAACTAGATCGACAATAGATCCAAGTGACAGTGTGTAATTGATCGCAAAGAAGTAGATACGTCTGCGTAAAGGAACGTCCTTATATATCCAGTTCTTCTGCCTGTGGTATGTCGTGTGGTCTACTTGGTGGTATACTAAGTTAGATCACACAAACTACATAATTACCCGTTGACATGGCCTTCTGTATACTGTGTGGTTACGTAACGAGCAAAATTGCCGTTGCACTTACTTATAGTAATGGTGAGAGTAGAAACGACGCCGATTCCTGCGTCGCGCTAACCGCTTTGCCGTCTAGTGCGGTACTCGTCGGGGCGGTTAGGAGACCGGTTCCTCCTCCCTCCTTTCGCATGACCGCCTGATCGTGTGTGCACCTGGCATGGCCGAATCCTTGCTGAGGGTGGTTAGTTCTCGGGTGCTCATCGGTAGCTAACAACCCCTCATGTTGCAGGGTCCGTGACAATATTGGCCTACTGCACATACCAAATTGACCCAAAAACGTCTAGTAATGAGGCCAGTATCACCAGCCATGAACAGAATGATGGGTGGTTGGCTAGAGACTTGACTATTTCCACGCCAGGTCCTTTGTCCTTGCTCTTTGTCTTGCTGGTCTACTCGGGCCTTGTTTCCCGTTCTCAGGTATATAGACCCCCTAAATATTTTAACTTCTCGTGCGAAGCTTGAATTTCCTTTTGTAAGGATGTTCCGGGATAAAAGCCGAGAGCCGAGCACAGACTGAGTTTTAGTGGAATCAACGTGGTGGTACCTGGTGGTACCTGGTGGGAACGGTCGGCTGTCCAACGAGATCCCTCAGATCACCCACATGATGGATGATCTTCAGAGTTCGGCCAAGTCTTGTTTCATCGCACAAATTCACCGGCCAGCCACGCTTGACGGAACTAATGATGGAGCTGCATCCATCCACGCCGCCCTTGCTGTGCTTTGGATAAGCATAGACAAACTGAGTCGTTCCTCGGAAATGAAACTCCACTCGCCACCATCAAATTCCATGTTCTCGGGCTATTAAGGTAGTCCGCTGTCTACTGGATTAGTTTATAGGAGAACACTGGACATAAAAGAAACGAACTTTACCCAACCGAGAGACCCCCGAACAGCGACACAAAACACTCGTTACCTGTGTCGTGCCTCCGCCATGATGGCCTTTGCAAGTCAATTTAAGCTCGCAGTCTCAATAGCAGCAATCGCCCAGCTAGCTTTTGCAGCGAACAACAAGAACACCACCATTAATTCGCAAATCCGTCTCGCGTACCATGGCGACAACGGCATGATGGTATCGTGGAACACGTTCCACAAGCTCGGCAAGCCTACAGTTCACTTTGGCGTCTCGGCTAGCAACCTCAACGAGACGGCTTCCTCGAAGATTTCAGTCACCTACCCAACCTCATTGACTTATAACAACCATGTCCTCCTCACAGGCCTATCTCCTGACACCACTTACTTCTACCTGCCCGTCCACCTGGCCGACTCCCACTCGATGGTGCCCTACAACTTCACCACCAGCAGGGCTGCTGGCGACAAGACGCCCTTCTCCGTCGCGGTGGTTGTCGACCTCGGTACCATGGGCACCCGGGGCCTGACCACTAGCGCTGGCACGGGTGTCAAGCCCCAGAACATCCTGAAGCCCGGAGAGACCAACACCATCGAGTCACTGACCAAATACCAGAACGATTTCGACTTTATTTGGCACCCTGGTGACATTGCGTATGCGGACTACTGGCTCAAGGAGGAACTTCAGGGCTTCTTGCCAAACACTACTATTGAAGATGGCCATATCGTTTACGAATCCATTCTTAATGACTACTACGACCAGATGATGGCAGTTACCGCCACCAAGCCCTACATGGTCGGCCCTGGCAACCACGAAGCCACGTGCGATAACGGCGGCACCACCGACAAAGCCCACAACATTACTTACACAGCTGACATCTGCGTCGTGGGTCAGACCAACTTCACCGGCTATAAGAACCATTTCCGCATGCCGAGTGATATTTCGGGTGGTACAGGAAACTTCTGGTACTCTTTCGACAGCGGTATGGTGCATTTTGTCCAGCTCGATACTGAGACCGACCTCGGTCACGGCCTGATCGGTAACGACGAAGTTGGCGGTTCTGAAGGCATGAACGCTGATCCCGTCAATGCCACAATGGATGCGCAGACTAAGTGGCTCGAAGCCGACCTGGCCGCCGTCGACCGTGCCAAAACTCCCTGGGTCATTGTTGCCGGCCACCGCCCGTGGTATCTCAGCCATGCTAACGCGTCAGGTACCATCTGCTGGTCCTGTAAGGACGTTTTTGAGCCGCTGTTCGTCAAGCACAGCGTTGATCTGGTACTCTCTGGCCACTCCCACGTCTACGAGCGCCAAGCTCCCATTAATAACAACGTCTACGACACTGCCGAGCTCAACAACCCTACCGCTCCGTGGTATATCACTAATGGTGCTGCCGGTCATTATGATGGCCTCGATGCCCTCGATGTCCCGCGCAAGAACTACAGCCGCTTCGGTCTTGATACATCCAATGCTACCTACGGCTGGTCTAAGCTGACTTTCCACAACTGCACCCACATATCCCATGATTTTGTCGCCAGCAACAACGGCAGCATCATCGACACTGCCACACTCTTCAAGAACCGCAACTGCAGCACCGGCAAAATTACCAAAACCAACTCTCGCATTGGTATCGCTTAGGCTGGTGCTGCCGTCGCTCTACGAGTCTCCAGCTACGTGTAGGGTCCTCTTGTTACCTTTTTCGCTGCTACTCGTATGATGGGTTTTCTTGAAGGCGAACTGTGCTGTGAAGTGTAAAGACATATCCAGATACCAAAGTAAAAGTTGATCACAAAGAACTAATACAAGATGATAAGCAAGTGTCCTTATATATCCAGTCCCTTGTAGCGTAGTCTATAAATGGGTAGTCAGGGTGGTATACTAGATTACCGAAACTAGCAGTCCCTTTAGTGTACCCAGCTGTATGCTTTGTAAGTCACAATATTCCCAATTACGCAGGTGGGAATAATCCAGGATTTTATCCGTGTTGAGTATATCAGTAGACTTTTAAGTTTATAGACTCGAAAAGAGAAGACCATGATTAATGAAGTCGAACCAGGTTCGTAAGCTCTGCTATAACCTTTTTTTCTGATTGGATTGGTATTTGGCTAATGAACAACACCAGATAGACATGAAGAAAATTTGAATATTGTTCTAACGATATTCTAGAAGACCGAATATCTGTTCAAATGATCAATTACTCTGCGGTACTGTAGTACACTTATATTCACCGTTTGTCAACGGTGTGTGCATTGAGCTGATTCAGAGTTTAGTTGAAATAGATTGCTCTGTCGACTGAAAGAATATGATATGGGTGTGTTTTTCGCAAGGGTATTCGTCTAGATTAGAATTATACTAGAAGTGATGACTGATTTATAGAAGAAATTTACACGCCACAGGATTCATATACTTTTAATACACGATACACTAGGCTAATAGTTAGGGGGTAGTGCTAGCTAGCTGACTTAGCTTTTATTTACTATATTGTTCTACTTAAACTAATATGACTTAAGATAGTGTGGGAATATAGGTAAATAAGGTAGTAGGATGAAACAAGAAGACTAGCCTGTACCCGTTTGCTGACTCCTCTTGTGATCTTTTTGCCCTTACCCAGTATTCTATTTCCTTTGACTTCACACTGACAGCCCCTATTGTACCCGACTGACCAGGTCCTGCTAAGGCTATACAAGTGAGTCCGGCTTGTTCTGCCGTGATAGACCGCCTCCTATCGATCACTGAGTGTTACACATTCCTCACATAACCCCATTGACCTGATCACTGAGTCTGAGCCTGAACGCCCTCATAAAATCTGTGGCAGCCGAGACAGGAAAGACTCACCCGCCAGACATTATTTAGTCTATATAGGTGCATATATTTGGCAGTCATTGCGCGCCTCCTTGAAAAGGAGTGGCCCACATTGGAGGCTCTCAGGCTGTCTGCTAGTCGCCAAGTCGCGCCATGCCGCTTTACCCAGGAGCTTCCCAAGGATGCGATGAATGCCGCCGACGCCGCAAGAAGGTATGGATATTCTTCCGTTCCTTGAGTGATACGCTAGGCTGTATTAATCCTGAAAACGATAAGTGTGATCTTAACAAGCCTGAGTGTCTTCGATGTTGCAAAGCTGGTATCAAATGCAGCGGCCCAAAAGATTCACGGACGTTCATCAATCGGAACGCTACAAATTTGACCCAAGAAAGTGATAAAAAAGCGCTAGTCTCCGCATTAAGAAATAGAAGAAAGCCGAAGTCAACCGTCGCCAACTTTGAGAGCTCAAGTACTGGCTCGGATAATTCTTCATCCCGAAGAACTACACTAGCTGTCACTAACCCCATTCTGCCCTCTGATATAATTTCCATTGATTTTCCTGGGCGCTTGACTTTCTTGGCATTGATTAACGACTTTCATCCTGTTCCCCTGGGAGGTATATTCAGCGGGGATAGAATATCGCGAGATGACCCCAATTATTCCAGCGCAGCTTTGTGCATTCGAGCTTTACTGCAGTTCACATCTTTGCGGGATTGACTCACTCAACTTACCCATCTTCAGTCTCCTCGCAACTTATATGGGAAACTTGAAAAATGACAAAAAGCTCGCACAACTCGCACAATCATCATACACATCCGCCTTGAAAAAGTCGCGGCCGCACATCCAGAAGGTCATAGAGAATGGCCAACGCAGTGCCCAACCAAAGGCCAACCTTGAGTTGATTTTGCTACTAGCCATAGCATTTCTGGCATTTGAAGTGAGAATTAGGTCCATATATGAAAAAGAAGAAGTTTCACTTCTTTTCCTGACCGCTTTTTCCAGTTCGTGAACGAAAATGAATACTCAGAAGCAGCCCTGTTGGCCCACATCGGTGGCGTGTTAAGCATCTTGGAGCTCTATGGGCCGAGCAATATCTCTTAGCCGCATATGCGACAAGCTTTTAGTGGATTTAGGGGGATCTTTGTACGCTTTCAATATTTACTACTCTTGCTTTGACTGACGATTCTACAGCTTCCTGTTGGAATTAACAAACATACCCGAAGCTTCCTAGCAGATTCAGATTGGATACACCTCCCATTTCTGAATAGTAAGAAGACCAGAAAGGAGCTTCTTCACGATATTGCGTTGCCGATACCAGGACTTTTCTACCAAACAGATCGATGGCTCGATGGGCATTCCGCTTCCAACAATTCCGACCACCAAGAGATCTCAGACTCTCCAGATCAAAATCTAGAAACCGGTTTCTCACTTCTAAATGATCACCAGATCATCTTCGATCAACTAGAAGAGTGGGAAAGCAACTGGAAAGCATCCGAACAAGGCCCTCTGTATTGGTATTCGGATATCCCAATGCCCAGCAAATTTATTGACGTCGACTCAGTCTGTATACCTTCATTCCCAAATGAAACATATCAAGTTCGCTTCCAAAATACCCAAAAGGCAGGTCTTGCTGTGACCTTCTGGTCCTTTCGTCTGGAACTTCTTATGGGAATGATCAAACTCCAGCGAAGCTTATGTGGCCCACAGGCTGAATCGTTGGAGAGAAACATGGCCATGGCGGAAGAGACAGCTTGTTTGATTCTGCAAACTGCACCATATCTTACATGTTGTTTTGAGGGTGCGGTGGCTTCAAAAGCACCGCTTCGGACTATAACGAGATACTTTGAGCTGGCAGCTTTGGATCAAGACTTGTATTTGCCGGCAGTTAGCATTTGAGCGTGAAACGGCTATTTCCTTCCCAGTATCTATGAAAATAAAATGTGTATCACGAGATATGATAAACAAACAAAGGCCTGGTGTGCAATTATCCTGTATTCCAGAAACAAACGAAGTGAGAGATCCAAAAACTCAATCTTTCGGCTGTTGGTGTGAACAGTTCTTCAGAACAGCCACCGCAGCCAAACGCAAAAAGAAGAAGACGAATATGGCGCCGCCCGGATTCGAACCGGGGCCACCTCGGATTGGAAATGTTGCTATTCACTATAGAACAGCAATCGACCACAACGAGGCATCTTAACCAACTTGACTACAGCACCTGATTGGATACATAAGCGCTCGGCTATTAGTACTATACTTTAGAAACACAATAAAATAACTAAGCGATGCTACACACCATCCATCTCAACAGATCATTTCTCGAGATTCTCTATACAAACCACCCTCTACCATGCCGAGAATCAAACAGGCCGCATCAGACAAGGCCTTATCTGTTCCCTATCGTAAAACCTGTTCTCTTACACTTAGACATACGGACAATCCTCACAGAAGCACAGAGGAAATATTGAACTTAGAACAATGTAATCCAGGAGCTTCCGTCAATCCAAAAACATCGATCATATATTTGCACGCCTGATAATGCCTGATATTGTGGCCAGCACACAAAATTCCTACGAATTTTGTTGGTATAGTGATTCTCGCTCAATAATAGAGGGAGAGAAGTGCCAGTTCAGCTCTCTCACTTTTCAGCCAGAGGAACACAAAGCCACGAAACTCGAGGCAGATTGTTAATGATGAGGCTAAACGGGCCAGCATTCTTGATAATCAGTTTTCAGCTTGAATTCTTATGTATGCGGGATTCGGGCAACCGTTACAATTGTTACAATTGGCTAGCCTGGCCTGCTAATAGTTCGGGGACGAGAACTTGAAGGACGTCGAGGAAAGGAATTTATCTTCTTAATTACTGGTACTATTATTACTATCAGTAGCATGCTTCTTAGTCGGGTGTCAGCTCCGAGCCTTCAATACTAGTAGACTCCAACTAGTACGCACTAGTTATGAAACCCCCATCAGAACTCAGGGAGTCAGGGGTAAACAATTCAGAAATCTTCGTAGCATCTGAGGATCGCATAAGATCACCTGATCTGATTTCTGTCAGAACCTGAAACGATTGATTACCCAGCCTCGGAGGTTCGGGCAGATGATCTCCAGCAATTTGTCATCCCCATTTCAAATCGGCCATGGCATCAAAGTATTGTAAACAAAGATTGAAGAGTACAAATACATATGCCCTGGTCCTAACCCTACTGCATAATAGATAGGATCTATCTTCATTGGCATCTAGCGAAGTCTTAATATTTTCAAAAGGTACGCACTTTTATGTCTTTCACAATGTTGCTTTCGCCCCAAGATGGCATGTCACTCTCCTAAAAGGCCTCGCCTACTGACAAGCAATAGCCTCTCCTCTCTCAGTCACGCAAGAATCCAAAATGGGCAAGCTGCAGGGCAAAGTCGCTCTTGTTACAGGCGGTAACAGCGGAATTGGGCGCGCAATCGCTGACCAATTTGCGGAGGAGGGAGCAGCTCACATCTACATCGTCGGTCGTCGGCAAACAGAATTGGATAAAGCTGCCACCGACCTCGGCTCTAAAGCTACATGCATTCAAGCCGACATCACCCAACTAGCCGAGCTGGACAACGTCTATTCCCGAATCGCGAAGGACAATCGAAAATTAGATATCGTGGTTGCCAATGCTGGCCGTGTTGAGAATCGTTCAATTGTAGAAGTTGATGTGGATCACTTCGATCGTATATTTGATTTAAATGTGCGGAGTACCTTTTTCACTGTTCAAAAAGCGATACCCTTACTCAACGGCAACGCGTCGGTAATATTCGTTTCCTCCTCGATGAATGTTCGAAGTGATGCCGGAGCGAGCGTTTATAACGCCTCGAAGGCGGCCGTGCATTCTCTTGCCAAAACATTCGCCGTTGAGTTGATTCCCCGTGGCGTTCGGGTCAACACCCTCAGCCCTGGTCCGGTTGATACGCCTATTGTGGAAACCGTTGCAAAGACTCCAGAGGATGCAGCCGCCTTTCGAAAGTGGGCTGCGACCGAAGTTCCGATGGGTCGAATGGGACAGCCGCGAGAAGTTGCTGCAGCTGCGGTTTTTCTAGCTTCGAACGAGAGTAGTTTCTCGACTGGAATGGAACTACGAGTTGATGGAGGTCATGCTGAGCTCCAACATCCACAGAAGACCTCTCTATTCTAAGCTATACCTAGGAATTATACCATATTTGAAATAGACTTGGAGTATTACCAGTAATATTCCTGTAACATTACCTATACTAGTAGTACAGTACTGTTCTCTCAAGGATGCAATACTCCAATTATCTTCAACGTATAGAGTAGGCACTATACTAGTAGGCAATTCGAGTTTTCTCTCCATAGGGATGCTAGCAAACTTACAAGTCAAATATAAGAAGCTCCAGGGCTGAAGTGGGCCGAGAATCTAGAGTTTGAGAAGCTTGAATAAAGGACTCGGGGTGTGTGGTGACACCGTACTGCCAGTGTCCAGTTGGTATATTATCTTTAGATCAATGGCTAGTAGATTGAGATAGCTGATCTCTAAAATACCTACTCCCTAGCCGGGCACTCATATATCAACGTAAAGATTAAGAAATATCATCATTGCTCATAATGCGAATGCAGGCTGAACGAGGCCAGTAAACAAGATTGGAGAAACGAATCCAGAATTACCCACAATGGAGAACCAAGAGTTCAAGTTTACAACCAAAAACGCCGGCGGAAAGATAAAACCAAATATGATATATACAAAGATGGCAACAAAACCCACACCCCATTCATTTGCTCAACTCATTCCAAAAACACCGGCACTCCATAAACAACCGGCGCAGCCCCATTCAAATACTTCAATACACAGGAACTTCTCGCCCCAGCGATAGCTGTATCCAAACCAACCTCTCCATCCTCACCATCACCAGCACCAGACTCAGAGCCCTTCTTCCCCTTGCCCTTCCCCTTGCCTAGTAACCCCCAAGACTCAAACGCAGACGTCGAAAACCGATCAATATCTTTATCCGTAACATCCCACAACGTCGCCACAAGCGCCGGACTCCCCGCCTGCAAATAATTCATCGGAGTCCCATACGGCTCATATTCACCCGCCTCAGTGAGACTCCCACTACTACATCCCATCAAAAAGGCAACAGCACACCTCGTAAGTCGTTTAACAGTCCGACCACGAATATACTGCGCCCCGCTCCCGTGTCCAAAATAAAGGAATAAATCCTTCTTCTCGAGAGATGTTCGGAATTCTTCTTCGGAGGGTTCACGTTTCGTTATCCCGACCCATGACTTTTGACTTGATAGGTCTTTTTCAAATGTTTCTTGCGTGGTGCGTAGGTCGCCGGTTGGATTTAGGATGTATGAGCCTGAGGATCGGTTTAGGATTGTTCCGGATGCGGAGGGGCGGAATTGAAGGACGCGTTCGCGGAGACATTCTAGTGATGGGACGCGGGTGACGGGGTAGCCCTGTAAGCAGGGGATGGATTCCCAGGGGAATAAGTGGAGTGCTTTGTCGAGGACGAGGATTGTGTGGCTGGGTCGTTGGGAGGATAGTTCTTCCTTTGCTGCTTTGTGGTATCCTCGTAGAGCATCGAGGGTGTCGAGGACCATCATGTCGAAATCAATTTCATCGTATGCGTTCCGTTCTCCCTGGAATTGGAGAATGTCAACGACGAAATATAATAAATCCATCAGTGTATCCTCCGGTTCTTCCTGTTCTTCGAGATCTCTAAGCCCGATGAACAGTTCTAGGACATTCTGGTGGAGCGTGAGTCGGGGCGATGCCGATCCTGATGCCGATGTTGCCTTGCCGTTTTTCTGGCGAGAGGGGAGATGCTTGTCCAGCAAGGCTTGGAATGCACCTGCGAATCGAGACAACGCAGCACTATCCCGAGGCAAAGGCGAGAAGATACCCCGGAACCCTCCAAACCAAATATTCTCAACATTCTGCAGGAGACTTTCCATGCGCTTGTCGAGAGTTTCCCGATTCTTCCACCACTCTTTCTTCATCGACTTGTCTGTTTGGAGTTTCGCGGCGTGAGCACTCTCATTCGCCAATCTGATAAGTTCGGCCATTTCTTCTTTCCCGTCTTCAAAGGTGAATTGCTCCTCTTCATCATCCTCCGATCCTCTACGCAGGGGCAGTCGCAGAAGGAACGGGAGCGGTTTTTCTGAAGTCGCGAAACGACAAACTCGGTTTGATCCGCGCTCAGAGATAGCGAGAGCACATTCCAGTTTTCGGGCAAGATGTCGATATATTGCTCGGCGAAGTTGGAGCAGATTGTTTCATCCATCTCATTCGTTGAGGTGATTGAAGTTGGCCAGAGGAGTGGATCTGCGTAGTCGACGAGTTTGCGATCAAAGTCGATAGCCATGCGTTCCCGGGCAAAGGCGCCAACTCGACCAATTTCTGCAAATTCAATTAAATCAGTTCAGTTCTCTACCCCCCTCGGCTTAAAACGTTCAAAATATTGAGGACTTGACTTACCATTCATATTTGCGGGTGACTGAGCCAAAGTCGCAGGCCCTCCAGGATTAGTAGCATGAGAAAGCATCGAAATCCGACTCATAAGTCGAGAAGCAGCATGACTTTCAAGCGTTGACCCAAGAACCGTAGCATCAGCAAAGACGCTCGTGAGACAATCGCTAGCCTTGGAAAGCATCATCGAGAAATCTTCGCCTGCTTTTTGATTCTGAGCCTTGCCACGAGCTCCCCTAGCCGGAGCTCTGGTCTTTCTGGCAGTGGTGGACTTTGTTGTTGCCGCTGGTGGAGTGATCTCTTCGACGATCTTGGTAGGTGTCTTCAGGGAGGGCAAGGAAATTGTAGACTCGGGTAAGACGCAGTATACGGCGTGACTTGCGAATTTGCGAATGGCTTCGGCTAGGAGATGTTCACTTTCCCCAATTTCCAGAGAGACCTTGCTTTCACGAGCTGTGGCGAACTGTCGGGCTTCGGTGAGAGTGCGTGCGGAACGGTCGAAATCACGCAGGGCGCGAAGGCAGTCTGCTTGTTGTCGAAGGATGTCACCCTTCAGCCGTAGAAGAGACTGCGACTGAGCTCGGGTTTCTGGCCGTGGGGTCTTGGGAGTCGAGGCTCTCTTGGCAGTGGCAGTGGCAGTGGTCGTATTCGATGCTGCCGAGCTTGTTGAACGTGTGCGTCGACCAGTTGTAGCCGTAGCAGTTGTGGTGGCTGCTGCTTGGGCTCGCCGAGTAGTGCGTACTTGCAACTTTTCCATTTTCTCCTCCAGGGCTGCCACGTTTGGTCCTTCCGAGATACTGATTGTATCCGAGGAGATGACAGCAGTAATGACCTTATCAGCCTCCTGGAGTAACCGAAGAGCTTTATCATGGTGTCCCTGCGCCTTGTACAGCGATGCAAGAGCCATCTGCAGGGAAACCGTCTCAACACTAGCCGGCAATTGCTTCGAAGACTCCGACGCCGCGAGAAGAAGATCTTGACCCTCAACAACATCGCCACCAATGGTTCGGTAGCAACCAAGTTGAGTCTGTGCAGCAACGAGTCGAATATTGGCATCAAGCGTCTTGTCAATCTTCAAAGCCTGTTCTCCATAATAAATAGCATCTTGGAATAAACCATGGTGAGCCGACAAAGTGGCAAGATTCAACAAGCAGGTATGATGCGAGCCCAGGTGAGGCCAAAATGGAGCACCTTGGATATAGCTTGGCGATACATCTGGAGAAGATTCAGTCTGGGATAGGTCGAGCTTTGCTACCCCCTCGGCAACGGCGTCCATATCAGAGCTTCCCGCTGCAGAGGCAGAGAGAGACTTGTCTTGCTTCTTCTGAGCCAGTCGCTCGACCTTTGCCCAGATCCGACAGTTGAGTCTGACGGACAGTTTGGCAAAGTACAAGGCATGTGTCATTGAGCCTTGGGCAGTCGATAGTCGAGACTGAACAAAAGCAGCATCTGCAACCAGTCGCTCCCAAGAAATTTTAGCCAGGACAGTGAGACCACTAAGCTCGTTCGATTTCTCAGTCTTCTGGTACATCTTGCTAGCCACAGAAAGCGTCGTCGACGCCTTCTCTATCTCTCCCGTCTCGAGGAGATGCTCAACTTCAGCCAACTTGAATGAAATGCTGGCAAGGGAAGAAACATCATGCTGAGTGAGGTACTGCTCGCCTCGAGAAAGAAGTTTCCCGGCCTTTTGGCAATGACCAAGCTGACAGTGTTGAAGCACAAGACGTGAAAGAATGATAATAGCGTCCGAAATGTCTCCTGATTTCTGAAGTTCAGCCGCTCGGAGAATCAATTCCAATGCATTGAGTTGGGCTTTCCAGAGTCCGTGGATTTCGGTATAATCAACCAGGGCCTTAAGTTGAAGAACCCAATACTCGGTGTCGTGAACACAGCCGAGTAAGGTCTCCCAGTCGGAACATTGGCGGGCCATAGATGCCCACGAAGCTAGCGTGTCATCGAGTTCACCGCCATCCATCTTGCCATCGTGGAAGCCGATGATAACACGCAGTGAATTCGTGATGTGAGTCGCGAACGGAGTCAGATCTGTGTCTTGGCCAATAAGATTGACGCGGTCCAGATCCTGAGCTCCTTCTTCCATTATCTTCTCGGCCATGTCGGAATCTAAGGCGCTGGGATGCTCAAGTAGGAATCTGAGGACAGAGAGAATGACTCGTCCATGGCGAATGGGGTTGGTATCGGGAGAATAAATGTCGAGGATGTTGGATACAACAGATGTAAAGATGGAGCGGAAATCATCCTCGCTAGAGGCGTAATTGTGCAGATCGAAAAGTATTCCCATCTGCCATTCAAGAAGAAGGCCTCTTCCTTCCACATTCAGGTCCCCATCGTCATAAAACGACGAGGATTTTGACCCCTTGCCTCGAAGTTTGACCTTAAGTAGTCCAGTGAGAACACGATTGAGCATGAAGCTGGGACTTTGCGGGTCGAGCTTCGCCGAGCTCGAAAGACTTGCGGGATGATCTGTACCCATTTGCTCCAGGGCACCCGTATCAATGTACTCAGCTATTGATTGCCGGAAAGCTTTCTCTGCATCGCTGTACATATTTCCTTCCACATAAAGATGGGCAGTCCGCTCGAACTTGAGAGCGGCAAAGGCGGTGGTCCTGTGGGATGAAGAGCAACCGGATAGTAATTGGGTCGAATGTCTGAGCAGCGGAATCAGTTCACGATAGCCTTGCCCTGCTTCCTTTTCCTTGATGTAACGAGACCAGAAAAGGTTGGAGAGCTTCACAAGTCCCAGACTAATGCTTTCTGTCAAGGCTTCATCTGATTCGCTGTCGGCGGTACTTTCAACACTAGTGAGCAGGCGATGCGAGTCCGTCAAGATGGGAAGCATATCTTCCCAAGGCGGTCGTTGAGACATAATTGACAACTTCCCAACAGCGATGGCCGAGTCAACGGCGGCAAGAATTATACTCTTAGACATGGAGATGCGATTCTTGAACATCTCTATCTCCTTATCATCAGCATCTTCCGCAAGAGGACGTCCAACATATCGCCTGAGAAATCGAAGGAACGCTTGTAAATATTCCCTAACTTGACAAGCGATCTCACTCTTTTCCGTGTCACTTCTCACTTTCTTCGTCATCGCATCGCCAAACCAAGCAAGGGCAAGTTTTTTCAACCTCGCTGCCTCAACAAGTAACTCGTCCAAATCGCCGGCACTGCCTCGAAGTTGTAATCCAAGGGCATCTGTAGCCTCAGAAGTAGATTTCAATGCTCCATCCAGGTACTTGGTCGAACCTTTCAGCGCTTGAAAGTAGACCGAAGCAATCTTACATCGAACAGTAGCAAGAGAAAGACTTTGGGAAGTCGTGAACGGGGTAATGGCTTGCGAAAGCAGCTTCAAAGACTCGTCAAAGCACCCCGCATCCAAAGCAAGCTGGCCAAGAATAGTCATAATCTTAGCGCCCAGGTTCAAATCCTTCGCATCTTGAGGCTTCTTCCTCACTTCGGTCATTGTCAACTGTATCCGGGAGATCGCTTTGTAGATGGTAGAAAATTCGGTCTTTTCAACGCCCTTGCTGCGCTGGGAGAAATTTCCAAGATATCGAAGTAGAGGATCGAACATCTCCCTCCCCTCATCGCACACATGGCCCGATATCTTCCACCCTAAAGATCGAATTTCGAGAGACAAAAGCTGAAGCGTCAAAGCTGTGAGCGGCTTGGTCGAGTCTTTAGCCGTTGTCGAATCTTCATTTGAAGCAGAAGGTTTTGCAGAGCTCAACGATAAAACGGTATTAGACAGAAGTTGAAGTTGAAGAGCAGCCTTGTCACTGGCCAGAGCACCAGTTTTCATAGCCGCAGTAATAATCTGAGCCGGACTGCTGGGATCAGACAATTGCAGCAGAGGGCAAACTTTCTGTATTGTCGGGACTCGCTTATCGGAGGCAAGTAATCGCATCACATTCGAATGATAAGAGACCAACAGCCCATACACGGATTGCGCGTGAGCGAGATTTGAAAAACTGATCAAATCAGACATCCTCTCTTTGTTGCCAGTATCTTCGTCCGAGATTGTATCCTTCACGTCTGCAATTTTCTTACCCGCCCTTTTAGCATCGAGATATTGTTGAATCCTCCTCTTGAGAGATCGTAATTCCTTGCACGCCATATCGTTTAGACCCAGAGAGATCAGCTTCCCCGCTAACACGCAAACACCTTGCTCGAGCTGCATGTTCGGCAACTCTTGGCTTGCTTGGTCATTTTTCAGAATTCGGAGAGTCGATAGTGCAAGGCGCGCACACTCGGCGGCGGAGTAGATCCCCGAGTCAACTGTGGTAACACTGCTTCTCCCGGATTTTGTCGAGGCGGTATCGGAAATAGGCTGGCGTTTTGTCGTTGTGACTTTCGATGCGTCGGTGAGAGTCTTCAATGTAACATTAAACACTTCTGTCGCGAGGACGAGCTTCTCCTGAAGCGTAAGTCCGGCAGCATCTTGATCGACAATCGAGTGCAGCGTAGCGGTGGTGTCGGCGGATGTCTTTGTTTTGGTTGTTCGGGACGTTCTCGCTCGAGATACGGGGGCAGCGAGGTCCTTTGTAGATTTCGTATTCTTTCGCGCGGGCTTCTCGGGGCCCAGTGAGGATCCGCGGAGGAGGGTTTGGAGGGATAACACGGTTGAATCGGAGCATGTTGTTGTGGACCGGACGGCTTGTTTAACGGTCTCGGTTAGGGAGTTCATTGGTAAGACGGTGACCGCCATGTCGGTGGTATGTGGTGTGTGTTAGGAATTGGCGTCATCAGTCGGAGTCGGAGACGGAGGTGAGTGAAGCTCGGAAGCTTTGCAGGTGATATCACCGGGCTGCACAACGCGCTGGTGCGGGCTTGCGGGCTCTCGGGCTCGCAGCGTGTGTGACCCAAGCTTAACGTCCCGCGTTGTCGGAGCAACAAACACAAACTAACCAATTCGGGTAAGACCATCTTGGCAGTCTGAGGCGGCAACAACGGGCAGAACGGTGCAGTTGCTCACTTTTGCCCGCGGAGTGGGAGTAAGGTTCCTTACCAGCGACGATTGTCATCTTGAACTTGAATCTACGCTAACTAAATCCTCGCGACCCCCCAATTCTCACGCAACAATGGCTATACCACTTCGATTAAGGCCGTTCGGTCTCACCCGGCAATTACAATCCTTCTCAAACGCAGCCCGGTGTCAAGGCTCCTCCTCATCAAGACACTATGCTACCTCCGATCGACTCCCCAAAATCGCAGACACATCCGTATGGACAGCAATGATCCCACGATTCATCCGCCATCGCAAACCCCGTGACCCGCAAAGTAAATCGAAAGAATGGAATCCAGCAACATTCTACATCGTCATATTCACCCTCATCGGATCGCAAGCTATCCGCATGCTCACATTGAAGAACGACTACACGGCGTACCGGCGGAGTACGGATGCGAAGATCGAGCTGTTGAAGGAGGTCATTGAGCGCGTCAAGCGTGGGGAGAAGGTTGATGTGGAGAAATTGTTGGGGACGGGTGATGAGGCGCAGGAGAAGGAGTGGGAGGATGGTGAGTGAAGTGCTTTCAAGGACTTAACGATGAATTGATGAGGGGGCTTGTTTTACTGATTCTTTTTTTTCTGCAGTACTGCGAGAGATTGAAGAGGAGGATTCTCTTTGGCATCGGAAGGATAAGAAGGAATCAGCTCAAGCTCAGCAAGTTGAGGAACAGACTCAACCGATACAAAAGTCTCAACCGAAGGAGAAGGGGTCAACGACGACGACACCAAGCACAGAGGAGACGAAGAACCAGTCGCCACGGAAAACGAGATTCTTCTAGATTTTTTCTTGATTTCGCATGCCTATCTGGCCAAAACTCACCATCGCCATCAGTTTTGAAGTTGAGCCTTTGCAGTAACAACGTGAACTCTGCATAAGCTTCTAGCCATCAGCCCCCGCCGACGCGTGGTACAAAGCAAGACCAACACCATGAAGACGGCAGGGCAAACAAATGTACTACTATATCATGTAAACCTTACTTACTACCTTGTTGTATATGAAACCATACACCGCGCCCTTTGTGTCAATATGACGCCAAACACGGAGAGTTCAAGTATATAATTCGACGAACAATTTCACCACCAACAGTAACACACTCGCATTCCACTGGAGAGCCCGAGGGTAATTAAAAGGATCCAGTCACGGTCTTTGGACAGGAAGTTCAATTCTATCTGCTCTAGATCTAAGTACTATGCACAAACTTGTCATCACACAATAGCAACAACCCAGGCTAGCATGATGACGATAATCCGAGTCAAAGAATAAGTATAAGTACCACACGCGGGTCTTCGTTGTAGATGTAGAAAATCGAGCATGAATGCAGGGAAACCCCTCTAAAGCCCCAACTCTCTTCCTTTTCCAAGTCTATCTATTGTTGATACAATGCATACAGCTTGCACACCATCCATCCAAATCCAAGAATGAATCCAAAAAAAAAAACAAGAAGAAAACTGAATCATAGAGAGGGTGTTTTTTTGGTTCACCCAGTCCAAAATCACAAACAGCATCACCTATTTTTGTTGAGAGGGAAACAGACAACGGCAAGAGATGTTTCCGAAAAAGAAAAGCAGAGAACATAAAGAGAAAAGCAAAAATGAGAGAGAAAGAGAAAGAGAAAAATGAAATGAAGATTCCAATAGGAAAATGCTAAACTGGGCCAAGATATCACGAAAAAGCGCAGGCAGGCAGGCAGGCAGTGGGGGAAACGAACACGCCCACACCCACCCATCGACACAAAACGACACACCACACACACAAAAGTCGAAAATGAAACATCGCTATGAAACTATAATCGAACTCACTGCTTCGGTGCCTGAATGATCTTAGGCCAGTGCTCAAGACGAGGGACCTGCACTCGGCCGATATTCTGATCCAGATCCAGGATAAGCTTCAGAGCATTCCTTGATCGCAGATAAGGCATGGGAGCCTTAGCGCCCTGCAGACCGACACCAGGCTCGACCTGGCCACTGGGAGTAGTCAGAGCCTCTTCAGAACCAGGCAAAGGCAGCGCCTTCTGAAGGACCTCGTAGGCAGCCAGAGTGAAACCGAACTGCGGTGACGAGCGCAGGATTCGGGCGGGACCGCCCTTAAAGAAGGCCTGGAGACCTTCCTCCTTCCACACCGTCTTAGCGCAGTGGCGGAGACTGGTGTACTTGGTCTCGCCCTTGCGAGCTTCGACTTGTAGACGGGTCTTGATCACGTCGCAGGGTGTGGTCAGGTAGGCGGCGGGCATACCGGCGATGGCACCGGCGGTTAGGAGTTGGACGACACCGAGTTTGTTGGTCGCGGTTTCGCCGAAGAAATCGCTCTTCAGGTGAGCGTATGTGGGGAAGTAGATGGCCGAGAAGGGAACTAATTTGATTGTTAGATATCTTTCATTTGTGAGGGAGATGTGAAGTGGGACTTCTTTCTTACCATCGCGCAGGAGACAGGCACTGGCTCCCTTGTACAGACCGACCAAACCCAGATTCTTTACGATCCACAGAGCTGAGCGGCGGGGAGCACCCTCTACGTTCTTAGCAATCTCACCCTGAACCTGCAGGCGAATCTTGACAATCTCCAGAGGGTTGGTGAAGACCTATCGGCGGGGAATGGGTCAGTATATGATATAAAAGCTCGGGGAATCCAACTTCCGGCTTGATGAACTTACCACTTGACAAGCACCAGCGGTACCACCGGACAGGACCTCAGCAGGCCACTTGATCCGCTTAGTGTCCTTGTCGGTGAAATAACCACGAACCAGGTCGTTGACAGTCAGCTTGATGGCCTTCTCGGGAGCAACACCAATCAACTGAGGAATAACACCAGAGTACAGGCCAGTGAAACCCTCGTTACGAATGACCTTCTTCGCGCAATCGAGCGAATTATTGTACAGCCTCTCACCGGGACGAGTGGACCGTTGGTTTTGCATACGGGTCTTGACCAAATCAATGGGGTACACCATGAAAGCACCGAAAGCACCAGCAATACTACCCAGAGCGAAGTGATGCGCCGACTCCAGAAGGCTGTGCAAGAAGGTGGTGGTCTTGGTCGCGGCTTCAGCGGCAGCCTGGCCAGCAAGAGCAACAGGAATGCGCCATGAGGCATCGATGACCTTTGCGAAATCCTTCTGCGACAGGCGACCGGATGGGGCATCGAGACCGGCGAAGTGGAAGAGGATATCGGCCTCCATTGGGGTGAAGAGGGAGAAACGCGTGACGCGAGCGGCCTCGTTCAGGAAGTCTGAACGAGTGATCTTGCCGTCGGTGCTCTTCTTGGTGGCTTCGCGGACGATCAGATCAATGATGTCCATCTCGCGCATAATGTTCTGGAAGGCCCGGACATTGGCGTAGGAGATCTTGTTGCTGGTTGAGATATTGCACAGCGAGGGCAGGTGCTCCAGGACATGGTCCGACAGCTTGTGCTTTGAGGTCTCCAGAATGATGCGCTGGAAGTCCTCCGGCTCGATGTACCCATCGCCATCCTTGTCGAAAATGTGGAAGGCCTGGCGAATGCGCTCGCCTTGCAGGCCCCGCAGCATCTGGGAGAATTGGGGGTAGGTCATGTCGTGGCGGGACTTGGTACGTCCGGTGTACAGGGACGCCCATTCTGAGTTCCAGTCGAATGGGATGCTATCGGGGCCCTTATTCATATTGTACAGCCCCTGGACGGCGTCAAAAGTGACGGTCCCAGTTCCCTCCAGATCGAACAGACGGAAGGCGATCTCGTACTCGGCATCGGGCTTCGCAAGGAGGTTCTCGAAGGTAGCCCAGTCGGACAGGGTGAGCTTGCCGGTTTTCCGACGATCGGCCACGCGGAACAGAATGCCATACTGCTCGCGCTTGATTTTGTGCTGTGGTGCGGAAGGGACAGGTCAGCAAGATCATCCTCGTACTTACACTTGAAGATCGGCGCGAAGCATTGCACCGCACATCACCGCGGACATGTAAGGAAGGGCCGAAATTCATCTCAAGAGAAGAAAAAGAGACTCACATAGTCCTCCTGCTTGGGGGCCACGGCATTGATGAAGTCGTTCTCGTTCATGAAGGCCTCGCCATGCTCGTCCTTCTGCGAATGACGCATGAAGTTGGAGCGGGCTTGGTGCGACAGCTGTGGCGCCTCGGTGCTGCCGACCAGCGTCTCCTTGACGGTTTCCTTGATGCTTGCCATTGTAACACAGTACCAGTTGGATCAATCACGACTGGACAGGGGGAACCCGATCTGTGAAAATGCACACACAACAATGGGGGGGGGCGGAAGGGGGGGAGAGATGGAAGTGAAGGGTGTGGAGACGGGGGCTTGAGTCAAGAGGAATGAACCCGACGATAATCCAGTGCTAGTAAGGTAATCACGCCGGACCGCGCTGGAGCAGCCGATACCTTGAAAAGTAACCGTGTTTTGTACCAGGTACTTATGTTAATCATGAATTATGGTTTATTTAGTGTGTACTGTGTACTGCCATGAAATAATCATAATGCTATTCTAAGAACTGCAGAGATTTCCAAGGTTCAACTTGACATGTTTTGATTTGGCCACATGAGTACCTGAAGTACCTGCGAGTATGAAATTTTCACCGCCGGGGGAATACACTCGGATGGCGTTATTTAACCGGTGAGCCTTCGGTCTTAGGGCCGACCCCAGCATCTCCGCATTTGATACTAGCATTACCCTCAAGGCTAGATCTGCAAGGCTGCCTACTATTTTGCACATACACGCACACCGGAGTATACTTGTGTGCACAGTGTAAGTACAGATATACTCCGCAGTATACAGTATACCAGGAACGCATGTGAAGGGATTTCGTCGCCACGATCCACAGATCCACGGTACCACCAGTCCCAGTGGCCAACTTCCCCCTGTCACCGCGGTAAGCGATATCAGATCCAAAGAGCAAACAGCACAGAGCACAGAGCACAGAGCAAAGAGGCGTCCAGATGATCACCAGGACATCGGGAGGACAGGCTTCCGAAAGGGTGAAACCGGGTCACCACCTCCCACAGCCAAAAAGAAAAAGAAAAAATACAAAATCCGGGTGCGTGCGGAGGCAACAAGGCGGGTCTTGGAGAGGGAAAAGTTGGAGACGCCCCTTGATACTCTGATGATTATTGGTTGGAGTTTCCCCTCGCTCTCCCCGGTCACCAAACTCGGCTCAACTCCGCTCTCCGCAGCTTAGCCCTGCGAAATTGGGGGGAAATCGTCTCTTTTCTGGGGAAGTCGGATTCCCTCTCCAACTGGGGGTTACAGAGTGTATTTTCTTTGCTTAATTGCACAAGGCATTCAGGGGATACTATTAAATGCTGTATATGTGGTAGATATATTGTGCTTACTCCAATCTCTTGCGATATATCTGTCTTCTCTTATGTAGCACCGGCGCGTAAACCTGCCTATTGTGGTGATTTTCCTTCTCGCATCTCTCTCACCCCAGTCCGATCATCCCGAGACGAGATGAGATGGAGAATTGAACGTACCGCGGCAAGACCTACTCCGCACGGAGGATACCTGCCAGTGCCATCCACACCTCTCCCTACGCACCATCACCACCATCAACACCATCTGGAGGTTTCACCAACCTCAACAATCCAAACAACCCCCTTTCAACCGGCAAAAGAACCAAAACCCCCCAATTAACCCACCAAGCAACCACAACAACCAAAACCCCAACACCCATATCCATAATAAAATGATTAGCGGTCGCAACAACCGTAGCCCCCATCGCAACAGGCCAAAACAAACCAAACCCCCCTCAAAAAAAGATGCGGACTGAACCTCACCAAACAATACCCAACAAGCACCGAATTACCAAAATGCAACGACGGCATCGCAGCAATCGTTAACTGAAATTTATTCTGCGTCCACGCGGAATCCGAATTCGAGCGAGTATTATGCAATACGTCGATGAAGCCATATTCCTCGGGGAGGAGGCGTGGTGGTGCGCAGCGCCATAGTGAGAGAATTATAAATGCGATGCCGTTGCAGAGGGCGAGGGTGCGGAGGATGGTTTTGTATGTGCTCCGCGCGAGGAAGGTGTAACTGTATACTAGGAATGCGACGCCGAGGATTATGTGGGAGTAGTAAATTTGGGCGAGGATGAGTATGAGCCATGGTGTTTTTTTGAGGACGAATTGTTGGGTTGGGAGTTCGATGTTTATGCTCAGTGTGGATTCTAGGGATAGGATGGAAAGGGCGTGGTGCTCGGCTTTGTCGAATATGGCTTTGTGGCCTGCGATTACTCGTGCGGAGATGGCTCGGGAGCCTTGGTAGATCTATTGATTGAAGGTGGTTAGATGTTGGTTGTACTAAACTGGTAAAGGTAGGTGATGGTAGTAGCCCTGGAGGTAGGTAGGTACCAGCCAGGTCATATGCACATACCCAGTAGATAAGCAGCCAGTAGAAGATCTCGATTATGAAGGGAAACCGGGCCAATATCCGCGATTGTATATTCGGTTTATATCTCTTGGGTGCCAGTTCTGCACTGGCATTATCCCTGACGACTTCCCCGTCCCTGGCTTCATCACCGTGACCTGCCCTCAACCCATTCTGTTCCGGATCTGCATCATCATTCTTTAACAAGGGTGCACGAAGATCATCGTACCAAGGGACGTCCTCCCTATTAACCCAGGCCCCGATGGTAAAAATGGCGGCAATTGCTAGAAAGAGTGAGAAGTTAGCAGATCGTATTGGACCGTCTATGTTGATGGGTCGTCCAGATTGGGTAAGTGATCAAACGACCAACCAAGTGGTTCAAGTATGCTTTTCAGTAAGCCCATGATGCGGAATGACTTGGAGCTGTGTTTCTTGACTGGGATATTGATGAAAATAATATGTGTACACTGCACTAGAAGAATACCTTGAGAAGTACTCGTCGCTAGAACAGAACAAAGAAACAACTTGGTCACGACCTGAAGAAGTAAGTGCCTTACCGGCTCCCCCGGAAGTGGTGGCTCTAGCATCCCACCACGTACCCGTACATATGTCATCTCTGTCTAGGCCTGTTAGTTAATGCTGGTCCAGTAGCTCGACGCAGAACTGTAGGCAGGGAATCTGGAGCCGCAATTCCGGGAATTTGGACAGCCACTGCGCTTATGTTGGAATCGGAATCAGTCATCCGCTGCTCACCACAATTTATCCCAAGCGGTCTGTTGCGCTATAAATCGATACCGAGGACCTTAACAGCCTGTCAGGATCCTGTCGCCGAATATTCCTATAACCTCAAATCCAATATCGCACTCCATATCACCTGGATAAGGCCCAAGCAGTGTGGAACACCTTTGCCCAGATGACAAGCGACATGTTAGTTACCCCCTGTGCACAAAGAACATCAATATGTACGCGCTGCCAAGGCCCCGCCCAGGGCTGGGTCTTATTCGCGTTCAGCAGTACACGATCAGAGACGTATATTTAATCAATACAAATCTACATGACGAAAAGCGGAAAAATATACATCAACTTAAAAGCGCAATGCTTTTCCACAAACGCCATTATGCAAAACTTGAATGATTGCCCAGGTGTACTCCGCACTAATCATTTTATTGCGTTCCAGGTGGTTTAACGCGGAGGCATGATGTGATTCCCCCTACGAGGTGATACTAGACGATTCCATATTCCACCAGACTGTCCGCCGTATCCACAATGCACTCTTCAATCGATCTTGGCTGCCATCCAAGCAGATCCTTTGCTTTTGTGTTATCGATGCGCTTCACAACACCTAGTTCTGGAAGAATACCACGAAAACCAGGACGAAATAGAGCGACTGCGTGAACAAGCCAACTGGGCAACTCCTTGGTAGGAAGACGACTTGCATGCTGCGGCCTTTTAGCTCGTAATATTTTTGCAATATCGATCATCGCAACTGGTCCGTTATCACACATCCCAATGAATCTTTGCCCTTGTGCTGCCGGGCTTCTCATCGCGCGAATATGCAAGTCCGCAAGATCACGCACATCCACAATGCCAAAGGAGATCCGCGGACATCCAGGTACGTTCCCATTAAGCATGTTTTTGATAATCTCAATTGATGATGAAAAGTCTGCGCCCATGACAGGTCCAAATACGCCAGTCGGATTTATCACAGCAAGTTCAAGATCGCCCCCCTCCTTGCGCATAAATTCCCATGCCGATTGTTCGGCAAGCGTTTTGCTCTTGTGATATGCAGGAATTGACATCCTTCCATCTAGAACAGACCAATGACTCTCCGTAAATAGCGGTATCTGCCCATGCTCATGCCCATATCCAATGGCAGCGAACGACGACGTCATGACAACTCGCTTGACGTGAGCCTCTCGTGCCAGTCGCAGCACTCGGAGTGTGCCATCCCGTGCAGGTCCAATCAATTCATTTTCGTCCTTCGGTGTTGTTGCGGGAAATGGGGACGCAACATGATGTACATATGTGCATCCTGTCAAAGCCTCACGCCAGCCGTCATCCTTTGTCAAGTCTGTCTCAAAAAATATAAGACGCGTTCCGGCATCTATGCCTGCTTGTCGGATCGTGTCTCGGACCTGTTGCTCACGCGAAGACCCTCTGATTGTCGTATGAACACAATAACCGGCATCCAGGAGCTGTAGAATTAGATGCGAAGCCACAAAACCTGACCCCCCCTGTGACAAGGATGCGCTCCGGGCTTTGGTCTCGTCCTGCCATCTGCTTGGAAATAGGATCGGTTCTGTCTGGGTGGAAAAAAGAGCAGTTGTAGACAATTAATTAAAAAAAGAAAAAGGAGGAACTCGAGTTCATCTTGTTTATATAGACAAGAGGTGGAAGCCTGATCTACAGATCACCACACTTGATTTCGCCAACGTGGCGCGACGCGCTAATCGCAACCAGCAATATACCTGTCATCATTACCCTCTAGGTAGGTTTGTCAGTAAATATTGTAGAAACATGCACCAATCGGTGTGAGACCCACACAAATGCGATGCAAGATACTGATCAGTTGACTACTCGTAAATGATGAATGCTGACAGATACTAACCTGCAAAGAACAAGTCAATCATTTACGCGTAGCACCTCTCATAACTGAGTACAGTAGCCACTCTATTAAAAATGACTCGTCCTTCATCCTCGCTGTACCCTTTCTCATTCCGAATATGGTTAGAGTCTTACTATCATCTTTATGTACAATGCTGACATGGGCTAACCATTTGCGGAAAGGTTCCAAACCTTACTCGGCACTCCATCAACTCCTTCGATACGTTCCTACTATTGAGGTTGCTAACTCTACTTCTAAGTATTCGAAGAGTATTGCAGCTAAAAACGTATCAACGACTATTTCTTGCCCTGATATCATGTCCCATCAAGCACGACAAGATACATTTTCGCGTCAGACTACTGGTGGTGTTGATGATTATCGCCAAGTTGGCCTTTCTGGAGCGGCAAGGCGGACGCTGCAGAATCGCTTGAGCCAAAGAAGATGCCGTAAGCCAAATGACCAGTCGAGTTTAAGGGGAACTTTTAAGCTATTGACACACTGTTCTTTCTCAGGGGAGAGAAAAAAGCAGCCATTGGATAAGTCAAGCGATAAATCAAATCTGAAATGGATCATATACTCTGAAAGAAAGCTTGGCGTCCTTCAAGTTCAGACCAACAACGAATGTCTTGAAAATATTCCATTCGAGGAAGATCTGCCAGCCTCGCTTGGAATGGTGCAATCCCATTTAAAAACAAGCGGCGACGGCGTTCTACATTTTTGTCGCTTAGGACCTTCTGAGCGGAACGCAGTAGTCGCTCGCCTGCGTGCTGAATCCATTGGTGGTGCAGCAAGTCATCTCTTGAACCTGGACCTACTTCTTTCCGTGAAGCAGTACAATATTTTCACCGCGATGAGCACGAATGCTGCTTCCATTGGTCTCTCAATGGAATCTTTACGTCACGACATTCCTTCGCCGTTTAATACCAGTTTGCCGTGGTCTTTGAACTTGAACTTACCACCAAGTCTCCGGCCTACCGAGCTACAAAAGCAGAAGGCGCACCACCCGTGGATTGATTTGTTTCCTATTGCCTCTGTTAGGGACGCGCTTTTAAAGCACGAGGGGAAATTTGACGATGAAGAGCTTTGTCATGACCTCTTCGGCTCCTGTGTAAAAGATGAAGGGGATGTTGGAATATTCATTTGGGGGGGAGGCTTGGGACCCTCTTGCCTATGAAATTTCCGAAAAGGTAGTTCGCAAATGGCTGTGGCTTTTTCGTGATTGTTATGATGTTATTCGATCCAGCAATTATTGGCGATCAAAGCGAGGCGAGAGACGTTTGCTCATCACCGGTCGTGATGAGGACACTTCAATTTGATGCCATATCTCAATTACCCTAAGATCGTTTCGGTAGGAGCCAGTCTCCCCTGTATCTACTAGTACTGTACCATGGATGGTTACAATACTTCGAGTTCCTTAAGTGTGCCTATAGAGTATTTTTTTTGACTGTCGAGCTAACCAGAGCAACTCGGTCGGCAAGAAGATACCGATTAGTGCCGTTGTCTCTCGTTTAGTTTCCGAATGTGGGATTTCAATGGTTATTAGTACTACTAGTAGTTGGGGGGACTTTCCTATATCGTTGACAGAACTTCAAGTTGAAGAGAGCTTACTAATAATCGACCTAAAACAAATTGGCCCTGGGGAGTTCGCTTAACTCTGTTTCTCTCGTCATAATCTGTGCTGATTGTGATTGTGATTATGCATCAAGGATAAAATAGTGCTACTGAAGCTACAGAGTACGTACTGTGTGACAACTTTTCGATCCTGCCGATCAACCCCCAATGAAGCCAAATGCATAAAACCCAGGCAGAAGGTTTATCGCTACACCCACTTAGCTATCATCCATGGGGTCTCCAGAGTGATAGCGGGTGATAAGGCTGCAGATAAAGACCGGTCAACGCAATTCCTACATTTGTGGATTCCTTCAAGGAGGGGGGGGCCAGCCCCCCCCGTTGGGGTGTCGAGGATGCCTCAGGCGGCATGGCTGCAGGGTACCTCAGAAATCACGACCGATCACATCTTCCCGAGGGTCCAAGTAACCCACAACTGGCATTCAGTTTGATGGTTGGCTAGAGATCGACGCAAAAGCCCTACAAGGTTGGGACCAATGTGTGATGGGAGAGGTGATAGTGCGTTGTGGTGCATGGAGGAGGGCGCGTAGAGAGAGGGCGATGGTTGGGTACGGTGGCTTGGCCCCCGCTCGCCGCTTGCCCCTCGCCCCGCCCGAATGATGGGGCCTGTTTCTAAGTATATAGCCGCCCACATCCACCACATCCTCCCTCTTCTCTTCTCCCTGCATATTCGTTGTTTGAGGTTTTTCTAATTTTTCTCTTTCTATTTTCGTCTCGCGCTTCGCTTCGTTTTGGCTGGTCCAGACGATCTTCATTCTAAGTCTATCTACTCTACGTCAATAATTATCATCTCTCCGTCTTTCTATACTTTCAAGTTCCCACTTCACACCTACGGTGACCTTTGTTGATCAAAGTTTCCCCGTGCAAAACAAAAACAAAAACGAAAGCACTTTTTGCAATATTTGCTCGAATTCGACATATATCACCCATACCTACATAACGCCAACATGTACGCTGCTCGCTCCGTCAAGCCAAAGCTCTCTCTGAGCATCGCCACCACAACAAGCGCCCCCCGCCCAGCACTGTCTCTCAAGTCTCCCGGTCTTCAAGTTCCTCGCACGCCAATCTCTCCAGTTTCCGCCGCAAGTCCAACAGCCAAGAGATTCTCTTCATTGCAAGTACCCTCGTACAACTACTCCAACTCCTGCTCGTCGAAGAGCATTCTCAAGAAGCAGCCGATTGCACGAGCAGGTGTTGCCGACAAGCGCATCAAGTTCCAGGTTACGCCGACTGTGCATTGTGTGACTCCAATTGAGAACCCGGATGAGTACTATGGCCGACATACGAAGATTACCCGCGAGGAGCGCCGCTGGACAGTGCGCGAGTGAATGAGTCTCCAAAGTTCCTTTTGGAACTCACTGACACCGGCTGTCTGCCGGCTACGAAGTCAATATACCGCACGGGGCGATGTATAAAAGTGAGAATCAGAGCGGCGCAGAAAATACTATGCGCTACACCGACCGACTCGACAAGGAAAGTACACCGCTACCAATCAAAAGAGCACAGGTGCAGCTCAAACTGCACTTTGTCTTGTTACCAACCATCTGAAATGCCGAGTCCGGTGAGCTTGCTTGGTTGAATGTAGATAAGATAATCGAGTTCGCGAGAATGAAGAGGTTGGAATGTCGATACATTGCGCGGAAGAGAACTTGAAGAGATGATTATATTTTTATGACGTTGATGGGCCTCCGATTGATGACTGCGATACCTTTTTAGTTTAACCAAGTCACTCATTATTATTGAATAGTATAGTATGGTGTTTCGTGCACCGTATACAGGGCCGCTCGAAATCAACTTCACCTTTGTAATCTTTTCTTCTCTTTTCTGAACTCCATTCTGAAACACACTAGTCCCCATTCGATCTAGTCTATTTCGGAAGGTTGAAATGTCATGTCACGATAAATTACACAATTGGTGGGTTGTAACTTTCCTGAAGCACAGATACAATCGGTGCGCTACGGTTGACCCTTTAATCACTTTGATCAAAAATTTGGTATTCCTCGACAACGTTGAGGAGAATAGCGCTGCGTTCGCGTATCTAAATCTTGAGTGCCGCAAATGAAAAGAGATCTCGTCCCTCAAGGCAAATATAAGGTATAAGATCAAGACCGTTGATTTCCTCTGTCTCTAATCAGATCACCTGATAGCGGGGTAATTAGATTGGGGACTGGGAAATCCAAGGTTGGATTTGAGCCTCTTCAAAATTCTTGCGCAACAGTCATGGCAACTACCATTTCCCACGGCGAGAAAAACTCTGGTTTCCAGGCAGGCGTAATAAACGGCAATATCGGGAACATCACGATTGGTAAGTAAAAAACAAAAAACCTCTAATAGACGGTTAGTGAATAGTGAATGGCTTTAGTACAATCCGAAACGCTGAACCAAGAATGCCTTCGTGATTTGCGTACGACCGATCCCCTTGATGACAAAGAACGTATTAAGAATTCTAAGGGTGGGCTCCTCAAAGACGCATACCGTTGGATTCTAGACAACAAAGAATTCAGACAATGGCAAGACGGTCAGAAAGATCGTCTCCTCTGGATCAGGGGTGATCCTGGTAAAGGCAAGACGATGCTCCTATGTGGTGTCACTGAGGAGTTGACCAGATTATATGGGGATAATGCGAACATATTGTTCTTCTTCTGTCAGGCTACCGACCCACGAATCAATAGCGCTACGTCTGTGCTGAGGGGTTTGATATATTCACTTGTCAAAAAGCATCCATCCCTTCTCCCCTATGTGCGAGCCCGGTATGATCATGCTGGAAAGGCTCTCTTTGAGGATGTTAATGCATGGAATGTACTGTCGACGATCTTCAAGGATATGCTAAAAGACCCGACCTTACAAATGACTTATCTGATGATCGATGCTCTAGATGAGTGCATAAATGGGCTTGATTCCCTTCTGGACTTAATTATCCAGGAGTCATCAGCCAATCTACAAATAAAGTGGGTTGTGTCCAGCCGTAACTGGCCTGAAATCACTGAGCGACTTCATATTGTAACTCAGCTAGCTCCGGTCTCATTAGAGCTGAACGAGGTGTCTGTGTCCGAAGCAGTGAACCAGTTTATTCAGCATAAAGTCCAAGAATTAGCGAAAGCTAAGAAGTACAGCAATAAAACTCGTGATGCTGTTCAACGCTATCTGTTATCAAACTCACAAGGTACCTTCCTATGGGTAGCCTTGGTGTGTCAGAACCTTGAAAAGATACGAATAAATGTGCTCAAGAAACTAGAGTCATTTCCTCCTGGGTTGAATACTCTATATAGACGAATGATTGACCAGGTTCGCGAATCAGAAGATGCTGAGCTCTGCAAGGAGATATTGGCAATTATGTCGACGGTCTTTCGGCCTATCACGCTACACGAACTGACTTCACTCATCGAACTACCGGGTGATGGCGACGATGACCACATTCCCCTTGAGGAGATTATTGCGATCTGTGGATCATTTCTAACGCTACGGGAACACACCGTCGTGTTCGTCCATCAATCCGCAAAGGAATTCTTACTCAAGGAAGCACTCAGTGAGATACTTCCTGGAGGTATAGAAGCACAACACAACATGATATGTGCACGATCTCTCGACGTTATTTTCAAGACACTTCAACGTGATCTGTTCAAGATCAAATTACCTGGACTCCCCGCGAAGGATATCTGCAAACCTAGCCCAAATCCACTAGCAGCGGCAGAATACGCGTGTGTCTTTTGGGTAGACCATCTTCAAGGGAGTAAGCGGAATAAATCATATGACCTTGGCCTCAATGATAGAGGTCCCGTGGACGTATTTTTACAGCAGAAATACCTTCACTGGCTCGAGGCCCTTAGTGTATTAGGGAGCGTTTCAAATGGTATCCGAGCGATGCAAAAGCTCGAGGTGTTGGTTCAGGTATGTGGTTATTTATATAGAGATAGAGATACCTTCTAACAAAATACCCGCTTTGATAGGAGAGAGCAGAGTCACAAGCCCTATTTCTTCGAGTTCAAGATACCTCTAGATTTATTCGATATTTCAGAGCGGCAGTTGAAAGCAGTCCCCTGCAAGTGTATTGCTCGCCTCTTATCTTTGGCCCAACAGAGAGCCTCACAAGAAAGTGTTTTCAGAAAGAGAGACCAGAATGGGTTTTGAATAATCCACTAGTGGAGGACAATTGGAATCTTTGTGTACAAACTTTGGAGGGGCATAGTCGTCAGGTAACCTCGATTACCTGGTCGCCCGATGGAACCCGGCTTGCATCGGCGTCCTCTGATAATACAGTCAGGATCTGGGATCTGACTACTGGTCAGAGCGTGTCCACTCTTGAGGGGCATAGTGTGGAGGTCTTTTGTATTACCTGGTCGCCAGATGGAAGGCAACTGACATCAGTGTCCTGGGATACAACAGTCAAGGTCTGGGATATAGCTACTAGCCAGAGTATGTCTACTCTCGAGGGGCCTACTGATATGATCTTCTCGATTGTCTGGTCGCCAGATAGAAGATATATTGCATCATCGTCCAATGATAGGATAGTCATAATTTGGGATCCAGCCACTGGCCAGAGGGTGTCTACTCTAAAGGGGCATAGTAATTGGGTTAACTCTATTGCCTGGTCACCAGATGGAAGCCTACTCGCATCAGCATCCAGTGATAGGACAGTCAGGGTCTGGGATCCGGCCACCAGCCAGAGTTTGTCTACTCTTAGGGGGCATAGTGATTCGGTCAACTTGATTGCCTGGTCACCCGATGGAACACGACTCGCATCAGCGTCTAATGATAACACAGTCGGAATTTGGGATCCGGCTACTGGTCAAAGCATGTCCTCTCTCAGGGGGCATAGTGATTCGGTCAACTTGATTGCCTGGTCACCCGATGGAACACGACTCGCATCAGCGTCTAATGATAACACAGTCGGAATTTGGGATCCGGCTACTGGTCAAAGCATGTCCTCTCTCAGGGGGCATAGTGATTCGGTCAACTCGATTGCCTGGTCGCCAGATGGGAGGCGTCTTGCATCAGCGTCTGATGATGGGATTGTGAAGATCTGGGATCCAGCCACTGGCCAGAGTGCATCCACTCTTGATGGACATAGTGCGAAGGTCTTCTCAATTGCTTGGTCTCCAGATGGTCGTCTACTCGCATCAGCATCTGGTGATATGACAGTCAGGGTCTGGGATCCAGTCACCAGCCAGAGTGTGTCCACTCGTGAGGGGCCTAGTCATGGGATTAAGTTGATTGCCTGGTCACCCGATGGAACACAGCTTGCATCAACTTCTAATGATAACACAGTCAGGATCTGGGATCCGGCTAATGGCAAAGGTACATTAACTCTTGAGGGGCATAGTTGTGGCATTAACTCCATTGCCTGGTCACCAGATGGAGCACGACTCGCATCAACGTCTAATGATAACACTGTCAGAATCTGGGATCCTGCCACTGCTCAGAGCGTGTCCACTCTTGAGGGACATAGTGCAGAGGTATTCCAGATTGTCTGGTCGCCAGATGGAACACAACTTGCATCAACTTCTAATGATAACACAGTCAGGATCTGGGATCCAGCCACTGGCCAGAGTATATCTACTCTTAAGGTGGATAGTTATTATATCAGCTCGATTGCCTGGTCACCAGATGGAAGCCTACTCGCAACAGCGTCTGTTTATATGACAGTCCAGGTCTGGGATCCTGTCACCAACCTGAGTGTGTCTACTCGTGATGGGCATAGTCTTGGCATTACCTCCATTGCCTGGTCGCCCGATGGAATACGACTTGCATCGGCATCTAATGATTACACAGTCGGGATCTGGGATTCGACTACTGGCCAGAGCATATTAAATCTTGAGGGGCATAGTCGTGCCATTAAAGCCATTGCCTGGTCACCAGATGGAACACGACTCGCATCAGCGTCTCATGATAACACTGTCAGAATCTGGGATCCAGCCACTGGCCAGAGCATGTCAACTCTCTATATTACTTCCCGTGGCTTCCTCGACTTCGATAAATTTAATCCCAACCATCTTCACACGAGTCTGGGTACATTTGACATAGGTTCAATTGTTTCTGTCACGCCTATTCCTTACAACTCAGTCTCATCGCACAGACAATATGGATATGGTTTGAGCGATGATTTTTCATGGATAACCTACAATGGACTTAACCTCCTGTGGTTACCTGCTGAGTATAGACCTAGAGATATATCTCAATTTTCTAGGTCCAGAACATCTTTGGCAATTGGATGTTTTTCAGGTCGTATCATGTTTCTCACGCTCACAGGAAAAAGCCCCATCATTGCCCTTTGATTTTTTCTGAGATTTCCTCATGTCTCTACACTTCTCTTTAAGCTCTTACGCTAAATAGCCCCCATACTACTTTCGGACCGTCTTGAATAGATATAAGTATATATGTCTTTTGAAGACCTAAGTCTGTTATAATCTTTTTCAAAGGAACGCAATGAGTTTTTAGAGATTTGAGCCCCGTACATAGATCAGGACATATACTATTACGCGTAGAGCAGCCAGTAGCTTACTACCTAATATAAAATAAGCGAACTCTCAGCTAGAAACTACGCTTTCCCAGGTGCTGTATCTACTTTCCCTAGGTGCAGAAACTAACCGCTCATGATTTTCAGATGGCTTCTAGAAACGACCAAGCTCTCACAAACTCCAAACCCAGTGCCATGTGCATTTGCCAAGAGCATTGCATCCCTCCGAACTTAATTTCAGTCAAAAATGCTTTCGTCTGCTTACTGAGCAGTCTGATCAGCAGGGGTAAGCATGGGAAAACTATTTCGATCGTCATTGCGCCCTTTTGCGCACGCCGGGGCTTCCATTGTCGAAGATCGAATTATCCGTTATGTGATCATTGGCAAGCCCGCACAGATAGCCGAAGCAGCTGAATGTGGTGAGCGTACTGTATAACCTTCAGCAACTCAGAAATGTCAGAGCGCCTCCAACTCTTGTCAGACGGCGGCGAAGCATCATCTCACCCATGCGAGAGGCCATTTATGATCGCCATCTTGAAGGTGGCTTGTGTTCATAATATCTTGGAGTGGGAGCGTCTTGCAAGTCCTGGTCGGAAAGAATGGGACCTGAGCTTAAATTTCACCACCGTTAGAATAGGAGTGGTCAATTATCAACTCAACTTCCTAGCAAATCAAAGTTCAACACATTTTGCTCATCCTGTGTTCAACAGAGGATGGGGCTCACGAAATCCAGCGTTTTGTAGGGCAGGTAAATCAGTCGTAGAAAAAAAACACCCCCACCAGTATTGTCTCTACGGATGTCTTCGCTCGTCCATGGTTTTGGTGGAGTGGATGTTGTTGACCGAAGATGAGATGAGAACGACCGACCAAACCTGACAACCATTCTGTTTGATTTGTTTGCAGGTCAGTAGTTATATACAGGGCATAGCTCATACACTCGTAATACGGGAGCTATTTTTGGGCCATTATTCATTACCGTACTGTGATACAGCCAAGAATATGGGTCAGGCGTAGACTAACTATAAAATGTGTAGCGACATGCAAAATAGAGTTTAAGAAAGAATTGAAGAGAGTAAAGAGGTGAAACTGATTTCGAGCGCGTTTGTACATATGCGCAATTCTGTTCGTCGTAGATGTTTCCTGGACCAGTACTAACTAGTAGATCTTGGAATAATTCTACTTTATGTATTTCGTAGTGGCCTCAGTATACTTATAAGAGTGAGTAGGTGTGTTACGGCGTGCTTATTGATGGCTTGCCCTGAAATTAGGTAGTAAAGTAGAGTGATTGCATGGTGATGGCCCTAGGAAGTGAACGTCTTGGCACGTAGACCCTTATGGTCTAGGAAAGTCCATATGCGGGATAGGAGAAGCTGAATTGCGGGCTTATCTTTTTGCCTTTTCCCCACAATTTCCACGTCGACCGTTCGATTCCGCCTGCCGTCAACTTCCAACTTCCATTTTTTCCCCTTTTCTTCTCCCTGTGACAAATGTACTAGACTTCGGCCAACCTTTTATTTAGGGCAGCCTTTAAGGGCTTCCTGGCCCGTGCGGCTCTGATCTTTTTTCGCCGCGCGACGCCAACAACACCTTCTCCCAACACTGGCACTTCAATGTTCTCACCAATAGCTCCAGCGATCGCTCTGCGCCGATCGGCCGCAGAACTAAGGCGAAACAGTCTAAGATGTCGCCGAGGCCTCCTCACTCTCGCGATCGAGACGTCATGGTAAGCTCCCATCCCGATTGACCTATCGACATCATCACCTCTTACCACGCAACTCTATTTCCAATTTACCTTGGACGATAGCTAACACGAACCTCTCCTGCACAGCGATGACACCTCAGTAGCGATAGTTGAAAAATCAAACACCGACTCCTCCCCAAAAGCCAAGATCCATTTCCTAGAGAACATCACAGCCGATTCACGCGCCCATCGGGGCATTCACCCGATCCTCGCCCTGGAGTCACACCAAGAGAGCATGGCAAATCTGGTCAATAAAGCTCTAAAATCCCTCCCAGCAACAAAAGAAGGACAGCCGTCGATATATTTAGCAGATGGGTCAACTAGGCGCAGACCGGATTTCATCTCTGCTACGAGAGGACCTGGGATGCGCTCGAATTTGTCTGTTGGTCTTGATACGGGCAAGGCTTTGTCTGTTGCGTGGCAGATTCCTATGGTTGGGGTGCATCATATGCAGGCGCATCTTTTGACGCCGAGACTTGTCTCGTGTCTGGAAAATGCAGCAGCAGAAAATGGGAAGAACGACACCAGCACCAGCACCAGCACCAGCAGCGTTGGCAGCGCTGCCTCACCCCGTTCCCATTCCTCTCAATCCTCGTTTCCGGCGGCCATTCAATCCTCGTCCACTCAAAGTCACTAGTGAATCACAAAATAATGGCATCAAGCGAAGACATCGCCATCGGCGAAGCACTAGACAAAAGCGCACGAGAGATAATCCCAGCCGAATTACTCTCCGAAGCGACGAATACAATGTACGCGAAAACGTTGGAAAAATTCGTATTTCCTAACGGCGCGGCCGATTTCGGCGATTACAAACCTCCCCTGAATCGCGGGGAGGAGGTGGCTAATATGAAAAAGCAGAGTGGCTATGGGTGGAGTGTTACGGTTCCTTTTGCGAATACGCGCGCTTTGCAGTTGAGTTTTTCTTCGATTGCTAGTATGGTTAATAAGATTGTGAAAGCGCGGAGTGAGAGTCTTTCTCATCTTGAACGAGTTGAATTAGGTCGGGAGACGATGAGGGTTTGTTTTGAACATCTTGCTTCGCGGACGATTATTGCGCTTGAGCAATTGAGATTGAGTCATGTTGGTGATGAGGAGGTCAAGACTCTTGTTGTTAGTGGGGGTGTTGCGGCTAATCGGTTCTTGATGGCTGTTTTGCGATCGTTTTTGGATGTACGTGGGTTTGGGGGTGTGAGGATTGTTGCGCCGCCGCCGTATTTGTGTACGGATAATGCTGCTATGATTGGGTGGGCGGGTATTGAGATGTTTGAGGCTGGGTGGGAGACTGGGTTGGGTGTTAGGGCTTTGCGGAAGTGGACGCTTGACCCTGAGGCTGAGGATGGTGGTGTTCTTGGGCCTGGTGGGTGGGTGAAGAGGGATGTTTGAGGTGGAAGGGAAGCTTCTTTCTTGTACATTAGGTGAAGTATACTGTATATTATAATGATACCCCATTCCTGCATTTCATGCAATTTCTTCAAGTTTCTATGTGCGCAATGAATTGACTCAATTGCAAAGAACCATTACAGAAGATGAGGTGATACGTAGGAAGGCCCTCTCTCTGGCTAGTATGACACTGGCATCTTCGGCGTCAGTTTCATAGCCATTATATTTAACTACAAAAGCCGACAAAATAAAGGACTAAGCCCACAGCTACTACGCCGCGCCGGATCATACAATACAGCTAATACTCAAAGGAAAACCATTGGACCAATTCACAGCCCATGTGTATTTTGACGACACTACCATGCAGAAGCAGAGAATAGCTAGACCCACAGAAATCAAGACGCCGATGCAAATGTAGCCGACCAAAATAAATTGGCCAGAACTTTGGAAATGTCCTTCCCTCCCGTCCCAGTTCCTCCTCCACCAGTCCCTAAGGGTATCGATGAATGCGCCGCTCTAACCTGTGCAAATGAACCAAGCCCATTCCGGTAACCGGTACAGAATGCAAAACAGGCAATCAAAGACAAATAAAAGCAATGAAACAAGGAAAAGTAAATCAGAAGCGCTTTAAAAATCACCCCTCAGCCACCGACGGGAGGACCGCCCCGCTGTAGAGAGGCCACTTGTTTCCGAAGCTCGACGAAAAAGTCCTTTCCATTGGCCATTGTGTTTGCTGGGTGCGGTGTTGTGTTAGTGAGGTGAATATGGAGAACTTGGAGGACAGTCCATAGTTATGGATGATCTCCGAGGTATAACATACCCTTTGCGCCCCACGGTCCTCCAGATTTTTGGTTATTGGCATCCTTGCCGGTGGGCTTGTAGAAGGGAACTTTCGAGTCTGCGGCGATATGTTAGATTGGAAAGGGCAGGGTTGTAGATTCCGCGGGAGGGGTCCGTATTACCTCGAGGAGCTAATAGAAAAGCATCGGTTAGCTTTGTGTTTCACTTGTGCAATCGCAATCGCAATGACAGTCGCAGTCGCATCGCACTCCACTCACGTGTCAACTTACCCTTCTTCAACAGGCTCTTCGCCTCTCCAGCGTTGAACCCCTTCACGGGGACATGCTGGTCCTGCGAGGGAGTCGAGTTGTTGTTGCTATTCCCAGCCGGATTTCCACCGCGGCCAGCGCCCTGTCCTTGTCCTTGTCCTTGTCCTTGTCCTCCAGCTCGATCACGGTTGCCGGATTGACGCTGCGACGATTGGCGACTGGGTCCGCCGCGCCATCTGTAGCCAATTGTACTTTAGCAAAGCCCTGGGGGAGGGTGTTCGGCGGGGGTACTAGTTGCATACCTGTCATCACCCATGATTGTAGCGAGGTAGTAGATACCGGATCTGATTTTAGTGAAACACAGGGAAACCAGATGAGTATGCGGGGAAGCTGGTGCGCGTCCGAAGCAGTTCAGATCGACACCTGAGGCTGAAAGGTACGGTTGGCGGGAGAGGCCAGAGAGGAAACTGTTGGACTTTACCTAGGGTATGGGCTGGTTTGGGTTCGAGATGTGATATTATAGGATAGGTTAAATTGAAAAATCCAATAGCTGGAGGAATGGGACAGCTTGAATTAGATTCCAAGGTTTGTGTAAGTTGGTAGTATAAAGTAGAGCAAGGACAACCTCGGAAGTATATATTTCAGGTCTACCTAGTCCCAGTAGAGTGGCCCAGGATTTCCCCAACAGTCACCACAACTGGAATAGTACAGTACTAGTAGTACTAGTAGTATAAATCTAGGTACTTAGAATACGACCTAGCCAGTATACTGTACCTAGGTATACATGAAAATATTAAAGAGGAATCGAGTTCTCTTGAGTTGCGTACTATGTACTAGTAGTACTGCTACTGTTACTGCTATGTCAGCCACCACAGCCACAGCCAACTTACGTGGAGAGCACGGACGTCTCCGCCTTTGGCCTTCGGCCTTGAGATAACCAAACACCCTGAACAGCTTTCATCCAGGCGCCTACTGGTTATTGCTTGTTTTCCTATTCATGCGCGTCTGATCATTTCGGAGATCCTTGCATTGTTTGGATACCTGTCACCCACGCCCCCTCGCTCCCCCCCTGAACGCGACTCGACGTGTCTGATTGGCATTCTCCAAGCCCTGTGACGATCAACATACGGATCGCATGAAGCTTGCCATGAACGATGGCCCCGATGTCTAGACACTCCATCTCAAGTAGACCATCGAGGGCTCAACCAAAGTCTGCTTTGAAAAGTTCACGCAGCGCAGCCGACTCCCCTGAAGGCCCTCCTTTTAAGAAGCGCAAGTACGTCCCCGGTGGACCTGGAGGAGGTGGACGATTTATCGACGTCGAAGCCTCGCAACAAGAAACGACACCTAAAAAGAAATCCAGCATCCCCCGCCGTCCCTCTACTACTACCTCTACCGTTACCACTCCCGCCACTATCCCTCCCCCCACCAACAGCGCGCGAAAACGCGAAGTCGACCTCCTACCGCCCATTCATGCCCCCCCTCCACCTCCCCCTGTACCAGAAACACCTCCACCCGTGACGCGCCCGAGACGAGATAAGAGCCAGAACCGAGGTCGCTTCACATCATCCACAGCCGCCGCATTGGCTTTACAACAAGGAGACGGTTATAAGCCGCGAGAGGAGCGGGGGTGGGAGGAGTTCCACCCGGACTTGGATATCGATGGCAGACTAGCTGTTTTTACAGCCGAGGAGGTCGATACGACTGAGACCGCGGCCAGTATTCTTGCCGCGGAGTCTGTCAACGGTACCAATGGCCAGGATACTCCAGGAACCCCCGCTTCGCAGGCGAATGACTCGACATCTCCAGCTACTTTCAAGCGTAGGCCGGGCCGCCCACCGCGTCGCCCCGAAGCCATCCTCAATGCTTTATTCTCCAACCAAGGACCCAAGATAATACCACCCCCAGGACCGAACCCTCGAGAGAGACTGACCCTACCGAAACCGTCGTTCCGACTCCGCGATCCATTTACATTCTACGAGCAGAAAGGAATCGGACAACAGAACTATGTCGACCGTACGATGGCCAGCGTGGGATACCAGGAAAGTGATCTGTTTCTTCGCCATGACCGACGCTTTATTCGGATGACCGAAGGTGCCCAGGAAGATGACATGGACGTGATCCAACCTACAGTGACAGAAGGCGATGTCAACGCCACGACTGGCCGTGTCGAATATGACATGGACGAGCAGGACGAGAAATGGCTTGAAGAAATCAATTCGAAACGCCGGGATGACCAGCTGGAGCCGATCAAGCCTGCCATATTCGAAATCACCATGACAAAGATTGAGAAAGAATGGCATTCGCTTGAAAAGCGCATTCCGAAGCCTAACCCGAAACCTCCACAGACACATCGCCCTCGCTCTAGCTCTGCAGCTGCAGTGAATGGTGAAACTGCCGGCCCCGGAGAGGACCAGGACAGCAAGTGCGCTATTTGTGATGATGGCGACTGCGAGAACTCTAACGCAATTGTGTTCTGCGATGGCTGCGATTTGGCAGTTCATCAAGAGTGTTACGGTGTTCCTTTCATTCCAGAGGGTCAGTGGCTGTGCCGCAAGTGTCAGTTACTAGGAAGAGGTTCTACCGACTGTATCTTCTGCCTAATACCGAGGGTGCCTTCAAACAAACCACTTCTTCTAAATGGGCTCATTTGCTTTGTTCAATCTGGATTCCCGAAGTCTCTATTGGAAACCCGTCTCTGATGGAGCCTGTGACTGACGTGGAAAAGGTACCAAAAAGCCGCTGGAAACTTAACTGTTACATTTGCAAGCAGAGAATGGGTGCTTCGATTCAGTGCAGCAACAAGAATTGTTTCGTTGCTTTCCACGTTTCATGTGCACGCCGGGCGCAGCTGTACTTGAAGATGAAGATTGGCCATGGACTTATGGACTCACACTTGCTGAAGGCATTCTGCGACAAGCATGTCCCCCCCGACTGGAGACTTGAGCATGGCACTGACATTGCCACCGCCGACGCCATTGAATACTACCGCACGACGATGCAGGGCAGACGGTGGGGAGACAGTCAGGCTGCGGCGCTGTCCCTTGGATCAGCCTTCGCCCCGGACGAAGGCGAGCGAGCAAGCACCCCTCGAATCACACTCACACTTGGAGGCAACAAGCGAAAACGACCACCTCCGAGAACCATTTGGAAACTTCCTTCCGGTGCCCCTGTAATCCCTCAACTTGTTCTGAACTCTGTGGTGGCTACTCTTGCCCGGTTCACAGTTCGTGGGCGAAAGCAATACGCCGAGGAGGCGTGCAAATATTGGACCCTCAAACGCGAGGCGAGACGAGGTGCCGCGTTGTTGAAGAGACTTCAGTTACAGCTTGAAACCTTCTCTTCTATGGAGATGACTCGGCGGGACTACGTCGCTATGGGTGTCACTGGTCACAAACGACTCACACGTCGCAAGGAATTTGGCGAGTGGCTCTACAAGGACCTTGATCGGTTGAGAATGTTGTGTGACGAGGTGAAGAAACGCGAAAGGGAAAAGCTCAAGGACGCCGAGATGCTACGAAATATTGTTGACCTTGTTTATTTCCCTATTTTCCCATTACTCAGACCTATCCTGGAGAAAGCGCAAGTGTAAGTTGCCATCTTCCACCCCCCCCCGTTACCCCCTCTTTCGCTAATGGCCATCTGCAGATTGGATGGCAAAGGAACATTCGCAGCTGGCCTGTTCTCAATACGCCAGCGACTCAATGAACGATTCTATCCATCTGTCGCATCTTTCTCGGCGGACCTGGCCAGCCTTTTCACATCGGAGATTGGCGTTGGCCCGGCTGGTGATACTGCCGAACTGCAGGCTCAGATCAGTGGTCGGGCGCCGGAACTTAGTATCGAGCAACGCGAGAAGAGAAAACTGGCCAAGCGAATCATCAAGGCGATCCAGCCGGCCCTGGAAGACGCCATTCGAAAAGAGAGCGAACTAAATCGCAAACCATTCGAAAAAGAGCTCAAGGAGCTCGATGTGATCCTCGACCACAGCGTATTGTCTGCCGAACCGGAAGGAGACACCGAATTCGATATTGGCCCGCATGACACGAAACCCGAAGCAATGGAGGGTGTTGAGCCCACCACCGTTGTCGAGGTGGCCCCCGAAACCCAGGCCCAGGCCAAGACCACTGAGTTGAATGGGACACCCAACGGGGAAGAAGCAGTGGCCCCTGACGAGGCTGTTGCAGAGCCAGAACTGGTTGAGGAGACTAAGCCAAATGCAGGCCCAATCTATCGTCGGCACCCAACGCCAGTGCTTACGGAGGCGGATCAGCGGCTACCTTTGGCTCAGGGTGGTATCCAATGGTACATGCAGCCCTTTGATCCTATCGGAACCACTATCCACGAGGAACGATGGACCGGTCGGGATGTCATGCGGGGCATGAGTGAGGAACTAAGTGAACTGGATGAGGATGAATTGAAAGATCTGGTAGAAGAAGAACTGGACCAGGATCCAACGAAGGCGCCTGCTGGTGCTGGTGCTGGTGCTGGTACAGGTGCAGCAGGGAATTCTCAGCAGGTCCGACGCACTCGTCGGCGCAGATGAATAGGGTTAATCTTATGAGCATCAGGCGTGGGTAGGAGTTATGGGTTAGCTATTTTTCTCGCTTTTTCTATTATCTTCCTTTTTTAATTGCATACCGGGCAAGGGAAGTTGACTCTTTTTTTCATTGAATGAATCGTGGTGTAGGTGGTGTATGTAGTGTACGTAGTGGTTGCCTTGGCGCCTTGCTTTGTTGTCTTACTGCATGGACCCCTAGCTGATTTCTTTGAGAGAAAAGCGAGGTAGGGAAAAAGTGAATAATAATAAAATTTGAATTAATTTTGAATTAAATTAAATAAAATTCGCCAGTGTCTAGTAATAAAACTCGCCAGGGTACTCCCTCGAGTTCTTTGTCGGAATGGATGTAACTTGAAAGGGTTGTTCCGTTAGCGTGATTCCTTCTTATCTTCGATTTCTCATCCTTCTTTCCTTCTCCCATCCACATCCATCGAGTACCCATCATGGCTGACTTTGAAAACGACAACGGCCGTTACGCCGGTGAGTCCATCCATCAACTACTATTTCCTTCATCTCTGATCGATTCTCCACAGACGAGCCCCGGGATGAGCCGCGCTACCGCAGCGCCTCTCCTCGCGAAGAGCCCCGACCCGACCGCGAGCGCGCTCGCACCCGTAGCCGCTCCCCAGCACGCCCCGACGAGCGTGATCGTGAACGCGAGCGTGAGCGTGACCGGTATGTTTCATTGAGAATCAGAATCCTGTTACTTGCTACTGTTATCTGAAACTGACAAAATCATCTCCACAGCCCCATGCGCCACAAGCCTGCTCACCTCGTCGAGGAAGCCGAGGAGGAGGAGGGTGCCTTGAACTCCGGCTCCAACCTCTTTGTCACTGGTATCCACCCCCGTCTCACCGAGTCCGACATCTCGCGTCTCTTTGAGAAGTACGGTGATGTCGATAACTGCTCCATCATGCTGGACCCTCACACCAAGGAGTCCCGTGGCTTCGGTTTCGTCAACATGACTACTGGCGAGCAAGCCGATGCCGCCAAGGAGGGTCTTCAGGGTGAAGTCATCGAAGGTCGTACCCTGAGCATCGAGAAGGCTCGCCGTAGCCGTCCTCGTACTCCCACCCCCGGCAAGTACTTCGGTCCTCCTAAGCGTGGTAAGTTTTCGTTTCGATCCTATTCGTTCTCTCCCTTTCTCTTTCCATCGTCGCAGCTAGCTGATCCTTTTCTCTTTTCTCACAGAGGATGGTCGTGGTCCCCCTCGCCGTGGTGGTGACCGCTATGATGACCGCCGCGGTCCTGGCGGAGGTGGTGGCAACTGGCGCCGCCGTGGTGACGATGACTACTATCGCTATGGTCGCTATGACTCCTACAATGACCGCCGCGACTACGGTCGCGACTACCGTGGAGGAGGAGGCGGTGGTGACTACCGCGGAGGTGGTGGTGGTGGTGGTGGTGGCCGTGACTACGGTGACCGCGATTATCGCCGTGGCTCCCGTGACGACTATGCCTACCGCGGTGGCGGTGGTGGTGGTGGCCCCGACCGCTACGATCGTTACAGCCGTGACGACCGCCGTGGTGGTGATGATCGCCGTGGAGGTGGTGGCGGCGGTGCTGCCCCTGCTGGTGGCGAAGGTGGCGATGCAGGTGGTAGCCGTAGCTACTACGACCGTGATGCCAACCCTCCCTCCTACGACAATGCTCCCCCTCGTGAGCCCCGCGGAAGCGGCGGTGGTGGCAGCGGTGGTGGTGACGCCTATGCTGGCCGTTCCTACGAGGGTCGGGGTGATGAGCGCTATGGTAGCAGGTAATGTATTCCCTCTGCACAAAATGACCAAGGAGGGCTCGACATCGAAACTCCTCCTTGATGGTTGAACGTTTCTACACTACCCTTCCCTCCCCCCCAATACCTTTCCTACCATACATTCCCTCCTCCCCCCCTTTTTCCGTTCTTCTTTTTCTGAAATTGTCTTAATGTGGGAAATTTGAGCGACGGGCCACGGGCGTCGTCAAGTCTTTTGTGTTTTTTTTCTCTGCTTTCGCTTTCGCGTCTACGTCTCAACCAGAAATATTCGGAGCGTCATCGGTCTTTTCCCTGAGTGGGTGGCTGACTCGGCAACTGGCAACTGGCAATCTCGGTATCGGTATCGGTCTCAGTCTCAGTCTCAGTCATTCATGTCGTCAGTATATCATCTTTCGGTATCGCTCGATGATGTGTCCCATGGTGATTCTCTTTTGTTCTGTTCGCGCAAACGTCAATTCAACTATCGGGAAAATTCTCTAGCGGCCAAAAAGGGAAAGCAAAACAAATTATCGCTGTAATATCGGTTGTCTCTTGGGTCAGCACTCTCGGTCACACTCAAAACTGTTCGCCTTATGCACAACATCACATCCCTACCACCATCTCAGTTCAGTAACCCGGCTCTCGTTCGTTTCGATGTATTCGACAAACTAAAGTGTCGCCCCCCTTTTTTCACCTATCACCTTGTCACCTATCACACCTTGTTCACCTCATCTCACATCACTCTCACACCTGTTCTACCACAAATCCGCCCTGTCTTTCGCCAAGGCCGTCTCGTCTTCGCGCTTGTAGTATCGCCCTCTAAAACAAACAAAAGCAAAAGCAAAACACAGGTGATTTTTTATTTTCCTTTGAAATCCCTGGTCATCTACGGAGGAGCGGAGAGAAGCGGAGCAGAGCGCAGCGCCCAGGAAGCTTGACGGTAAGGCAATCAGAATCAAGTTCTAAGGTCTGACTTGCGTCTTTCCTTGTTGTATTGCATCTCTTCCTTTTTGATTTACCCCTTTTCTTTTTTTGCTTTTTTTCCGGATTGTGTTGTCTCCCTGATGTGGCTGTGGCCTGGGCAACCGTTGGCCCACTGCCATGCTATGGGATAGGATTCTGCTTACCCTACTAGGCTAGGAACGTCAGTTTCGATCAAGCGTAGGATTGAAAAGAACGATTTCGATACCTGCGCGGTTTTGCATTTCTATTTATCGGTATCAATGTCGACGTCGCCAATTTGATAGAGAGACTTTTAAATACTAGCTTTTAATGCACAAGTTGACCTGAATTTGAGATCAGATTGGTGATGTAGACTAGATAGAGCTTGATACATCTTCAAGTTTGTTCTTATATAAAGTAAAATATTGTAAACCATATTCGTCCACCTGGGCACTTCCTGTCTAAAGGTCACTTGAGGCCATCATCTACGCGATATGGCACTGAGGCTGTCCCATTCAAAATTGAAGCTATATTTCACTCATGATATGATAAATCACCAGTCCCTAACTAGTAGTATGTCTTAAATGGCTAACTAGGCTAAATGCAGCAGACATACATTCTAAAATATTGGCAGAAATTTACAGCAGTTTGAAAACATTTATGCCCCCACAAATCTTTTGCCAAAAGGCATTACCAAATGTAATTGGGATATTTTGAAGATGGTCTTAGTCAAGGATTTTCTTCGAATGGTGTATATCAAAGTCGTTGGTGCAAAAGAAGAGAGCGCAAGATGTCATTTTTGTGGTATTTAAGCCTAAAGAAAGGAGCGGGGGTAATAAGGTACATATCATAATCACAAAGAGTAGCTAGTAATTCTGGTCTACCTTCAATCACTACCAGTACCAGTGCTACTACTTCTCCATTTTCACTTAAATATGAAGCGAATGCTCAGAATCTCAACCTTGGAATCAACTTTGAAAGGATTGCTTATTTTAGCTTGCTGTTAATACTCAACAGTCAACCACCATTACCACTACCACCAGTATTACCACCTCCTCCACTTGGCTCAGAGCAAACGTGCAGGATTTCAATCAAGAACTATTTCCGTTAGTATGATAATTAGTAAAATAGTATGTATAGCCCACATCTTCATTATCACAGCACAAGGATTGACCCTTGCACGAGGCACCCACTACAAAGCCAGTTAGCGTAGCTCAGGATAAAAAAAGCGACTATCTTGCGTACAGGGTACACATGAAATTCCAACATCAACAGTTCGCCCCAGGACATGGACAGGGACCAGAATCTGGCAGCACTTCGGTATCTGTTTTGGATTGGAGCAGGTAATGGATGTTTGTCTTTCAGCCAGTGTAGAGGCCATAGTACTGCTAGCTATGACCGTAAGTATAGCATGGGAGAGCAGCATTGTGTTTCACTTGGGATGCAGAATATTCGGGTAGGTGACTGTGCTATTCACCATTGTTCATCAATTACCAGGCGCAAGGAATCCATCATAAAATAGATTATTTGAAATTGCCCCATCTAGATCTCTTGAACTTTACCGATGAACGGGTTGAACAACGTGTCTATAAATGTTGGTTATTGGTTCCAGCGATTATCTCTAAGGATTATTTCTCCTCGGATGATGAATAAGTAAATGCTAATACAAGTATGGTTAACTCAAACGTTATTCAAACCAATATGTGTCTATAAGTGGTAGACCACCTAATGAACTATGATCAGCTCCACCAACGCTATCCTAATGCGAATGGTTTTCATGAGGTCATAAGCGCCGGTACAATTGGTACATGACTATTCATCATCATATTGATTGTTGAGACCCATGTTTTATCTCAAATTCAGATCTCATTACATAGACCGCTTTTTGAACATAACACTATGGTATTCCAGCCGTGGACACTTTCCAGAGTTAAGGCTCCGATGGATATTACCTGGAACATCATCCATGGGTCTGTATCATACTTGGTTGATCTAAGCTGCTGTACAACCCACAAGACTCAAAACCCGGCGAGCTACCCTGTAGAGTCCTTTCTAAACCACCCGAGGAGTAATAAATTGACTTGATCTCCACTCCTCAGATGTAATATGGTTAATACTAGTTCTGATGCCGGTGCCGTTGGGATTCTTCTGTTGTGAGTAGAGCTTGAGGGATTAACCACTTTGTGGTAGTAGACGCTCAACATGCTATAGACTCACAAGATTGAATTTTGGGTTAGGGATAAATTAAACGCTCAAATTTAGTTATATCTACCAATTGTGGATTTGATATTATTACCCTGAAAGCTCAAACTGAGAGGAATATGCACACAGGGAGTTCCCATCATGGAAGACATATTGTTTGCTTTTATCCTGGGCGACTTTTGTATCCCAACTCGGCGAATGAGGAGAGGCACAGATATGTTGGGCATCCATATCAAAAATTACATTTATGCAGCCAGAGTGAAGAAGTCAACTGGTTCTTAATTAAACATCTTCACGGATTACTTGGTGCAAAAAAGAGTACAAAGAGCCGCATAACATAGGTATTGTTCCGTGACCAAGACGAGGCTGACAAGCATTTTTCTCTTGGCCGCGAGGGGCTTCTTCGCTATCATTGGCTGAATGGCTCGCTTCACAGGCACTACACTCCGGATTCATGCAGGAGAAAGGTCAGTTCGCGGGATATGCCTGGTCTGAAATACGATTGGGCGCTTATCCCTAGGTCATGATTAACCGGGGAGTTGCCTTAGCTGAGACCGAACACCCCCGCCCACGCAGAGGGGAAGTTATTCATGATCTTTCCTGTCTCATGAGAGAATTGAAAGTTGACTCTCAAGGAGCTAGGGCTACACGGTCAACCTTTGTAGCCTTGTTGGTCAATTGTATCTCAAGTTTTTGCCTATATTTTATGAGATGATCCGTTTCTTTGGCCATTGCTCACTATGAACGAGCTCAACCCAGACATTTATACGGTCGCATGGATAGCGCCGCTCGAAATCGAGGCACAGGCTGCCCTCCATATGTTGGACAATCATCACCGTGGGCGATTCGCGTTGAATAGGGGTGACGACTATGTGTTCCGCGCTGGTGATCTTGGTGGACATAATACCATCATTGCTACTCTCCCGGCAGGCCAGGAGTATGGTACCGGATCTGCTGCTGCACTTGCCAGCCAGGTGAAGAAATTCTTTCCAAATCTCTGGTTTGGATTGCTAGTTGGCGTTGCTGCTGGTCTCCCGAGTCTGTCACGACACCCGCCTCGTGATATCCGACTTGGTGATGTCCTCGTAGGACTTCCGGAGGGTAACAGCGCTGGCCTTATAGCCTACGACTTGGGCAAAGATACGGGAGCTGGTGGCTTCCAACTGCTACGTGATGGACACGTCTTGGCAAATACCGAGACTGTTGTCCGATCGGCGATCCAGAATATCAAACTGATGGCGCCTCAGGATGTCGACACATTTAAATCATATTACGAGACCATTCGGTGTAAGCAGCACGCCAATGGGGATTTCAACGATCCTGGCCAGGACCATGACCACCTATATCAAATGGACGATAAAGGAGTGAGCCATATCGTTCAGCGAGAACGGCGTCCTGATTCAGCGCGAACCCGAGTTTGGTACGGACCGATCGGATCTGGGGAGAAACTTATGAAGAATACTCGGAGGCGAAATGAATTGAGAGACAAGTATAGTATCATCGGGTTGGAAATGGAAGCCGCTGGAACAATGAATCGTATACCTGTTGGTGTGATTCGAGGGGTTTGTGACTATGGGGATGAACACAAGAATAAAGGGTGGCAGTCTTATGCAGCGGCAATGGCTGCCGCCTATGCCAAAGCGATTTTATATGAGATTAGACCCAAAGCCTCGGCCCCGGCTTACGTGAAGCGTGGTTAGTACGCAATGAATTATTTTTAAACTGCTGAAATCCTTCAATCCATGTTGACTTGTTCAAATAACTTCCTAGAAACCGATGATCAAGGAATTCAGTCAAGATTACCAGTTCGCACAACCTTCCTTGGGCGAGAAGAGGAAATGTCTCAAATGAAGCAATGTTTTGGCTCTGACTTGTGTAGAAAGTCTTTGGTACTCTGGGGTCTGAGTGGGTCTGGGAAGACACAGCTCGCCATTCACTATGTCAGTACTAACAAACAGACTTACAAGTCTGTGCTGTGGATCGACGGATCAACTTCTGCTTTGATTCATCAATCCTTCGAGAACCTCTCACATCATATTTCAGGTTACAATCGAGAGAGACCAGCTACTGAGCAAGTCATCGAGTGGTTGGAGAGGGAAACGAATCGTTCCTGGATGATTGTTTTCGACGGTGTCCCAGGAGCTTACGATGTCGATGACCCCGAGAACTTCGATATTCGGAAATATCTACCTACTTGTGATCATGGTCATATCTTGCTGGTGACAACAGCGTCAGATCTACACCTTCGTTTAGCACTTCCCGAGATCCACTTGGAAGGCGTCGATGACATTACGGGCTGTTCTATCCTTCTCAGATGCGCGGGAGTTCAAGCACCCGATGATTCTGGGAAAGCGACAGCACGGTCAATCTCTCACAAGTTAGGAGGTCTCCCCTCGCTCTTGAACAAGCTGGCACTTTGTTATCCTACGGTGTCATTCGGATGGATGATTTCAATAAGCAGTTTCAACAGCGCTTTTCTAATAAGACGCTCAAAACTCCCATGAAGAAGTACGTAGGGTCTTACGAAAAAGGGCGCACTCTTTGGGCGGTTTTTGAAATGTCATATGACGGTCTCTTCCAGAGAAGTCCCGACGCGGTCAAGCTTCTTCACCTTGCCGTCTTTCTCAGCCCGGGGTCAATTCCTTCTATTTTTGAGAACAGAATCGAGCTAGGGGTACCTGACTTCACTTTCGAGATACCTGCTTCTAGAGCAGGTATAGTTGAGATGCAGTCATTCGGCCTTCTATGCTGGCTGGATAAATTACGCGGGGAGTTCGGAGAGCTCGGAGCTGCCGTTGGTGAGCTCGAATCGTCAGGGTTTGTCAAGCTTGGTCGAAACCAAAACAATGCTGCTGTCGAGAGCCTTGCGGTTCACTCTCTAGTTCGCGCTTTTATTTGTTCGAAGGCATCAGAAGAGAATATTCACGAGAGCCTAGCGACTACCTTTTTTCTTGGTGGGAAATCACTTCGCTATGGAACAAAAGGTTTTCGGTTGACTGAGCTATGGAAGCATACTGGTGAGCTCAGACGACTCCTTGTGGAGTTTCTTTCCTCAGTCCCGACACCATTTTTTCAAGGTCCCGACGGTCAATACTTTGTGCTATGTGGAGCTGTGGCGCCTGTGTACGCCTATACTTGCCGCCTGCTCGGCGATTTGGAGGGATCCAGCCGTTTTTGGGATATTGCAATCAAGTACAGAGTCATCGCTGAAACGGCATGGCCAGATACAGAGTTGCACATGGATGAGATTTTTGAAGCGGCAAGAATTGATGTGAAGGTTGGAAGCTTCGGAAGAGGGATAGAGCGATATGAGTTGTTTCTTGCTCATTGTGATCAAGTCTTCCCGGACAACGATGAAAGAGCCGTCCAAGCCGCTGCCGCGCTCCGTGAAGCTCGAGAGACTTTTCGAAACATTGAGCACAACTTTGGTCGGGCTATCGTGGCACAGAGAGTCACGAAACAAAGACCCGTGGAACCGACGTTGGGCGAGGCGATATCATCTCTTCACAAAGCCACGAAAAATGGTGACATAGAGGAGGTGAGGTTACTGCTCGAAGCTGGAGCAGACATTGCTGCCCCAGATGAAGGATGGACGCCATTACATATAGCCTCACGGTATGGCCATGTCAATATTGTGCTTCTTCTTTTGAAAAGAAAGGTGGAGATAAATCCTACAGATAATCGTGGTTGCACACCGCTGCATCTAGCCTCTGCACATGGATGCTCACAAGAAGCAAGTTTGTTACTAGAGCATGGAGCTGAAGTTGAACATGAAAACTTTCAAGGTGAAACGGCTTTGATATGCGCAGCCCAAAGTGGCCATGAGCTGATTGTGCGCTACTTGCTACAACATGGGGCCAACCTAGATATACAAGACTTCGGCGGCAGTACAGCACTTTCTCGAGCATCAGGCCGTGGCTATGATACGATCGTCGAGGTATTACTGGAGCATAACCCTAACTTGGATTTACAAAACTCCACTGGAAGGACGGCTCTGGCCGAGACAGTTCATGCAAAAAAAGAAAAAATTTCTTTCATGTTGATAGGGCATGGGGCTGATCCAAACATACAAGATCAAAATGGTTGTACTGCACTGCACTGGGCAGTGGGTTATGGCCTGAGTAAAACCGTCATCATGTTACTGGAGAATAATGCTGATCCAAATATGCAAAATGGCAAAGGCCAAACGCCTTTGATAACGATGGTGGCTTTGTTGAGGCATGGTACAGCGATCCCCTTATTGCTACTATACCATGGTGCTGATCCAAACATACAAGACAAAGAAGGTTTCTTTGCACTGTACTGGGCAGCTGAAAATGGCATGCATGACACTATCCTTGTATTACTGGAGAATGGCGCTGATCCAAATCTTCAAAATGGCCAAGGACGATCGCCCTTAATGGTGTCAGTAATGAATCCATTCAATGATGCAGCGAACAGTCTAATGCTCATAAAGTATGGTGCTGATCCAAATATGCAAAGTGCAGGTGGCTTTTTCGCACTTTTCTTTGCAGTTTATTATGACAGGAATGATCTCATCCTCATGTTATTGGAAAATGGTGCTGATCCAAATCTTCAAGCTGACTCAGGCCTAACAGCCTTGATGAGAGCGGCCCTTTCAGAACATGAGGCAGCAGTCTCTTTACTGCTGCAATACAATGCTCGGATCGATATAATGGATAGTCTAGGTATCACAGTTGAAGCTTGTGCATGCCTTAATCAAAGTATATTACGTCTTTTGTCGGAAGCAAGAGCGTCTTCCCTGACCCTTCAGAGCTCGGACCGCACCAAAAGTCTTGCCGAGAGTACAGAAATTCTCAGCCAAAATGACCATGAATCCCATCAAACACAAGAGTATGACGAGCAGAAAAGAGAGCCCAAGGACGTGGGCGGGATGCTAGAAGGGTTGAGAGAGCAGCGCAGAGAGACTACAAGGACAATGGGTGAAGCTTGGAAGCGTCTCACGAAGCGGCCATGGAAAGGGAAGGGAAGAATGGAGAGGAAGAATGGTTATGATTTTTCTCAGGCTGATGACGACGGTGATAGTACTCATCATTCTTGAGTTACTACTTGCACGAAGAAGCTGCCAGTGGATGGTGCAATGGGATAAAATACTATAATATACATACTTACATCACTGACTCGGGAATTTAAAACTAATAGAAGGTGAGGATCCATGAAAACGACGCCAGAAACGGCCGTCTTTCTACTAGCACTTTGAAGAAAACATCTAGGTTTTATATGCGTCAAATCACATAACAGTAGTAATCTCAGTCGAAATACAGAATTCACAACAATTTGAATATCAATCATCCATTTTGTTTTCTTCCGGAGGAGGGGTTTCCACGATAAATTCACGACCATTCTCATCCTTCCCAAGCTCATGCGTGAGATGCCAACGTAGATCATTGCTAACGAAATACTCATCTGGTGCCCACTTCTGGCAATCGAGTTTGCGAATCGTTTCAAACGAAAGCCACACATACCTCTCCACATATCCCCCGAACGCATTTTGTACCTAGTGAAGGTGCCTGGAATAATTGGTGCATCCATCAGATCGGCACGGAGACGTGGATAGATCCCAGTGCCCGTCGGTTCCATATCAACAGCGAAATTAGGATCATCAAAGCCACTTTCCGATGAATACCTGTAAGGGTCGACTCCTAGCTCTGCTGAACGCCTTTTCAGGTCCTCCAGGTAGAAAGTATTACCGACTTGTTTTGCAGCCTCCATTAGACCAGCACTTGGTGTGATACTGGCGCTGAGATCTTGATATAGATCCTGGTAATCACAATAGATAGATGTGACTGCAATCTGCTCATGCATGGATGGGCACCGTTTAGCAAGAGTGAATAATGCATCTACCTCTGGTTTAAGAGGCCACCAAATAAGCCAAGGCAGATGTGGGTTATCATCGGTGAAAGTCGCAATATCGTTAACCATGACCCGACGGGCATTGATAGCGACTTGGATTTGGAACTTATCATAAACCCTGCCAAGATCGGTATTGGTGTCTAGTTTCTGCTGCCACCATCGCGCAAACATGGTATGATGATAGATGCCACGAATAATACAAAGGTGCTCGATATCGTGCATGAAACTTTGAATACGAGGATCTGGCCCAAGGCGAACATATCGGTCCACATTCCCCTCGTAGGCGGCCATTTGGCGTAGGAGGTCCTTCTTTAATGTTGGCATATCGAGTGGTAGAGGCTCCCAGAGTAGTGTAGCTTCTTCTGGAGTGAGATAAACATAGCGATACCGGGCTGGCTTTTCAAGCTCAAGACCTAGACCTAGGTCTTCCTCAATATCAATATCGATTTCAAAAGGCCGGTACTCCGAGGAAATTGTTGGGCATTTGCATAGGTCTATCCAACTACATTTATAGACTACATTCAGCTTCAATTCATAATTGTAAACAGGTACTTCATGGCCCTGTGTAAGTAAGTAATATAAATTCCTCAGTCGTATAGTGAATGCCAAGGGGACTAGTTATAAAAGCCCTTCAATTCCCTCCCCTTCAAGTTCCATCCACACGCTCTAAAAATACCCCACGCACAAAATATTATAAAGAACCGAAACGCCAGAACGACCAACAAAAGAAGAGAGCAATTGGCCTTGGGCCACACTCCCCATAGGATAAAATCGTAGTCGCAGTCGCAGTCGATGTCGTAATCGTAATTATTCCGTCTCCTTCTTCGCATCACCCTCCAACTCATTACTCTTTTGAATTAAATATTCCCCAAGGACGCGCAGCGGATTGGGATGGCCTATATTGGGTTCCACGGCGTCAGATATATGTATTCATTTTGTTGCGCCTTCAAACCTTGTTTCTCTTTCTCTTCCCCAGAGTAGAATGTGGTATGTATGTGCATGGCATGTACGGAATGGTTCTGGCGCAACGCAACGCAACGAAACGCAACGGAACTCACTGTTCTCGCGCAACGGACTTCATTCCTTCGAGTAGATGCGGCACAACTTTATCATTTAGGTAGACGCGGGCGGGCGCACCGCCGGGTCGCACCTGTGTTGCGGAGGCACCGGAGAGGTCTGCGGTAGGTGTATTTGAGCCGTTGACGTCCATTTTGGAGAATTGATCTGGAGCGGTTGCGGTAGTGGTACTGGGAGCTGGCGTTCGAGCTGGAGAATCCGTTGAGAGTGGAGGAGGGTTGGTGTGCTGTGCGCGCGGTAGAATGTTTAATTAGAAAGTGTTGCTTTGCTTTGCTTCGTCTGTCTTTCTTTTCCTCTCGCTTGCTGCTCCGGCGCAAGGTACTGGTGATAGGAAAGTTGTAGAACAGCAGGGATTAGATCCGAGGCTGACGATGGGAGCTGCTAGGGTTGTGCTGGGGAGCTCGACTGGGGTTTCTGCTGGGTGAAGTTCAAGCAAGGTTGGAGAGCGGAGAGCTGTGGAGCTATCGAGCCTGGGCTGGTTCCGCGGAAGTGGAAGTGGGAGTGGGAGGGGTGGTAGAAGGAAGAAAGAAGAACAGGTTTGTCGCTTACCGAAGTTTCGGCCATGATTGCGGTTGACTCAGACACGAGGCTCTATCAATGGAAAGGAAAGGAGTGAATCATCGCAGTTAAACTTAGTTGGATTGTTCTGCTCTTTCCTTTTTGTAGCGCCAATTGACCCCGGTCGCTCTTGCCTAAAGTGGCACGGCACCATCAGGTGACCTCGTGTTTCTCTGCCGCGAGGCGCGCGTCTCTCGCGGGGCAAGACATCACTGCGCTGACGCCCTACCCATGGATCGAGGTCAGAATGTCGCTGCTGCATTATTGGGAGACACAGCGCTCCGTGAAACGAAGGAAGACCTCCGGAGAGGCTTCTGACACAACTCCCAAATTGGAGGAGACGCCCGGCGAGGACAGTGCCAGTGCCAGTGCCAGTGATATGCGGCCGGCGAGCCCGAGTCCCTCGACTGGTGTTGCAGACAGTACACGCTTGACGGGGAATGACGAACTCGAACACGAATACCAAATAAAGAGCAGTCAGACAGATTTGGAGACCTCTCTTCCTGCAATTGAGACCGATGAACATGCCATCCGAGAATACGAGGCATCTCACTCTCAGACCGAGAAAAACGAACACGACGAGGAGACGGATACAGAACCTGGGTTACATGTCAGACTACGAGATGGCGTATGGCAGAAGGGCAAAAGTTCCATCTACGTAGATGCGTTCAATCTAGCACTGGAAACTGTGCTGGAGGAAGAATCGCATCTCTTCAATGCGGCTGAATTGTGCATATTTAACGAGTGGAAGGGGCTAGCTTATGAATCACAATACTTGTATGATCTCTCCAATTCTTTCCCCAAATATTCGTGTATTAACACCCCGTCCTTAGATATGTGCGGCTTTTCCTTCGCAAGACCTCCGCATGGCATCGTATCAATCGCCTGGGCTATTACTCTGACATATCAGATCTATCCTCTGTAGCCGCGGATCTCCAATTAGACCGCAGCTTACCGAAACTCGAAAATGAGGACGAGGACGAGGAAGACACACCGTCAACCCTGGGCCCGTCTTTTAGATTCGCAGACGGCATGACCGAGATCACAACACTGGAAGAAGCATCCTCACTACTGCTACTAGACGAGCTAAAAGGCTTCGCTAAAGAAGCCAAAACCCAAGGAAAAAACAAGAAGGAACTCCTATCCGCACTCCGCGAAAGCAGTCAATCCCAAACCGGTCTCGGATTCAAGGATAAATCCTGGCAAGCCAACCAAACGACAAATCGAGATGACCATTTCGTCGCCAAGATCCTCGATTATACAGGCGAATGCATCCGTCTCGACCCCAGAACCACGCGCTCTCTTCGAACGCGTCCATTTAGTCTTCTACAGATCAACCGAGTGGAGCGAGAAATCATTAACAACAATAATCCTGGCGAAAATTTCTCGACGGAATTTCCCCAATTACATCGTCTGTCGATCGAACTCGATCTTCCCTTCTCGAAAATCATTATTGGAATTCGAATCCGCGCTACGTACACAATTTGATATTGACAATATTCTCGAATTTAACGGCCCGCCAACGACAGAGTCGTTGCAAAGTATCATCAACCTGGCCGTCAACATTCACCCCCGCTGGAGGTCACTCGTCAACGAAGAACAAGAAAAGGAAAACAGTATCTACGAAATTGGCGAAGGCGCTTATCTACGCCGCTTCTCGCCTGCTTGGGTATATACGCGAATCATTCATAAAAGTCTCCACCCACTCGGTCGATTTAAAGAACATAAACGTGAGCATGAGATTATCAGCGAACTACTTGCTCAGAGATTATTCCACGCATCCAGGCGCGGCGCTTGGTATCAGCGGAAAGCGTTGTTGGAAGAACACTACATGTGGGCATTGACACCCACCGAGGATCGGAGTGAGGAGAAACAGCGCAAGTTTTGGAAACGGGTTGCGCTGCGGACGTGTGAGGAGGGTATTGAGGATCCGCTGTGTCATTTGATATATCATTATGATTTGCAGAAACGGATTACGAAGCTTGAGAAAGCGCTTAAGTTTGTTAAAAGGGAACAGCATGATTTTGGACATGTTATGCTTTCTAAACCTGCCGAGCGGACTATTGAGGGTATTCGGATTGAGCGTGATGATGATTTGCCTGCTGCTGCTGCTGGCAGCAGTGGTATTGCTTCTGCTGCTGCTGCTGCTGCTGCTGCTACTAAACGGGGCAAGCCTACGATATGGATTGATGAGCGCGAGGGAGGCGAGTGCAGGGTCGAAAGCATGTGTTTGAGCTGGTATCGGGATAATGGTTGGAAGGGATATCACTCTGAAGGAGGAATTGTGCGAACATTATTCGCCTACCTCTTTTACGATATCCTCTTCACCTATGTGCCGAATGTGTTTCAAACGCCCTTCCAGACCTGCCCGCTGGATCTGCATACAGATGTGTTCTACCCATCGCGCGCGTCAGAGATAAATCATCGACTTGTCGAGATTACGAATGGTGACGCGGAGCGTATAGTGCGAGAAGTGCATGATCGTGAATCGTCAACCCAGCCTTGTGCCATTGGCCTTGATTGGTCTTTTGAATTGTATGATTTGGTTGAGATTGTGCAGAGTTTCCGCGGCGAGGCTCTTGCTACTATTTGCAAGGTTATGGCGCAGGAGTATCAGCAGCGCGGTGGGGGGATTCCGGATCTTTTTTTGTGGAATTATGAGATGAGAACTGTTATGTTTTCGGAAGTTAAGTCTGAAAATGATCGGTTGAGTGATACTCAGCGATTGTGGATACATATTTTGCTTGGGGCTGGGGTGAAGGTTGAGTTGTGTAATGCTGTTGCGAGGGAGGTGAGGACGGGGTGAGTGATGATTATGTATACTTCAAGTTGTGAATGTATATATGCTGAAATGATGCCGACGACTAAATATACCTGCAAATATTGCATTTACCACTACTAGTGGACACGAGAATCTGAAAACACCGTGACAGCCTGGAATTACAAAATCTACATTTCATTTACTTGCTGCTACAGGTTGGAAAATTGCTCAAGTAGATCCAATGATCACACTCGGGGAGGGTATCACTCGTAAAATAGTTCTTTTTAATGGGCGTATCTAGCACACATGAAAGATAAATCCGAACACATGTCCGAAAATGCCTTCCATGCCCCTACTATCTCCAATAACCACAGACAACCAACGCCTTACGCTTATGCGACAAGGGTGGAGGCAGTGGCGGACTCGTAGCGCCAGGTGGGGGGGCAGGACACCGACGGTCTTGTAGTAGCGGGACAGACGGTGGATGCGGGACTCGATCAGAATAAGGCGGAACTTGGAGTCAGTGTCCTTGCGGTTGCGCTCGAGGTGCTTGCGGACAGCGACGGCCTGGGAGAGAAATTGTTAGTGAAATTGAACAATTAGTTTACATGGGAGAGGGATTGCTTCGCGGAGGCAGAAGTCTTGCGGTACGGTACCTTCTTGATCAGGAAGTAGAGGTCCTCGGGAAGCTCGGGGGCGAGGCCTGTTATTCCAAAAATCTCTCTGTCAGTCTAATTCTTGACCAAGCAGAGGCTTAGCTGCTGGTGCATTTCTGCTACCAGAGTATTGTGTGGGTATATGTATCGGGAGGAAAAAAGTAAATGCGCTGGGAATTTCTCTCGTTGCCGGAAGAAAAGTATTTCGGTTTCTTTGGACGCGATTGAAGTTCCCATTGCAATTGCTTTCTTCCTTCATCCGATTGATGCGATGGGGGAGGAGTGGCGAGGTGAGTCGTACCGCTGGACTTCAGAATACGGAGGATCTTGTTACCTGTTCACAGAAGAAAAAAGTTAGAAAATCTCGACCCTTCTCACGGTCTCTTCCAAAAATTTGAAAAAAAAGACCTGTCGCAATTTGCAGGGAATTCCATACCGGTCACGATCTTGACCTGGGCAACACCGTGGGAGTCACGGAGGACGACACCAATCTGGGAGGGAGTGGCACCCTTCTTGGCCAGCTTGCAGATGTGGTCGACAACCTGGTCGGGGGTGGTCTTGAGCCACGCGGGAGCGGCACGAGAGTAGGGGAGAGTGGAGGAGGCAATGCCCTTGCCCTTGGAGTGAAGACGACCCATTTTGGCTGATTTGTCGAAGTTGTCGAGTGGATGAGGAAATTCACGGGGCGGAGTTTGCGATGGCGATGGACTTGGAATGTTCCAACTCTGTGTGGGTCACGTGTAGTGGGTCATGTGAGGGTCATGTGATGGGACGACCTTCGCTTAACGCTAGCTTTTTTCTGCTGGGAGACTCCGCCTTTCCTTCCGACTTCCGAGCTGTTTTTTTCTCTTTATTTAATCTCCGTCTCTGCTCTCTGTCTATGTCAACCACTCGCAATTCGTGTCAGGTTGCTCTGAAATTGATGTTTTTCAGACGATCTCACGGTTCACGATTGTGTTGTCTCTACATGATCAGCTTAATGTCGCCATCCGCCCATCGATATCTCCAATTGATTCTTACTAACAGGTCAGTATCATCATATCTTTTTGCTTCTGCCCTGCCACCCTCCCCTTAAATGATGAAAACATACTTTTTTTACTATTTCTGGTACCTCTTGATTTAGAAGCGTATCTTCGGATGCGTCTTCGATGATCTAAACGGACTTCTGATTACCTCTCAACTGCCTCATCTTGACTCTCAAGCATTTGATGAAAGCTGTCTTACTGACCGTTTTCTAGCCTTTACTCCTCTCACAAATAACTATGCACATGATATTGATCAATATATTCCATTCTTTACAACTCTTGAATTTCTATACCGTATCGTTGTTTATTGTAGCATATACATGGCTGTTCTAGTATACAAGGTGTCTAGGGGGCATAGCTTCCATGCAAGGATGTCATGACCATTTCAATGTCTTCACCGACGTAGTCTTTTAGACACCCGCCTGGTTTCAGTCGATTGAGCAGTTTCGACGACGGGGTCTGCCGGCACTTTCCTCTTCTTGCCTGCAGGCGCCTTTGTAATTGGCTTCTTCTCTTCCGAGTCTTCGGTCTTGACACCGTTCACTTCTTCGTGCTTTGGCGCCGTCAGTGCAACAGCCGTCGTCACTTCAGTCTTTATTTTCACGTCCGCGCCTTCATCTTTCACTTTGACATCCACCTTCTTAGTTGTCGCAAGTTGATCAGCAAAAGAGCGCAAGTCCGCGGTGAAAAGAACGCTATGCGCCCATCCAGCTTCTTGTCCCCAAAGCTTGCGGAAATGATTGGCCACTGCATCGTAGGTTACCTTATTCAAGGTCTTCTGTGAGCTTTTCCCGAAACGATAGTCTCGTTGCGCGATTTGCCAAACTGCTAATTGTTAGAGCCTTGCAATTTAAACGGAGGGGAGCATTGAGTAGTACTAGTACTAACCATGTGTGTCCACGGGCACTGATTCACCCCAGCCTAAGCCCATCAAGCATACACAATCGGATACCTTGGGTCCAACACCTTGTAGCTCTAATAGCTTCTCATGTGCCTCTCGGTATCCATCTCGTCCTTCGGGTTTCATCTCATTGCCGGTCTTTGCCTCTATGCCGAATGCTGGAGACTCGGGGTTACAAAGGCCATTCAGCCACCCTTTCTCTCGTTCCTGGGAGACCATGACCGCCGTTTTGTAGAGATATTTCGCACGGTAGCCAAATCCTAGAGTGCGAAGATTGGCTTCAACGTCCTTGCCTGCCAATGCCTCGGGTGCAGGGAAATCATGATAGGAGCGGTCGCCTATTGTCGCGACGAATGGACCATAGTGTATGCACAGCTTTTCCACCATTTGTGAGATGCGCGAGATATTGTTGTTGCTGCTGCATATAAACGACACTAGCGCTTCCCATGGATCTTGACGCAAGATGCGCACGCCGGAGAAGGCAGCTGCCTTCTTCTTGAAATTGGGATCGTTCGCGGACCATTGGGTATAAAGCTCGCTCAGATTGGAAGAGAGGTTCAGGTAATGTTTGAGGATCGACAGAAGTTGGTCATCTTGGGTGATTCCGGAGTGCGCTTTACTGTCGCTGTCTTCTGTGTCGGATGGCGCTCGAGAAGGGAGGACTGAGGCGGGAGGGGTTGGTAGGGGATCGGATTGACAGGTTCGGTAGTAGAGATAGCTTGAATCTTGCTTCAGGGAAAAGAGGCGACCATAGAGTACACAGCGCCATTCCTCACTCTCGGGGATCTTCTGCCATCTAAAAGCTGATGTTAGCTTGTTGCACGGGGCTGTGAGGTGCTACTAAGATATGTGCAAACCTGAACGATTGCCCGCAGCGGAGAGTTGTATTGATACACAACTCGCTCAGGCTCATAGGTAACTTGCACCATTCTGAAAAGACCGTCATGATCAATCAATCTCAATTTGTCTGCTTCAATAATTGCATGCAAACATGTAATTGACTGGGAACAGACCGTGCCTTAAGGTGAGAAACGACGATAGCGATAAGCACCCGGCAGAATTCCTTCTTGGCAACAACAGGAGGCGGTCAACAACCCCAAGCTTGCTAAAACTGCATCTCCCTTTCAGTAAAGCCAGGAGAGCTTCGTCATCCCCAAAGCTCACCATGAACGGAGACACTTATTCTTCCAGAGGTGTGTTACTCTCAATCGCTAATTGAGGAATTCTCTAACTTTCCCACCCTTTTCACAGATTCTGGGCGCCCGCGCGATTACTATGTACGTATCAGCTTTTACGCCTCTCGATGACTGCAACTAACTTAATTCAGCGCGACGAGCGACGTGATAGAGACCGAGGTGACCGGGGAGACCGCAGTGAGCGACCAGAGAGAGGAGAGCGCCGGCGCTCGCGTTCGCCTCACCACGGCTCCCGAGGGGGCTCGCGCCGCGAACACGAAGCCAACTCCTACTCATCCAGCCGCGACTACCGTGCCCGTGAGCGCGAAGACCGCTACTCCGGCAGACGCGAAGAGCGTGACTGGGACCGAGGCGATCGCGGTGACAGAGCTGAGCGTGGCGGTGGCGGTGGTGGTGATCGCCGACGACGTGACTTCGATGACAGACCCCGACGAGACTTGTTTGAGGATCGACCCCGACGTGGTGGCGGTGATCGAGACCGTGGTGGCCGGGACCGCGGCGATCGCGGCGGTGGTGACAGAAGAGAGCAACCAAAGAGGAGCCCTTCACCTCCGCGGAAGAAGGAGCCAACCCCCGATTTGACCGACGTCCCTTCCATCCTGGATCGCAAGCGTCGTCTTACTCAATGGGATATCAAGCCCCCCGGCTATGAAAATGTCACCGCCGAGCAGGCGAAATTGTCCGGCATGTTCCCTCTGCCCGGAGCTCCTCGACAGCAGCCCATGGACCCTTCTCGCCTCCAGGCTTTCATGAACCAGCCTGAAGGGGAATCCACAGAGTCCACAGCCCTCAAGCCATCCAACTCCCGCCAATCCAAGCGTCTCTTCGTCTATAATATCCCCCAGAACTCTACAGGAGATTCTGTCGTGTCTTTCTTCAACCTTCAGCTGAACGGCCTCAATGTCATTCACAGCGTCGATCCTTGTATCTCCGCCCAAGTTGCCGATGACAAGTCGTTCGCCCTTTTGGAATTCAAGACTCCCAACGATGCAACCGTTGCGTTGGCCTTTGATGGAATCACCATGGCTGACGGTGGTGAGAAGGGACTTGAGGTCCGCCGACCCAAGGATTACATCGTTCCCGGTGGAAGTGGAGAGCAGGAGTACCAAGAAGGTGTGCTTCTGAACGAGGTGCCAGACTCGCCCAACAAAATTTGCGTTTCCAACATCCCGCCTTTCATCCCAGAGGAGGCCGTCACCATGCTGCTCAAGTCTTTTGGTGAACTCAAGTCATTTATCTTGGTGAAGGATGCCTCGACGGAAGAGTCACGCGTAAGTTTGCCTTAATGGTTTCCCATTCATTCCATATAACCGATCACTAATTGAATCAAACAGGGTATCGCATTCTGCGAGTATGTCGAGCCCACATCTACTCCCATCGCCGTTGAGGGTTTGAACGGTATGGAACTGGGCGATCGCCACCTGAAGGTATCCCACGCCAGTATCGGAACCACCCAAGCCGTTGGCCTGGACATGGGCGTCAACGCCATGTCGATGTTCGCCAAGACCACCTCCCAGGACATGGAGACGGGTCGTGTTCTGCAGTTGCTGAACATGGTCACCGTGGACGAGCTTCTTGACGACGACGACTACGAGGAGATCCTCGAGGATGTTGGCGAAGAGTGCTCTAAGTATGGCAAGGTCCTGAGCTTGAAGGTTCCGCGTCCCAGCGGTGGAAGCCGCCAGACCTCTGGCGTGGGCAAGATCTATGTTAAGTTCGATACCGAGCAATCGGCCACTAGCGCCCTCAAGGCTCTCGCTGGCCGGAAGTTCTCGGACCGCACCGTTGTCGTCTCCTACTTCGGAGAAGAGAACTTCGATGTGGACGCCTGGTAAAGATGAGAAAATGCTGCTTTGAAACGGTATCTGGTTCTGCTTTTTTTCTTTTCTTTTTCTTTGCTTCGAGCCGAAGGAGTTCGTATGTATCATAGCAAATAGGCCCATGTCCACTTGATCACGATGGTTTGGTTTGGAAGTCGTCCTCAAAATGTAATATTTTGGCCTATTGGTTTAGCTCGGTTTTTGTCTTCAATTGGGCAATGGTATTCATTGGAATTACTAGTATAAATCCCTGTAGTGTGTCTTGTCGGATTCTCGATGTATCGGCACGAGTGAATCTGGAATAAACCTCGTGTACGCTCGCAGTCAGCTTTAGACGAGGTTGCTCTCGCTGGACCGAAATCCGAGTTCTTCATATTTTTACTACGGAACCTAGTGGATTCCTTGTAAATATGATCACGGGAAGGTAGCTCGAAGCACCAGAATACTTTTTACTCCGCAGTATCGGACTCGAAATTAAGCGGGATGTATACAAGTAGTTTTGGGTATCCTAGGGAAGGTATCGAATTGACTCCCTAAATAGTCTAAACGCTATAAAAATACAAAACATGCAACTTGGATCTTGGTCCCCAGATTCATAAACCGGAATGATCTAGTGCTGGGCCAGAATCCGCGCAGCAGCGGCCTCAGCAATAACCATGATAGTAGTCTGGATGTTACCAGTGGGAAGGTCGGGGTGAATACTGCCGTCGACGACGTACTAAAAAAGATATTAGCTTTTGCATGATAGGCTATTGGGTGTTTGATAGGAACTCACCAGGTTATCCGTTCCGTAGACCTTGGTGTTAAGGTCAACAACAGAAGAGCCACCCTTGCGTCCGTCATCGGTACCCAACTTGGCAGAAGTGGTGTAGTGGTTGCCGGAGGAGATGGTGTTAAGAATAGCGGTGACGTTGGGCTTGGTGATGAGCTCGAGACCAGAGCCAGGGGTGCTGATATCGCTGATCAACTCCTTGACGAAGGCAGCGGCGGCCTTCTTGTCATCGGCGGTCTGCATGTAAGGAGACTCCTCGAAAACAGTCTTCTGGTTGGAGTCAAGACCCAGGACACCGGTAGAGGTAGCACCGTGGGTGAGGTAAGTCTTGATCTCAAGAACAGAGCCATCGGCGGGAGCGCAAGAGCCCTGGTAGTAGCGAGTCTGACCGTTCAGCTCATTGGAAGAGAAGAAGATAGCACGGTGCTTTCCTTGGGTCAGAAGACCGCTGTTCTTTCCGTAGAGGCTGATATCCTTGCGGTCAGTGCCGTTGACGATGGCGTCGTAGTCGGGGATACCGAAAGAGCCGTTGGTCTGGACTTTGAGGGTGAAGATTGGGTGGTCACGGAAACCAAGGCCAACGGGCAGGTCGAGCCACTGCTTCTTGGGAGGAACCTTGATGCCGCTATCCTTGGCAGTCTCGATTTGCTTCTGGGGACCGATGCCGGAGTTGAAGAGAAGACGGGGGTAGAGAGAGCGCCAGCAGCAAGGACGACACGACCATCGCGAGCAAGAGTGATGATCTCAGTCTCACCGGAGGAAGTCTGCACCTCGACACCGGTGATGTGGCTACCAGAGCGCACAACGCGGATGACCTTGGTGCCGAGTTGCAGGGAGAAGTTATCCTTCTTCTCGGCCAGAGGAAGGTAGGTGCGGACGGGACCAGCACGCTTTTGGTCCTTGATGTTCCAGGAAGGATAGCTGTAGACCTTGTGCTTCTCGTTGGGCTCGGAGATCATGTCGACGGACTTCCAGCCGACGGTGCTGAAGAACTTGGAGAGAACCGAGTACAGACCCTGATCGTAACGCTTGCCATCGGCAGAGGGCAGAGTTGTACCAGGGTTGCGTTGGTAAAGACGCTCAGCAGCGGGCTTGAGATCCTTCCACTTCCATCCCTCGGGCCAGTTGTTGTTGTCGTCGAAGTCGTGCTCGGGAGGGTGGACGAAGACCATATAGTTCACGGTGACACCACCACCGAGGACACAGGCGGCCATTCCCTCGGTATCGGTACACATATACTCATCCCATACAGGGAGGCTACCAACATCGGCAGAAAGACCGGGCAGGTCAATCGCTGTGAGGTCCTTGTTCCAGGTGAGAGTTTCATTGGCACCGGTAGCGACGGTTGGACCAACACCTCGTTCGAGAAGGAGGACCTTCTTGCCAGCCTCAACGAACCGCTCAGCTGTGATTATACCGGCGGGACCACCACCGACAACAATGTAGTCGTAGTAGTGGTTCTTGAAGCTGGATGCAGATGCCAGGCTTCCGATAGCGGCAACTAGGGCTGCCTTGCAGCCAACTTGGAGAAACCGCATCTTGTGTATAAAAAAGCAGTTAAGCTTGTCAATCAATTGCAGTATACAAAAAAAGAGCGAGGGAAAGAGCCGTGCAGATCGAGGGGCTTCAAGGCCTTTTCAACTCGGTTATTTCGCGGAACTTTTCCTTCTCCATTCTTCAAACCCAGTGGTCTGTCACTCGGGGATTTAGGGACCCGGACCAAGATCTCCATATTGTGTCATATCTTGCTCTTGGCCAGTGCCCACCTTCCCTGTCTGGATAGATGGTTTGTCACTTTCTCACGGCAGGATTAGCGATCTTCTCATAAGCAACGAGAACAATGGATGGGTGGGTCTTTTTCTGCGTTTGGAAATGAAACTTGCTTCAGCCACTCTAGGCATGAGTGATAGGCAGCGGATATAACCCGATGAAGGGTAGTCCAGTCAGATAAGATGGCGCCGTTAGGCACCGTCAGAGGCGCATTTAAAGCATCGGTCTCCACCATGTGGCATCCAGGGCGGCCGAATGGGCTTGCCGAGTCTCCACAGTCTTCCCAAGCGGCCAAAATCCGACTCTTATTTGCTTAGCCGCGCCACTTTGAAGTCTCTTAGGCCGGTGATTAATCCATTTGAGGAAGGGAGTCAGGGGCCTCACCCTTGAAACAGGAAGGGATCGGTGAAACTAGATTCTAACTTGCGTTATCTGATTGAGATCTTCTGTCCTTTCTAAAGTCTTCTATGGAAGTGGAAGGTAAAAGAATGATCATGGATCTAGTGACGCGCTCTCCTTCTACGCGAACTGTTGTCTCGACCAGATCGTCTTATGTGCATGATGCTAGCAAAGATAAAGTAGGAGTGTTCGCGGATCAACGCGGGTCGACAAAATCCTTGTCTTTTTTCTTCATTTCCGCTGCAGGTACCCACGGCTTGCTCGGCAAATGCATTCAGGGGCCAAGACATTCGAAAACATTTTAGAACTAGTATATCTATGAAATGAAAACCTTTTCGTGATTTCTGAGCTCCGATCAGAGGTCAAGAGGTTAGTGTCGCTTTAGGTAAATCGGATATCCTGGAAGTGAAAACCGATACGATCATTTACTTCATCGACTTGGCATCCACGATAGCAAAGTCTAATAACCGTAATATTTAGAGCACAACATGAATATTTTATACGAGTAGCTTTGCGTGTACAAAGCCATAGTTATGTTCTTTCTCCTAGTCCAGAAAACGCCAACGCCCAGCCGGCGAATCCTCGGCATGAGGAGAAACACGGCATCGGTTTCAAGCCCCGCTTCTACCTTGTCTAATTTGCCTCTTGCAGCAACTTTAAATTTGAACCTGCGAGAAAATTGAACGACATGACAAACCAGGAGCTTAGATATAACCATTGCAGGTCAAATTTCGCTATGCTGGGGGTAGTGGCGCGTAGTAGATAATCGAAGCGACAAGGTAGCTCTGACATTTTATGACAGCCATCTTTTCCGCGCCAAGATACGCCAACAAATTTCAAACTCAGGATTCATCAGAGTTTCCGATATAGACATCACATTAATGAGCCTCCGACCGAGTCCCCGCCCGAGTTCTAGAGCCGGGTGAAAGATTATACATCGTGTTGGACTTTTACACAGGGTCGTCAATTAGAAACTACCAGATTGGCCTTAATCACCCATGCGATCAAGTTTTCCTTTGTCTATTCCGAGAAATAATACTTGATTTCATCATTGATCGACCTGGTCTTCAGCCCTGGACTGCAAGACGGCGCCACACCGGCGTTGCTTATATTCTGCGTTACAGTGAAATGGCGCTATTCAGCCCTACAGGGTCGAGTTCAAACTTTATGGTCACCTCCTACCTCCACGGGGATTTTTCAAGTATATTAAGGACCATATACTCCTAATAGTATTGAAAGGTTTTGATTGAATAATTGTGCCCGATGCGATTTCGATTTGTAGGGAAAACCAGCTCATCTATGAAGAGCGCGTAGACACAAAGGCGACAACAAAAAGGACCTACTTCGCAGCATTCGACGCCTGGTAATTATTGGAGTCTCATCAAAAAAATCCTCGATGGCGAATAAAAAAGCTTTGAAACAGGGCCTAAGATTTCTCTCGTCTAACCGACGCCATCTAGTCTCTCTTCACCTGTAGATTCTTGCGCGCCCGAACCATCAACTCCCTCAGTCTCTCCGTACCTTTACTATCCAAAAACTCAACAATATCCACAATCCTCTCCTTGGTCTCGTCCAAAGTAAAGATGAAAATATATTCGCCTTCATAGGCCCACTCTTCTTCGGTCAAACCATCGTCTTTACATTCCTCCTTGAATTTGGCTTTGCTGGTAGCCCAGATGGTCACCTGGCCTTTTTCTTCATTGTCAAAAATTTCCTTGGGGAAAACAGGAAACTCCGCAAGAACCTCTTGTAGTTTGTCTAGATGACTGGCGAATGCTTTTGGGCTCATAGGCTCGGGTGGAGAGAGGGAAGCTGGAGCGAATCTGTGAATGGCGGTCGGCGCCAAAAATGCGAGAAATATGCTCGGCGAGAGTGTCTTGAAGCCTTCAAGGTACGAGAGAGCCGTCTCTCTTGATTTGGATGGCATTTTGATACAGGGGAGAATTCCTCGATATAGAGGTAGTTTATCTAGACTGCGAGGTAAGAAATTTGAGCTTCATAGCAGGAGTTGGCATCTTCTAGGTGTCTAACCAACGCCCTCAGGGTATGTGAGGGGTATGACGAGCCTCGGGGGTTAGGCGGATTAATATTTTTATCTCCGCCATCCTCCCATGAGAGGGTACGGCGCGGAGACTACTATTAGTACAGACGCCAGTGGTTGGGGGCTGAAAAGACTGGCCAGGTGGGAGCGGATTGTAATTTGGAGAATATATGTTCCTGCTCTAACCTCACTGTATCCATAATTTATGTGTTCTTCGGATTTGTCCTCCAGCACTTGAATTTGTCCAGCATTTTCTGAATCGAACATCATGATGAAGAATTTGAGCCCATTCGGTTGCTTTAACAAATGCGATCACTGGTTGTAAGGAACAGAGATAAATCAGTGGGTTATGCAAAATAATTCGGGCAGATTTAGGTCAAATAAGGCCGAAATATCAAAATCAGGTGTCAACGGCCTTGGCTCGCTGCCCAGACGCGGGCAGCACCTAGAGAGCAGTTCCCGGCGAGAGTTACCATTTTTAGTTAGATTTCAAGATAGGCCCACTTAACTCATGATCTAGGCTTGATGATCTGCGGCAATGAACACATCAGGAATTTGCATGTAAAGCCCCGAATTTCGTCATCTATCTATCTATTGCAATCATCTAAATCTAATGCTAAATGCGCTGCCATAGGTGTACCCCGCTGTATTCCCCCCCCATCCGTCCTTCTATACTTGGTCCACGACCTCCACGTTCTGGCGTTGCGAATTCAACTTGAGATCCTTTTGCTTCTGACGGGCAAAGTCGACACCGAATCCATGCTCAAATACCTCGCGAATATCTTCAAGAGTCATTCCTTTGACTTCGGGGTAGCAAAAGTAGACTCCAATCCAACCGAAGAACGATACCGCGGCATAAAAACCAAAAGCGCCCGACGGTGTAATGTTTTCCATCTGGGTAAGAAAAGTGGAGGAAACGATGACATTGGAGCCCCAGCAGCTCATTGTTAAAAGCATTGTGCCGACAGCACGAACCTCAATGGGGTAGAATTCGGAGGACATCCAGGCGATGTTGCCAGCTCCAGCGGAGTAGAATGCGACGAATACCACCATGGAAACCAAGACTAAGTCTGCAGCCCACCCGGTTTTCTGGGAAGTAATTTCAAGACTCGGGCTGAGTGGTACCCAATGGAAGCATATTGCCGCACATGCCATCGCTGCAGCCATTACCCATAGAGTGTTCATGAGTATCTGTCGACGACCAACACGATCAACCAGGAACAGATTGATCCAAGTAAAGATCCAATTTGTGGCAGCGATGATAGTACCCACTGCAATTGGCTTGTCAAATCCAACAGCAGCAAATATTGTGCCGGAATAGTAGAGGATTGAGTTGAATCCACCTAGCTGAGAAATTGCCATGAGTCCACAGGCTGCAAACATTGCACGGAAATTTGATCCAACGACGTATAACTGCTTGATCTGCCACCACAATGCTCTGTCCGTATTTTGATTTGTCTCCACGTGGAGTGAAATGTGCTGGACCTTTTGCTGGACCTGGAGCTCAGTGCCATCGGGGAAGATCCTTGAAATAACCTTTGCAGCTTCCTCTCGCTTGTTGTGATAAATGAGCTGTCGGGGTGATTCCGGACAGAATGGAAGTAGGAAGCAAAGAATTATCGCAGGAACTGCTCCGATTGCAGCCATATATCGCCATCCGTCATTTACATTCGCAAATGCAGCTCCGATGCCATAGCTGACGAGTTGTCCGGTTGTGATTGACAGGTTGTCGAGACTTATCATACGTCCACGATATTTTGCCGGCGCCACTTCAGCTATATAAAGCTGTCAAGGTCAGTAGTTATGTATAGAACGGACAGAATCACTAGAAACGTACTGGGACAATCATAGCTGCAGACCCGACACCTAGTCCCACAACCGCCCGACCGACTGTCATTTGGGCGATAGAGAAGGAAGACGCTTGAATGACGGCGCCGAGGACGAACAATACGCAACCAGTATATATGCCCATCTTCCTCCCATAACGGTCGGCACATAGGCCGGCCACAATGGCACCGATGAAGGCACCGCCGGAAGTGATCGATGTGACCAATTCCTTCTCACTGCCATTGAGGGTCTTACCGAGACCATCTCCAAGATATACTAGAATACCTGATATGATTCCGGTGTCGTATCCAAACAAGAATCCTCCAACGGCCGCTGTCAGCGAAACAAGCCAGGCATATTTGCTGCATCTGGTATTCTCAATGGTATCCAACTCAACAATGGGGGATCCTTCGACATGCTCAGCCAAATCCTTGAGATCTTCGTCGTCTGAATGGGAACTTTTCCGACTGAGATTGCTCATTTTGGGTAGTAGGTTTCTCGGAGAGAGAACCAGGAAGGAACAAGGTATACAAAGAATACGGACCAAAGACAGAAAGAGCCCTGGAGGGTTCTTTGTTCTCGCTTCTTCCAACTTTTTCGTCCTTTTCTATCTATCTGAGGGGTCTGCTCTCATTATGTCTTCTGGTACAACTCGTTTAAATAGTATATATCCCAACTTAATTATGCACATCAACGTCGAGTGTGCCTAGTTCGCTAGGCTAGCGAGGAAACTCGGTTCAAGTCCGTGTGAAACCATCCAATAAACAGCATTGGAAAGTGGGGGAGGCAAATACTCCGCCCCCAGAATGCCATGCCCAGCTCGAAACCCCCGCACTTCCTTGACTTCTGGGGTGTGGAGAGGGTAAATGGTAAATTCTCGCCGAGCTTGCCATTAATTAATACTTTTACTAGCCATCTCCGCAAGTTCCAATTCCCTTCTTCTATCGGCATCGTGATATTGCATAACCCCCCAAAAATGCGGCGGAACAAGACTGTTCCTTGGTGAGCCCCACACTATCTGCACGTCTTCACCAATCGTTATAGACTAATTTTCAACAGCCAGGAGTGTCGAAGTGAGTGGCGCATGCGTCTAACTTGTTAATCAAAAGTGAAGAAGGACCAAGAAAACTAACCCACCCTCCCTTTCCCTCCAGATCGACATGTGAAATGTGAGTGTATCTGAGGATTCATTCAGTTTGCTGATACTGACCCAATTTACTGCAGGCGACGGCCAGAAACCCAAATGCCAGCGCTGTGAAAAGACCGGGTCCTCATGCCTCTGGCAGGGCTCACCTTCGGGATTTCGCCATGGCTCCAGTGCCAGTGCCCGGTATGATTTCGCCGATGACCAGCCTTGGTTGCCCATCGGTCAAGGTGCGTTGACCCCTTTGTGCCAGCAGATTCCCGAGGTGTTGCATCATTCACGGATATCGGGCTCTGGCATTGCCGATTGCAGTTGTTTACTCGGGCCGCAGTGGATTACAGTTATGTCGACGAGACTGCCGACATAGCAAGGCATTACTCAATAGATTCGAGTTGCGAATCGTCATTGCCTTGGGCACGGGCGAGACGCCAGAGCATGGCTTCGCCGGATCACCAGCCTGCCACAGATCCTTCGCTATTGAATGACCCCGTTGGGTCGCATTCATCTGAGCCCTTCCTTTCATCAAATCGGCCCGAAGACGCTTTGGCCCCTTTTTCGCCGTATCATCCCTTGCAATTGTCGCCGGATCGACATTCCTCCATCCCATCTGCTTCCCCTCACTTTTCACATAGCAGCAATGCCTCACCTGGATCTAGAGACTTCATCATAAACTCTTTTGATAATAGGTTGCCGAGCTTGAATGAGCATGAGGCATGTCTCATGCGGTACTTTGTTGTCCAACTTGCTCCCTGGGTAGGAACTTCCCGCCTGAAAAATGCTAGCAGCCCTGGCTAACGCTGTATGCAGTTCGACCTATGCGACGGGGAAAGACATTTTGCCTGCACGGTACCTCTACGAGCTAGGACATGTCCTCCGTTACTCAATGCCATTTATACCGCGTCCGCGAGACACCTGAGCCGAATCAAAAAATATTATCATGGAAATCAAATTCACTACGGGGGCAAAGTCCTCCAAGACCTTACACCCGAAACTGCGATTCACTATCACAACGAGTGTATCGCGAATCTCATGGCACTATCAGACCACTCGGGTGAAGCCCAAGACGAGAACCTACTAGCCGCCGCCGTGATTCTTCGTTTCTACGAAGAAGTGGACAGTGAGTTGCCCCCCCCCCCGCTTTCGTCTCGATTTCCTTGATGATTTTCTAAACAATCCTCCAATAGTGCCATCGGTAGGTGAAGATACAGAGAGCGCACTGCGGGGAATTCAAATATTCCTTGACGCCCAAGCCCCATCTGCAGTAGCTGGGTTTGGCCTTCGGCATGCAGCCTATTGGATCGCACTTCGACAAGAAATTATCACAGCCTTCAGCAAACAGCGCCCGTTCCGGCTCCCATTAGGGCCTTGCGAGCCATATCGCTCTTTTGAACCTGCGGATGATTATGTCTGGGCCGATCGCCTTGTTATTCATTGCGCTGATGTATTACAATACTGCTTTGGATCTGAGGAAGAAGGGACCCCTCAAGACCAACACCAATCTTCCAGCACCGGGGTCTTGCATCCTATACCGGTGACCGACATGCGCATAGCACGCTACGACGAACTTGTCCTGTTTGAAACCCTCTGGACGGAGCTTGGCCCGCCGAGTTTCAAACCCATCTACACGCACGAACCAGATCACTCCCGTGGAGAAGTCTTTCCAGAATTGTGGTATCTTAATAATTGCCACGTCGCAGGGCTCCAATTCTTCGAGCTGGCGCGTATTCTCCTCGTTGTTTATAATCCCAAATTACCCCGTCTCGGGCCTAGCCAGCGTACTGCGATGCGATCAGTAGATCGAAAAGTGCGGTCAATGGTATTGCGACTTTGTGGGATGGCGCTCTCCAACCAGCATAGTCCTCCGGGCCTAGTGACTGCCTCGGTCGCAATTGGAATGTGTGGTGACCGGTTCACGGATCGGCTCGAACAGGATGCACTTCTGGGTGTTTTAACGAAGCTTAAGGATGAACATGCGTATCCCACGACCAGCATGCAGGAATTGTTGAAAGGGGCGTGGGGGTGGGATGGGTACGATGGCTTGGGGTAACCATCTTCATTTAGAATAGCCATTCAGATATGAAATTCTTGACTGGAACTGAATAAATTCACCAGACTATTCTGTCTAAACCCACGGAGTTAGCTGTCAATAGCTTCTATCGCCAAAATCTTACCCCAACGGCCTTTGACGCGGAGAAAGCTCCACCGCGGATGCGATTGATGACATTGGACCAGCTCAACTCTGCAGAAATTTACACAACCCCGAGAGAGAGGAACCTTGATTCCGGAAGTTTGAATATGCGCCCGATAAAATTCGTGGTCCCTGTGGGCCATGCTGAGACCACTAAATAGTCGCGTCGAGGTGTTTCGGTGCGGGGAAGTGGAGGTGGAGACGCATCTGGGGCATCTGGGGCAACTTTCGCCGAACAACCTTCGTTGGAAACCTACCTTATCGAGTAATAATACTAACCATATTCAGCTACGCTTCGCCGACCAACCTGGAGCATCTCCGATGAGGGGCGGGGACAGCGATCGAGCTGCGACAATGCCTATATAACAGTGCAATTCAGCATGGCCTTCTTTTTCCAAACCATCACACTCCTCTAAATCAACCTTATATTTAATTACACCGCTCTTAACAATGTCTGACAAGCTCCAAGTCGCCGTCGCAGGTATTGGCCGCATGGGTAAGTCCTCTCATCTTGCAACTTGGAATTTTTGACAACCTTCTCGAGTTTTGCTAATCACTACTCCTAGGAATGCGCCATGCTCGCCACTTCGCCAATTTTACCCCTCGCGCCGAGCTGATCGCTGTCTGCTCGCCCGTCCAGGCTGAGCTGGATGCCGCCAAGGCAGAATTTGGAAATGTTCGCGTCTACAAGGACTATGAACAGATGTTGGAGCAGGAGAAGACTCTCCAGGCCGTTGTCGTTGCTAGCGCTACCACCGTCCATGCGGAGCAGGCCATCAAGGCCATTGAGCGTGGTTTCCACGTTCTTTGCGAGAAGCCTATCAGTACCAGCCCTGAGATTGTGAGTTATTTTACGAAGCCACTTCCCCCGTCTTGAAGATTTTTCTATTCCAAAACATCCCAAATTAACATCTTGTTCTCCCAACAGTCCCAATCGGTTGTCGACGCCTACAACACCTCCATCAAGAAATTCCCCAACCAAAAAGTTATTTGCGGCTTCTCGCGTCGCTTCGACGCCTCCTACCGCGATGCTTACCAACGCACAGCCAATGGCGATATCGGTACACCATCTGTCTTCCGCTCCCAGACTTGCGACAAGCTCGACCCAAGTGGCTTCTTCGTTGCGTACGCCGAGTTCTCCGGTGGAATCTTCGTGGACTGCTCTATCCACGATATCGACCTGGCTCTTTGGTTCTTCGGCGAGGACAGCAAGGTCAAGAGTGTGACTGCCATCGGTATCACTGCCGTGCAGCCCGACCTCCGCAAGCACAACGACCGAGACAATGCCCTAGGAATTATCGAGTTCTACGTAAGTTCCTTCAGCTACCCGATTCATTATGAACCCTCAAGAAATTGCATCAGGCACTAACACGCTATAAACAGGGCGGCAAGATCGCTCAGCTCTACTGCTCCCGCATGATGGCCGCCGGCCAAGAAGACTGTACTGAGATTTTCGGCACAAACGGTAAGGTCGCCATCAACACCCAGCCCCAGCTTAACTTGGTGAACCTATACGAACCCACTGGTATCCGTCGCGAGATTCCTTCCGACTACTACGGACGTTTCCGTGAGGCCTTCATCACCGAGGCAAATGAATTCACTGCCTCTTGCCTTGACAACACTGCTCCTCCTCTCAGATTGGACGCTGCAGTGCGCGCAGTCACTATTGGATGTGCTCTGCAGGAGTCTCTGATCTCTGGAAAGAAGATCGAGTTTGAGGAGAACGGAAAGCGTGTTGAGGCTTCCAAGCTATGAAAAGAATATGAGTAAAACGAAGTTTATGAGTTTGTAGATAGAGATTTTATGCTTGGTCAAATAGAATTCTTTCACATTGACACCTCCTTTTGATTCACATTCAAGAACATAAAAACTAAGCATTAAACTCCGATGTGTCCGAGCGACAAATAATTGATATAAAACGATTGGCTCACACATACTCGAGCTCTGCAGTAAGGTCCACCAACCTTGCAGCCTCAAAGTTGAAAGCAATTCCCACATAACAACAATATTAATCGAATTAAGGGAACAGTCTGTCTGTTAGCACATCTCAAATTGCATGATTAACAACAGAACGTCGAAGCATTTTCTATGTCCATTTATTGACAATCGGGAGCAATTTTTGATTCTGGATTGCATGGAGTTTTGTCTACCACAATATCGCTCTCGAAACCTTCAAATTTTCCAAGTACTAGCTGGTAGTTGTTACGGAGTCCCAACTCGAGTAAATGACGAACTGGCTCTTATGCTCCGCGAGCCTCAAGGCTCCATGTGGCAGAAAAGGCGATCTCATAACCTTTCCGAGTTCTCTTTGGTAGCATAATAGTGGATTTAATCGAAAATGGGTTCTAGCATTCTTTACTGTGTATTAAGCGATTTGGGACTAAAAAGGTATTCCACTGCAGATGAGAAAGCTTATGTTAGCACTTCTGCCCTATTTTGTCCAGATGATGGCTCAGCATGATCGGATTGGGCATCAGAATTGAGACTAAATTGACCGATCTGCCTGGCTTGGCTACGGGTCATTGGTTGGATATCCCCCCTATGCATCACTGAGCCTAGCTCGGATCTGGTGACCAGGCATTGACTAGGCATACGAGTCTCCACTCGGGCAGTAATCATGACTCAGTATAATAGCCCAGTTGATGCGGCACAGGGTAAAATCGAAACCAAATCACTTGATCAGCTTGGCTGAACCTGAATTCATTTACTAACATCTTGTTTGTAGGAATGAGGCTCAAAGCAAGTAGTGACATGGTCGGGCAGTAGCTATTTACGAGGTCCACTCGTGGGGCTGCACGTCATAATTATGGCTCAGCTTGTGACACGAAAAAGTATCATTCATTAAGGCTCATCGTTATTTTAAAACACATTATGCGACAAGATCGCAACCTCTCACTCTTATTATTGGCTAGCGTTGCCATGCGTCGCATATAAGGCTTCCGGCAATCGTCAAGCCGCACAGGTGCCGGCTTGGCATTGGCATCAGAAGACAATTAATTCATAGAGTTGTGTCCCAGCAAAAAGAATATTCCAAATGTGAATGGATACATT